AATATATCAAGGCGGGAACATAAAAGTTCATCCTTACATACTTACCGTAAAGGTTTATGAATGTAGATTAAAAATATATTTAAACTTTTTTAACTTCCTGCAACTATATAGAAAGAGGTTGCCATAAGTAGGTTATACATAATTTACCATCCAGTTTATATTTATTGCTAGGGTTATTTGTAATTTTTTTGCCAAATATATTATGAGCGTTTTCAATAATTGCAATATAACTAAATATACGTAGAAAAAATATGTTCAAGTATTAAATTTTACTAAATATTTGCGTTTACACATCCATAATATTTGTTTAAAATGAAGGGTATTATCATCGTTAATTATCACTAGTCAGGGTTTTATCATCAATATTAAATTAATATTATATTAAGTTTAATTATATTGACAGAATGACAAAATCGTGAACTAATTTGCTGTCAGTCAATAAAATTCTCGCGTAAAAATGAATTTTTGAACAAAACTGTTCTATATATTTAGTGTATTGTTATTGAAGTTTATCCCTTTGGCAAAATTTATACTTGGTTAGCTTTGAAATAGGCTGAGCGTCAACATGATTGGCACGTATAATGGGTGTGTGCCATTTGCAGTTGACTGACATCGCTTGCATCTGTTCGCAATACCGCCATATTTGAACATTAAACCGCCATATGTATTATATTCATATAACAAAATGAACTCACAGATTAAATAACTTTATGTAGTTAATAATAACCATATTATAGAAATTTCATATATTGGAAATTAAAGTTATTCAGTATAATATTAGTATTGTATTCAATTCTTGATTTTTTTTATAAAGAAATGCAAAACTTTGAAAATAGTAATCGATTTCATAGAATGTGATTTCACGAGTTAGGTTAGAATACTATTCTTAAATAATGGATAATTTTAATAATCACCTTATAATGTGACGAATGCATCTACTCAAATTTTTGATCGGTTATTTCTCGCCAGAAGCCTCACCTTAATAGCCATAGATAATAAATCAATTAACATAAAAAAAAGTAAAAGTATATTTTGCTCGCTTTGTTTAATAATGATGTTAGTAGTTTAAATACAAGAAATATGTAAATAAGATTATAACGAATTTGAAAAACTATTGATGACAATGAAAAAATACGTTCTGTAAAAATTTATGAAAGTCAGAAACACCGAAACGAAAGAATTTTCATTAATAATATAAAAATATGATTTATTCAGTATGATTAATTAATAAATTTATTAACTCGTATTGTTAATTACTTTAGTCTAATTGAAATTCAAAGATTGAAGAACATTGACAGCTTGACATTGACAGTCAATGTAGACTACGTTACAACTGACAGATTCTTTATAATTTAAAGTTTATATGTGTGTACTTTTTGTGTAAAATGCAATAAATTGTTGTTAAGATCATAATAATTTGATAAAAAATCCTTACGAATCTCAATGTCTTGTTGGAACGCTCGTCTCATTCATAACTCTGAGCTATCTTACTTTATCACGGATTCAAATCCGACATTACCATAAAATATTACGAGATTGTCCATGACTTACCGTCGTTTGACCTTCCGTTAGCAATGATTAGCACTTGCCTTGAAAATGTGTCCTTGTCATGCTTGGCCCTGTAAAATGTATGTTGCGTTATATATGTACAATTTTCATCCAACTACGAAGACGCCAAAAAGTGGGGTAAGGTTTTTTTAATTCTCATACTTAGTTATAGTTAATGAAGGATCCTTTGTTTTTTATTTACACAAAGAGGTTAATTGTACATTTGCAAATTTTGCTCAAAAAGGTTTTTAACATAATATATTATGTTTAAAAGGGATTCAAAATAATAAATGGCCAGGAGAAAGGCGTTGTAAATTATCAAATTAAGGAGGCACGGACAATACTAAGAAGTGGATTTATTTGATATATATTCACATTTTATCTCTCAACAACAACCATTTGCTAGATAACAAGAAACGTTCTGAAATCTGTTAGAAAAATAAGCTGATAAAATAATTGACATAGTACAAATAATATTATATCTAACTATACATAAAAATAAATCTAGACTTAATATTCTTTCGTAAGTTAATAGACCCGGATTGAATATAGCAATCCGATGAAACACTCATAAGCATTAAGCTATCGGAGTAGTAACATTTCGTTTACGTGACCTAACCTCAATTCCTTTTGCGGGTACGGTAAACCGGCTACTTTATCCAACGAGACGGAAAAGGGGAGGCCATTCCGGGGCTAAGGCCTAAATCTAATAGTAAATAATGTCGAGACACAACAATATTCAACCTGATTGCATTATACCACGAGAACATTACAAATTAAATACGCAATTTAAATGGAAACGTATTGGGAATTGTGGCGTTGTTTAAAATGAAATCGTGATTTAACTATCAAATATCCTCGTACAGTATATAATTTGATAGACTGATAATGCTATGAACCTATATATGTATATATGTATTTTTTCACACAGTATTCGGATTAATGTTCATTCAAATTCCCGCCATAACGTGTTCCATTTAACGTTATTCTGACATATTTTCACAGTTGATTGAACAAAGGCACTCCGAACAATCGGCTCAGATCATTGGATGAATATAACTGACACGATCGTTTTAAGATTATTACGGGCTGCCTGTAATAATAATTCTTGTTACATTTGACATATTGTATGAATTAAATGACTTATGGAATTTTTATTCGGTTTGTTGGTATTTCATTGAAAATTTTTAGTGAAAATGTTGGTTAGAAATTTAAAAGTTTATCAATAAATCTTAATGTTGGTATTGTAAAAGAATATGATGTTTAATACTTAATCATGCTGGATTCTGAGCAAGTCCTTCCATAGTACCCACGAATGATTGTTATTAAGACATGCTAAAAGTAGAACTAAAAAACATTGGTGGCCCTGTAAACATGTTAAACTGTTTGACTTTAAGAATATTTTCCACATATTATGTTTAATTTAATGAACATGAACTATTGGGAATCGAGTCATTAAAAGCTATCGAGTATTAATACTAGCCGTTACCAATATATAAATATGTGAATACTAATGCAAACATTTCCAACGACTGTATAACGATTCAATAATGGAGCTTCTCGTTTACATAATTAGATTTAAAATTGCATGCATAGTGCTACACAAAGGAAGATCAATACTAATTGCGCCGGCACTACAATCTACACAGAGCTATTAACATGTAAATTTTAACTGGCTGGGTTATCGCGAAGATATACACTCTCTGTAACAAGACAGACAATAAAAATGTCACGAGGGTCATTTCACATAAAGTGTCTAAGAACAAAGAACATTATCAAGGACTGTCGAATAATCATGTTATTCTATGATGAGAAACAACCACATATATTTTATACGACACAAGAAGGTGTTACATTGCGAGATATAATTTAATACGTCCTTGGGAAGTTTAGACAATTTGTAAGAGGAGGGCGGCCCCCACACTCCATCACTACATAATGTGAGCCGCAAACAAATGAACCTGATGTATTACTTTATGTTACATACGAAACATTTGTTTTGTTATAATTAAACAAGTTTCTCCCCGGTGTTTACCCGCAAGCGATGTGTGAACAAAAATTGTTTAAGTTTCTTCAAGAATTTATTGAAGTTCATACCAAATTATATACAATACTTCAATGGATTTCACTTGTTACTATTGTTATTCTTACGCTACTGTTATTTATAGAATCCTATCTTGTTATTTTTACGTTTGGATAATTCAGAAAATGTATACTAAATTTTTGTTGAATTCTGGAATACAATCACTTTCAACTTTAAATTTCCTTCCAATCAAGAATTATTTATTTTCATCAAATGTCAGCGGCTAAAGTTAAGTCCGCGTTAAGGAAATGTAATCTGAAGGAAACTCTACAAACGATCTCTTAATTTCCTCTCAGATTTATAGGGCTTTTGTTACAGTTTTCCTTTTAATTAAAATTTGTTATTCACAAAGACATTGATCTCGATATTTCTTTCACGTTTTTATATAATGTCTGGTTTATTCTTGTAAATGGTCTTGGTTTATTTGTGCTATAAGCTTCATTAATTTTAAATGGCTTTTCGCATACAGTTAGGTCTTTTCAAGTCGCTTTTTTCTGTTGATTCTTATTGCCCTTTGCTACAAGCTACAAGCTTTTTCCCCTCATTTCGCAAGCTTGATTAAATGTTTTTGGACTTTTAATTTAAATCATCCAGTACATATTCAATAGTATACTCATGTTTCTATTAAGTTATTTATATTTCGTTCGATAAAAGTGTGTATATTGGGATATAATAAATATTTTAAAATACATAACACATTTTTTCACTCATACAATTATGTATTCTCCATAATATATTCAAGTATATTTTTAATTATTATATGCCAGCAAACAAAGTTAAGATAACCAAATTATTTGGAAGCGTCTTCGACGATGTTATGTCGGCGATGGAAGCGCACACGTTAAATTGACTAATTACTTTAGAAACATAAACTCAATCAAGTTATGCTCCGACCATCCATTTATTCATTAAGGTGTGACTTGTTTGGGTAACTAATTATAATCTGTGGCATCTAAGTGTACAGTAACATCTTCTATTCAACCTCCTTTGATTAGTAATAAAACCTTTTTTTTAATATTTTTTTTCTGAATTTTATGTAAATGAGTGATATCTTAATTTTTTTATACGTTATATTTGATATAAACGAAAAATAATATACAATATTTTTTTGACACTGGCAGAATATACTGTGCACGTCTTTGCACGGATGGAGGCCATATTTAAAACAACCAACTATGTAATAATTTTTAATCTAGTTTAAATCTTTTATTGAATTTGTTTTAACCTATTTATAGAAAAAATAAAAAGCTATGTATAAATAAGTTTTAACAGCAGCATAAAAGTTAATTAAGTATAATGTACATACATTAAATAACGATCGTCCGTCAATTTAATATATAAAGAGATGTTTATCTGTGTTAATACGTAGTAGTCCGATTTGAATCGATATCTGTGAGGCGTAAGTAACGTTAATACACAACACACAAACCTCACCGCAGATTTCAATTAGTGGTTACAAATTATTTAATATTACATTTTGAGCTAATTGTATTGAAAATTTTATATTATTAACCTTGCACCACAAATTAGATTGAACCTTCGGTGTAGATCGAACTTAATTATGCATTTTTTACAAAATATTTTATTATTTTTTTCTTGCAGAGCCGGTTGTCATTGAAGGAGAATACACGGTGTATGTGGGCACATGGACAGAATGCAGTACTGGTGACGGAGATCAAGCTAAATCTTTCGACAGGTATATAAATATATATACTATCACAGGTTTTTATTTAAATAATATCGTCCTATAGGGATATTCGTTGAAAATTATAGTTGATTTCAAACGATTACAATAAAACCTTATCGACAACTACATATGTACGTCATCTATCTATTCTGGTCGGAGAGTTATTTTTATTCGATTTATTCAATTTACAATGTATGCATGATTACTTGAGTGAAATTTTCCGAATACGATTTTGACCAGACATCTTCAAGCATTCATTTACGAAATTTATAACCGATTTAAATGGCATTTTCTTTAGAAATTGGATGAGAATACATATTAACTTTGTGGCGTCATTCTTAATCCAATATAGAGGTACACTCATCATTACGGGAAAGTTATTTTTGATGCACTCTTATAATACGTAGATCAAACGAAGTGACTCGTTGAAAATGAATATTTTAAGTGATTTTTGTACTGCATACAATTTTGTTTATCTGTAAGTACACAAGTAAATTATTAAACAAGCTATATCATTTAAATAGTATGATTATAAATGGTTTATGATTAAAAGGTATTTATTCCGTTTTTTCAATTCAAATAAAATATTCTTTAATATTATAAATTTTAATTCAGATAAAATATTCTTTTCGAAACAGGACTCTTAACTTTTAATTTATTTAAATCTCCCTGGTAAGGAGATTAAATAAATGAGCTCGCAGAGAACAAAAATTAATTCCTTAACTCTGAAACTAATAAGTCTTACCAATTGTTAAATGGAAGTTCACATGATAATCCATATGATGTACTACTAACTAATTACTACTAAGTAGTAATTCTAAGCGCGATTTTTTTATAGAAAATCAAAATTGTACCTTAAATTCTTAACATTTAAAAATAGATTTAAAAAAAGTGACATTGCATAAGATTAGGACATTTAAGCGCTTTAATGAAATTTTGTATCAGCTTTGCATATTCTTTATTCGTTCAAACATCATGGTTTCTAGTATAGAAGTATAGAAAACTGAAAAAAATGGAATTATTTGAATTATAGAGGTCTTTGCCACATTGGATCTTCTATATACAGGGTGACTGGTGAATTACTATCAATATTTAAGGAGAATACTCGGTACATGATTCTCATTCGAATTATGTAACAAAAATAGGCACTTAATTTTTGACAAAATTTCCGTATAAATAAATAAAGTGTGGACACGTTCCATGCGTTCCAAGTGTGGACGCGTGCGGCGGCGTGCTGATACAACACCACGCGTATGTGTGAGTGTGTGTGTATACCTAATCTGTAGGGTGTTCACACGATGCGTAATTAATTACATAACTTTTGGTTAACTTTACTCAGAAGTTTATTAATATTTATGTTATATTAATTTTTATTTTGTCATATATGATCGTCAAATATCACGTCCTCAAGTATCGATAGTAATTCACCAGTCACCCTGTATATTTGAAGTTATAATATACATAACTAATAAACATAAAAAGTCATTCGTGAAATTTTATGTAATGCCCTGTTAAATTTAAAATAACCCATATACAGGGTGACTGGTGAATTACTATCAATATTTAAGGAGCATACTCGGTACATGATTCTCATTCGAATTATGTAAAAAAAATAGGTACTTAATTTTTGACCAAATTTCCGTATAAATAAATAAAGTGTGTACACGTTCCAAGTGTTCCTAGTGTGGACGCGTGCGGCGACGTGCTGATACAACAATACGCCGCCGCGCGCGAGTGTGTGTGTGTGTGTGTATACCTAATCTGTAGGGTGTTCACACGATGCGTAATTAATTACACAACTTTTGGTTAACTTTACTTAGAAGTTTATTAATATTTATGTTATATTAATTTTTATTTTGTCATATATGATCGTCAAATATCACGTCCTCAAATATCGATAGTAATTCACCAGTCACCCTGTATATTTATAGATCGTTATAGTTATTAATTTTTTCACAAAATCACAGAATTCATTAAGCGAATTCAGTCAGGAGAATTTCAAAGAAATATGTATCTGAATTATCTCCCAATTATTCCATAATGAGATCTAAGACTTACGCGAGTATTCATTTAAATGAAACTAATATTTTCGGATCACTACTTGTTCAAGTTGCTGCAAAGTAACCGAAAAGTCGGTAGTATATAGTTTTAAATATAATAATATTACGTTTAGTACCCCGAAAATATTAATTTCACTCGATTATTTCAATTATTAATTAGGACTTATTGTTGTATGAAGCTATTGAGTTAAATTATAAGTACAATAATAAATTATCTCAAGTCAATATTTCTTACAGATATAACGCTCGCCTGGAATCCGATTCTCTGGTGCACACTCCAAGACTGGGACTTCAGAGACGTCAAGTGCAATGTCGGAGGAAAGATGGCAGATTTGTTGAAGCTCTGTGAGTGTTTGATAAATAAATAATAAATTGTTTCAATACAAATAAATACTAAATTACTCTATATACATTATTTGTTGTTGGTTTTGTATAGAGATTCTTTTAGTAGTTAAAATGTATATGATTTGTGAGTATAGTGTTTTTTTACTAAACTTTCAAAGTCTACCAAATCGATTATCTAACATAAAGCTATAGTATCATAATAATATTTTAACAAACGTAAATATAAAATTGATTATTATATTACTATATAGATATATTTGCATGAGATAATGAACTTATTGGTTCTGTCATTCTAATGTCTTTATGTATGACTACCTCACCACCCCGAAGACAAACTATCAAACTTTACCATTCGAAGTTCAGACTTATAGATGGTTAAAGTTTTAAGTGAACCGTCCCTACTGAGAAAATACATATCCCAGTTTTATCGTAATAAACCTTAGTTACCAATGAGGCGTTGAAGTAGAATATCTATAAGTTATAACTTATAAGGTATACATTAAGTGTATATCTTGATAAACTTAAACCCACGCTGTTAAGATTACAAAGATGTCTTAAAGAATATGTGTGTATATTTAAAACTCATGTAAACTCTTACTAAACAGGTAACGTCCCTATCTTGCATTTTAAGTGACATTTCTCCTGAAGTACGCTGTATTGTCGCAAAGGGATATTGATTGATTGCCACTTCTATCCCTTTTTAATAGCACTATTTCGAATAATGTTGTATTATGTGAGAGCGAATCTTATTTTGAACGCAATGTTTATGTAGATATAATAGTGAAATTTAGTCTCGATTCCTTTTAGATATAGTTTTCATAAACATATACTATATAAAGCCTTGCAATTACGTGATATCTTTGTGAAATGAGATTTCTTTATTTTATTGATCATCATACCTTATGAGAACTAATTGAATGCTCTACTGTCTGTATTCTACAAACATGAGTACAAGTTAAACTAAAGCCTATTAAAAATGTAAGAACTAAATAAATTATTATGAAACCGTTTATCAAGGTTGCTGTAAAGGAACCAAAACATTGTGATTATGTATTTAGATATAAAAAAAATTAAAACCAATAGTATCGGAAAAATTTGCTTCGTTCACAATATATTTCTTAAATTCAAAATATTTCTAGGTACTGCGGGATTGCCATAGCCAACATCGGTACAACTCGCGTATGCGTGATGCGTGAGGACTGTTCGTTGGCTGAGTGGTTGCCATGGCGACCAAGATCCGATGGAGCTCTGGTGAGAACAAGACGTTTACGGAGACTGTCACAAGGTCAGTGCACTTAGAGAAAGAAAAATTATTCTAGAATGTTCAATAGACTTATAGAACACTACTGGCGATTATATTTTGATAGAAAACAAATAAAATGGTGATACTTTTTAAGGTTAATGAAAATAAAACCATTTATACTTAACAATAACTTTTACTGCACCAGTTTTTCATGCTAATTATGAAAAAACAATTAAAATAATTGGATAATGCTTTAATTTTATTTATTTTCTTCAAGTCTGCTTAGAAGCGAACTCAATACCAATATTATTCATATGCCTTTATTTGAATAAACTCATATTAAATATATCCATATTCCATATATTCCGTACAAGATGTCAATGAGTTAATATATGAAGTAAGCTGTAGACCGCGTTCCTGGAGATGATAAGACACGATGTCACATAATAAAACTGAAAAATACGATGAAACAGAAAAAAACTGAAAATAAATAGGTCATTCCAACCATTCGTTAAGTCTAGATAAATGTTTTAAAATTCTTATCTTAATTAGTTTACGCTCTATTTCTTTGGGAATAAAAAATAAAAGAAAATTTTAACCGATATCCAAACACTAAGTTTTGTAAATTCTATCTATACATTTTTTATAGGTTGTGTTATTATCTTAAAAATTCTGTACAAACCTACTTGTTTCTTGTAAAATGTGTGTTATAAAATTTAGGACACCCTAAAGAGAAAATCCAGGCAATATCTATACAAACTGCGATACTCAAACATCCAGATGTTTGTCAAACAAAGCTTTCCGTGAATATGTTTATATATTTATGAATAGGAATGTTTTCCCAAATCGTATATCTTTGGAAATACAACAAACAGTAAAATAATATTGATAGTCAGATGTCTATTACGAATACCATTAAGTAATATATAATATCATGATTATTGTTTTCCTTTATATGATAACACAAGTTATAAAGTTTACAATAAGCTAAATTACATAGTACATTTATAATTAACGATCTTCCCTTCATAACCAAAATATTCCTCTTCACATACAAAAACATCCACATGCATCCAAAGCAGGTCTTAGATCCATTTTCTCGAGAGTAAATCAGATATACGACTATATAAGATTCGATAAAATTGCACTCTATGAAAATAAGAGCAGTATCTTTGAAGCAAAATATAAATATATAGACTATAATAACGTTCCTTACCTTCTCATCACTATGGCAAGTTCAATTTTATAGACACGAAATAGAAAAATAAAACCACTTTATATAATAATATTAAAATACTACACAATAAAGATAAACTTATTACGTATACAATATTTTTTCATTAAATCAATTAAGTAGAACACTTTTACACTAATGTATTAGTGGAAACTATAGCTATTCTATTTCAGTCGTTATTGTAACTTATCGTTTAACTACATAGAATGGTCGGGTATGTATCAAAGGAAATGCCAACCTTTCCTACGCCAAAGACGTTGTAGTTTTTTTGTGATCGCTCATTGTAAGACTCAGCTGTACTTGAAGAAGTCGATTCAAGATTGAGTTACAGATTGCATTTTCTCCATACAGTAGTTTTCAACCCTTGGCAACATTAGTAATTTTTTTAATGTTTCATGATACTTTTTTATTATTTCTAGATAAAGTCCTGCTTTGCGTTGAAAGATAAACTCTTAAATTAATTATAAACAGTTTAAACTTTAAAAAAACTATGACATATTTGCATATAATGCATACCAAATTATTCCAAATTTAAAATGTTTTTATTTACGTATATATTTTGTGTTAAGTTATGAGAATCTATTTCATATCTTTATTTTGAAGGTGGAGGCAAAGAATGCGACGTGGTTGAAGAAGTTAGACCTACTGTTTTGGAGACTACGGCACATTGGACGCCAGGTCCTTGGGGAGCATGTCGTGTTGCTGTGGAACAGGCGGCAACTGCTGCACCAAGTTAGATATAAACAATATAGTATAGTTACATGCTTGTTTATTATTTAACCTACTGTAAACTCATTCAAATTTTTAGTTTATCGATTGGCATTTGATTACAAAATAATCCATATAGCATCTGAAGCAAATCATTTTTATTAAGTCCCTCTAAAACACTTTCATGGCTCGAATAGCATGTGTAGTGTAACGAATATTGGTATGTATAATCGATACCATATTTTTATCAATTGTTACATAAAAAGAACAATACTTTCTTCCTTACAATTGTGTAAAAATCTCTTACTGATTTTCCTACGTTTGGACCCGCTGATTGTACAAAAATTGACTTTGTTTTATCATATGACTTTGTGATAATAATGATTGAAACATACCAACAATCAGCTGATGATGACGATGACGCGGATGACAATGACGCGATTTACGACGAGGATGACGAAAGTGACGAGACTGAGCAGTCCAGCTGTGGGGGCGGAGTGCAGCGACGTGCTGCGACCTGCGTACGCGCAGACGGACGAGCGCTGCACGACGCGCAGTGCGCTCACGCAGCGATGCCCACACTCGTGCAACCTTGCGAGGTTATTTGAATAACCTATATTTTTATGAACATAGCAGAAAAAATTCGAAGTCTAAATGTAGTCAACTAGGTGCATAAAATTTAATGTATGTAATCGCAATCAAAATATTACCAATCCTTTAAAGAAAAAAAATTTGTTACCTTTTATTAACTGCATCAAATGGATAGTCTGTTATTTGCTGCCCATAAAAAGATAATGAACTCAAAGATTTTGAAGGATTCCGTAGATAGGTTATTTTTAAGTGATACTAAATAAACTGCGGTTGTTGTTTAAGTTTTCTAAATCAGAATTGAAATACAATAGATGAAAGAAGATAAATGAAATGATATTCATGTTCATTATGATTTATAGATTTTTTAAATTAAATATGTAACAATAAATTAACCATGAATAAAGTATTTGAATATATATAATTTTCATAGGTACCGTGCCCACGTGATTGTGAAGTCGGAGAGTGGAGTGAATGGGGCGCCTGTCAGCCTACTGACGGATGTCCTCTTTACCCAGTACAACAACTCACAACTACTGGTATGAAATTATAGTGACCACAATGTATAATACGTAAAGGGAGATATAAAATCCTGCTACAAAAATAGAAAAAAGAAGTAGTTACAAAGAAAAATAAAAATTTAAGTTATGGATCATTGCTTAACTGATGATCTTTAAACTTTACCCATCAAGCTTATGAATATTGTCTAAAATTTTACAAAATCTCCAAAAAAATTATACTTTCTTCCTCTAACAAAGCGGATTAAATATATATTTTTTCCATAAACCTATTTGCCAAGAACAAACGTTCAAAGGTTCAAACCACAGAACTACGTTACCTAAATCTACCTACGTTAGACTTGTAAATCAAACGGAAAATGGAATTATCTAATAACAAAAATACTTTGTATAGGCTACAGCGTACGTCGTAGACGAGTAACAGCAGCGGCCTCTGGTGGGGGGGCGCCATGTCCTCCTTTAGAAGAAAAACGAACTTGTACTACACCAAGATGTGCTGCGTGGAAAGCACTACCCTGGGGCCCTTGTGTATTGACTCAACCACATACAAGCTGCGGACCAGGAAGACGTACAAGAGAACTTAGATGCATGGGACACGATGGAGTAAGTATATTGAAGAATATTATAATATATAGCTCATATTATACTCAATGTTGCCCACAACCTAATTTGACAAAATATAGTATTCATTTAATTGAAACTAATATTTTTCGGATGTACTACGCGATTTTTATTTTTATCAGAAACGAGATGTCTCGTCTGTCCGTGATCACGGTTGCTGTAAAGTAACCGAAACATCGGGAGTATGTAGTTTTTTGACAAAAATAAAATCACTTAGTACATCCGAAAAATATTAGTTTCATTTGCACATTAATTTCAAATGATATATGTGACCAGTCTTGAGGAAAACGCCCGGACTTTTTCAACTATTTGTAATGCAATTTGTATATAACATTTTTTTTTCTGACATGGAACTAGAAATGACGTCATAGCTCAAATTTGTCAAACAAACTATATAACTAATATTACTCTTCTTTTTTCAACTAGAAGGAAGCTCAGCGAGCGTGGTGTAACACTGGCGCTCCTCCACGCAGTGAACGATGTCGTATCGCTTGTCCCGGAGACTGTGTAGTTTCCGCGTGGGCGGAGTGGTCATCATGTTCAGCGAGTTGTGTGGCCCCGGGACACGCACGTCCCACACGTACTAGACGCAGGCATATACTAGCTCACGCTGCACCAAGTAAGAATCATTGGGTCATTCATTCATTCATTCATAACACAGAACAATATACAGGGTATTCAGTAAAGAATGGATAACCTTGAATATGTTATAGTAGAACTTATGGCGTCCAGAAAAAAAAAACGAAACAAAATATATCATAAGTAGTACATACTCAAGATAAGTTTTTTTTTACCTTATTTTACTTTCTCGAATACTATGACCAGAAATAAATGAATTACATACATCGGCTTTTTGATGTTTTATTATTATATACTATGATGATAGATACATTATACCTAATGTGACTAGCTATAGCAAATTTAAAAGCAAATTTAATTAATGTCATTTTATTCTTTATGTTTATTAGATGGCTGGCCTTGTCCATCGGAAGATCAGTTGATTCAAAACGAGACATGCAACACCCACGCTTGTGCTACTTACTCCTGGCTTGCAACGCCTTGGGGGCCGTGCGAGCGTCGGCGGCAAGATTTCATACCGGCTACCAATTACACTGATCTTCTGGTACTTATTAAAAATTCTTTATCGTCATTGGGTTTCTATACAAATTAATAAAACAGACTACACCTCTCCATGGCCTAAGTGCCAAAAGAATTATATTGTGTTTTCTCAGAAGATTTGAGTTACAATCCTGTGATAGAATTTTCTTTCATGCAACTCCTTACCTGATTCTAAAATTATTGGGCAATATTACATGTTCCGTGCATGACTTTTGCTTCTTTTCATTTTAGTACGTCATCATGTCATTATTCACCTTTTTTTGTCATAGTTTCTCCCATTCTTTACCTTTTTCCTTGAGCTCTACTTCTTTCCTTTCCCTTTTTTCTTTACAGTTATTTAGACATATGTAAGTTATAATATGATCATATGGATTCATGATGTAAGCTTAAATACAATTTTGTCTCCTCTTTTTATGTTTAAAACAATATAACTGATTTCCTTCATATTTCTACCAATCTTATATCTTTAAAACTGTTAGTTCTTTGTGTTTTTTTGTATATGCTAAATAGTTAATACTCCCACGTTTTTTTATTTTTTTAGATTAATAATAATTTCATTACAAATTAAACTAACAATATCCTATTGCAGGATAACGAACCGTTCAATGAAAGCGATGACGAAGAACCTTGTATTGAAGAAGGCGAAATGACCAGAGACGTTATGTGTGTTCAGAATAATGCTGATGTTGTTAGAGAGGCTCTGTGAGTTACATTTTTTACAACAATATCTATATCAATGAAAGATTTTAATGAAACTATTATACAATATTCAGTGGAAAATTAATAAAGTACATGATCACAGAAAAATATACCTTATATGTATTTTAATGTTTATTTTTTTGTTTTGATTTTTTTTTTTTTTTTTTTACCCTAAGTTTTATTTTATTTTTTTGTGTTTAGGTGTAGGTATATTATAATTAATTAATCATAAGTTTTATTTTATTTTTTATTCCTGTTTATTTTTTAATTTGTAATGTTTCTTTGATTTTTTTTTTGTATACTTAACTATACAAGGTGACTGGTGAATTACTATCGATACTTGAGTACGTGATATTTGACGATCATATATGACAAAATAAAAATTAATATAACATAAATATTAATAAACTTCTAAGTAAAGTTAACCAAAAGTTATGTAATTAATTACGCATCGTGTGTACACCCTACAGATTAGGTATACACACACACACACGCGCGCGTGCGGCGGCGTGGTGTTGTATCAGCACGCCGCCGCACGCGTCCACACTTGGAACACTTGGAACGTGTCTACACTTTATTTATTTATACGGAAATTTGGTCAAAAATTAAGTACCTATTTTTTTTACATAATTCGAATGAGAATCATGTACCGAGTATTCTCCTTAAATATTGATAGTAATTCACCAGTCACCCTGTATAACTATAACTATACGTGTCTCAAATAAAAACGTTCTTTCTTTCTTTCTTACTTTAGTATATTTAATGTCATAATTGCTTTACTTATAATAGCTGTGCTCCATTACGTCGCCCAGCGTCACGTCGCGCCTGTACTGTAAGATGTCGTCGTGGTTGCAGGGTTGAAGCTTGGATGCCGTGGTCACCATGTCCTGATACTTGTGGTAAACTATTATATAGAGAATTATCATATACACGCTCTTAACTACATTACATTAATTTAAAACATAGATCTTTATACATACAACGGGGAAGGGAGGAAGCGTTCGTCTATATTCATCTTTAATCACCAAACACGGCTTCTATTACACACTCTGAATTATTAAGATCGCGATTATACAATAATCAACTCGAAATTATCAGACACAACGCGACAACGCACAAATGTGCCATCACGTCCACGACAGTTGCCAGTTCCGAATACACCCAAGTCAATACTGGCTTGACGTTCCTTTTAAAAGTTCGGACATATATATGTATAATTGTGTATATATCCTTAGATCCCGGTAAGCAGGTTCGAGTCCGCACCGTCCGAGGTGGTCCGAACTGCGGTCCGTTACAAGAGACCCGCGATTGTCCCGTGTCGAGGTCGTGTCGTTCCCGTGAGGCTGTCTGGGTCGCTGGGGAGTGGAGCACGTGTAGACTACCGCCTGGACAACGATGTGGAGTTGGCTATAGGATTAGAAGTAAGTTCATATCAGCTCAATATTATACTCCTTTATAGATATATAGTTAGAAAGGGCCTGGCTAAAGCTGGGAAATGGCAAAGAAAAGTTAGAAAGGGCTCCACCTTTGCAGAAACCATATTTAATAATAGGTCATATTTTATGATTTTTCTATTGTTTATTCTATATTATGCACTTATTAAGTTCGATCACTATAGCCGCATGAAAGAATAACAAAATTCCCAATATCGAAGTATTTTCCTTAGTTACACGGAACCTTTTGTATCAAATAATTAAAAATAACTATAATAAAATAAAATATATTTTTTAAATATCCTTTTGTGATATTTTTAATTTAAATCTTGATATACTTACTACAATTATTATATCTTGCATGATGTGATAGCCTATAATTAAAAGGACATTTAAGTTATTGTTAATAGTTTGATAATGAAATGAATGTAATAATGTTTTCTTTTGTTGGTTACCCAAATAAAATAAAATAAAAATAGCGAAGTATTTATTAAAATCTTACCAATATGTAAGGTATCTGGTGCGGTTCGGATTCTCACCGCGTGGAGGCGGGTGCGTGTGCGGGTGCCCGCGTGCCGCCCGCAGCAGCCGCCTGCAGCGTCACATGCGACACGATCATACCACTCACTTGTGACGTCATATGTTCAGATCCCCTCAAGTTAGTGAAACTTACTTAGATATATGTAGACTTAAAATGCATTTTTTTGTGATGAAAAACTTTTATAAATCTTCAAAAATAAAAAAATATACAGGGTGACTGGTGAATTACTATCGATACTTGAGGACGTGATATTTGACGATCATATATGACAAAATAAAAATTAATATAACATAAATATTAATAAACTTCTAAGTAAAGTTAACCAAAAGTTATGTAATTAATTACGCATCGTGTGAACACCCTACACTTGGAACACTTGGAACGTGTCAACACTTTATTTATTTATACGGACATTTTGTCAAAAATTAAGTGAATATTTTTTTTACATAATTCGAATGAGAATCATGTACCGAGTATTCTCCTTAAATATTGATAGTAATTCACCAGTCACCCTGTTTAATTGCATATAATTGCAAAAACCCTGCATGTGCCTCGTCTTAATTATTTAGTATGTACATACTAAATAAATATTTTTTTTATCGTAATATGTGATATTAAAGTAACTTTGTGGACTATTTACTGCTTACAAATATTATACTAGTATTTTGATATTATAATAGATATTTTAAAAAAAATTGTATTATATACTCGTAGTGGTAAATAAGTCTGTGAATATTTTAGATACTTGGATGCTTCTGACCCCGACGTTCCCTCATGTGTCTGCAAGAACGTCTCATTGGAACTGTTACCAGCTGATTCAGACTGTATTCTTCCACCTGGGTGATTATTACTAAAATAATACAAAGAATAAAGTTTCATTTACTATGTCTAGAATAGTTATAAATGTATTTATTATTGATGGTTTAGAATTGAATGCGGTGAAGGCAGATCGTTGCGAGCGGCGCGTTGTCTAGTTGGAAGACGTGATGTACCCATGGATGTTTGTAGAAAATACCATCCCTTAACAGGTAGGGAATATTATTCAATGAAATACTGCTATAAACAAAAACTTACTAAAGGAGCAGCCAATTTTTTTTCCCAGTTAACCATGATTCTGAATTATTATTTTTTGGGTTTCATAATCAAAATACTTGTAAGATCAGGAGTCTTCTTAATGAATTTTCAATATGGCCTGTTCCAGCTGATCCCGATATTTTTAATAATAGTTGCTAAAGTTTGCAATCACTTTGCTTATTCCAATAAATGATATCATAGTATACATTTATTTAGGATAGTATTTTGGTAGACTCAATAATATTCCCAGGACCCCGTCGTGTTCGTGAAGCAGCAACAGACGGGTTTACATATGACGAGGAGTTCACCTCTTTATTACGAGGTGCGTGTAGCGTGAGGTGTGCGCGGGACTGCGCGGTAGGAACCTGGGCTTCTTGGGGGCCGTGTGCTGCTGAACCAGGCTCAAGAGCCGCTTTCAGATTCCGAACCAGGTATATGGCTAATATCATATTAAATTTTTCTCCTCTATTGACTGAATAGCAATAATTACGTGTTTTTTTTCGAACCAGGTATATAGCTGTTATCCTTATAAATGTTTCTAATCTCTTGACTGGATAGCAATAGCTGATATCATATTAAATTTTTCTCTTCTATTGACGGAATAGCTATCATTACGTGTGCTTTTTTTTTATTAATATTTTTTTTATTATTTATTACAATTATGTTGGTATTTTTTTACATATATGTCTAAGTTTTCACAGTGTCTCATAAACCAATATTGGTTTTTCGTACACTGGTATCTAATTGTTTCTGTATGATATTTTGTTTGGCTATCTTCTAAGAGTATTCTGATATTGTAGATCTCTTTAAGCTAGGGTAGCTTAACTTCAGTATAGCGGTAAACTTCTTTGCCATGTAAGTGATAAATAAAACGTTGTATTATATAGGGAAGTGATAGAGGAAGGTTCGGCTGGTGGTCGTGAATGTGGTGCCACATTGCAGCGATCTACGTGCGTTGTGACTGAACCACGATGGATATTGGGCGAGTGGTCTGTGTGCGCTCCACGACGAGCTCTGTGTGGAAGGGCCATTATCAATAGGACTGTTATGTAAGTTCAATAGAACGAAATTTCGCATCTATCCACTTTATTACCAAGGTAATCATTCAGTTACAATTTTGCCAGCTTCCAACTATATTGTTTTGAAGGTAGATATAAAATTGTTACCATCTTGACTGTTAGCAAAATTTCTTTTAAGCTAATACATCCAAAATTTCAAACAATATATGTATATACCTCAAACATCAACTGCAATCCTTTTGGCATTATCAATACTGAAGTCATTCTACGACAATTATAGGTGCATAGATGCAGACGGTAATAAATTAGAGGACACATTGTGTGAGGCGGCGGGCGCTGGCCCCGCGCCCTCCCGCGAGGCTACATGTAGGGCTCCGTGCCCTTCAGACTGTGTTGTTAGCTCTTGGTCAGACTGGAGTCCGTGTGAACAGGTACATATATGTATAATGATCATTATTTACGAACTGTAACTATACATTTATGTTGTTTTTTATTTATTTAGGGATGATAGAAATCATTGATAATAGCACATAAAAATTTCATAAAACACGAACAGGCTTTTTAATATAAGAGATTTGACTTCTATAAAAATGATTTCCTAATTTTCATACAATTAGCGTTATGTGATTCGGATTATATGAAAATCGAGATAAATATGCTAACGAAGATATAATCTAAAACCCATTTCATTAATCGGCCAAAGTCCGGAATTCGGTACTTAATAAAAATGAGCGACTACCCATCATTCTAGATGATACTACTATATACTGCGACATACATACTAGATACCCGCCCCGGCTTCGCACTTGTACTTTACAAAAAATATAACCTAGCCTATGTTGCTTAAAATACATTGACTACTTATTTTGATTTAAATCAAGACAAACAAATATTTCATCATCAGTCATCATTAAACATTAACAAGTTTGAACTAAAAACTGTATTTGTATGATCAGACGAATGTACTTTACAAAAAAAATATAACATAGACTATATTGCGTAAAATGCATGGACAACTTATTTTTTAATTAAATCAAGACAAACAAAATTATCATCATTCCTCATTAAACATTAACAAGTTTCAACTAAAAACTGTATTTGTATGATGAGACGAATGTACTTTACAAAAAAAAAATAACATAGACTATATTGCGTAAAACGCATCGACAACTTATTTTTTAATTAAATCAAGACAAACAAAATTATCATCATTCCTCATTAAACATTAACAAGTTTGAACTAAAAACTGTATTTGTATGAAATTTGTATATCAGAGCAAGTGGGGAGGTCGTCGTGATAGGACCCGTGTGGTTCTCCGCGCGGCTGCTGACGGCGGGACGGCCTGCCCGCACTTGGTAGCCGCAGAGCCTTGCTCGCCCCACGCATACTCCTGGCATGTGGCGCCCTGGGATGACTGTCAACCACTGGGTATGAAAAATAGTTCTTTACTACAGATAAATCTCTAATAACATGGATTCATATCAAAATGAAATTAATTTTTTCGGTTTAATACGCGAACTTTTTAATTTTTAAAACTATATGTTTTGATAACTTCGAAGCAACCGTGATCACGGATAGACGAAATATTAGTTTCGTTTGAATGAATACTCTCGAAAGTTTTAGATCTCAGTATGAATTCATATTATATATTTAATGATTCTTCTAAGTAAACCGTTTTAAATTACTAAATTTAATCAAAATCTTATTTTTTCTGTCTGGATACAAGGTTTTGTTCAAATTTATTTAGTTTTGATAAAATCAACATCCAAACATTATTTACATGCACTATAATGATTACTAATTTAATAGAAAGAACGTAATAGTTTGAAAAACGTCTCAAATTTGATTACTAACACAAATAAACTTTTTATTTAATAATATTTTATCAGCCAATATATATTTTATTCAAAATCCCTAGGTGGATCTCCGTGTGGGGAAGGAACAAAGAGAAGAGCTGTACGTTGTCTTCGTAGCGATGGTGTTTTCGTCAATGATTCATTCTGTCCGGTAAGAATTAGAAAAAAATATGTAGAATTAAAACAAAGATAACTAATCTCGTAGCTTGTACGCTACTTTCGTAGCATTCGTAGCTCGCATACTACGATCCTAGCTTCATGCTACGAAGCTACGTAATGCTTTATATTGAATTGAACTATATAGAATGCTACGGCGTCCGAGGCTCGTGAGTCATGGTGCTACGTACCATGTGGCGTGGACTGTGAGGTTGGTGAGTGGGGGTCTTGGGACGCCTCCGCCTGCTCGTGTGGGGACGCGGTCACGGCGCGACACATGAGACGGATACGGTACATTATATTTTGTATATTTAAACTTAAATGACTAATTTTATAATTACGTGACGTACTTCTTGTACATTTGAAATGAAAATTGATGAACAAATTACATTTAGATGATCATCTCAAGGTAGATACCTACTTTTGATTATTTAAGTGTTATTTTAAAACCCTTTCAGATTTATTGATTATGCGGCACTTCTGTTTATTAAAATCTAGTTTTTGAGTGTGAGTTCTTCCGAATTAATTTTGGCTTTAGTAATAAATGTATAGCTGACCGAACTCTATTAAAGGCCATAAATTAGCAGATATTTAAATTTATCTATCTTTATTAAGCTATCTTTTTCTTTTTCGATCGAACTGAATTTAATATATTACGTCCATCTGGTTCTAAGCTCCTCAGCCTACTAATTTCCAACCATATCCCAACAACAATTTGTGAGTTATAAATAGTGTAACTAACACAATTTTCTTTTATATATAAATAATATAATATATGTTGTTCTAGTCAACACTTAACAGCGGCTGTATGGCCTGGTCGCGCGTGTCCTCCGACTGAACAACGAGCTCCCTGCCCAAGAGAACCGTGCCTGAGACTCGTCGCTAGACCATTATTAGGATGTCATGTGCAAGTTAGTATCTACATATATAGTAATACTTCTACTCAGCAAAAACATAGGCTACTAAATTTAACAGTAGTCATGTGAAGTGGTTTCTTGATCTAAATATAATATCCTATTAAATCATTTTAAATTAATACAATATCGTGTTTAACATAAAACTAATATTGTGATAATATCTGAAACAAAATAGTAATACCTAAATTGGCAAAGCAACTGGAAGGTGATATATTGAATATTGCAGGTTCAAACCGAACTTGTCTACAAATCTTTCATAGTAAATTTTATATTTGAATTTTCATCCATTTTGTTCACAGCACAAAAAAATTTCTTATATTTTTAACGTATAAACGTTCCCAATATAATTAACGACTTTTTGGTGTGAATTTAAATCAATTTCGATCCAGACGTCATCAGGAGAGGAAGCTGATAACGCGTGTGGGTGGGGGGTCAAGTTATCTCATGCACGATGTGAACTGACGAGCATCAACGATGAGCCGTCCTCAGGAGCCTTCCTACAACCGTGGAGATGTGCCTCCGCGCTACCTGGAAGAATCGTTACACCGCCAATGCATCATCAGGTTAAAAACTTAACTTATAATTGCCTTGATATAGTTATATTTTAGTTTGTTAAGTGTAAGTGAAAAATGTAACCTATTTACAATGTAATCAGGTCTAAAACTTAACGACCATCGTCACAATGATTGTCTTGAAATAATTATATTTTAGTTTGTTATAAGATTTAAGCTTCTATCCAATAGTGATCTGAAAAAAGTCGTACTTATTTACAATGCACTCAATAATACTAACGCTTTGATTTACTAATCTCATTTGCCTCTGAGTATTAAAAGCGATCCAGTTTTAAATACTTCATTTCTATAACGTTCTCATTGTTGTTTTCAATACTCTTCTGAACTTTTTTATATGGATTTTAATTGTGCTAAGAATTCTATAAGTGATATTTATGTAGGAGGACGAGGAGTGTGAGGTCGAATGTGGATGTCAGGAATCTGAACTAGGGCAGCCGGGTCCGTGGGGCGCTTGGGGCGGCTGTCGTGGTGGGGCACGATCAAGGACACGTACTTTACTGGTACCACCACGTAGAGCCTGCAGAACATCCTCCAGGTAGACAAATTATTCTAGTAATTTAAATGTAACGAATCTTTTTTTTTTTGAATTTTACTTCGCGTTTTTATTTTTGATTACAAACAGATATCTCGTTCCCGTGATCACGGTTGCTGAAAAGTATACAAAACGTCGGGAGTATGTAGTTTGTGATCAAAAATAAAAACTCAAAGTAAAATCCGAAAATATTAGTTTAAATGAGTACTCGCGAAAATCTTAGATCTCATAACATTAAATTATTTAACTCTACTTTGAATTAAAGTTTTAAATATACAGGGTGACTGGTGAATTACTATCAATATTTAAGGAAAATACTCGGTACATGATTCTCATTCGAATTATGTAAAAAAAATAGGCACTTAATTTTTGTCAAAATTTCCGTATAAATAAATAAAGTGTTGACACGTTCCAAGTGTTCCAAGTGTGGACGCGTGCGGCGTATGTGTGAGTGTGTGTGTATACCTAATCTGTAGGGTGTTCACACGATGCGTAATTAATAACATAACTTTTGGTTAACTTTACTTAGAAGTTTATTAATATTTATGTTATATTAATTTTTATTTTGTCATATATGATCGTCAAATATCACGTCCTCAAGTATCGATAGTAATTCACCAGTCACCCTGTATATGAAATCATTGGTTTCGTAAAATTTGTTAACTACCGTCTTACCAGAAAAAAATCAAATATATCACCAAGTTCTTAACATAGAGACTTATAATTTTCTCTATCATTAATTAAAATAATATAAATCTTATTCCTAGATACATAACAATCGAGTGGTCCAACTGCACGGAGGAGGCTTCAGAAGTGTCGGCTGGTGATGGATCACGAGGCGCCTGGCTCTCAGAACACTACCACGACGGATATATAGGTTACTGAAATTAATATTGAAACTAGATTATTATTTATTTTATATTTAGCGTTTAACGCGTATTAGATAGCCCTTAAACCTACAAGTCGCAAGTCCCACTCACTGTTGAAGCTCCTCTCACTACAACGATGGACTCAACACGCGTAATGCGAATGTATTGAATGATTAAAGGTTTCGTCTCAAGTAATTTGACACCCTACATGACTCTATAAAATTTACACATAATATTCGATGATTTGAATGTACGTCACTGACATAAGAATTGTATTTGTAAGGATTAGAATCCCCGATTTCATCTATAGACAAGAAAGTAGAATATATTATTCTACTAATATTATAAAAGTAAAAAATATTGAGGATGATGGTTGTACATATGTGTAACCATATTTGTCGCTTTATAACGTAAAATCTAGGACACAGATTTTTATGAAACTTTACAGTAATGTAGCTTAGACTTCAGAAAAAGACATACGCTACAATTTGGTCAAATATTGCACATTACAAAGTATAACAGTTTTATTGTATGTGAAATCATACGACCCAGGCAATAAATATCACTGCCAGTCGATATATTTAATGTTTTAAAATATTATAACTTAATTTCTTTTCAAATATACGCTGACAAATTTGCAGTAAAAACTATTTCCAAATACATATTATATGTGTTATTTCGATACATAGTATAAAAAAGTTGTGGATAAATTTTTCCATTTCACTAAATTACGAGTATCATAATATGTTTACACAGTGGCGGCTGTACCTTAAGTGCACTCGTGCGCTGAACCACCAATTCAAAAGATTTAAAAATTACAAAATATTACTTCATGTTTATTTTGAAATTACCATTTTAATATTTATTTTTTAGCCATATAAAAACGTATAAAAAATTAAATTTCCTAATTATGGTCAAAAAGTTTGAGCGCTTTACTAAACTAATATCGTGCGCTTCGGCGAGCGCACCAGGACTCCTAATACATCTTGTATGAGATACGAATACGCCTGACGCGTGAAACAAAAGATAGTTCATAGAAATGTACCGAGTAATGAGTCGGTTCTGGAGCGCCGCACGAGCGGCCGAAGATTACCGAGAGCGCCCGATGTATGACGAAATGAGCCGGCCGTTTTTGACATTTCGTTACGTTTTGTTGCATTTTCTAATTTTAATATTTTAGTAAAGTGCACCACCAGTTCGATTACCCACCAGCCGCCACTGTGTTTACATATACATTATGTTTATTTTTCCAGAGGGAAGTACTTCAGTGTTGGCGGTAGTATGGACTGCAACCATAATACTCAGCTTGTACGGCGCGTTCATGCTCTACCGTGGACTTCTAAGGTATTTAAGAAAATATCAACAAATATATATTAGATATAAATTCCTTAACAGTAGCATTGAAAGTATTTGTATGAGACTTCACCTTTATATACAGTTTTGGATATATATTAACCAACTTCTTACCTAAACTCAAATTAGACTCAAAAACTAACTGACTGACTCAAGAAATATTTCAGATGCATCAGAAGCAGAAAAATGAAGAGCATCACTAAAGTGTAAGCAGCTGAAGAATTACATTCAGTTGTAAAGAGGGAAGTGTTTCAGAGTTATCTTGGATTAGACTTGGATTATGTTACATTCTCCAATTTGACATTCCATTGTTGTTTAGTTTCTGTTGTTCTGTTGTACTGTTGTTTGATGATTAAGTTTCGTTCCCACGTGTTTAGTGATGTGTGACATCATTTATGATAATGTTTCCGCTCATTTATCGTTCCTCCTTATGTAATTGACTCTGTAACCGTATCATATCATAGTGTTAACTATCGTATTCGGTGTTCTAGTACTTTAATACGTCAACATTACAGCCAGCAAACAGTCTGTCCGCAAGAGTGCTTCCATGTTTTTACGACGTATATGAAAATGCTAATTTAGACGATTTATATGTCGCCGTACATTTAGCCATTATATGTACGGGCTTTCGGTTTGACAATATTAAGAGCTGTAGCTACTATGGTGGCTTAGAAGTTGTCGTACTTAGCTTAGAAATGAGGGTAAGGTTGCGTTTATGTTAGAGGCGTGCGAGGATTAGCTGACTTTACAATTGAAGGTATACTTTATTCAGAAAGTATTGAATTTATTATTATTTTCAAAATAAAGTAGATCGTTTGTCTGGCTTTAGTACCTCGCATTTCTTTAATAAAAACAAAGCCTTAAGCGTTATTAGAATGATAAAACTTCGGACGTTAGACTGGTTTCCCGTTTAAAGGTATGCATAAAACTATTCTACTTATATTACGAAAGAGACTTGTGACAATTATTTTGATATGGTGTTTAAAATGCATTTGTTTTTCTTATTTAAAATGAAATTAAATTTTGATACTACATTTGCTATAGTTATAAACAGAGAATTATTTGCACCAATATTTATTCTTTTTAAGCCTTGGGATTTGTTCCTTTAGGAGATTTATTTATTTCGTTGTTATGTTATAAGTCGGTTTTGTTTCTAAGGAATAGAAGAACAGTCGGATATGAACGCAAGGCTAACAGATAGCGACCAAACAGACGTGACACATCATATCACATATCAATATATCTCTTCGTAGTTCATCTGCTATGGTTCTCTAGGCCATAGTTGATATTCTAACAATGCTTGAAAGTCATCTGAAACTCTTAGAGCTTTGGCGCACAAAACTATGTAATATTATTATAGATTTTAAGCGCTAACATAACCCATGATATTTGATTGTAATCATGTATAACACGTTTAGTAGATTTTGCATTTAAGCCATGTATCGTGTCGAGTATATACGTGAGTGTGTTCTTTCTACTTTCTTGTAGTATTTCTTTATATCTCTTCATAAACAATCACTTCTAGTTCAGTTTCTATACTATTTATAATTGATTGCTATTTTTCTTATTCATATTTACATCTACACCTTGTTCCTTCATGACAATATAGAATTAAATCTTTTATATTCTATAACTATATTGTAATTTTTAATTGTATCTGCTAATATCTGTACTTTTTATTTCGTTCTTGTATGTTTAACACAAGTTTGCGTCACACTACGGTTTCTAATTCAATACGGCGTTAATAGTATAGCGAGAAGATTAACGAATGAAAATTTGTTTACGCGTAGTAAGCAGTGTGATGGTAAACTTGTGGTAAGCGTACGTTTCTCTTCATCTGTACCTACGTTCTTAAGATGTATAACCGTAATATAATAATGTCAGTATATTATGATATTGATGTGAAACATGATAGTTAAGGAATCGTGTTAGACAATACCATATTTGATATTTAATAAAATTTGATTGTGTTTTACATATATGGGACTTTTATTTCAAAATACTGTCCTGCTAGTTATCATACCTGAATAAGAATACATACATACATAGATATACATGAGGACTCGTCGATTTTGGATTACTGAGTACAATAAGTACATAATTCAGTCGATTTGTTTCATAAACATTGGCCAGTGCTGAATAGGGTAGTCAGTGTCACTGAGAGTGACGATGGCTATTATGCTATGGACAGGTGTCAAACGAAGTGCACAAGCCCAATCTATTGGTTAATAATATATTTTCATTGTAAAGAAATGGAGTAAATAGATATTTGACAGTACAAGTGTGCTTTTGTTTATGAGTTCCAATCGTTACAACGCCCATGATGACAGCCAAGACTGCTATGAGGCAACCTCCTGACCATCCTACAAATATATATTTAAAATCATTGTTTTTTTTTGAAATTGCCAGTTAGTATATAAGAAACTAAGAATTACGTTTCCTTTAGTATTTTATTACGTCTTTTCAAAGATTTTAGAGTTACTGAATCATATGATAATTCAGTTAAACCCATTTTTAAGATTGCTTTAGATCTGTGTGATCTCAATTGATTTCTATATTCTGTTAAATTTTTCTCAGCATCTTCAAGATTCTCGATATTATTGAGAAGAACCTGAAAATAAGAAATCTATCTACAGTAGGTACATACAATAAGTTGATAATTCTGATCTCAGAATTAAGTTACCTGATGAATATAATTAATGAATTGAACCAGAGCATCTTTAAATTGATGGAATATTTCAGTTGTCTTTTTGTATCTGAAAACATATTTCGTCTTCATTAGAAAAAATACATATACCTAATATATTTATTTCAATCTTTATGAATGTTTGAAAGGACGCCCGAGGGCAATATACTATTGAGTTCTGCATATATTATAGTCCTTGCTCTTACGCTCCTCAGTATATAATATACGCCTGAGGTATATAAGTGAAAAATCTGACGAGATTAGCGAAAGTCAATTTAAGTGAATCTGCTATCAACCATGATTAATTTTCTAGATCAAACTTCTTCCTAAAATCAGACATGTTTATGTCCTCATATATCTCATGTGCGTCTAGTTAATCGTACACCCAAATCAAACCAGTCACGTAACTCAGGAGTTGAGGAATTAAAGCGAGGATTTTAACAAGAACTCAACAAGCAAAAATATTTAAAAGAAACAAATATTTTTCGGCTTACACTGCGCATATTTTGTTATTATGAAAACTACATACTCCCGACGTTATGGTAACTTTTCAGCATTCAAGATCAAGCGCAGACGAGATCTCGTCGAAAAATGGTAGTGTCATTTAAATGAACACTCGCGAAAGCCTTAAATCATATTAAGTAAAAACATTGTTTATATAACCTATGATCATGCATCGTGTCCGTGAAAGCATAATCTAGAGCTAGTCGCAGTTCGCGGGCAGCACGAGGCGCTGAGCAAGCGGCGAGCACGCGTCGCGCGCATCTCTCATCACAACGTGCTCGAGTAAGGCATGAGCACGCGTCACAACATGAAGACGTACGCTCTATGCCGCTTCTGACAACAAAAAACTTAGATATTAATAACCTTTTTTTATGTAAAAGTGGCAAACGAGTAGATGGCTTGCATGATGGGCAGTAGCTACGGTCTCACTTGGACATCCGCAACATCTCTGTTGCGGAGCGTTGCCAACCTTGGTTTTTTAGGAATAGGGAAGGGTGGGAATAAAGGAATGTCAGGAAAAGATGGGAATAGGGAAAGGGCAACCGGCTCTCTCATTGATCGGACGGGCTACTAGTCATAGTCATTAAGGGTATTTCACGCCGATTTTCTGTGAGAGAATAGTACTTCCCCGGCCAAGCCAGCCCGTATTCGAGCCATAGTAACTTAACCACAGCTAGGCTCTACCACCTTAAAATATCGATTAATTATGTATATATTTTAGTCTCTTACTTGCCCATCGAAGCTAGTTTCCAGGCTGGAAGCGCAACGTCTAAATGTCGTAGTGCTGCTTTACCGTATTCTGCCGCTGCTAGCAATCTTACGCTAATTGCGCCGAGCGAGTCGCGAAGAGCTTGTGCTCCCTCGTATTTATTATGCAAAGATTTTCCCACTTGATCTTCAGCTTGTACACATGCTTAAAAGTATATAATAATTTAACATTCTTGAAATACAAGAATTAGGTACTATGTATTATAAAGTTATGAAATTTATTTTGGAACACCAATATAAAACATTATTAGTAAAGTGAATATAAAAACTGATGAGAATTCTGAAGTATTATAGTTACTAATTGTAAAACAATTATATACAGATACGTGTGGTATATTGCTTCAAAAAAATGATTTCGTGTGTAATTTACAACCTAATAACTCCTGTAAACTTTCATATGACGAACGTAGTTTAGACAGTTCAATAAGAAGTTTATTTTTTTCTTGTTGAAGCTCCCTCTCACGTCTTCGCAACAATTCGAATTCGATTTTACGCATTTCCTTAAATGATATAAGTATTATTTACTTATTTTTTGTTGATTTTGATAAAATCACAAAATTATGTAATTATAATCATTTAATCACCTTTCTGTTGACATTGGCAATGAAATCTTCATTTTCAACTGCTATCATCGGACGTTTATAAATATCTAAAGTTACAAACAACTGGAAAATATTAAATATATTTTAATATACATATCGTCAGGAATAGTGCAAATCCGCGTTACTGCCATTGGATAATCCCGCGTAAGTATTTAGTGTTAAATAGCAGCTCAAAATTTCCTCTGATAATCTGCTTCCAATGTAGGTACGCGCAATTATCCTATGGTAGTTACGAGGATTTTCCACTATCCCCGACGATATATATTTGTATATAAAATTCCTGAAAAATAATGTCTCGGTTTCCACATAGTTATTAAGCAAACCTGGTGCATTGTCTTCGCATAACATTCACCATCTGATAACTGACTTATCCCTTCAAATTCTTTCAATTCCTAAAACGTTATGAAATTATAGAGTTCAAAATATATAGAGTGTCATTTCTATAAAATAATGACGTATAACTTAAATCGCTATTAATAATAAACAAGATAATAATATTCGTGTACTTGTCTAATGCTTTCAAGTTCTGCCGATACCACTCCAAGTCTCTGTGCTGAATACATCTTTTCACTTTTAGTAATATCATTATCTAATCTCACGATAGCGGCAAGTAAAGTCTCCTTTTCAGTTTCATTTTTCTCCTAAAATAGATATTTCAAAGGAATTAAAAAGCAAAACCATAAAAGTGTCATTAAAAATTACAAATTCTCAGTCTTAGTAATTGCAAGATCAACAAACATTTTAAATAATAATAAACGAATTAAATCAAATTAATATTTTTCGGATTATACTACGTGTATTTTATTATTTTTTAAACTACATAATTCCGACGTTTCTGTTACTTTTCATCAACCGTGATCACTGGCAGATGAAATAAAATACATCTAGTAGATATAATCTGAAAAATATTAGTTTCATTTAAATGAATACTCGCGAAAGTCTTAAATGTCTTTAGTTGAACAAATTATAGGTTTTCTTCAGCAAGTGAATACTCATGCAATTTAATGGTTTAACTAGTTAAATACTACCGGCAATATGGCCACACGCGGTGAGCTTCCGACACAACCCATTGCCACACTGAACACTGAAATGTTTACTACAAATTTATTTGGTTCTAGATATCAAGTAATGTGTCAAAGATGTATGGAATATAAAGAAAAGACGCTTACTGTAGCACCACACAATGGAACTCTACACGATATGGTACCGAGGTAATTTAAAGTCAAATAATAATTAATTTCATTGATTTATGTATTTACATGAAAACGGCACAAATGTGGAACATAAGTGGAACGTAACAATAAGAAGAAGTACATTTATAGCAAACTTTTTTCTCTATTCTCTTTAGGTACCTATATCAGTTAGTTAACATTATAAGTATTCAAAATATCCACAGATATCGCGAATTGAAAGCACAAAATGATTTTAAACAACTTTATATTCACTTTTATCGATCTTGCTAAGAATAAGACTTAATGAACAATATATTGTCTATCTTTTTCTGGTCTATATTTTAAGGAAAAACTCTGTAAACTTACTTGACAATCTTTTAAGCTAACTGTTTGTTGATTTTAAATATTATCCGAATTAATCTCGTTATGGCTTCATGACGACACGAACATCAGGACAATTATAGTAAAATTTACAATATAACATTGTGAAGCTAAAATACACCGAGTATGTAGTTAATTATTACATGAAAAACACATTTGTAATGAAATGTTATTAAAAAAGTTTGAATATATTAACTAGAATTATCCTTCATACAAACAGTTTATACAGTAGGTATTACTTACTACATAATAATTAGAAGAAAAAGGCTTACAGACTAACATATTTTATCATCGTTTAATTAGTGTCTAGAAAATTAATCGACGTAAAATTTATAAAATAATAAGATTTCATTAGAAATTGTTCAAAACACACTCCAGATTCTAAGAGTAGAAATTTAAATTACTTGATGCTCACTGAGTAATCTTTAACTATGACATATACAAGTAGATGCCTCCATATTGGCGCAGTTAACAGTTAATTTCAAACATATTACCACCATAACATTTATTGAAAAACAGAAAACAAAAACCTTCTTACAAAGTCAATACAAACATTTTACTCGCATGTTATGCAAGGGTCATCGTGATAGTTAAATTAAATAATGAGAGTATTATGGTGTAATCGCAGATCGCGCTTAGCTTCTAATTAAACTTGTTCATTCTACGCGGATCTGACTCAACAGTTCCATCTGAATAGACTTTTTAATTTTATACTTCTTTTTAGAATATTGTGTTGCTATTTCTTCACCCTTTGTACAATATAGTTAAACCAATTAATTGTAATTTAGTTTTAAAATTAAATGAAGTCTTTTAAATTTTGGTTTCATTGCATCCACCGACCATCGAAATCATAATTGGCGCAGTCGGTAGCATTTCCGAAGTTAGTTAGATTTAGAATTTTCTTTTAGAATCCAAGACCGTCTAACTGACGAAGCTTTCAAGCCTTATCGGAAGTCCATTACATTATGCAGAAGGGATTGCTGCTGGAGCTTGTCACACATCAACCTAGGAAGACTATAACTCCAATAAAGTAAGTACACCAGAATCACTCTTGTGTTATTTTTGTTCCTAGTAATACGATCCTTTATTCATTTAAAATTGCATCGAGCAAAGTGCGTAGTAGTTATAACTTAATGAGATATAATATATTTTCTAACATTAAAAAGATGAATTAACTTTTTCTTTTCATAGTATCCTTTTCTCATAAGAGTAAACTTTTCGTTCTCGTAAAATGAATAGATTATTAAGCATGTTAACATTTAATGAAAACTTTTTATCCTATATCTACTCGTGTCATATTGCCTATTCATCTACATCATTCAATTAATTAATTCTCATAAGTAACCACAATAGTTAATAGCATTCGGTATAATAGATGCAGATAGCCCGAAGTTTAAAAATAAAATCTTCTGTAATCAATCTGATAAATTAAAATCTTGGAAAAAAAGACTAACAATCTGGATCCATGGAACACTGTGGCAACATTTTACTTTGTGGAAAATGGTTGTTGATCTGCGGGCGGAGGTATTACTTAGCGCAACATGTTAAAAATTAAATAAACATCCCCGGGGCAACATCGTTGTATGGATAAAATATCATATAACGAGTGATGCCGCTGTTTCCGTGGAACGAACACCAAGCTGTGGGAACCAGAGTATTCCTGATACCACACAAGCTATGGAATCTCATTGTCATCCTAACATCGGGGCAATCATGTAGTCTTAGGTATAGGTTATAAGTTTTAATATGCAATTTTTATTGTAATATACATATAAGTAAATTTCGTAGTTTTCCTGGAACCTCCGGTTGCCACCCTACATAATTTGCATAGTCCCAGTACAAACTACTTACGTCTCATTTGACTTAACATAAGAAAGCGTGTCATTTAGCAATCAACATAATAAACTGAAACTCCTCTATAAAAATTACCTGAAGCAGAGCAAAACCAAGAACTGATAAATTTACGTAATTATCCTTAAAATATTCAATTCGTATGATATTTACCAGGTTAAAATTTTCAGAACATTAGTATTAAGATTACTACATCTCTCGGAATAGGTACTAAGGATTTGGAAAATACAAAATAGTCTTAGAAGGACTAGAATTTAAATTGACCTAAAAGTTACTTTTCATAAAACTTACTAATAAACAGAAATATAATGAAACCACGAATAATTAATAATTTAAAAACCAGTTAAAGTTTTTGTCAATCACTTGTTCTATAAATTGCCCAACAAAGCAACTTATTCTCTTGTTATATTAAGTAGCATTTTAAACTACAGTCGGAATTAAGAAAGAGAGGAGTTAAGAGTGTAAGTTCAGACTTCAGAGTAGCGTCGCATACGGTGAAATAAATTAGAATGTCAATTAAAATCTTTCAGTGTAACCTTTCATATTGACAGTTATTTGTATAAAAAGTTATAGGTGGAAGTAGGTATATATGTTGATTGAAAAAATAAAGGGTATTTAACAAGCTACCATCTTCCTAGATGTAAAAATATATTTGATCTGCCCTTTATGGTATCCGAGGTCCAGGAAAGCATGTGGATTGATATTATTGACAAAAAAGTTTTCTATCACGGTCAATACTCTCTTAACAAGTGTGTAAAACAAGGGATTAAAAACATCTGTATTAGAACTTATCATGGAAAGTATTCTGTATTAGATCTTAAAATGGAAGATTAATATGATCATTTTTTACTTTTAACAAAAAAAATCATGCTTTGTCAAAGTATGTCTCGTTAATCAATATTAAAAAATCTGTCAACATTATGCCAATGGAACTCTCGACAGCTGAACTATACAAAAAGGAGACCAATGTTTCTCTGTCTATCTCCTAATTTAAGACATTTTTCATTTTGGAATGGGAGACTATCACTGCAGAATTCGGCTTCAGGACTAGTTAAAATTCACAGGCTTTCATGAAAAACTTCATCCATAATACTAGTCCAGGATACATGGCTGTTTTTTGCACTTGATTACTAAAAGGCTAATTTTCCGTGAGTAGCTTCGTTTCATTGAGACGCCCAGCTTTTTTAACTTTTTTTCAACATGTTTTATCTCTGCTAGCTAAGTTTTGCAACCACAATCAAGAAATATCGCAAAGGAAAAAGTTAAAAGTTAAAAAAAAAACTACATACTCCCTAAGTTTCGGCTACTTTATAGCAACCGTGATCACGGGGAGTCGAGATCTCGTCTCGCCAAAAATAAAAAACGCATAGTAAATCCTCAAATATTAGTTAGGTACATTTAATTTCAAATGAATTGATTTATTAACAATAATATTTATGTATGGTTCAATAAAAATCAAACTATGAACATCAATACTAAAAAAATATTTTTGCTTAAACTTATCGTGTATAATGGTAGGAATCAAAATAATTATTATGCTTCTTAACGATGCGAAAATTTATTTACTATTTTAGAATATGTGCATACATTAACTTCTACAGTTTTAGACATGCATACATTTTATTTACTCAAAAACGTTAATTTTATTTCAATTAATATAGTTAAAATGTTAATCTTTTAATATTAAGAATACAAGTCAAAACTACGTATATAAGTAAACGTTCAACTCGAATACATACATATCTGGACGTGTTGTTCAAACGACATCATATATTTAATCTGTGTTATTTCCATCATATTGCCTATGGTGGTGTAACAATTTTGTTGTCAACGTTGACTTGTAGTCTTTCCTCCCCCTCCCCTTTGCCATTTCATCAAATCATCAGATTTTAGCTCATATCTGAGTTAACATATCGGCTTAGCAAACGCTTAGCCCATTTAATTTCGTACCACTTTCTTTTCTAAATTATTTTATCATTTACTTTTATTATTTATAATTTTTTTACACATCCAAGTGCCCTTTAAATTAACTACTGGTAAGTCTGAAAACACTTATAATATCTTAAAGTGCCACATGCTAATATCCCTCAATTAAATAACATTGCTATTGTCTTGTGTCGTTTCAGAGTGTTCACAATTTCGTCTTTGAGGCCTTTGGTCTCGGCCATTTGCCATAAAATCAAGAAAATAATTACGAAAGAATTGTATGAAATAATTATATTTTTACACTGTTTCACAATATTCATGGTGAAATAATATCATTTGCTGCAATGTCTCAGTGGAATAATTCTTACTCTTACAATAATCAGTACCACACACCTAATAATTGGAATGGAGACTATAACAACCAATATCAGGCATACTATCCAAACGCTCAATATAATGCGAACCAATACGTAAGCTTCGACGAATTTTTATCCCAAATGCACATTTCCAACCCTCAAACAAACCCATATAATACTCAATATCAAAACTATCCTAATAGTCAGTATACACAGTTACCTAATTATCAAAATGATTCACCCAACCAAAACTCTCAACCTGTGTATAATTATGAAAGTAGTTCAAGCAATTATAATTACAATAATGAAACATACCAGGGGAATACAGAAGAACAGGTTCAGCAGACATCAGTAGATCAACAATTACCTAGAGAAGTTGTGAAATCAAAACTCATGCCCACAGCCACTGAATTTGTCCCTAAGCAATCTAGCAGTAATAATAAAGAACAATATTCAAACAATACAAATAGAAATCCAAGTGAAAGTAACAATTCCAAGCCATCGGGTTCAACAAACTGGAGGGAAAGACCACAGAACTCAAAGAATTCTTTTAATTCAGAATCTAGCAACTTTTACCAAAAAAACGGTAGACCTCAAGAAGTAAATAACCGCCATAACAAATATGATTCAAAATACCGAAATCAAGAAAATCAAAGTACCAATGGTGAAAGTAGCGGCCAAAATTCTGCAATCACTGTGAATAAAGATCGTCAAAATGATGCTAACAATCGCAAGGGCAAGTCTAAAAGCAGACCTTTTGAAAACAACCAAAACTCAGAACCCAGTTTCCGCAATCATTATAATCAAGGCTACAACAACCAGTCAAAATCTAAAAACCGTACTTACAATGGTTGTAACCATGAATCTAACCACAACGAAGAAGTCAATGATATCAGTTCAGCAACAGAATTACCTGAAAATTCTAACAGCGATGAAGGGGGCCAATCAAAAAGTAATTCTAAGTTTAAAAGCAAAGACTCTGACCCAAGTCGGACTTTTTATAACAGTGGGATGCCAAAAGAAAGTCAGGATGTCAGAAATGGTAGAAATGAAGGGTCGGGAAGGAATCGTAGATGGGTCGGAACTCAAAGGTTAAAAGGTGCCGAAAGAGATAGTTATGAGGATGAACAATATGCAAAGTCTTATTTTCATGGCAAAGAAGAAAGAAATAGGGATAATATATCAAGTCCGGCCAAAGGAAAGAGTAAAAACTTGGCTAACCCGGGAGGTAATCATTTATACCCAAATTACTTTGGTAATATATGTATGTCTTTATTGCATTTGTTGTATTTTCTGACCTTTTTTGCAGGTAACATAGATATGACACAACGTGAGCGTTTAAGTGATCAACTCGACAGAGGCACTCTTGAATGTCTTGTATGTTGTGAGAGAGTTAAACAAACTGATCCAGTATGGTATTGCGGTAACTGTTATCATGTGTTGCACCTTCGCTGTATAAGGAAGTGGGCTATAAGTAGCATGATTGGTAAGTACACTAATTATTATCAACAAAAAATAAATTCTAAAAATATAATTTAAACAATTCTAACATATATTATTGACATAATGAAAAAGTTTAATCAAATTGTTTCTTTTCTGATAAATTATAAATTAATATTTAATATGTAATTGACATTATATCTTCTACAAATATTTAAGATGACCAAACAACCTTATATTCATTTTTGATCAACCACAGATAATAAACAACATTTATCTAAGTCTACCTACCATATTTACGCATGAAAAAATATGTAATATTCTCTGTTTCTAGAAACGAAATGGCGATGTCCAGCATGCCAAAATGTGAATCAAGACATACCAACTGAGTACAGATGTATGTGTGGGGCCGTCAGGAATCCCGAATACCAGAGGGGTTCGAGTGGGGCTCATACATGCGGCAAGTCCTGTAAGAGAATGAGACTTTGCCCTCATCCATGCACACTGTTGTGCCACCCTGGACCATGTCCCCCTTGCCAGGCTACTATTAGCAAGTGAGTATTACATTTATTATACAAAACAATAGGAAATATTTAATTTCATTTATGAACATTTGTATAAAGTACTGACAGTAAAAAAAGTACCATTATTTATTATAATATTCTTGATCATTGGTTTATGTTATTTTTATTTTCAATTATATGACGTTTATTTTTTTATTTAATTAAATAAAAACATATCTGTCTGTCTCTTTGCTAACAACTTGATCATATCAAGTTAGCTATATTTCTGTGTTTGAAAACAAAATAATGTTGCCCATTTTTTATGTATATGTAAGAAAGGTTTAAATCTGATACAAAATATTATCTATCTTTGTACTAAACCAATAAACCCAAAAGTAACTTATTTATAATATTAACATTAATTATTTATATGTCAAAATATATGTAATATGTGCAGGCAATGCGGCTGTGGGGCGGAGACGCGTTCAGTTCTGTGTAGTAGTAAATTACCGCAAGTCTGTGGAAGAGTTTGTAATAAAAAATTAGAATGTGGAGTTCATTCATGCACAAAACAGTGCCATGAAGAACAATGCGACCCCTGTGAGGAAATTGTCACGCAAGGTAAACATTATTTTGGTAAAAGCAACTTTTTTCTCATGATATAGTAAGATTTACTTTAACTTAACTTTTACTACGCGTCGAGTCTTCAAGATTTAAGCCATTAGAGTATAAAAATACCAATTTAAATCAAAAGAAAATTTGCGAAATAATAATTTTCAAAGTAGGAGCAAAGCTTTCTTCATGCAACTAAAGTATTAAGAGTTTATTATTCTTGAAACTATTGTAAAATCATATACTTCTTGTATTTCATAAGACTGATTGGATGACAAACTAATAAGTTAAAAGTAATACAAATCAGCTTACAAATTACTAGGAAACTATGTGACTATATATAGTAAAAACATACATATATGCAGTTATTTATAATGCAAGGCAATACATTATTAACTAGGATTAGTACAAAGGTCAAAACTTTTATAATACATCTATCAGAGTGTGTGATTCTTGAACATTTTTTTTTTTCATTCGACATTGTCTGGGGTTATAACAATTTTATTTTCTTATTTTATTCTAACTAAATAGAGATAGTTCCGTGGTTACGTCACTTCGCAGTTTCAGTACAAACTGAACCAGAAATTCTTCTTCAAAGAATCGCATGACTCGGGACAACGCCCTACAAAAAAAAGATTTAATCAATAGCGTTTATGCCTCCTTAAATATTAGGAAAACATTCAAACCTCATTACCTTTGATTGGTGTTGCTCTAATCAAGATTAATGATAATTTTATAGCAATCATCCCTTCTATCTCACATACTCTGCTAGTCTATTCTATTGTATTTCTACCCTCATATACATACCCTAATACTACATCTTTATATATATAATTCTTCTGTGAGTGTGTATGTCACTTAACTTCTCTCAAACGACTGGACCGATTTTGATGAAATTTTTTGTGTGTGTTCAAGGGGATCTGGGAATGGTTTAGATTCAAAGTTTTGTCCGCTGGACAATGTTTTTTTAATTAATTTTTAATTTATTAGTAGTTGTTGATACAAACGTTGTTTTGACATCTTACTAATATGTCAATCATTCTGTCGCACTTCAAAACACGGAGATTTATGGCTTTAATAGGTAAACTCCAAAAATATAAATAAAAAAACGTAACAGATATTTCTTGATTATAGGGCGACACGAAGTTCGCCGGATCTTCTAGTATTACTGTATATTGATGGTATGTTTCCATTTTCCAGTGTGCCACTGCCCCGCAGCCAAGTCCCGCTCCGTAGCGTGCACGTCACACACGGACCGCGCCAACTGGTCGTGCGGCGAGCAGTGCGGGCGCGTGTTGTCGTGCGGGGCGCACGTGTGTCGCGCGACCTGCCACGCCCCGCCCTGCCCCGCGTGTCCGCTCACACCGGACAACGTACCGGCCTGTCCCTGTGGCAAGACTAGGTAGAACTTACATTATATTAATACTAGCTGCGCCCCGCGGTGTTACCCGCCGATTTCCGGGATGTAAAGTAGCCTATGTGTTATTCCTGGACGTCAGTTTCCTGTATACAAAATTTTATCAAAATCGGTTCAGCCGTTTGAGCGTGAAGAAGTAACAAACATACACAAACACTCACAAACTTTCGCAATTATAATGCATATTATAGTAGGATTATAAATACAAGACTTTCCATCTCATATTTGTTACACTTCCATGCGAAAACTATTGAACAGATCTTGATGAAATTTTTCAATAATGTAGTCGAGTATTTAGAATGAAATGTAAAATATAATTCATCTTAAATTACGAAGATAATGTGTTTAGAATCATTATAATAACGTTGTATTTTGTGTGAAGTCCAGAATATTGACAATGGATGGCGTTGACGTTTAATTACCATATAAATATTTGATAAACACACATTATTTTCTCTCTGAATCCAATTTTAAAATCTACGCAGACGAAGACACGAAGTCAGCTAGTTATATAACGATATAAGAAATGTTATTTAAATATTATATTTAAAAAACAATACCCAAAATGTCGTTTGTATGTATATTAAAAAAATATTTATTAAATGTATTTATATTGAATATAAGTATACTCATTGTAACCCCATCTTATTTCAGGATCAATAAGGATCAACGCAAGACTTGCACAGATCCCATACCTCTCTGTGGTAACATATGTGCTAAACCTCTACCGTGCGGACCCGCGGGAGACAAGCATATCTGTAAAGAAAGCTGCCACGAAGGTTTGGAAATTAGTCAATATGTTCAATATATAACTAATAGTGGAAGTCTCTATTTAATATTGCATTTTGTCTGCTGAAATTTAACTTACTGATTTATAAATAAAAACCTCTCCTAAATTCCATATAATATAAATTATCTTATCAAATTTTGATGGGTCCTAATAAGGGCCAATATAGCAAAAGCATCAGTTGTCGCATGTACAAGATACATTGAAATCAAACTTAAAACGCCTCTACTGAAAAATTTACATTTTGCACATTGGCCCTTATACATAAGAGTCATCAATTTACATATTAAATAAATAATTGTATAACAAAAACATCACTATGCGTTTATTATAATTTAAATATATGATTAATATCATCGTGTTTATAGGTGGTTGCCGCATCTGTCCCGACACAACGCTGCTGCAGTGCCGCTGCGGTCACTCCAGCCAAGAGGTTCCGTGTGCTGATCTGCCGCAGATGATCAACAACGTGTTGTGTCAGAGGAAATGTAACAAGGTACATTAATTTTTATTTACATCCCTTATAAATGCGAAAGTAACTCTGTCTGTCTGTCTGTTACGCTTTCACGCCTAAACCACTGAACTGATTTTAATGAAATTTGGTACAGAGATAGAGTTGACCTTGAGAAAGAACAGGATAGTTTTTATCCCAGACTTTTGAAAGGTTCTCTTGGAAACACGATATAACCGAACTCCACGCGGGCGGAAAGCGAGTTCAGAATACATCACATTGTTTTGAGTTAAAAAAAATCTGTTCACAATAAGAAACTTTACTAATATTATTAATATAAAATCTGTGAATATTTTCATACATATTCACAGATTTTCATATTAATAATGACGTCTGTCGGTTGGTAACCGCACGCATATTAGCATGTATGTTTTTTGATAACATCAATCCCGAAGGCAAAGCAGACGAAGTCCTTTAGAAAAACTAGTACTGTATAAGTTTGTCTATATATATTTAATATTAAATGTGTCCTTACAGAAGCTGTCTTGCGGCCGTCACCGTTGCCACACCCGGTGCTGCGACTCATCCTCTCACCGCTGCGCCGTGGTCTGCGGCCGGTCACTCTCGTGTCAGCTGCACAGGTGTGAGGAGTTCTGTCACACCGGACACTGCGCGCCCTGTCCGAGAGTCAGTGAGTACACACACACATACAAACACGTACTTTATATACATGTATATAGTGTGTGTGAGCAGAATACAATTTGATAATAATATACAATCTTGTTGGTTATAATGATTAAATTACAAGCAACATAATCCTTAGAGTAGAGGGTAGGTTAGGGGACTTTTTTAAGATAATTTTTTGTACTGTATAATTTTTTATTCTTTGGTGTACAATAAAGAATACTTATTATTATTATTATTATATTAATTATCTTTATATAAATAAAAATCTATTTTGGCATGATAGCTTCATTGGCAAAGAAACGAAAGATATTCTAAAATTTGCGAGGTCAAATCCCGGTCGTGATATAATTCCAATAATAAGTATGCTTTAATGTTAAAGTATTGATGAATCAACTTGATAATCATGAAAGGTTTCGACGAGCTCCGTTGTGAGTGTGGCGCGGAGGTGTTGTTGCCGCCGGTCCGCTGCGGCACCAAGCCCCCCGCCTGCAGCGCCCCCTGCCGCAGGAGCCGACCCTGCGGTCACCCGCCACATCACTCCTGCCACTCCGGGGATTGCCCGCCATGCGTCGTGCTCACTACTAAGATGTGTTACGGGAAACATGAAGTGAGTCATTGTTAATCAAGTGATGTCATTTGATTTTATACTGTATAGTAACGGGAATTAATTTAATAATAATTAATAGGAACGGAAAACAATACCGTGTTCTCAAGAAGAATTCTCCTGCGGCCTGCCGTGCGGGAAACCTCTTCCTTGCGGTAAACACACTTGTATCAAAATATGTCACAAGGGATCTTGTGATATAAGCACGTGAGTTAAATCAATTATACATACTTTAATTAGATTGAACGACAAATATAATTCGTTTTATTTAGAACGCACACCCAAAACTAGTATAATGTGGAACTAGAATCATTGGAATGCTTGCTTTCTATAACAAATTTTTAGTTTGTATCAATACTTTATCAACAAACACACCAACATATTAATTTATTAGACTATGTTTTTCTAAATTCCTAAATTAATATAATTGTATGGGTTCACCCATATATTAACATAATTTCATTGTATGTACACATTCATAAGTAAATATGTATAAATGTAAGCATTGTCATAATTTAGTCAGTATCAATGAAGCGTTCAAATAAACAGGTCATTTTCATTACCAAAACGCGATACTCACAAACTAGCTGGTCTCCAGAAACGATCAAATCTAAATGGTGTGTGGTATCAAACCCATACAATAATCAATCTAATAGTATCCCTCAATATATACAGCTGTACTCAGCCGTGTACATCCAAACGTCCAAGTTGTGGTCACCCGTGTGCCGCTAAGTGTCACTCTAGCGGCGGGGGCTCCTGTCCCAGTACGGCGCCCTGTCGACGACCTGTCCGAGCGACCTGCCAGTGTGGGAGAAAACAAACGGAGCGGGCCTGCTGTGATAACGCCAGGGACTATGCCAAGTTAGTATGACAGTACTATTACCACAGGTGTCAAACTACATATGGGTAGTTTCCAGTTTCTCGGTTATGAATCTTTGCTCATGATAGTTTAATGTAGAATTTTATTATACTTTATATTACCCTTGAACAAAGTGGTGTTAACGCCTTGGGGAGCTGTGGCGGTAAACTCAAGACAAAAAATTGGGGATGTTGTGTAAAAGCTTGTTGGGTGATTTGGAATTTCATTTAGCTAGGATAAGTTATAGTCATCTTGAGTAGGTAAAAATGGGGGGCTAATAATTTATCTATTCTCAATGTGGACAGTAGATAATATAAGTTTAGGAACCTCTATCTATATATATATACATACTTCTATGAGTTCTTTATGATCCAAATAAATAGGCAAAATCATTCTGAACATAAAATTTGATTTTAATGGCGATATATTTCTAATCATTGCTTATTTTATAGGATGATGAGTACTCTAGCGGCAACGAAAATGCAAGAAGGTGGCACTGTGGATATATCAGAAGTTCAACGACCTGCATCAATGCTTAAAACGTAATATAATCTATTAAATTATATAATATATTACATATTATGCGACGATGTTTGAAGAAGTATGGATGTTTGTTAATCTTTTATTTAAAAAATACTTAACAGATCTTGATGAAACTTTACAAGTCATTTAGCTTCGACATCAGAATATGATTTATCCAGGAATTCTACTTACTTCCCACGGAATCACGAAATAATAAATCTATTATGTATAAAACTCTAACGCTGCCTATTGATTACCATATCTATTCTTTTGACACATTTACATTTCTCTTCGATCCCAGTTCCGAAATTAACGAAAATGAAGTTGCAGCAAAAAAACATTATTAAATATAAATAAGATGAAAACAAAGTAATATAATTCCAGATTGGAGTGTGATGAGGAATGCTTCGTAGAGGCACGGAGCCGTCGCCTCGCTCTGGCGCTTCAGCTGCGTAATCCTGATGTATCAGCCAAGCTCGCTCCACGATACAGTGATCATCTACGAACAACGGCCGCTAGAGAACCGAGCTTCGCACAACAAATACATGACAAGCTGACCGAACTTGTCCAACTAGCTAAAAAGGTAATATGACGTATAACTATATGTAGTATTAACTATTAGAAGTCTATATAGAAACCTTAATATATACTTTTTGTTAGATATACTAGAATAGTTGAGCATTTATGGAAAAAGTTTTTAGAAATCAATCCAGACCGGTCAAGCTTTAATCCATTACTTAATTAATCTGTTTAGTCGATAAACAAATTATGGGCAGATTGATGATAATTATTAAAACTATCCATTATATATCCCTGATCCTAATTAAGGGAATATTTTTCTTTACTTTAAGTGTTAAATTCTTATTTATTTATTTCCAGTCCAAGCAGAAGACGAGAGCTCATTCATTCCCGTCCATGAACCGCCAGAAGCGCCAGTTCATTCACGAGCTGTGCGAACATTTCGGATGCGAGAGTGTTGCGTATGACGCTGAACCTAACAGAAACGTCGTTGCTACAGCCGACAAGGAAAAGGTACTGAATAATATAATATTTATGACATATACAAGATTCGAGGCATTTAGTATATCTTACTTTCACTCTTACATCTAAAAGAAATTTGTATATTATTTTACTAATCAACCATCCAACAATATATCATCTGTAATTTGTAAAAAAAAAATACCCCCTATAAAAATATACAAAATTAAGTTTTTCACCAGTCATAAATTATATTTTTGTTTGATATATTGACTTCACTATGACCGAATCAGTCTCAATGAATGGCTATTATAATTTATGAATTTTGTAGCTTAATAACACTGTAATTATAGTATAAAATCGTTTATATCATTATTAAATAAAAACATAACTTAATTTTTTCCTTATAAATAACTGTATGAGTAGAATATAATGTTAATTTTGAATGATCCACAGTCTTGGCTGCCCGCTATGAGTGTCCTAGAGGTGTTATCTCGCGAGGCTGGTAAGAGACGTGTTCCGGGGCCGGTACTGCGAGCGCCCGCCGCCCCCCTACCACACACTAAGGAACTACCTTCCACTACCACAAAGTACGTTATATGTACACAAAACGACTATTATATATTAGTACACAAGAATTTTATTTATATTCATTGATACACTTGTACACAAGAATTTTATTTAAATTCATTGATGCTTTCTATGGTTATATATAATATTTTAGCGACAATTTATCTAAAATATTGATTATAAGTTTGTTGAATTATTTTAATGGTTGTTGTGAAAGTAATGATAATTTCACAAAGTACATTTGTAATAATAAAATTCGTAAAGTAAATTCTTTATTATACAAATAAAGTGTTGAAGTTTTAATTACTATACTATATTATATATCTAGGTCTTCATCGAGTGGCTGGGCAACACTCACATCAACTAACGCATGGGCTGCCCGCAGTCAACCCAAGAAAGAAGAAACCAAAATCGACTATTTCGATAACCCTCCAGAGTAATACTAGATAGAACGATACATTGTATTGTAGTTAGTCAATATATAACCCAATTTGTATAATGTTTTAATATATACAATTACATATATAGAATAAAAACAATATAAAAACGTTCTGCTATCACAAGACTTATATGAATGCCTACAGGACAGTAAAAATTTATTAGAGGAAATTGATGGTCTTAATTATATACATATATTATCACCTTAAAAAACAAAGTATCTTTGACCATATTAACTGTTATGTACCACTCTGTTTTTCCAAAATGATCTTTATTGCAATAAAAATAGAATCCAATTTCGTTAAAGTCTCTTATAAATATATAGTTCTATCAATTGACCCAGTGACTGCAATAGGTACTGGAATATTAACAATATTATATTTTGGTGTATTTATTTATATTATTTGTTATTAAATTAGATTTCTGGGGTTATGTTTCAATATATTAAATTGTGGGATGTTAAGAATTTGTCCTCTCATTTATTCTCCTATGCTTTGATAGACAGACAAAATATTATACTATTTAATTTAAAACAATTATTGGCGTTTATATCTTTTTGCATAATTTTATCGTAAAAGGTTTTTCATTTTCTTATTTAATTTTTTTTTATTGTAAAATGTTGAGTTTAAATTATTGTGATTTTAATACATCACGAATTCTTGTCATGTCGCCTTTGTGTTAATAACATAAATAGTAAATGGAACTTGTGTTACCTCAATACTGTCCCTCTCTTATAGTATTTGGATGTTTTGTAATATTTTATAAATATTGTATTTTTAAAGAATTCATGTGTTCAGCTCAAACTAGCTAATATAGAATTCTTATAATATTGTTATAAGACATAATAAATTAGATCTAGACAAATCAACAGCGTTTTATTTTATTTTGTCATCTAAACATAATGACTGGATTATTAATTCAAATTTCATTTGTCGAGTGAGTTTTGTAAATCATAAGTTGAAATATATGTATAAATAGGCCAGTGCAGATGCCTCTAAAAATGATGAAAAGTGAAAATAAATTATAGTAGAATAAAACCCATTCGAAAAGAAGGGGAATATAATAAAAATTAAGGGAAAAATAATTTACGGGCGATCTGAGGTCGGAAAGGGTTCGGGCGTGGGTATTTAAGAGTAAAAAATGGGTTTTCTCGATTTCCGGAAAAACTAAGAGTCCTAATGAAAAATTTTATATGGCAAAATGGTAGGTAATAAAAAGATCTAAAACTTTTGTCTTTACGCTTTTTTCACATAACCTAAAAATTTATGTGATAAATTCGAAAAACCAAGTTTTATGTTTTTTATTTTTATCTGTTACAAAAAACAATTTTTTGTCACGTAATTTGGTGAAAACTTTTCTTTTCATGTTACAAATGCACTGTAATTTATTTGATTAAAAATATTTATTTTTTCAGCTTATTTTGAATAAATACCTAAAAATCAGCCTCATTTTCAATCAAAAAATCACCCGTCAAAATATCAGCGTTTTTCAAAAATTTGGTATGTTTTCTGTTCGTTGAAATCTCTATTTTCCATTGGTGAAGAAATAAATATAAGTTTCTTACTTACAGTACCATTTTTGGATAAAATAATCATGTTCTCCAGATAGTCCCTCTTTTAGGTAATTTACAGAAAATTGACATTAAGCTGCTAAAACTATTAAAAATTAATTGAAAGAGCATTTTCCAAACGATATCGAGTGTCATTTCATTATAAGGGACATGATTATTTTATACAAAAATGGTATGTACTGGAAGTAAGAAATTTATATTTTTTCTTCACCATCGGAAAATAAAGATTTCAACAAATTGAAAACATACCAAATTTTTGAAAGTAGCTGATATTTTGAGGGTGTTTTTCCGGTATTTATTCAAAATAAGCTGAAAAAATAAATATTTCTAATCAAATAAATAACAGTGCATTTGTAACATCAAAAGGAAAGTTTTTACCAAATTTTTTGACAAAAAATTATTTTTTATCTATACTAATATTATAAAGCTGAAGAGTTTGTTTGTTTGTTTGTTGGTTTGAAAGCGCTAATCTCCGAAACTACTGATTCGAATTGAATAATTCTTTTTGTGTTGGATAGTCCAGTTATCGAGGAAGGCTGTAGGCTATATAACATCACGCTACGACCAATAGGAGCAAAGATATAGTGGTAAATGTGTAAAAAACAGGAGAATTTATTTCATCTTTGAAGTCTTCTGTTGCGTGCGCCGTGAAAACGGTTCAAGATACACAAAAAATATGTGTTAAAGAATAATAGCTCTTTTAATGATCTAAAAAACAGTCCGCGACAGTATATGTCTATCTTTTAAGATCAACTCATAAAAACCGTTTTTATGGTACCTAATTTGGTCGAAATAATTTGTTTAAGTTGTATCAACATAATAATATTAATGATTATTCAAATAAACAAATAAATATGTTGTTGGTTAAGAGTACTTCATTGTGAATAAAAAAAATCATAGGTTTTATCCTGAAAATTCTATGAGAACTCGACCATTCCGAAAACCCCGCAAGAACGGGAACTATGTGGGAAGAACAGAAAATCTGCCGGAAGTCACTATTTCATGCGGACGAAGTCGCGGCAAAAGCTAGTAAGAGATAAAAATAAAAAACCAAAAACTTGGTTTTTCGAATTTATCACACAAATTTTCAGGTTATGTGAAAAAACTGTTAGTACAAAAGTTTTAGATCTTTTTAATACCTACAACTTTGCCATATAACATTTTTCCGTAGGACTTTTAGTTTTGCCGAAAATCGAGAAAACCCATATTTTACCCTTAAATACCCATCCCCATACCCTTCCCGACCTCAGATCGCCCGTAAATTATTTTTCCTTTAATTTTTATAATATTCCCCTCCTTTTGTAATGAGTTTCATTCTACTATAATTTAATCATGTTTTAAAAGCTATCGGCACTGGTCTAAAACTGCCACCCAAGTATAATATTGACTAATTTCCAAAACTTCCTTATTTATTCGGTAATGTCATATGATGTAGTATTATGCAACTGCAATTCTTATCTCTATATAAAGTTACTACGTTACAACTATATTAAACGCAAATTTAATAATTAAGAATATACGTATATATGTCGCACATTAATGAAATAATAACATACAATATTGTTAACTGGATTGTCTTGGTATAAAATGTTACTATTGTTGGAAGTTATAAAAAAATGCCAAAGATAAATCGATCAGTATAAAACTTTATTATACATATATATAAATAAAAATTATCAAAGAAATAAAAAAATATCAAAAGTAATGTTTCGAGGATGTATCGTCCACATCTTCCAATAAAATTTCCATGTCTCTTGCAACCTGTTGTATACGATCCACGATAATTTCCAAGTCATGACAATAACATAGTCTCTTGTAGGAATCTGTGTTTAATCTATAACTGCCGCCAATTTTTGTTTCGTGTACGTCAAAACTCTGCCACGGCTCACTAGCTCCACGACATTTGCGTTCATTAATCGTGTTACTGAATGAACGTTTCGAATGACTTTTATATTCTGAATTGTATTTTTTGTTATAATTCCTTTTCAAACTTGGACCATCGGAGCAATACTGGAAAATTGATATGTTTATAATATTTATTTAAGGAATATTTGAATTATTTTCTTCATATACCAACCCTGCAGTTCTTATGAGTCTTGAGAGACTTTTGTTTAGTTTTTTTATTTTCATTATAGCATTTTAAGGCTTTCGTCGGCAAGGTCGGATGGAAAGTGTTGCAGTCACTGCTAGCGAACTTTATCGGAGAGACGTAAGACTGGAAATAATTACCTAAAATTAAGTTATTTCAATTAAAGGTGCAAAAAAAGTTTGACCAGCTTGCTAAAAAATAATGTTTTTGTTTAAATGGACATGTTGGAGAAATGTAATTAAATTGGAATATATTTGCAAGCTGTTTCATGTCTTCTGCAACCTACTTAGATCAATTCGTTATACATAATTCCTAATAAGAACACGGACTTCTTGGGTTTATTGTTATATTAATTTGTCTTATAGATACATATATCACTTCCATTATACAAACATACCGCAAGTGTACCATACTAACACATTTTGTCAACGCTTCTACGAAGAAAATCGCACGCAAGAACAGCCGTCACTAATTGAAAGCTGAAATGGCAGTAGCAGTTACCTATAACAATACATAAACATTCAATGAAAGATATTTCTCTATAAAAATTATTAATGTTGACAAAGATACCCAGCGTACAACCTGAAAATGCAAAAAAAATGTGACAATTTTTTTTGACATTACATAATTTAAACGTAAAATTATCTCGTTTTGCCATCAGTAGTAGGTATCATGTATAAAAAGCAACATTCTTAAGATTTTAGGTAACAGTAATAAAAACCTATTACCGTGATTTGTTTGCGACGTGTTGTAAGCAAACAGTACCAATTTAGACCAAATCGACAATAAAGATTCTATGCTATTTTTCGACTTCTCTTTTACATTTTTATTTACGTCTTTAAAATCCGCAACTTCGCTATTTCCTCGAGACAAAAGATCTTCGTCGTTTAACTTCGTGAATTTTTCCAAACATTCTACATTTTCTTTCACAGTTTCCAGTTGCAGGTTAATATTTTGAGCGATATTCTTTTTAACGATTTCTAATTCCTTTTTAACATCTTGAGGGTAATTGGTTGTAAGGTTGTCCACCACACTCAACACGCTGTCGGAGCAACTTAAGTCTTCTTTATTTACATTATCATCATATTTGCTAGTTTTCGAACCGTCGCAGCTACAGATATCTTTTATTTCACCATCTTCGTGTAGTTCACAGACACTGTCGAACAGATTGTCATCGCTCACACTAATATTACTTCGTATATTATCTTTATTTGTTCTAAATTCGCTCCGACATAGTTCGTTGCTATCACACAATCTCCTGCGTGCACGTCTCTCCTTTAGTTCTTGACGCAGTAGATTATTCTGATAGGATTTGCTTTTTAGCAAACATGCGGCATCTATTTGATTCCTTTCTAATGACTTATACTGTTCGTATAAATACCATGAACGTACTCTGTTACACTTTTTGCTTATTGAATCCTTTTCTGTAAAGTATTAAACAAAATAATTAATAAAAAATGCAATCGTACACCATATATTCGAATGGTAATAGTTAGACGAAATACATACCATGAGGATCTAAAAAATCCATGTAAATTTTAACAACAGTGTACCAAAATAATTTTATTACTTGATTATTTTATATTCAAAATCTTCGTAAATTGTTTTTGAGGTGTCAAAATCATTTATTTCCTGGCAGTTTCATAAGATTCTTGTTTATTGTGAATTATTTTAAATCTAGAATATTACATTCACGTCATTTTTCTTGACTTGTTATTAGAAAGAATAGACATATTTTATCTGTCCTCTTTTAAAGTAACCTATTTAGTAGAGATTATTTGGTATAGAAAATTAACTTAAAATACTGTTCTATATGTATCACTACAAGTGCAGATTCATAGGTTAATTAGCTGTTTTTACTATTTTTTGAGGATATAAATCCTCAACTTTAGATCCTTTTGAATGGAAGGACGAAGAAAAAACCAAAAAACTAATTTAATCTGCTTTTATTGTTGTTTATTTTACAGTGAGTCTTAAAATTTTAACTTTTCGTACGGTCGATGTAAACTTATACAGTACATATGATAGTTAGCTTTTTCTTTATCAGCTATCTTCTATGTGTACGTGTTTATATCATCTGCACAAACATTTCCCAAAAAACTGTATTTTGTATGGCCTTTTCGATCTAAATTCTGCCTTTTCTGCCTCTTGCCTTTTGTATACAATCTCTGTTTGACTGGTCACAGTAAAGACATGTAATTTATCAGTCGAAATTATAACAAAAAGAAAATAAAAATAAAAATATTTTATTACTATTATACAGTTGTGAAAAACTAGTAAGTACATCCCTTTTGGAGCATTCAGTGTATATCACCGCAATTGGAACAGTAAGACAATACTATAGCGTTCTTAGAATAACAAATCTTGATAAAATTATATTTTAACGATTCTAAGTGTCAATAGAAGAATATGGCGCCGCCAGCAGGCTGTCTGCTGTATCCAGGATTCGTTTGAGACGAATGCACGCCTGAGTTCATTAACTTGACGCTAAACGGTGACTTGCGTTCCGTTATACCTCCGCGTTTCATCGGATGGCCCTATGAAATAAAAATTTTATATGATATTTCAGAATTATTAACAAAAAAGATGTACTTATATCCGTTCGAGTTTTGCTACTTAAGATTAAGACAAAGATAAAATATTATATGATGTAACAAAAAAATAAAAAGATAATTTTAATAGTGACTACGTTCAACATTAAATACTTTAACAGTTGGTTGGGTGTTTTACCATTGGTACGCGAGACGGAGGCCGTTTATCATTGGTGTTTCTTAACCGTCGCCATGTTTCACAACCAATAGTTTCCGGTTGCAAATATAAATCCTCTTTGTCCGCAAAGCGTTCCGTTGAATGATTGTAGGTAGATGTCAAGATAACATCCAAGTTGTCATCAGGCAAACTGTTATACAGACGTAATTAAATTTAGATAAAAATATTTCCTTCCTACAGACTAATTTTGTTCCTTAAAGCTTGTAAAGAATTGTATAACATCTATTTTTGTTTGTTTTTATGGAAAAGCATGTTAAACATTAATTATAATCCTTCCCGGTGACGCTGTCAAAGCCAATAGAGCTTACAACAGTCAAATCAAAAGAGAACAATTGTTAGTCATGTTTGTCTGTATGAAATAAATATTGCTCTACAAACCAACATTGATAATATAAACTAACAAAAATGGGTGATAAAAACTCAATTTCCGAACACTTGCTAATGTATGATGAGAAAATAATCTTGAGCCTGTGGAAACACCATGTTTTTCAGTAGTAGAAAGGACTATGTCCTTTTTTAATTCTCCTTCCTTCCTTAAGTCCGGCAACAATTTCTTATTTCTCACTTGTTTTATTTCTGCCATTTTAATTTTGTTAACGTAGGATAACGCGATTGATTTAGATAAAAAATAAGAATAATTTTATTTTGTGACTGCCGATTCTGTCATAAAATTTAAGTAACCATAGCAACAATGAATCCTCGAAGTAATACTGTAACTGAAAAAGTTATCGTTCTTTTATCATTATAAGTACAAAATAGTCTAAACTCTGTTTTTTATTATAAATGCCTGAATTGTAAAAAAATCCTAAATATGGTTACAATTCATATTTAAATACGTATGTACTAAAACTTACTTTTTCTAAAAGTTTCTACTCCTAATTTTTTATACAGATAATACTTTATTAACTGTAAATGTTATTTTAGTGCTATGCTTTTATTGAATCGCATTTCTGCTTTATGTTCAAAAATTTATACAATTATATTTTATTTAATGGAGAAAAATATATATTTATAAATTATATTATTAATTTTTATATTATCAATACTAATGACTGTAGTTCCTCGACATTCCTCGTACACTCATATAATTGTATAGTCTGTGCAGTTAGCTTGCTTTCGAACGGCTTGCATTCCAGTTTTTATCTTTATGTGATCGTTCACTCGGTGATATAGACGCTTCTAGTTACGAGTTCTTTGTCGAATCCGCCATTTTGTTTTGTAACTTATAGTTTGGTGTGGAGGTTAAAGAATTGTACGTTTATTTAGTGTTATCAAGCGAAAAAAGACAGCAAAATGAGTTACGGAAGACCACCGCCGCGAATAGACGGCATGGTTTCACTTAAAGTGGACAATCTAACATATAGAACTACACCAGATGATTTACGTCGCGTTTTCGAAAGGTGTGGTGATGTCGGCGATATTTATATTCCAAGAGACAGATATACACGCGAAAGCAGAGGGTTTGCTTTTGTCAGGTTTGTAATTTTTTGTTATTTTCGCTTTGTGAATAACTTTTTAGTCAACTAGTTTTAATTTGTGTCGTGGTATTTTTAGGTTCTTCGAAAGGCGCGATGCAGAAGAAGCACTCGATTCATTAGACGGAAGAATGCTAGATGGCAGAGAATTGCGTGTTCAAATGGCCAGATATGGTAGACCATCATCACCATACAGAAGCCGCTACGACCGTCGTCGGAGGTAATTTTATTAGATTAGATATTTAAGAAACACGCCGAGTTTAGTCGTAAGCTAATGAAGATTCTTCCAGATACGGCTGTCGCAGTATATGCTTCACAGTTGTGAGATGTTTGTACAGTATTTACATGTGTGTGTGATGGTGTTTCTTTTAGCCACTCGCGTTCACGGTCTCGTTCACGTCGTCGCTCCAGGTCCCGGTCCCGCCGCCGCTCGTACTCCCGCAGCCGGTCCCGCTCGCGCTCCCGGTCCCGCAGCCGTTCGGACTCCAAGAGCTCCCGCGGAAAGTCCCGCAGTCGCAGCCGCAGCCGCTCTCGCTCAAGACATTGAAGTGTGCTGAGTAAGATACCCGTTTTTTACACATTTACCACTATATCTTTGCTCATATTGGTCGTAGCGTAATGTTATATAGCCTACAACCTTCCTCAGTACTTGGACTATCCAACACAAAAAGAATTATTCAATTCGAACCAGTAGTTTCGGAGATTAGCGCGTTCAAACAAACAAACTCTTCAGCTTTATAATATTAGTATAGATTAATTTCTATGAAGCATTAAAAATTGTAGTAATGGTAGCATAGTTTTTAATTATAGTGTTGTTTTCTCTTTGCAGGTTTAAAGTATCTTGTAAGCTGAAGTGCTGCACTTCAAACAAACAGGCAGCCTAGGCTAAGGTACTAGAATACTCTATAACTTTAAGAACTTAAATTGACATAGTGGCAAAACTCTGCAACAAAATTAGTCCATAAGATTAAAAATTTATTGTAATGTTTGTAATTTTCATTATTATTTTTTTCTTACCATGTAATAGTTTTTTTTTTGTGTGTTAACATTTATTTGTCTTAACTCAGTTGTCCAATCCATAACAGTGTAATTAGTGATTATACAAAAAGAAAATGTAAATTTTATACCTACTTGCTTACCATGTTTAAAAAAAGGTAATTTTAAATATCACATTTGTTCAAGAATTTTTCTTAATTTTGCTTGACTATTTTATGTAATGTAATAATATGTAATTAATCCACTCTTGATGATGCTGTTATGGTTTTAAGATGTTATTGCAGGTATATACAAAGTATATTATATCTGAAGATCATGTTCCTCAAATTGGGTTAAAATTTGGGATTAATAGGACTACTCGACGATATGTGGTAAATTCCCCCCCGTGTCCGACTAAATATTTTGTTGTAATAAAAACTTACTTAACAAAACATTAATATGTAGTAGGATTTATTTGAAGAACAAATTTAGTACAGTTAAGGTAAATGTAACTTGAGAGCTACATTAATTCAATAGTATAGAGGAAAAATCGGTGTTAAAATAATATGATGTCTAGAGATTACAAAATTAATGTTAATGTTGGTATGCTCAGGGCATGGAGTATGCAGAGAGCGAGGCGTTTGCGGGGAGGGGGGTTTTGCTGTTTGCTGACAACTGCTGAATTGCTGTTGTTGCTGAGCATAAGTTATGAGTAAACTTTTATATATATTGACACAAGACGGGTGTAGCCTAGGCCCAAGAGAATGGTACCAGTTTAATTTGATACTTGCCCGCAGGGGTTAATTTAAAAAAAATAAAAATTAATGAGTATTATCTTGGAATTAGAGTGAAACAAGCAATGTTATGTTAGTATAGTGGAAGTAAGTAGTCTTGCTGAGTGGATTAATATATGGATTTGTTCGGCAGGCCGGTGCTGCTCGCTGGCCTGTTTGCTGTGGCAGTTTCCTGTGCTGATTGGTGTGATTTGCAGATACGTGCGTCTAGGTTAACTTTAATTGCAGAACTCCCCCCCTGATATTGAATAGAATAAGAAGTAAATAAAACACAGCTATACCGTTAATTTTAAAGGGAAGGTTTATTCTGATCTATAACGTCTTTATATTGTTCATTCGACGAGAAACGTAAACCTTGTCTTTAAATCATTTACGTCAAGCAAGCAGTCAAGGGCGCTATGGACAACGAGCATGGTTTAGTAACTTCGGTTTATTATTCGTAATAAACATAACATCAAATATTATTCTTTTTATTTGTACAAGACCGAATTCCGCAATCCTTTATTCCTTTTTGTCACGTTATTATCAGGGGCAAACTTAATTTTGCGAAAACATCCTAATTTTGATTATTCGGAATATTCTTTAAAATAAATCGTTCGACGACATAATATTCGTAAAACTAGCGAAGTCTTACAAAAATACCTATAGGTATACAAATGCATGTGTGCAATCACTAAATTAAGGATTTATAAAAGATTTTTAATTAGGCTACCAAATCAAATACTGTAGAAACATTTATTAGTATCATATGATTTGTATTCATTATGGTAAACTTTACCGGGTAAAGAAATCTGTTTTATATATGTACACACAAATTCGATTTCTTTGTTTATCACACATAAAAGCGAAGCTTAAAATTGTACCATCACATATTATGAGAACGTTAAATTGGTCAAGGAGAGGATTTGTTGTTCTATAAATAAAACCTCTAAATGCCAGGGTTTTCCCAATATGTTAACATTAAGTCCAGATTATTTAGAAGACAAAATATAAAGCTCACTAAACTCAATTAAAAAAATACTTCATGCACCAAATATTAAAAAAAGATTAGGAATTAAGTTATGTTTTTACCCGGTAAATTTGTGGGTGATATTTATATCGGCCATAACTATAATACCCAAAAAAAATTCGATTATAGGAATAAGTAAAGGTAAACATTAATAAAGAACGAAGTATTGAATAAATACACAAGAAAGAGATGATCTAAATCCAATTTACAAAAAACCTTTGTAGAAGTCAAATAAAGGGTCTAAGGTATATCTAAGAAAATATTATTTAACCAGTATTTAAGAATAAAATAATATATACTACATTGTGTCTATGGGAATTACAGTTCAAATTTTTAAATATGACTAGTATGCGTTATGATGAATGTTTGGTGTTTGAAATATATAACAATTTGTCATACGTCTACTGTCATATGAGGATTGTCAGTTGTCAGTGCCAAATCAACGTGCTCTTATAACAGGGCCGATTCTATTTAAAATCTTAAATTAAATTATTTACGACTGATCTAGGCGAATATGTCAACTTCATTCTTTTTAAAAGGGAAATCCAGGAAATTACTTAAAAGAAAAGGAGAGAAAATCACAAAGAAAAGACCAAAAAAACCAAATGATCCTAACCTAGAAAATGGTGGCGAATCTTCGGATAGCGATTTAGACCTAAAGAAATTTTCTGATGTAGAAGATTCAGAAAGTGACCACGAAACAGCTGAACAGAAGAAACTGCGGATAGCCAAAACTTACCTTGAAGAAATAGAAAAAGAAGAAGCTAAGCGTGCGGAGCTTAAAGAATTGGACGGTGCTATTGACAAGCGATTACTGAAAGACTATTTAGAACAGAAGGGTAAACTACGAATAGAAGTAGCTGATAATTATATCTGTCCCACTGAAGACGATATAAGATTAATCCGTGCAAAAGAACATCGTCTTTCTCTAACGTGTGTCTGTATCAGTAATGATGCCCAGTTTGCTATCACAGGTTGCAAAAGCGGAAGTATTATTAAATGGGGAATAAAAGAAAAAAGAAAACTTGGTACACTGACATACAAAACACATTCCAATTTTCTTAAAGGTAGTATTTTATCAGCAGCTTTATCGTCAGACTCTAAATTTCTAGCAACATCAGACTCTTCGCCTGATATTCAAATATGGGATCCTCAGACGTTAAAACATGTTCACACATTCAAAGGACACAAGGACTGTGTTGTAGGACTTGTTTTCAGAAAGAGCACACATACATTATACTCTGCTAGCAAAGACAGATCTGTTAAAGTTTGGTCGTTAGATGAAATGGCATATGTTGAAACACTGTTTGGACATCAGTCTCCAATAACATCAATTGACGCATTAACTAGAGAAAGGGCAATAAGTTCAGGGGGAAGAGATACAACTGTACGCATATGGAAAATTGTTGAGGAATCGCAACTCATTTTTAATGGCCCAGAAGGCAGTCTTGACGTTGTTAAACTATTAGATGAGGAACATTTTGTTTCCGGCAGTGATAATGGATCACTTTGCTTATGGAGTGCTTTAAAGAAAAAGCCCTTATGTACTATACCAGAAGCACATGGTCAAGAGAATAATGTACCTCGATGGATTGTCAGTTTGGCTACACTTCTGAATTCTGATGTATTTGCATCTGGCTCTTATGACAATAATGTTAGATTGTGGAAAGTTAGTAATTCATATAGAAATATTGTGCCTCTATTTAGTTTAAGTATAAGTGGTTTCATTAACTCTATGCAATTTACTAGTGACGGCACTCAGTTGTATGTCGCTGTTGGACAGGAACACAAGATCGGCAGATGGTTTAAAGACGGCAGTGCAAAGAATGGTTTAGTCATTGTTAACTTTTTATTGAAGTCATGATTTTTGAATAAATCAATTATATTTTTACAACAAAATCTTTGTTTACTTATAACCTATGTGGAAGATGTGTATTGGAGTGAATATATATTTAAAGACACCTGAATTAATATAAGCACTTTATTATTTAATTTTATATTATTCTACAAAATTTAAAAAAAAAATTAATCATTTATAAAATATTAGTTTACTTAATTTTAAAGTAATTATATCCCCTTATATCTACATATATGTATTAACCAACTATTGTACTTGCTCCCCTTAGTTGAAGGTATCCAGCTGTTATATCCATGGGTAAACTCCTGACTGTAGCAAACTCTTCGGCATTGCTGTAGAAAAGTTTGGAATGTCTGTCTATATATGGTGCTGGGAGACCAGATATATCAGAATATTTCTTTGTGGGTTTAAAAGTTGGTGGAGCATTAATTGAATAGTCTGCAAAAAAAACATTTAATAAAATAACATTGAAATTATTTGACCTAGCAGTTACAAAGCTAGCACTAAGTTAGTTTCATAGATAGCAAATATTTTTCCATGTCCTGTCAGTGGTGAAAAGTGTTAAAATTATAGAAAAATTCTAAGAAACTGCTAGCGTGTGTTAGTAGATTAAGCTGTAAAGCCAATCTGTATGTTTAGTTTGAAAATCTAGGCTCAATATTATACAGGTTTATTTATTATGTTATAGATGAAACTGAATGTAAATAACATTTTGAACTTACACAAAACAGCTTCTTCGGGCCAAGGCAGTGTTCGTTCGGTGGTTAATATTTGCTTTAACGATCTCCACATTCGTTTTTTGCAACCACTTTTTACAATAAATTTATTTTCTACTTTAAAGCAATGTGTTTTTTCTAATTCACTGCTCATTTCTAGTTTGTTTTTTTACTAAGCATATGGGAAAAAGGCATGGATTTAATAGTTTATCATGAGTGATTACAATTTAACAAATTTCATAACACTTATAAAATATTTGATCAAATATTTAATATACTAAACACTAATTATCTAGACTCTTGTATTTAATTGGTTGACAATTATTTATAAATATGACTTTGACAGATAAATTTATATAAACGTACTTCTTAAGTTTATAATTACGAATACGATAAATATGAAATTGTTTTAGAAATTATGCATTTAAAAGATTATTAAAAAATTGTATATGTTTAATTTATTTAAAATATTATAAAGAATTTGATAAGGGTTGAATAACATAACTATTAAAAACTAAAATTCTAAATCTATATTAAAGAAGAGTTATTCAATTTTATCTTTCGATAAGTAGGTATATAATTCTGTTGTTATAGAGATGAAATGTTACGATGTTACACACATAATTATAATAAATACAAATGTTGAAGTATATATTGTGACAGTTCTATACAGTTAAAGTGGTTTTGAAAAGCTGACATTAAAAAATATCGATACTGGTATTGATATCGATAATTATTAAAACTTATGATATGCAATATAGTGAGAAAAGAAACCATGAATTGTAAGTTCTAGAGAAGTAAAGAACGAATGTTTATAAGAGGTAATAAGTATTTTTGTTAACTGAATGGTAATCTAAATCAATTACATTTTCAAGGGGCCGAAACGTACCAAATTTTTATACCTGTGTTGGGTAGAGCAGTTGACTTTATTATACAGGATTGGGTAATTTGTGGTTTATAGTTATTATTGTATCTTATTTGTGCAACATTGATAAATGGTAAAAGTATCGATATTTCAATACGCTTTCAATGCGATTATCGATAGTCGCCATCCCTATGTCAGTAATCAGTTTATTTGATTCATACAAGCTGTTGGCGCCGATGGTGTACTACGTACTGTCTTATTTTCTTTGTTTTGGAGTGTTTTGTAATTGTTGGGCTTGAATTTAAATTAAAGAAATGAAAAAAGGATATAAAGTGACCGATGTTAAAAGGGAGAAAAAAATTGGTGTCGCTGCTGAGAACCTAGAAGAACTTATTGAGAAGTCCTGCAAAAAGTTAGGCGTAAGTTAATTTCTATTCATATTCATCATTCCTTAGTACCTATTTCATGTAAAATATCGTTTAATTACGTGAGTGGTTTAAATTTTTAAGTTCTGATAGTATTTGATAATTGGGCCAAGGTTAGTTCCCTTGACCTAATTCTTTAACCGTGACCCATTTGCGCTGACGGTTTCCAGTTCAATGTCAGCTGCGCGGAGTGTCGTCTGTACGTGGCCGAGGACGGGACCCAAGTTGACGATGAGGACTACCTCAGAACCTTAGCACCACAAACATTATTTATTCTGTTACAGGAAAACGAAACAATGGTTACTGGTTTGTTTATACACCCAACTAAGTTAATTTCAGAACTGAAATTTTAAATTTTCATTTTCGCGCCTTTTTCAGTTTTATAATAAAATTTATATTGGCTAAAATTTTCTATAAAATGTTTGCTTTGAAAAGATGTAAAATTAAATTGAAATTTATTGGTGAGAGGATAAATTCAAATGGTAGTTATATTTCAGACTTTGACTTCTTCTACAATATGATTACTTCTGCCAAAAAGGATTACATTAACACAGGGAAGGCTGCTAAGGAATTTTTAAATGTTAATCTTAAAGAAAAATTCAAAGTACTTGAAAGATATATTTCAGCAGCAAATGATTCTAGGGCTATGATTAGTGAGAGGACTCAGGATCCTGACTGGTTTGAAGGTTGGTCAAATGATAAGAAAAAATAGACTATTGAAATATAATTTAAAAATTATAATGTCACTATTAAACCTAATATAATTAATTATACAGGTCTTGATTCAAGTGAGAAAACAAAGGAACAGTCAATGTCGAAGAGGGCTAAAGAACGCATGAGGGGTTATTATTACAAAACTAAAACAGCATTACAGTCATCACAACTGTATGTACACACGAAAAATGGAGAAAGCAAGAAACTCATAGACCTGTTCCTAGTAGAATTACGTAGAAGACTTGAAAATAGTAAGTATAATGGGGATTACTTTAATAGGAAAGGTGATGAAGGTGTACGATTGTGCAACGAAAACGGTCTCTTTGAATGTGGAGGGCTTTGGAATAACAAGAAATGTATATACGAAGGTGAACATGTCATCAATCCTTATAGAAGCCGCGAAGAAAGGATTATATTCCAGACATGGAATTTAGATCACAAGATTGAGTTGTCTCGGTCCATCATACCAAATATACAAGAGGCAATCAGGAATATTATTCACGAAAATGTAAAATGCGTAATGTGCAATGTAAGTTCGGCTAAAGGTCACATAGAAATTGACCGATACTATTTACAAATATTCACTAGCGATAATCTTAAATTAGTTCACATCGTCTGTCATGACAAAGGCAAACACAGTGCTGAATCGAGTGCTTATATTTTATGCCAAAAATGTTTTGGTAATTATAGAGTTTAAATGTATTAATCAATTCCAGACTGAGTTGCCACTTCTCTATCTTTATTCTTATATTTTTTGATAATCTTACTCTTACCCTTAGTGATGTGATATAATTATTTACGTTTGAATCGGAATGCTTTTGAAGAGTGATGATTTACAAATTTTTGCTATTTCAAAAACATCATATCAGGATATATATGAAAATATTTATTTGAGAATATACTGATGTATATTATATATAAGGATGAATTAAATTTTATTATAGGTGAAAACCTAATATTGTTAATTAAATTATGAACTTTTATATTCCTTACTTGATATCCTTGTACCCTTAGGAGCTAGGAACCATCTTATTGATCTCAAAGTTACTGTTATGACTTATAACATTATTTTTTATATAAATTTTATGTACAGTTTATGTAGATTCCGTTACAAAATGATATATTTTTGTGACAATGAATTTAACTATGCAGGGTTGTAGTTAATGAGGGAAATCTTGTGTTTGTGTTGAATTTATTCTGTTGAAAATATTAACATGTTAATATCAAATTATTTATAGTTCCACAATTTATATATGTAGAAACTTTCCAAATAGTTTTGTTAAGTATTTTATTATAGTTCTTCTCATAAGAAAAATTATTTAATGGCTTAAATCAAATTTAATTTAAAAAAAAAACTCAAAGAAACATTAAATGGCAATATTGAATTAGGATTAGAAAGTCTCAATTCTTAACTTAAAAAGAAAGTTATGTTAAAGTTATTTTAAACCTCCAACTATTTGTAAATAAATTTTATTGGACATATTTTTTTTATTGAAATAATGAGTTTGTATACATTCTGACTATTTATTTCTGTAAATGATGTACTGTATTTTAAATATTGATGAAACAATAATATGCAGGTATTCAACTATTGTAACACTATTTACAAATCTATATTTATATTTCAAAGAATTAGTAAATTAGTGAAAGAGATTTATGTAAAGTGTAGATGCTTCCAAAGTAGCTTTACAATGTTAATGTGTAGCATGAATTAAAAACTGTAGATAAAAAAAAATATTTACTGTTTTAATAATATAAGTAGTGCAAGCAATATTAGTGTAGTAATTATATATGGAGCTTGTTTAAGTCTCAAATAATAAATCTCATTTTAATTATCAGATGTTAATAAGATTATGTTAAACAGTAGGGCATATAATTATGTATAAAAATTGCTATTGATACTTATAAAGTTGAAATTCCTTGCTTTGCTTCCATCCAAATCTGTGACAATTATTTGCTTAATATGATTATTATTGTTAGAAAAATTAACTGTATACAGTATTAATGTTATATTACCTTCTCCATGTTAGTTTAATATAATTATATGAAATAAAAATGTACCTAATTAAAGAAATTGTTTTATTTTCTTTATTTACATTGTAGCAATTTTATAACAAGTATACTGTTTGAATATTTTCACTGTTTGTTTGAATATTAAACAGTTATAAAGCAGATATTGTGCAGTGTAGTTCCACTATGTGGATTGTTTAGCCTAGAACCAGGAAGCGGACATAGGATATTTAATTCTGTTGGATCAAAAGAGAAAAAAAAAACTTATTAAATTCCAACATCTAGTTATTTATGGCCGCTAGGGCAGAATAGAGTATGCCTGATCAGATATACATATTAGTAATTCCGAAATAAACGCGAATTAAGTCGCGGACAAAACTATAACCATATAAAAATTTATTATTTGACATATTCTTTGAAATAAAGAGTCGGCTTTAGTTATGACTTTAATGACCGTTGATTCACTTACAAAGTAATTAATGTAACAACTATCTTCGTTTACGGCCGGGCGTCTTTTTATTCATGTTCCGTTGTCCTTTACCAGCTTTGGGTTTCTTTGCTGAGAAGTTTGTTGCATTGTTACCTTTTACTTTACGTTTACCCTTGGCTGGTTTCATGCTCTTCTTTTCCTCTGATCTCCTGATGAGTATTTAATAATTTATATATTAAAATTATATTTATTTAAAAATTTATTAACTACTAGCTTTCCACATGCAGTTTGGCCTCATGGAGTTCGGTTATATCGCATTTCCAAGAGAACCTTTCAAACATCTAGGATAAAAACTATCCTATGTTCTTTTTCAAGATCAACTCTATCTCTGTACCAAATTTTATTAAAATCAGTTCAGTGGTTTAAGCGTGAAAGTGTAACAGACAGACAGACAGAGTTACTTAAGCATTTATTATATTAAGTAGGGATTTCATAATTTATCTATAGAGTTATCTAAAAGGTATGGTATGTAATTGTATAAATACTAACTGTGTTTGTTCTTTATGTATATGTTGTGAGACTGCTTTCTCCATATCAATTTTAGGTCTCTTGCTCAGTATTTTGTCTATAAGGTTCAAATTATTTTGTTTTTCAACTTGTGGTGTGGGCACCGGAGCTCTACGTTTCCTCTCCTTGCCAGGAATCAACTCATGTACTCCCTTCCCCCTCGCTTCCTGTTCTTTAGGCAGTTTATCTTGGAATTTACCGAGTGATGCTGTTGAAGCTTTGGCTACAACCGCAGCTGTAGATAACTGTAAACAGATAAGTGAATGAATATATAGAATAATTCATTTAAATAAGATTATATGAAATAGCTGCCATACCTGTGTTGCTGAAGCTTTATCAGATGTGATAGGTAAACCCACTCTAGGAATCTTCACTTTTCTAGACCTAGCTATATTTTTTAACCTCTGCAATTCATTTTTAGCTACTTTCTCTGATTTCTCACCAGCTTTCTTCTCATACATATCCATCATTGGATCCATGTGTTGAGGAACTTCTATGAGCCAATCTTTTTCTTTTTCAGCTGCAGCTTTCCTGAACCTGTTTTTTATTAAATAATATAATTAAAATTTTAAAAAAGCTTTCAACTATGGATATAGTACATGCAAGATATAAGTCATTAAAAAGAGAATAAAAGAACTCCATAGCTTAAGGTAACATTAGTAACATTCAGAACTCAAAGTATTATTTTACTGTAACATTACATACAGGAATACATATTACAAACACATTGTTGACACATAGAGCTAAAATCAAAAAATATGTTCTATTTAATATCATAAAATTTTAACCAAATTAAAATTTTCTGTTGTTCTTACCCATATAGAGGAACCCATTTCTGCAGTTGTTCATCCCATTTCAATTTATCTTTCTTTTGTTTTGTAATACCCTTTGCTTTAGCGAACTCTTGCCATTTTGTGAGCGGTTTTGGTTTGGGAACAGGTTTGGATCGAGGTAAGACCGTTGTGGGTTGTGGCAGTCTGACTACAATAGCTTCGTCTATCCGTTCAGTTGGCAACTCCCAAATTTTGTTGAGTAACAACTGTGTATTGTCACGAGACAACGATTGCAAATATTCATCTCTGTTACTGTTCGAACTGAAATTTCAAGAATTGCATTAATAATTATGAACGGAATGTTATGAAAATCAATAAACTTAATCTAAAAAAACTTACTCTAAAAGTTTTGAATCTAGATCATTGGTATCATAAACGAGTAAGGTCCCAAGATCATATTCAACATCCAAGTGCTTTTCGACTGTAATAGGTTTGTATTTCTCAGCCTTTTTTTGTTCCTTTTCAAGTATTTCATTTACTATATCCATGTTGTGGTATATTTTCAATGCGACATAAAGAATAACATAACCTCAAACGACTATAACACGCTTTCGACAAAAGGACTGATTTGAAATCTGTCATAATCAAACAAAAGTCATGTCAAAAATTTAAATAAATGTCAACACCGTACAATTGATATCTAATATTAGATACGTGCCATTATTTTTTTTTTTCAGATAATTCACTCAATAATAACTAAAAAAAGGACTATAACAATAAATAAAAATGAAATTGGTTCGCAGGAAGTAATTTTTTTCAAATCAGTATTATAATAAATACTACTTTCTATATCCATTACTTTTAAATAAAAAAAAATACGTTTAAGAGTTAATTAATACACTTTTCACTTTGGAACTAAGTTTCCTTTTATAATATCAAATCCAAAGAAAAAACAAGTTTATCACTTACTCTTTCTTTTTTTTTAATGAATGAATACCATATTAAGAAAAAAAAGCTGTATTCGTAAAAATAATAACAATGCAATATTTTTTAATAGTTTTTAAAAGTTTTAATCCGTTTATAATAAATATATCACTATTTACTAAGATTAATTACCGACTTTCGAATTTGCAGGCACTCGTTTTTGGACAAATTTAACTTATGTCATAAGCATGGACATACATACATTTTATCATATCTGTGCAACAAGATTTATTTTTATATATATTCAAATAATAAGTAACAAATAACAATAACGGAAAATCACATTACTTACCGACGTAAAATTTTTGTCATCCATTTTTTCATTTACAGTAAAATTGTTACTATATGATAAGTAAAAGAAAAACAACCATCTCTTATTTTTATCAAGAGCAAGTACTGTATTCGCAAGTGTGTTTTAATCACATTTTTGTAGTCGGCACTAATTCTCTTTTGTTTTTTTTTTTTTTAATTTTTTTTAAAAGTACAAAATTAATTAGATAAGGTGCCTAAAATGGTGTTTAAGCGTGGGGCACTAATTGTTATTGAAGGAGTTGATAGGACTGGTAAAACGACACAATGCAGAAATCTAGGTATGTTATTTTATATATGAGTAGACTACTCAAGGGATGTAGAAAATAATGTTCTTGTATAAATTATATTGTGTATTTCAGTTGAAGGTTTGAAAAATAAGAATGTAGCAGCTATGTACTCCAATTTTCCTGACCGAACCTCTGAAATTGGGAAAGTTATTAATCACTATTTGACCAGCAAGGTATATAACCTGCTTATGAGCAATTATAAACTTATATATTATTTGAGTGTTACTAAAGCTTCAATTATAATTACAGTCTGAAATGTCTGATGAAACAATTCATTTGTTGTTTTCTGCAAACCGTTGGGAAAAATGTGGTGAAATAAAAAAACTATTAGAAGCAGGAACCACACTTGTTATAGACAGATATTGTTTTTCTGGTGTAGCCTTTTCAGGGGCAAAAGGTAAATATACTTATCTCAATTCAAAAGTAAATAAAAAAACATGGATTAATTATTTACTAGTACATATAAAAATAAATAAAAAAAAAATAAAATAAAAATCTTATTTTCAAGCAACATAGGCTCATAGTTGGTTAGTACACAATATAATTAATTACACAATATAAAAACTATGTTAGTAAAAAATATATATATAATAAAAGCAATGAATAAATACCTACCACAGTGAAATTGACCCGGCCCCACTTTTTACATGTAGCCTGATAAACCTCCCCATAGTCGGGCCCTCCTGTCTTGATGCAAATACCTTCAGGATGCTGTTGGAACTAACCCTTACCCTTTGTATTATTGACGCCACCTTCTTGCGCATTATTGCGAAATAATCATCGGTGTGAGTGTCTGCAAACATGCCTGACGCACTACAATGGTATGGGAGTCCCAACAACGCCCTGAAGGCATTATTATATTGAATATAATATAAATAAAGTGTTGCAATATTATGGTTAATTTGCATTTTATTTTATAGGATTGGATATAAATTGGTGTAAAAATTCTGATGCCGGTTTACCAAAACCTGACAAAGTGTTTTTTTTAAACATGCCATTGGAAGCAGCCATGCAAAGGAATGGCTTTGGAAATGAAAGGTAACTAGGACCATGGACAGTTTAATATTTTATTTGAAACCTTAATCACATGTATTTATGCTTTAAGGTATGAGGTTGGGAGTTTTCAAAAAAATGTCTTGGATGTGTATATGCAATTAAAAGATGATAAATGGGACATCTTGGATGCTAACAGGTATTTATATAAAAATTTGTTAAATTTGCTTTACCCAGTTGAAAAATATGAGGTAACAAATAAAAAAAGGAATAGAGATGAATTGATAATTCCTCATTTTTTGATGTTGGTGAAAATAAGTATTCTACTTAATTAAACTTAGCTTTTAGCTGAATTAATATGCAATAATTTACATTAAAAAAATGACATTATATTTAAAATTTATCTTTATTTTAGGCCCATGGACATTATACAAGAAGAACTCTTACAGAAAACCCTTGATGTTGTAAAAAATGTTAGTAATGAACCTTTAGATAAAATATGGATTAATAAATAGGTATCAAAGTAATATAGGATAATTAATAGCTAAATAAAATCATTTATTTTTGAAAAAAGTTTATTATTGTTTACAAACTCTGTAAAAGAATTTTAGCTCCTTCAGAAGACTGTGCTTTTAGTAATTTTGAATGAGGTTTCAACTTTTTTATCCATTTCTTTGATGTACTTTCTTCATTATTTTCTATGAGTTTGACAATGAAAAAGCATCCACGATTTGTAGCCAACCACATTTTCAACTGAAAATAAATTATGTTTTAACTTAATATTCTTTTCATAACAACTAAAAATAAAAATCATAAAAAAATAACTATATAAATGTACAAATTAAATAAAACCTTCACAATATTTTATGCTTTAAAAAAGTATTTTATACTAACAGTTTCATCTTCAATATTATCACAAATAAAATTTCCCAGTGAATCTTCAGCATCTTTGTCTAAAGCCGCCAATTTCTTCAAGCACATGTGTATACCAGCATCTTCTATTGCTAGTATACTTTTATCATTGTTCGTTATAGTCCAATCTACTTTGCAGATGACTTTGGCGAGTTCTTCCAATGCCTTTTTAGAGTGATCTATTAAAAAATTGAACAAATAGTTATCAATATATATAGAAATTAAAAATGAATCCCTTTTTCCCTTGATCATGGCTTCACGCGAGAATGACTGGACCGATTTCACTAATTCTTTTTTGGTGTATTTGTTATTATTAGGAGAAAGTTCTTATGAAATAATAATTACGAAAATTTGTAGAATATTTCACTTTTTTCATAAAAATAATGTCACTGGCAGTAATATTCACGTAGTTGCAATTAAAACATTATTCATTGAAATAAAAAGGTAACATTTTTCTTCATTATAGGGTGGTACGAAGTTCGTCGGGTCAGCTAGTTTTGTATAAATATTTAATATGTCTTGGAATATTATTTTATATAGTATATTTACCAATAGATAAAACAGCTATTGTTAACAGTAAAGTTGCTTTATCCTTTAGCCAGAATTCAGGATCGTTTTCAATATCACTCTTTATGGCGGGGAGAATCAGCTCTCTCAACTCCGAAACCCGAATATCCGTGTCTTTCTTTGAAGTTCCAGTTTTAAGACCTTCCTCCAAGAACTTTATAAAGGTAGGGTGGAATGCTGCCGAATCCTTAGGCTTTACGAGCCAGTGTAATGTCTATAAAATAAAAAAATTAAATACCATAAGGGACTTTTCTTTATTATTAAAATAAGTTTGAAGTTGACATACTTAAAATGTAAACTAATATGTTATTATATAATTCTTATGAGGGACAGCAAAATGAAAACATATCTTTAAACTGTCTGGAGGTATTTTGTTAAGTTAATGAGCACTCAGTTTTTTTTTAATTGTATTTCATATATTATTTTATTCATATGACATATGCAATATGCATACAATCTTCATAACTAAAATATAATCTTAATGCCTATTCCATATAAACTACACATATTCACGAAGTCCCAATATTTAATTGTATTATTATTAAGCAAAACTCACCATCTTTCCCCAATGGTCTCTTGCAATGTCCTTCAGATTGTTGACGAGGGTTGACACAATCGTCTTTTTAACTAACACTGTGTCATCAACAGAATCAAATATCACTATAAGAAGTCTATAGCCAGTTTTATGTTTACTTAGCGGCACCACATGTTCCTTAACTACTTTCAATATAGTCTGAAAAATAATTTTTATTAAAGCTTATGTAGGAATAATTTTTATCTTCACTTCATAATGTTTCTTTATAGTTTAGATATGGATGAATTGATAGGTAAAAAAATAATTTAACATGCAGATGCTTCATTGAATATATGGATAGTTGAAATAAAATTCATATTTTCGATGTAGAAGTAGACAAAATTGAATCGGAAAATAATAGTTTTATATAGATGAATATTGTCGAAAGTATACGATCTCATTACATTAATAGTTACAGGCTAGCCAGAAAATATACATCAACTAACACAGTCATGACAAAAATGGTTGTTTCGTAACTATAACTTATAATTGTTAAAGGCTAAGTAAACACAAAATACTACATAAAAAATTAAAAATCGTATTAAAATCTATCACGCGTTTTTGGTATGCTACAAACACAGTCAACTTAATATTTATTATCAATTTATATTGATGGAAGAATTTTGATATGTCTACTTGCCTTTTTATCTTTATTTGTTCCTTGCCAGACACATAAACTGGCCACATTCACTCCAGGCAAGGAGTTACTGAGAGGCACAATCAATGGACTCAGAGTTGATATAAGTTCCGTTTGATCTTCCTTACTACACTCTCTTATGTAATCATACAACACAGAATGCAGTAATCTGTAATTAAAATATTTATGTAATGTTGCTAAAAATTACAAAAATATAAAATTTATTAATATTAATGATACATACTCGCTGTCATGTAAATTTTTATCCAAGATGCGTTGTATGTTCGCTTTGCATGACTGCAAAATAGCAGCTTTCATTTCAGGACTGTCTTTGTATGTGTCACACAATGTCTTCACACTGTCATCTTTTGTCTGTAAGGTATATTAAATTAGTGAACTTGATGCTTTGAACTAAACCAAATGATTAACTGAGGTGGACAATCGTGGTACAATTATGTCCTAATATATTAAACCTAAATTTCATTATCCAAATTTAAACATTAGTAGTATTTCAGACTTACGTTTTTATACATTTCCCCGTAAAACTCCTGTTGCATGTGCATCTTTTCTTTTTTAGAAGCAAATTCTCCATATGCATAATCTAGTACCGGCGCACTTATAGAATGCGACGCTAAAGACACTATATTGCCGAATAGTTTCTTAATTACTTGGTGTCTTATTGAATCGTTGCCATATTTGAGGATGCGCTTCACCGAGTGGTGAGCATATTTCGATTGCATCATTGTTGCCATTATATCCATCAGTTCTTCTGTTATCTCATGTTTAATTTCATCTGAACTATGCTTGAGTAAAACTTGTATAACTCTACTAAGATCATGGGTCAATGCTATAGCTTTATATTGGCCTTTGATGAGAGCATGTAATTCTTTACATGCAGTACTTCTAAAATCAGGTTTTATCACCTTCCTGAAATCAAACAATCCTACTGTTATAATATATACCAAAAAAAATATTTAAGACGTCAAAGAAAAGACATGATACATTTTCTTGAAAAATAGTTATTTATTTTACCTTTGAATTTGTGCAGCTAATAATTTAGCTTTATTAGAAATTTCAAATATTTCTGCTGTTGATTTAGCTTTACGTCGCTCTAATCGTAAATTCTTTTTCTCTTTTTTCATTTCTGACCATTTCGGCTTTTCATCTTTGCCTTCTTTTGAAGATGGCTTTGCATTTTTAGTAAAACCCGGTTTACTTTTAAATCCTGGTTTGGAAAATTTCTTTCCATTTTTGAAATCCCCTTTCTTAAACGATTTATTATTTTCGTTATTTTTACCTTTTCCTTCTTTTGTATTTTCGTATTTTTTACCTTTTCCTTCTTTTGTAGGTTCGCTAAACTGAACTTTCTTCTTTTTTAAAGGTGAAGTATTGTCTTCTCCATTTTTCCTTTTTAATTTCTGCATAATGTTTGATTTAAAACTTATTTCCCTAATATAAGCTTCTTATTTCAAATGAAAAATAGCTCAATCAACAACACAAAAACATAACCCACAAACACGTGAGTTATACGGTATACTCCTACAATGCTTAAGTAAATGTTAAATGTCACTTTATTTATTGGATTTTGACGTTTGATGTCAACCAAATACCTATGTATGATTTTTTTCTATATGCTATGAATTCATTGACACTGGAATCATTATATTTATTCTGACGATATAAAAGATATATATTGTTATTTTAAATTCATAAATTTTCCTTGATTATTTTGTGCCTTTTGTAAAGTTGCTCTCAAAAATTTTACAAAAAAGTTCAATTAATGTATCACGCTATTCAGGGTATCTTACTTAATTATTTTTTTTTTATTTTCTGAAAATAATATATACTAATGGTAAAAAAGGATATTAATTCAAATTATATTCACTTACATATTCATAGAAAGCTCAATAATAGATATATATAATTATTAAGATTTTTTAAAGTATATACCACAATATTATAACATTTTTAAATCTATACAATATTATTTAAAGTACATACATGTACACTACTAATAATTTCCTATTAAGTATTAAATTATATTGATATTTATATTTTTTTAAATATTACTTTCAAACAAGGGGATTGATATCAATGATATATGTATTTTTTTTATATTTGAGTTGTCAAGATACTGGTTTTTGAAGCGCGAGAAAACACTTTGCCCAAGTTGTTATTATAATTTATAACATTACAAACATAACAGTGTTTTGTGTTAAAAATATTTATTAATGATGATTTTTAAACTCAATAATTTGTTTTAAATTAGTTTTGATACAATAATATACAGAATTTTATAAAGCTCATATATTTCACAATATTTTTTTAGAATATAATAATGGTTGATGTTATGATAAATAAATATTTAGAAACACAATTAGCTTTAGCTAAACAAAGGCAAGAAATTAAGAACACCAATGTAGATTCAGTATCTGAAAAAAGTCTAAAAGCTGCCAATAAAATTGCAAAGAAACAAGAAAAAATATGTAAAAACTTAAAAGAGGAAGACAAAACTATAGATAAAGTATTAACGAAACAATCCTGTCCATCAGACCTCACTGATGATGAAGAATATCTACCGCCATGTAAAGTGGATGAATATGATCACATAATAGAAATGCCGTCAACTTCACAGAAACAAAAAATTAATAATAAAATTATTGACGATGGTGACAAAAAATCTTACAATGAGAGAATTGAGAGTTGGAAAAATAACTTGAAAGCAGCCAAAGAAGGCGACTACAACATTACATATAGCTCTGCTGATATACAATATGTTTTAGATGGAAGTATGGACACTGAAGAGAACCACCAATTACAAAATGGATTATGTGTGCCGAATTATATATGGAAGCAATTATATAAATATCAAAGAACTGGTGTTAAATGGCTCTGGGAGTTACACCAGGTTGAAAGTGGAGGATTGCTTGGAGACGAAATGGGTTTAGGGAAAACTGTCCAAGTAATAGCATTCCTAGCTGGGCTTTCTAAAACCGACAGTGGGTCTTGGGGAGGTCTTGGACCTTGTATAATTCTATCTCCCGCCACAGTTATATATCAGTGGGTTTCACATTTTCACTACTGGTATCCACAAATACGGGTCGCAGTTCTTCATCACTCAGGCTCACATGCAGGAAGTCATCATAAACTTATCCGTGATATGCACTCCTCACATGGCATTTTGCTTGTAACATATGCTGGCATTGTGAAATACATAAAAGATCTTTTATCAAGAAAATGGCATTACATAATTTTGGATGAGGGTCATAAAATAAGAAATCCAGATACCCAAGTCAGTAAAATGGTGAAGAGGTTTGAGACACCTCATAAACTTCTCATTACAGGTTCCCCCATGCAGAATAGTTTACAAGAATTATGGTCATTATTTGATTTTATGAGGCCTGGCCTGTTAGGCACTCATGCTGCATTTATGGAACATTTTGCTGTCCCTATTACCCAAGGGGGGTATGCTAATGCTAGTGAATTCCAAGAAGCTACTGCATTAGAAATTGCAAAGGCTCTTAAAAATCTTATCACTCCATATATGTTGAGGAGAACAAAAACTGAAGTTCAAGATCACATTCATTTACCAGAAAAAAATGAGCAAGTATTATTTTGTTCACTTACTCAGGAGCAGAAAGATTTGTACATGGGCTATCTTATGAGCAGTACCATCCGAAGTATATTAGACAAAGAGAGTAAACACGGAGAACCGATGAGAGCTAGGATACTTGTTGCATTATCAACTCTTAGAAAAATATGTAACCATCCTGACATATATCTTTATGAAGCTTATGAGGAGACTGATGATATTAATGAAAAAACTTTCGGTAATTGGAAAAGATCTGGTAAAATGTCAGTGGTACATTCCTTGCTAAAAATATGGCTCAAGCAGGGACATAGAGCTCTAATTTTTACCCAATCAAGGGCAATGCTTTGCATATTAGAACAACATCTGCAAAATCACAACTTTAAGTATCTAAGAATGGATGGTAGTGTTAATGTTGGTGTGAGACAGAATTTGATTAAAACATATAATGAAAATCCTGAATATTTGGTGTTTTTAGCTACCACAAGAGTTGGTGGTCTGGGCGTTAATTTAACAGGCGCTGATAGAGTTATAATATATGACCCTGATTGGAACCCAGCAACAGATAACCAGGCCAAAGAAAGAGCCTGGAGGATTGGCCAGGAGAGAAATGTCACAGTTTACCGACTATTGTCAGCCGGAACAATAGAAGAAAAGATATATCAAAGACAGATATTTAAAAATTTCTTAAGTAATAAAATATTAATAGATCCCAACCAGAAAAATGTTTTAACAACTAGTAATTTGCAAAGTTTATTTACCCTGGAGAATCTTAATTGCGACGGAGATACCGAAACTACTGCTCTTTTTAAGCATACCAAGGTAAATATCAATGGCAATAAAAAGGATAAAAATGATTTAAGTAAAGGTATGTCTTATTCTAAGAAAAAAATAGAAGCCATGAAGAGACGAGCTAGAGAGATAAGTAAACAAATCAAAAAGTATGCAGAAGTAGGATCATCAACGTCCAAGGATCCAAGACAGGCATATAAAGAAAAAAGAGATTTAATGTTGAATCCTCCACCAAAAGAAGACGAACCGGAAATAAATATCGTTAATAATGAAATCACAAATGTGCCATTTGAACATGCTCTCTCCGAATTAGATATAGTTTATCAACATACAAAGAAGGATTATGAAAATAATTTAATAAAAGAAGCTTTAAGTTCAGCAACTGAAATTCAAGAGAATAGTGACGAAAAGGAGACAGTAGAACAAAACGTGGTTGCCGAAAATCCACCATCAGATTCAGTTTCTATAGAAAATGATCTACCGACAAAGAAGGAAAGGAAAAAACGTCACTCATCCCCAGATCCAAAAATTGATAATTTAGTTGCAATTAAAAAAGCGAAAATTGAGAAAACTAAAAAGGACGTCAAGCTCGGTGATGACGATTATGTTTTAAGTAAATTGTTTGCAAAGTCTGCTGTTAAAAATGCATTACATCACGACGGAGTCGTTGGTTTGGCTGAAAAGGAAAAAAGACACCGAATTAAAGAAGATGCTATTAAAGCTGCCAAAAAAGCTATAAGGGCTATAAAATTTTCTTCCTAATAAATATTTTCTTATTTCTCTCTATCACGACTTTTTATTTTGTATGATGTCTTAAAACCAATAATTTATTAATTACATTTTGCGAGTTTTATATTTAAATAATTTTATTATTTGTTTTCTTTCATAGAAGACAGCTGTTAAAAATTAGTAAAGACAAAATTTTAATTTTATTGTATGTCAAGTCCGATTTTTAATACAATTTAAGTATCTCGAATTTTTCTTATAATCCATTCTCTCCATTACTTTTAAATTTTGGTACGTTCCCAGCTTGTTTAGAAGGCAACATCGTTAACTTTAGCTTTGCTAAATATTACCAAAATAAAAATATAAAATCATACTAATGACAACATTATTTATTAACTGTCATTTACGAGTATTGTAAAAGAGATTATATATTTTCTTTAATTTTGGGAAGTTATGTTAGAGTTACTGCATAAAATAAGATATTTATAACTCGCTTACAAAATAAAAAATCAAAATCGTGTGCGATATGATATACACTAAATAGGTTACGCGCGTCACCTTTCTATGGGAGTTGAAGCTGGAATCTAATTTGGATTACAACTAAAATTCCTTTAAATTTTTTTGCTCATACTGTTATAAATATGTCTAACAGAAGAATTAAAAAACCACCACCTCCTGCATTCAGTTTTAAGCCACAAGAAGAACAAGTTACTGTGTAAGTTTGAAGCTTCAGGTCTGAAATTATTTTCATAAGTGTGTTGTTCCTTTTCACTATATTTCGCGAGACTACTAATTATTAATATAATAAAAGCATTTGAAACACTTCCTACAGTAGAGTTAGTAAATAATTAAAAATTATATTAAAGATATTTTACGAAAAAAATCGTAATAAGTTTCATTGGAATTCTCTTGTTATGTACTGTTTCTTACAGTGTTAAAAGATGATGTTATAGCAAGTTGTAAGATAGAATTTTGAAAATAGAAATTGTATGCTGTTTCTGTGAGGTTATATTGTGTTTATTAATAACCTAATTTTCATTTTTCCAGAACCCCTCCAAGGAATTTGGACAAACAGACAACTATCACAGTTGATGATAAGACCTTTACTGTTCATGCTGACGATCTGGTAAAATTATGTGATCTAGGCCGAGGAGCTTATGGCATTGTGGAGAAGATGCACCACAAGCCTAGTAACACCATCATGGCAGTTAAGGTATAGAACATTTATCATATTTCGCCTTTACATCAATGTCATAGAATATAAATATGTATCTAGAAAAGCCTAAAGAAATCTACTTGTTCTTTATTTCCAAATGTATACTTTTAAAAACATATTTTATTTATATTTTATGATTTCAGAGGATCACAGCTTCATTCAATAGCCAATCATTAGAACTGAAGCGTTTGTTAATGGATCTGGATGTGTCGATGCGGGCCAGTGCATGTCCCTACACTGTACACTTTTATGGTGCCATGTTCAGAGAGGGCGATGTTTGGATCTGTATGGAGGTCATGGATATGAGCCTTGATAAGTTCTATACAAAGGTATACAAGAACAATAAAACAATTACGGAGAATATTCTTGGGAAAATTGCATTTTCGGTTGTGAGCGCACTGCATTACCTCTATTCGAAACTGAGGGTTATACACAGAGATGTGAAACCTTCTAATATATTGATAAATAGGAAAGGGGAGGTCAAAATGTGTGATTTTGGGATTTCAGGATATTTAGTAGATTCAGTAGCTAAGACCATAGATGCTGGCTGTAAGCCTTACATGGCACCAGAGAGGATTGATCCGAGCGGTAATCCTGGACAATATGACATCAGAAGTGATGTATGGTCCCTTGGAATATCCATGATTGAACTTGCTACAGGAAAGTTTCCTTATAACACCTGGGGAACTCCATTTGAACAGCTCAAGCAAGTCGTAGAGGATGATCCACCGAGTCTTCCTAAAGGACAGTTTTCACCCGAGTTTGAGGACATGATCACCCAATGCCTCAAAAAGGATTACAGGCAGAGACCGAATTATGACGCACTGCTTTCACATCAATTTTGTCAGGAACACAGCGAGAAAGAAACAGACGTGGCTTCCTTTGTTAAAGAAATACTTGATATACCCGATGATTCCTAGTGAACGGAGTGTATCTACTTACATACCTATAAGTACAAGTGTTTAGAAACTAACAATAGTGTCGATTTATTGAGAGATCATAATCTTAATGTTTATTAACACGTAATTTATCGAGGTTAGATGATGAAGCAGCCGTCAATTAATGGGTTAAACATAATTTCCTAACCTATAGTATATCCGTGTCTAAAACTTTGGCCTTAACTGAAATGACTGCTGTGAATTATCATGGCGATATGTTATATACATCACAAGTAAAATTAGTCCAAATAAAATATTTGTTTAGACCCAATGGATTTTATTGAAATAAAATAACCTGTTTTCCATTGTTTATTTATTAAAAATCATGTCAAAACAATCGATCAAATAAATTAAGTACAAAATAGTAATTAGGTACATAAAAAGTACACTTGTTTCTCTTAATATTAATAGTTTAAATTGTTTAATCTTAAATTAAAAATAATTGACTAGAAGCAATAAAAGCCTTAAAATGGTGAATTCATCCCCAGTTTTGTTCCAAAATCCAATCTAGCGCGTCTTTGGTTTCGCGCGTCGACTCTGAAATAAAATGGTATTTAAAATTTGCGACATGAAAATGGCACACTCACTAATATAGTCAAAAAATAATATTTTTATTCAAGAGAAACCGTCGGTAAATTATAATTAATTTAAATTATTTAAACATTGAATACTCAATCCTACTAATATTATATGTAATTGCGAAAGTTTGTGAGTGTGTGTGTATGTTTATTACTTCTTCACGCTCAAACGGCAGAACCGATTTTGATAAAATTTTGTATACAGGAAGCTGACGTCCAGGAATAACACATAGACTACTTTACATCCCGAAAAACCGCGGGTAACACCGCGGGGCGCAGCTAGTAAGGAATAAATTCAATAACAAATTACTTGATGCAAGTCAATAACATACATACATAAATTGTTTGACAGCTGTTCATGTCACATATATTTTTTCGAGATATCAACTGTATGTGTGTATGTTATAACAGACTTATATTGTGAAACAGAATATATCAAATTTTAATCTCACTTCATCTCCTGCCATTTAAAGAGTTCGTTGAGGCCGAATATGAAAACTAGTGAAGTTCCGTAACCCACTAGTAGGGGCCAGGGCACGTGGTAGTGGAATGAACACATTGACCACACCTCACAGTCTACATACGACACTCTCAACAGAACGCCGCTGAATACACATTGTATTAGTATCCTATAACAGAACATATATTAACTATATAACAATTTGGTTAGGAAGAAACGAATTATTTTAATAAATAGATATGGGAGAGAATTATACTTGGCTATAGCATACTATGGTTATGTCAATGTCAAAAAATTCTATTTCTAATAAATTTTGACTAATATGTAAACCTTTATTTTAAAATTAGTAAGGATTCAAATTCAAGCACAAATTTGTCTGACCATTGATATTATTTATCCCTGTCTTATATTAACAAAATTTAACTTTCCATATGTTACATATAAATTGTGTTGAATTTTGAAGCAATTTAATTGAGTTAAAAGCAACTGATTATAAGATAACAATAATAATATAAACCCTCACAATATAACAACAGTTATACACCAGACTTTGTTCATCCAGAAGCCTCTCTGCCAGATTGAGTGTTGTCGATGTACAAATGATATCGATATGACGACTGTAAAATAAATAAACAATATTTTATTCAGATTCTGAAATAAATTATATACTCGAATTATTTGTATATAAAGTAAGTAAGAAAACAAACCAATTCGATAAAGTTAAAGACACTTCAATAGACGGTAATTCAAACGGGTTGTTTTAAAAGTTGAGTTGGCAATTTATTTCTAATTTCATATCAAATAAAAGTTGCCAGTTCAAAAAGTAAGTATTTACTAAAAATTCTTATCATAGTATAGGCCGTAGTTTGAAGAAAGTCCTAAACCCCCGTCCCCAAAGTCCTAAACACCTGTTTCACAGCATCCACTTAAAGTCAATTTACATATTGTAGTAAATTTTAAATTACAAATAATTAATACAAAATATCATTAACTCCAGGTAGTAAAATACAGATTATATATATATAATATAATATTATAGTTGTTTGGTCGCATACCGGATACATTTCATCTATATAATATATACTCACTTAAATGCAAAATAATCAAAGCGAGTGTTATATGTCGTGCTAGATAGAACCCGTCGTAGAAATCATCTCCCCAGCCCTGCCAGCTCTTCATAGACAAGTCGTGGTCTGTTGTATAATTCCCAACATTAATCGGATACACGATCCAACAAGACGTCATTTTGGTGTGATCCGCTATTTGCTCGCAGAAACTCCTCAGTGTTAAAGCGTGTAACATCAATATAGATATAGCAGCGGGTATGAACTTGCACGCGTAGAACCAGAACACGAACAACGCCGTCTGGAATATTAGGTTCATTTAAAATAGCATGCTTTAATATAAAGGGTTATTGGAACATATACATGTTTTTTGGCTTTCAATATATTGCTTGAATTGAATTATGTATTAATTATATGGAAATCTTTCTATCTTCTAATTTTTAAATACAAATTCCTACTTTCTCTTAATTTATGACGAATATTAGTATATTTCATGAAGCCTTAGTACTTTCATTTTTCTTCTTCCTGCCCTGGTCCCACTTTATGTAGGGTCAGCACAACATGTTCGGTTACCCTTTTCTAGCCATGTCTTCTTCACACAATCCATCCATCTTTTCTTAGGTCTACCTCGACCAACACATCCCTCCACATTCATATCTAACATTCTTCTTGTTATATGACATTCATCCCTTCCCATAATATGTCCATACCTAATCTATTACTTCTCAACTTATCCGTCACCGGCGCTACTGTTTAACTTCCTCTGATATAACTCATATATTCTCTATTTTACTGTACATACAAGATTTTAGACATAGTGTATCAGCTTACTCTGGCATGTAGTACCAGAGCGGGTCTAGTAGCGGCTCGCAGCATGAGGGGCGCGGCGAGGGAGGCCGGGGCTCCGGATAATGAGGCGGCGAGGAGCCCCGACACACACACCGACCACAGACAACCACCGGCCGACACGCAGCCCGGGAGACACACGAGCGCGGAACACACCTGACATACATACATATTGATATATCCTACTAATATTATAATTGCGAAAGTTTGTGAGCGTGTGTGTATATTTGTTACTTCTTCACGCTCAAACGGCTGAACCCATTTTGATTAAATTTTGTATACTGGAAGCTGACGTCCAGGAATAACACATAGGCTATTTGACATCCCGAAAATCCGCGGGTAAAACCGCGGGGCGCAGCTGGTATGTATAGTATAACGATAAAAAGTCCTTATAACTTAAGAAATTGAGCAGACTTTTAGTATTAGTATTGGACAATATAATAAAATGTATTATATATAACTGTATATGGCAACAAATTAAAATAATATATTTATAAGGAATAAGTAAATTAGAAATTTTGTATATATGATGATGTATCATCCCTAAAATAATAGACGTACCTGTATAAAAGAAATGAAACAGGAACTGCAAATAGAGAACTGCGTGCTGTTCCACAGACACATCATGAAGTGTCGAGACATGGTGATGAGAGCGAACAACGACACGTCCGCCTCGCGAGACATCTGGTACATTAATGACGATTAATACATATTACATTCATATACATACCTTCAAAATACATAAGGACAAAAAAAGAAAGCGTTTGCAACAAAATTGTTTGACAATAATGCATTAAATAACACAACACAAACATAAAATGAAGCATACATAAACTCTTTCAATCATCTTTTACAACTAACACAAAACTTACCAGAGTATTGCAATAATTGGTAGTTGGTTGACTTTGCCATTTATTTTTTAGCTTTTGGATAAGCGTGCAAGGAGAAATTATATATATTTTTTAATAGTACATTCGATGTCCATACAGGGTAACGTTATATACTTGTATATAATAATGTATATAGATATATTATATAAGTATTACCGACAGCGAGCACGGTACAGAGTTCAATACGTTCGCCAGATCAATGGGTCCGATGCAGTCATCTGGTACTTCATAGGGAGGCATTTTTTGGCACAGAACAGGATACAGCGGTTCTAAAGCGATGCTGAAAAGTGACGTCCACTATTAAACAAGATGTTATTGAAGTCATATTATATATTCCCATAATGATATCTTGAATTATGTACCTAGCATCAGCCTGCATAAAAATCTCCATATTTTGACAGTTTGCCGCTGAACCCATTACGCAAACTACTTCACCGTAATCCTGAAGAAGAATATTATTAAGTATTGAAAATAATTACAATCAAAATGCATAAAACATGAGCTTGATGCTCATATGCACTTTTATCAGTTAACATAAGTGATGGAGGAAAGAAAATAATGAAGGGTCATAGACCTAATTGTAGTTAAGTTCTTATAGCTCGAATATGGACTGACTCGACCGGGGAAGTAGTCTCGAGTAGCTACTCGAGACACGGTTGCCGTTTTCCTTTTCCCACCCTTTCCTCTTCCCTCCATTTCCCGTATTTGGCCGATCAAGGCTGGCAGCTTATCCGCAAATCTACGTGGGGGTATCTATGGGTGACGGTACTTCCTCCATTAGCTAGGCGACGTTATATGTTGGGTATGTCCATAATACATATATGTCATATATGTTATATATGATACCTGCATGATCTGTATCATCTGGTGCACGGAGCCGGCGGTGCAGTCCGTGAACAGAGACACCAGTAGCGGCACGTTGTCCACCTGCTCGATGTGAGGACGAATGTTCTCTATACCGCGGGGCAGCTTCGCCTGGGTTTTGAACACTCATTGTAGGAATATACCATAAGATCGGAAAAAAAATCATCGTATGAAACGGTAGATGAAATGAAAATGATCTAAATTTATATCGTACTTATTGGTGGTATAAGCGAAGTTTAAATGAAACTAATATTTTCGGATTTTACTTCGCGTATTTATTTTTGCTCTGGATTCCGGCAGAAGACCTTCAGCGGTACGCAAGAAGATTAAGAAATTGATGGCGGTAGGTGTCAATAAAAATAACCAGACCAACTGACAGACACTCACATCTCGTCTGCCCGTGATCACGGTTGCTGAAAAGTAGCCGGAACGTCGGGAGTATGTAGGTTATAATCAAAAATAAATACGCGAAGTAAATCCGAAAATATTAGTTTAATTTAAATGAGTACTCGCGAAAATCTTGGATCTCGGTATATGCGAAGTTATTACAAAATAAGCTAAGGGCACAAAAACATCTATGGAATTAACGTCTGTCGGGTCAAAGCGTTATATCAGCGGGTACAGACCCGGTTGCTCATGTCGAAGTTGAGCGGCGCGGTGTGGTCGGTGGAGTCGGTCAGGCAGGACAGGGACCGGCAGCCGTCCGCCGGGGACCCCAGCAGGGAGTCCGTGGACGCCTGGCTCGCGTTACTCAGCTACAACAATGAGGGTACATACATGTTCTAGAATGTTCCTCGCCCCGGGAAGATAAGCTAGGCTGGGTTATTCAGTTACAACATATTAATAGGATCGTATTCTTTGGGGCAAGATGGGGGGAGAGAATATGGGGATATTTAAGCTGATAATTTGTATTTACACTTATCACGTTGAGGATCGATGTTCCTGTGTTCTTCGTGCGATTATAGAGGGCTGATGGAAGCCAGTGTTAAGAGTAGTTCTGTTTGTTCTTATTATAACATATTCTTCGTTTTAGTAAGGAGGGCGAAAACTAGAGACGAAGAAGTAGAAATATCTAAGCTAACAATTTGTTTGATTTTTTAGTTAGACAATTTGAAGCCTTGGACACTTAAACTCTAGTCTGGTATAAGCATGATACACTGGAAAAAATCTTTAGACTAGCAATTAATTTAGCATATAAAATCAACATTCTTGCTTCTTGTGTGACATCAATAACTTCAAGTTTTAGTGGGACTGAATTAGTAAGTGTAAAAGTTGCAATTGTGCGTAACTTCAAAGGTTATGTAGTTGCATTCTATTTGGCATATCCTAGCATGTCAGGTTATTGCTAACCTAGGGGTACACTGAATTTGAATCATATTTTTCGGTATTATTTTCGTCATGAGCTGATTTTTATAGAATTCTCCTTACCTGAACCTCCTTAAGTCCGCTGTGCGCTGTTATAGAGTGTCGTGTTTTTTTGATTTCGTCGTCAAATTTAACAGTACTGTGTTCAACGTTGATGGCCCCAGGCGCTGACATGGACAAAGACTTCGAAGCCGCCATATTCCCGCTAACATTTCACGAGCATAAGAAATTATTATTATGATATTTATAGCAAATTAATTGTTAATTGAAATAAACTATGATATATTAAAAAAATAACTATCTACATATAGTATTTCGTATATTATTTTGATGTAATAATAAACTATATCCCCGTTATTCTGTTGTGATGGTGTTAAGTGTTGATAAAATATATATATTTGAAGGAAAAATAAAAAACATTAAAAGGATCATGCTTCACTTTTTTGGAAATAATTAAATACATAATTGGGAGAAGAACACTTATATGTACATACATTTATGAACACTATATTGGTAAATAATTTTGCTTTGTATAAGATTATGAAGTAATGTTTTAAATATTATCTATACTAATATTATAAAGCTGAAGAGTTTGTTTGTTTGAAAGCGCTAATCTCCGAAACTACTGGTTCGAATTGAATAATTCTTTTTGTGTTGGATAGTCCAGTTATCGAGGAAGGCTTTAGGCTATATAACATCACGCTACGACCAATAGGAGCAAAGATATAGTGGTAAATGTGTAAAAAACGGGAGAAAGTATTTCATCTTTGAAGCCTTCCGTTGCGTGCGTCGTTAAAACGGTTCAAGATACACAAAAAATATGTATAAAAGAATAATAGCTCTTTTAATGATCTAAAAAACAGTCCGCGACAGTATATGTCTATCTTTTAAGATTAACTCACAAAAACCGTTTTTATGGTACCTAATTTGGTCGAAATAATTTGTTTAAGTTGTATCAACATAATAATATTAATCTATATTCAAATAAACAAATAAATATGTTGTTGGTTAAGAGTACTTCATTGTGAATAAAAAAAAAATAGGTTTTATCCTGAAAATTCTACGGGAACTCGACCATTCCGAAAACCCCACAAGAACGGGAACTATGTGGGAAGAACCAAAAATCTGCCGTAAGTCACTATTCCACGCGGACGGAGTCGCGGCAAAAGCTAGTTTAAATATATTCAAAAACATTACTTCATAATGTATCTAGTGTATGGACATAAAGGTCATATGTATAAAATATATAGATATATATATCAATAGGCACCAGTTATAATATATTAAAATGAAAATATGTATATATTATTATTGAAATGATTTATGGTTTTTTTAATGAAAAACAGTAAATGATGTTACGTTTTAGGTTATTAGGCCACACAAACAGACACACAGTAAAATAACATACAACTGATATATTCTTCATACCCTATATTTAATTCAATTTGTGGATATATTTTTTCATATTAATTAAAATATAATCTTATCTTTAAATATAATACTGATTTTCGATAAAAAAAACTGAGGTTTGTATGCGTAGCTTAACAACTCAACGTTTGATGATATTCATAGAAATTAATATGCAGAAACCCATTCACAATGAACGCATATTAAAAAAAAGTTTTGACTAATGTCACAAGTATAAGTATAATCTGTTTAAATATCATTCATTCATTCATTCATCGTGTATGAGCCGGTCGATATATAAGGACCAACCTATATATAAAGGCGTCAGTGAGTTCGTTCCTAGCGTGGGCGTTGGAGCGCTGTGTCTCAGAGCATAGAGGAGACCCGGCCGCGCTGTCGACAACAACTATACAATACTGTGTACCTAGTACGAGCTTACACGTCCACCGTTATACCGACAGTATTAGCGTCTCTCAATAATATGTAAGAAACTCTCTAATGGTCGGTCTTTTAGGTCGACGTTTTGTACTAGACACACTTTACTAAATGTACTTATAGTCCCCTCAATTCAATAACATATAATAAGCTCTATAATTTTGAATATAGAACACTTGAATAACTAACAGAAGAAATTCTTTAGAGTTATAGGGCTTCTATTTGCTAAAGCATGCACTATTTTTTGTTTCTATTTGACAGAAAGACTACTTAGAAGCGAGATGTTCGTTCGGAAATTTGATTCCATAAACATCAAATTTTCTTGGGTATATACAATACACGACATCGAGTGATAATTTATAGATGGTTGCACAGAAAATAAACTTCTAGAAGGGGATAATTAGTTGAAAATATATATACCATCACAGTGTACCGTGTGAAGTGTGCAGTACCAAATGATATAACATTAGTGAGTTATTACAATGTATCATAATATTAATTCTATACAAAATGGCGGTTATGTAAAACCATTAGCATTTATTGAACCAGCATGCATCCATGTTAATTGTATTAGTAAAATGTGACCAAAAAACTAGACTATATTTTGAAAATCGAATCCTATATGTAACCTGTAATTTAATAGCTTTTCATTAAAAATAGTTTTAAAATTTGGAAGTCAAATTATCATTTTAACCAGAAAATTAATATTATAAATAATCAAGTAACTATTGTTATATATTTATAATTGAACTAATGTAGCGATTGTGATGAAACTTTGGGATACAAGTATATTATATGCCCTAAGAGAAGGACATGGACTCAAAAGCCCTTCTTGCCGTCTGTAATAAATCATAATCTGGTTAACCAATACATATTACCAGCATACATCGCGTGGTAACTGTTCTCACCTATGTTTCTGATCATTCATAAGTGATATATGGCAGTTCCAACCCGATTCTAAGCCCATCTTTTCGCTGAATACCCTCGATCTGAGTTCGTTCTCCTTACTGAAGTGCACAAATCGTATGCAGGCTCGCTCCAAACGTTCTATCAGTTCCACCATATCGCTCTGAGCTTGGTACTGCATTGTCACCATACCAATGAAAACCTGGTGAAATAGATTTGATGTTTTAATTTCTTTAGCTTTATTTAATTATTTCCTGTGTCTGTTAACATTAATGAGGTAAGAAGATATGCTGTCTTCTGATCTTTAAAGTTTTATAATTGATATTAAAAGTTTAAAAACGTTTGACATAGTTTTCGTATCCAATAAATTATCCAATAACTGTGTCGCTTGTTATTACAGAAAATGTTATGTGCATCTTTTGGAAGGTAATATCATAGTTGATGAGAAGGCATTGATCATTACTGCCATACTGTCACAACCGATCTTGGAAAACTTTTTAAGAACTAATAATGCGGTATACACAAGAATTAGAGTAATTACGATCAGAAGAGTTATGTGCTAAATTATGTGCTTGCTGGGTGTATGTGTATTCGTGAGTACGTGTGTCCAGGTTTGTGTGTGTGTGTGTGTGTGCGTGTGAGGGAGAGTGTGAGTCTATTACCTGATTGCATTGCATGTCAAAATATCCGTCAGCGTCATCGACGTCGTCATCTGTCACTTCGTTGAACAACAAAGAGTCTGAAATTTAAATAACAAATAATAATTAACTTTAATTCTGCTATATGTATGAATAAAACACTTGAAGCGACTTATATAAATTCGTCTTCCTTACTGACTGCGCTATCTTTATAACAACTCCGACAACTCTGTTAATATTTATTTGTAAAAACACTTTACAATGCAATTTACAGTTAACGTTGACGTCCACATTAGGGTAGGCCTGTGTCGTGGACATCGATTCAGTTTTAGTAGACAGGATTCAGTAAATACTATCAGAAAATACATAATTTAAACTATCTATACAAATAATTCAAGGAGTACGTCGCGGAGCTGCAGACGAGGACCAAATGGCAAACCAACAAGGATAACTATATTCCAAACTGTGTCCACTACTGGAGGAAAAGGAAAACTAAAATCACACGCATTACTCTGACGATCGCTACTAGAGAATAAAATAATTTTTCACACGCTTAAAATACATATAGAAGAATGAAAGAAGAAATACACTTTACAATGACGAACGCTGACTGTTTCTACTGCTTCGGGCTTCTTTGTTGGAAGCTGTTGCTCCAAGGCGGGGGGCATGTCTACGCATCTAATTTTTACTCCGGCAACACCGCTTCACACTGGCCACACCGACGGACGATGATCGCGGGATGGGATGGGGTGGGGAGCGGGGCGGGGTGTCTATATATTCTCACTTTAAATTCGCTAACACTTCACTTCTAATTTTATATACGCTTTATTCGTAACTCATTACCAAAATTGTAAAAAGTTCATCATCATTAAACCAATCTAAAAGCTATCGAAGTATTCATTTCAAATCATCATCAACATCACAAACAACGAGCTTATGATTACATAAGGTACATCAAAATCTATTTCGCGTTAGATTCATATATATACAGGGTGACTGGTGAATTACTATCGATACTTGAGGACGTGATATTTGACGATCATATATGACAAAATAAAAATTAATATAACATAAATATTAATAAACTTCTAAGTAAAGTTAACCAAAAGTTATGTAATTAATTACGCATCGTGTGAACACCCTACAGATTAGGTATATACACACACACACATACACACGTCGGCGGCGTGGTGTTGTATCAGCACGCCACCATACGCGTCCACACTTGGAACATTTGGAACGTGTCCGCACTTTATTTATTTATACGGAAATTTGGTCAAGAATTAAGTACCTATTTTTTTACATAATTCGAATGAGAATCATGTACCGAGTATGCTCCTTAAATATTGATAGTAATTCACGAGTCACCCTGTATATTAGAAGACCCGGCGAACTTCGTATCGCCCTATAATCAAGAAATATCTGTTACGTTTTTTTATTTATATTTTTGGAGTTTACCTATTAAAGCCATAAATCTCCGTGTTTTGAAGTGCGACAGAATGATTGACATATTAGTTAGTTGTCAAATCTAATGTCAAAAAAAAAACCTAAAAAACCCTTTGTATCAACAACTACTAATAAATTAAAAAAAACATTGTCCAGCGGACAAAATTGTGAATCTAAACCATTACCAGATCCCCTTGAACACACACAAAAAATTTCATCAAAATCGATCCAGTCGTTTGACAGAAGTTCAGTGACATACACGCTCACAGAAGAATTATATATATGTATAAAGATGAGTCACCTGTGGAGTGGAAGTGTAGTGCGGGCGCGTCCGGCCATAGCTGGGAATGCGCGTAAAGCGGCCGGCTGTCTGCAGGCAGCTCCAAGTACTGACTGGACACGCACGGCGCCACGCCGCGGGTGAGGGGTCTGGGAAAGGGGGGAATAGGTTAATACATACACGTGTAAGGGTTACGTGCGTGTGTGCGTGTACGTGTTCATGTGTGTGTGTTCTATATTTAAATACAGGTGTTTAGAATGAAGATAGTAATTCAAAACTAATATTAATGACATGTTATTTAGTGTTGTGTCAAGTGTATCCGTTCCCAATTTGTAAATGAGTTAAGAATACTGTAACTATGTGAGCGGATTAATATCGGCGAATAAAGATTTTTAACGATCCTTGACATCTTATTTATTTATTTACTCTTTATTGTACACCAATATAAACAGAAATAATAAGAGAAAAAGAAAGGAAAATGTACAAATAGGCGGCCTTATCGCTAAAACAGCGATCTCTTCCAGGCAACCTTTATTTATTTTATTTTTTTTTGACATCATTAGTGAATACATACAAAAAAGCGTAGTATTAATACATTTCTTTACATGTATGATGGATTATAGTACTAGCAGTTTTTCAATACATACTTATAAGCAAATGCGGTGCAGTAGGCCGTGAGAGAGTTCCGTTGGTAGAAATCTATAATCTTCTTCCTATCGGAGGGCGTTATGGTGGTCAGGTCACGACCGTTCCAGAAGTCCACGCACGAATCCAATATTATATCAGCTGTACCCTGGAACGTAACATTAAACCAATATTTTATTTCATATATAATTATTAAAATTAGTACATTCCTTCATATATAACCACATAGATAGATAATATTATTTACTAAACTCTGAAACTTTATTATATTATTTAAATTCTTAAGTAAACCGATTGCGATTCCTACCATGAGTTTCCATAACGAACAAAAAGTATAGTTTCGAGTTTTTTGATATTGCATACATTTGCATTTTGATACGAATACAGGTACATTGATGTCATATTTCTTACTAGCTTTTGCCGCGACTTCGTCCGCCTGGAATAGTGACTTCCGGCAGATTTTTGGTTCTTCCCACATAGTTCCCGTTCTTTCGTGGTTTTCGGAATGGTTGAGTACCCGTAGAATTTTCAGGATAAAACCTATTTTTTTTTATTCAAAATGAAGTACTCTTAACCAACAACATATTTATTTGTTTATTTGAATAAAGATTAATATTATTATGTTGATACAACTTAAACAAATTATTTCGACCAAATTAGGTACCATAAAAACGGTTCTTGCGAGTTCATCTTAAAAGATAGACATATACTGTCGCGAACTATTTTTTAGATCATTAAAAGAGCTATGATTCTTTCATACATATTTTTTGTGTATCTTGAACCGTTTTCACGGCTCACGCAACGGAAGGCTTCAAAGATGAAATAATTTCTCCCGTTTTTTACACATTTACCACTATATCTTTGCTCCTATTGGTCGCAGCGTGATGTTATATAGCCTACAGCCTTCCTCGATAACTGGACTATCCAACACAAAAAGAATTATTCAATTCGAACCAGTAGTTTCGGAGATTAGCGCTTCCAAACAAACAAACAAACAAACAAACAAACAAACAAACTCTTCAGCTTTATAATATTAGTATAGATTTCATGATTTATAAAGCGAGTGATAAGTGGTTGTTGAAAGTATTAAAATATAGAAATGGTACAAGTAACGCCATCTAGTGACATTTATGTCAAAATGTCTTATTGCGGTCTATTGTGTCTATGATGTGTTTTTGAATAAATTAGTCGTTCTTTGTCACTGAAACTGATTGCGTTTTATTTGAGTGATGTTCAGTTTGACGATGTAAACTCATATTGAATCGACTATAGTAAGTTTAAATCTACATAATTTGTTACCTGTGACAGCATCTGCAGTTGGTTCGCCTGATCTTTAACGATGACAGCCAGCATGTGTGGTAGAGGAACCTTCACACGCGTACTGAGGTGCAGGGAACGAACGAAACGAGTCTCACGTCGTATTGTATCCGCTTGCTGTGGAACATATAGTATTAACTTTAATTACCTGTTTTATAAATCTAATTGATATATGTTTCATCATTTTTACGTATCTTAGGTGTAAATCAGATTCTTAAAAAAGATCAACTATTTCTAACAAAAATTAGAGAGTAATAGCGTTACAAAATATAAGTAGAATTGACAATTTCCTACTCTTTGAAGTTGATTAAAAAGTAGACTAAGTTACTCCTTACAACATTACGTGACTTTTTGGCCAAAATTGATCAAGTCGCAACGGAGATTAGCCGAAACAAACAAACATACAGACAGTCAGAAAAAATGATAAAAATTTCAGTTTTGACGTGGTACAATAGATAAATATTATATATGATTTTAATGAAAAGTTGTTAATTCGAAAAAAGAAAGTGACACATCAATTTTATTTATAAGTTATATTATAAAGTTTATTAAACAATTTTAACTATTATATACAAGGATTATAAACAACCTTTTTTATATCTTTTTAACTAAGTATTATAATTGATAATGACAAAGCTATATGATAATAAATTACAGGTCAGTATATTTTTTGTTTTATTTTCATAAGATTAATTAAACGTACCAAATGTCTAAATACGGCCAAACACTCTTGTATATTGTAGGAGTTAGTGACCGAGTCCGTGAATCCTATTTGCTTCGCCAACTCACAGAGACATCTTCTATTGGTGACTGGAACTAAATCCTCACTGGAAATAAAGAATATTTACTAATATTAACTCACTATGAAATATTATTAATTTATGTGCTTTGACATTGGCTAAATATTCCACAGTTCCAGTGTGCATTAAGCCAAAGCCTAAAAAACTTATGTGTAATAACTTATGGCTAACATTTGACTTTAGGTTCTAATAGATAAATGATATAGAAAAGTAAAACAAAATTAGTCAATAGTCCAAAAGAATACTGAAATTATTTTGTAGTTTTCCATATTCAATAAATACTAAAAACGAATTGAAATATTAACTTGGTACGACAAAATCTTTGATTGAAGAAAGTTCTTAATAAATTGATCAATATCTAACGCTGCTTTAACATATCTGTGCTGTGCTATATAAACAACCTGTGCTGTGCCTCGCACGTGAGATGTGCACAGAAGTGTGCGTATGTGTGTGTGGGTTGTGTGGCGCACGTGTTGAGGAGCGCCGCCAGTCCCAGCGGCTTGAGGCGCGCGAGGTGTGTCCGCCAACGCTGCTCGTCGAACTCCACTCGGAACGGCGCGTTCTGGTCGTGAGTTAAATCCAGGACCTATAGCGATATACGTTAAATTATTTGTTGTTAAAACAATTTTCTTACATTTTTCCTAAGTTTAGAGGCCCCTGGTCCTCTATTTAAGAATAACTAGTCACTGGCTCACTACTACCCCTAAAGCACGTCATCGTTCTACTCCTCGATAGTTATGAGACTGCTGAGCAAATGCCGCCCCCTCTAGTGGGGTATACAGACAGTGTATTATATCTATTGTATAGATACAAATACTACACTAAGCATTCTTAAGTGAGAGATTAAACTGATGAATGGATGACGAGAAGGTGTGATTTGGTGAAGACGAAATGTGTGATTTGGCGACCCCAACTTAAAAGAGTTATTGAAATTAGCGGAGCCATATAGACAGAGTTAATTTTCGTATATTATTGCAGAGGGAAAAGAAAGAAACGGTGTCACAAAAGGCCAGCACATATTTTCTTATTATTCTTCTTTAAAATGTTAATTCATTGATATCGACTTGCATAAAGTCATGTGACAAAGACTAAATATCGCTTCCAGTTAGTTACAATACCTATTTTTTTAATAAATTCCCTACATTTTTCTCTGAGCCGGAATTAAAACTTTACATGGACAGAGTCGTAAAACAAAAACTAGTCATACTATGAAAAATATCATGAATCATATTAAAATGTTTAACCTCAACAACAGTAGACGGTTCAGTGTTTTGTTTGCTATCTCCCGTCTGATCCAAAGTAGTTTGACTCTGATGTCCCATAGACCCAACTAGACTGGTCTTGCTAGAGTTGTGCGATGTGGGACTTGAGTTGCGAAGAAAGAATACTTTCTCTGCTGTTGGATTCGGCCATGACAGTATGCCTTTCTTGTCTACACAGCATAGAGCCTGAAATAAATAACGTCCTATTAATTTGTTAAATAAAATATCAGCGGAAATACTTGTTGGGATGTTTCGATGATATTTTTAAAAAAAGTTTTGAATGGTTTATTTTTAATTAACAAAAATATAGCTTATACTTTATTATAAAAAGAAGCTATAATTTTTCAAAGAAAATTCGTATGTGGTATTTTGTATGAAATTACGTCACAGACTGTAAGTTTTTCTACCGATCGAATATAACAGATAACAATTTTTTAACCACACATTCATTTGTTTCCGAATACTTGCATTTATACTGTATGTATGTCTGTTTGTGACTCTTGCAAGTAAAAACTTCTTTAAGGATTTTGTTGAAATTTTACAGTACTGTAGTTTAGACATTCGTATTAAACACAGGCTACCAAATTTTTTGTTATAATATATTTTATAGCATTTCTCTTATATTTACCAACCAATTCACAGACCAAGAATTGTGTAATATAATTGTCAAAAGTAAATTAATGTGTGATTAATACCGAAAGCGATCCTAAGACATGGACTATGTTTGAAGTTCGTGTGACCATGTCCTCCTTGCCAATGAGAATATTCCAAAAGGTTTTCGCCAAAGCATGGAAGCTCTTAGGTCTTAGGTTTGGATCGCTCAACACTTGTATGAGTGGATCGCTTGCGTCTTCTGATATAGAACAGGACTTAGGTCTGGAGTACTTCGGGCGAGTCATAGATAGATGTTTGAAGCTGGAATTAAAGTTTTAACAAAATCAGAAAGGGTTTTTATTTGTTTTATTCGGTTATAAATTTTAACAAGACATATCTTACGTGGCGAGTCCGTAACAATTAAGTGTGACCCATATAATGGGGAATATTATTTGCAGCAGCGGCAGAGATGCAGCAATTGTCTGTAGTAAGTACACTTCAGTCCAATGAGTGGTGCCCGGTAGATCATATAGATGTCTAATGATACTACCCACCACCATAAGTATGATAACTAACGGCATTACGATGCCTTCCATAATTTTAACTGTACACTGGAACATTTATTAAAGAAACACCCTTAATATATATTTAAGTTTACTATCCTAATATATAATATTATAATTGTGAGAGTGTGTGTATGTTTGTTACTTCTTCACGTTCAAACGGCTGAACCGATTTTGATAAAATTTTGTATACAGGAAGCTGACGTCCAGGAATAACACATAGGCTACTTTACGTCCCGGAAATCCGCGGATAACACCGCGGGGCGCAGCTAGTTAAATTATATACATATTGATCTTAACAAAATAATCTTTATGGAAATGTTTATAAATACATAGTAAAAATATGTATATTGTGGAATGTTGACACTATCAATTGATTTACTTACCAAGTACCTTTGTTTTTCATAGACTGTGACAGGTCTATTTGTAGCTTCATCGAGTGCCAGTCTAAGGTTCTTTAGATATGGAGTCTCACACATCCTGTACTCTTTGTTAGGGTGAGGGGTACACACTCTAGGAGCACTGCATTTCTCTTTTGTAAACTAGAATAATCAAAAGAATAAGTTTGAACATTACATATAAATTCGTCAAGCTATGCTTACAATATTGAGATAATTTAAAAAATAATTAAGGTGATTATTGACATAGTATTTTAATAAGAGCTTATATTATCCCCAATTAATGTAAAAACATAATATTAGGTCGAGAAGATAATAAAATTAGATATACAACACATTTTTGTTGAAAATTCTTTTGTCATTTAAACCAATATACGGTATATTTGTAAGTAAAATTGATAATGATATTGTCATTAAAATTTCAAAGAACACAATTATTAATTATCTCATTATATCAAATTATATGTAACTAAATCTCACTCATTAAAAAGTATCAATAATAATGTATTATTTAAAAAATCCCTACTAATATTATAAATGCGAAAGTAACTCTGTCTGTCTGTTACGCTTTCACGCCTAAACCACTGAACTGATTTTAATGAAATTTGGTACAGAGATAGAGTTGACCTTGAGAAAGAACATAGGATAGTTTTTATGCCAGACTTTTGAAAGGTTCTCTTTGAAACGCGATATAACCGAACTCCACGCGGACGGAAAGCTAGTATCTTATATACCTTTGAGTCAGATTGAAAAATTTGTCCGAAAAATAACTCCGGGTCACCGGGGCTTAGTCCTTGAACATGACCCGGGACCTCCTGGCCAGGTCTAAGAACTATTATGTCGCCTTCCACTAATAAAGCCCATGGTAAATTTACAATAATACCTGGAAGAACAAAACTTATTATTAATTCAATATAGGACTTCTTAAACTTATATTGTAATGCCATGATTTTTTTTATGGTTATTTCTTATATATAAACCATTTTTATAAATTGGTGGGGATGTCAAAAAATGAGTTATATGGCAGATATTTACCATCTCTGTAAGTCCATTGCAGTATAACACATGGAGAAAACGGTGCACATAAATGGGGATAATGGATCTCCTTCCAATAACACTTCTCTATCGCAGAATCTAGTGTTTCTGTAAAAAATCTATTATTTGCATATCATTTACTTTTTGTATACGAATATTTTATTCTATAATTACCTAAAACCTTCTTCACTCTATGTGGTATTTCATTTTGGTACAAATATTCTTCATTAAGTGCAACCAAAAAGTTGACTATCAAAATAATGAATAAAAATAGAGCTTCCCAAAGTAAGTATCCTTGAGGAAGTACTGTCTCTCCAATGAGATAAGTTAATAGTAAACATACAATATTAATTATGGTGACTGTGTAGGCGACTCCAGATAACAATACCTTTTCTGAATTAAATGATATTATCTTTCGTATAATCCCCAACCTAGATAAAAAAAGAAAAATTCAAATATAAAATTTTATTTACGAAACGTTCAGCTGTCGAAAAACTGAGATATCAATGTTTAAAAATAAGTTCTTATTACGTAATTAAAATATTCCTGTAAAGAAAAGATAAATACCTCATGCGATTTTTATGTTTATATTCATCAATGACATTCTGAATATCTTCTCTTAATTTTAAGAGAGCTGCTTTAGTGGAATATCCTATAGGTTGTTGACATTTCTCATCCATTATATTTGAAACTGTTTACATGGTTTCCTGATCTAGTTAAGTTTCATTGTGGAAACTCGGCAACAAAATAGATAAACTTGTACAAAAGTTGAATTACAAAGATGTCGTATCACAGTTGTCAGAGTAATTGTATATTTTTAACTAGGTTTTTTGTGTAATCGTCGGTTCTATTAGTTCTAAAGTATTTATTTATTTACAATATAAAAGGCAACACAAAAAATATCAAATTTTATTGACAGTTGTCAAATTGTCTTACTACAAAATTCGTTTAAGAATTTAACAGTGCAAGTCTTTAGTGCAAATATCGAAAAAAAACTAGATAAACTTTTTCATTTAATTATATTGAATTAGTCAAGTATAATTAATAAATTATATTTAAAGTATTTGTTGTTGAGTAAGCCTTGTTTAAATATTTGGTTCGTTTCTTCTACGTGGTAACATTACTCTATCTATTGATTACAATACACTGGTGTGAAGTTGGCGTTACTCAGAATTCAGAAATACTTCAAAGTTTTTCATTACATTTTATGTAAGTAGCAAGTCGTTTTAAATTTTCATGTATTGTCAGACATTCAAGACGTGATTTTAAAAGTTTCATAAAAAACATATCAGTGGACGATAAACCAGTATAAGTAAATGAAAGTTGCTTTGTGTGATGGAACTTAGTCAACCTTGTGTCAACGATACGTGAGGACACTGCGCCATTGAGCTCCTCACGTATAAAAAATAAAACAAATGTGTTTCTCGTTTCTGGAAGTTAAATTAAAAATTTTACTAGTGTTATAAATCGTAATGTTGCAAACGAAAGGTGCTTAGGGGACTGCTACAGTATGGCAGATTGTTCGGAATCGCTTAAAAAAACCAAGTGTCGAAGTTCTAAGAAAGGACCGCAGTTGAAATCATGGATTTGGTGTTTTTTGATAAAGTGCTTAATAAGTTTACCGTGTATATTTTCAAAATGTCTCGGTGTAGATATAACAGTGGCGATATATCCGCCAGGTGAAATTATTGTAGAATATGGTAAACCTTTAGAGTTATTTTGTGTTGCTGAAAATTATTCAGCAAATGACATTAAGTTCCTAATAGGTGGTCAAACGTTAGAATCAGAGGTTGTAAATAGTTCAACTAGAAGATTGTACATTAAAAAGCCTGAGAAGCAGGCAAGCACATACTATTGCCAAAATACTAAAAATCAAAAGAAATGCACTAGCAGAGTACTCGTTGAAAGTCCTCCTACAGATGTAACAGATTTTAGTTGTATTTCTTACAATTTGGAAATTCTGAACTGCTCTTGGACAAGTTTGGTAACACTCACTAGTATGAACTATTCTGTAACATTCTCTGGCAACAACTACTTGGCTACCCCACCGTGTTTCTCAGATAAAGTATATAGTGTAATGAACAGGAAGAGATACTGCTTATGGAATACAACCAGCCAACCGAGATATAGACAACAGGAGGAGAAACAATACTTCTATCTAACGGCATGTAATGTGTATGCTTGTAATAGTCAAAACTTCACAATTGACCATTACTCAATTGTTAAACCTGACCCACCTTCGAATTTACAAGTAACTGAAAATGGTACTCACAGTGTACAGTTAATGTGGAGTATTCCTAACAATATGGCCGATTTACTGCCCTGCGGTGTTGATCATATAATAGAATATCAAATAGCTAAAATCGATAACACTACACACTTCCGGAGAGTCAATGCATCATTCCTACCTCCAAAAAATAAAATTTACAGATTTCAATTGACAGACCTTCCATATGCTCATAAACAGTATGAAGTAAGGGTGTTTATTAAGTCTAAAAAGGCTACAAAGAGAGAGTTATGGTCGGACTTTAGCTATGTTGTGTTCTATACTGCAAGTGAGAGACCTAAAAGACCCCCCGATACTGTAGCTGGTGCTTTTCATAAATCTGCATATAGCAATAATAGAGTGATTTATGTTTATTGGAAACAGCTCGAAGAATATGAGGAGGCTGGAGCAAACTTTACTTATAAAATCATTGTATCTCAAGATAATAAGACACAAACGGTGTTCCCAGATAAAAACAAGAGTTTGAGCTATGTCAGACTTAATGCTACACTTAATGCATTGGACATCACAGTCTGGTCATTAAACAACAAAGGCACTTCTCTTAACAGCAGTCACTTATACATCCCTGCTGAAAAAGACACTCACTCATTAAAACTAACTTCATTCACAAAATTAGCGTATGAGAATGGAACTTATGAGTTATCATGGGTTGCAATAAAAAATATTGACAATTACACCCTTTTCTGGTGTCAGCATAATGCAACACAGATATGCGTAGGAAGAATGGATTTTGCTGTTCTGAGTCCGAATAAAAGTAATCATGTTATTGATCTACCGAGGGAATATAGATATCAGTTTGCAATATCTGCAAACAATGGATCAAAAACTAGTGGTATGGTATGGGCCAACTGTGACATTTCAAAGGATGGATTTGTGATGTATGGTTTCCCAGTTCATTTAAAATATGATGCACCAGGGAAGTCACATGTGACACTAAGATGGCTTATGGATTGTGCTCTTCAAGATGGTATAATTACAGGGTACAATATATCCTACTGTCCTATAGTTCAAACAAGCAGTTACTGTGACAAATCTTTCAACAACAGTTACAAGTTCATCTCTAACCCTAAGCAAATGCAGGTTACTATAGAAAATTTATTTCCATTCAGAACATACCAGTTCACTATAGCCTTGAATACTATTTATGGACAAAAAACTATAGAGAATGCTACTGCTGTTATAACAACTTCAGAAGATACTCCTACGAACCCTGTAAATATATCGGTATCCAATATAAGAAACACCTCGCTCGTTATATCATGGGATCCTCCAATACACAAGAATGGAAATATAGGAAAATATGTCATCTATAATTATGACAAGGAATTGTATGTTGACAGTGTGTCTGGTACTGACACATCTCGGAGACAAGTGACAATAACTGGCCTACAGGGTTTTACTAAGTACTCATTAACTGTGCAAGCCTGTAACATTCCAATAGGTTTATGTTCAAAAATAAGATCTAATGACTCTGTAAACGTAACCACCAGAATAGGTGCTCCAAGTAGACTAAGAGCACCAACTGTAAAAAATAGCCCTAACAAACTACAATGGGAACCCCCAGAAATTCCCGGAGGCAGGGTGGATCTATATGAAATAAGAAGAATCAAAGATGATCTTGCACCTGAAATTATTAATACTACAGAATTGTCATATCCCCTTGAGTATTGTGTAGGTGTTGTATCAACAGAGATGTATCAAGTGAGAGCAGTTAATTTCGATGTGACCCCATCTAGAAAAGGGATTAATGAACCTCCAAAAGTATATGTAGGACCATGGAGTGAATCAAGTGTTGTTGCTTGTAGGACCAGAGATGGTTTGACAATGATATTAATTATCATGGCAGTTCTCTCATTAACAGCGATAGTTGTATACGGTTCTATAAAGCAATACAAAAAGTATCGGAAAATGGAGGATATCAAACCAGTCTTACCAAGCGGTTTAGGTATTCCTGAAAAAGATATATCCAAGTACACTTTCGGTAATTGGAATCCCACAACTAAAGAAGAAAAGCCCTCATCTGATGAAATGTTACTATTGCCTAATTCTAAAACAACAGTTTCATCTACCGACACAAAACAAAAAGACGACAACTGTGCTTCAAGTGATCATACAGATAGCACTGCTTTATCAGAGTCTTCAAGAGGCCCTGTTGAAAGACAAGCTTCAACATCGGAAGAAGGCTCCGAAACGTCAGAGCATTTAGAGGTAGTTGCCGATAAAGGAGATAACAGTGCTGAAATCCAAGAAGAGGAATCCTCAGCATCAGATACTGAAACTTCTCCAGAAAATTCGCCTTACTTTAGTGATAAAGCTTTCAAGAAAAACCCAACTAGTGGATACGTACAACCGGTAGTGAGTACTACTTCCGGATATGTTCAGTCAGCACCAGCGCCAGTGCAAACTAAATGTCCATCTCAGAGTACTGCAACACAACCAGCTAGCAACAGTTACGTTATGGCTGGCCTGCCACCACCAGTATTTGTTCCTAACTCAGTGACGGCCACAAATCCGCCCACTTTATCTTCAGGCTACGTACTACCCGAAGACGTACAAGCCAGGTCTATGATGAATACTAATAAGTTTGGACCATCGATTCCAAAATCCGTTGGACCAGAAAGTTTGCCAACGATGCCTTCCTTGCCACCAGCAGCGAAACAAAGCGCCGACAATAGCTATATCCAGTTACAGTCTTTAGACTCCTTGCCTAGTCTTAAGTTAAGTGAGCGTAACTCGTTCCCGAAACAGCCGTCCAGCGGTTATGTAAGTCCGGCGGACGTCGTCATAAACAAGCATCTGAACATCTTGACCGGCGGCCAGCACGCCGAGGAGTCTGCGATATTAGACCCAACGATGTCTCCGGACGCATACTGTCGCTTCTCCTGGAGCAATGACCCCGCCAATGATAATTTAAATACCTTACTCAGCGATTCCCCCACACGGACGTACAACAATTGAGACAATAGCGACGTATGATAGTGACGGTACTGATAAATAAATATAGACTTACGGTGACTGAAATGTAAATATAATAAAACATGAACATTTAGCTTTACATAGCTTAAATTATTGAATTTAATATTATTATTGAACACAGTATGTTGTGTGTTGTCTAGTGATAATTCTCGTGCCTTATTAATTTATTTTAGGTGATATAAAAGAAGCTTTGTAGGTAAGATGTATTTTATCATGGAATTTTTGTTAAAAAACTTTAACTTTATAATATTATTATATTGTAACAACAGAGCTGGTTTAAAGTTGTTAGAAAGTCTTTTTCTTAATACTACTGTAGAACATTTTATATTGATTACTAGAAGTAAAAATAACATTTTCTTTCTATTAATATTTAATCTTTTCGATTAACTGATAAGGTTCTAGTTAAATTCATTGTATAGTGTAATTGACCAACTTAAAGCTTGAGCTGTTGTTTTAAAAGAATTCATATAGTCAGATATATCGAAAAGCCTTATTATTATTATCAATAATAATTAATATTAATCGAGAAGACTAAATCTTTTTTAATATAAAACACTATTTTCGTATTACTTTCATCTCCATAGACCATGATATAAATTTTTATTTTATTTACTCATCAAGTAATATTACATTGTTACAGATTTTGCCGATCTTAAAGCCTTCCATAATGGAGGGTCTTTATAAAGTTAATTTGATACCCAACGACCTTAGCGTCGAAGAAACCGTGTTACAAATAGCCGATACATTAGACAACCTGAACGGGATAGTTGACGATGTTTTTAAACGTATATCAAATAAAATTAAAATCAACGTAGAAAAGACTTCCAAACTTCAGGAGAGAATAAATATATCCAGGACAAAAGTTGAAAAACTTGCCGGGACACAGAAGGCTATCAAAGTGTTCTCAAGCGCTAAATACCCATCGTCTATAACACACGCACATTACAAATCAATTTTCGAATCAAGCGATTATAACTATGAACCCAAAAACGTTACGCCAACCGGAAAATCCAACAGACAGACAAACGAAAAAGCCATCCAGGTACGTATTAGAGAAATCATAACATTATATATAAATTTTTCCTTAATAGTCTCAAGATTTAATAATTTTAGGAGAAACTTCACTTTTTCCACGTGAAAGTAGCCGAACCTAAAACAAATAAAAGCAGAAATGATTTCGATCTGAATACCGTTTTGAATTCTATAACATCAATCGGAGATCTCCTTATATACAAGAGCGACGAGAGCCCATACTTCGGTAGTAAAACCAAAGGACAGACTTACGTGCCTAAAGTAAACACGAGCGTAGATAAGGATTCATTGGAAGAAGCACCACCCTCTATTGTGAAAAAGAATCTGTTGAAGCGAGAAATCGACGAATATATGTACGCTCCCGGAATGGGCTTGGTGAGTATTCGTAATTAGAATTGATCAGATATTACATTTGTATAGTTCATTGTAGAGTTTTATTCGTTTTAAATTTGAATAGCTTAGTGTTGTCGTATAACAAAAAGTATTATAATAAAGAAAATGATTAAATATTGTGTTATTAAAATTTTAAAGATAAATCTGTTGTGTTATATATGTACTAGCTTTCCGCCCGCGTCAAGTTCGGTTATATTGCGTTACCAAGAGAACTTTTCAAAAGTCTGAGATAAAAACTATCCTATGTTCTTTCTCAAGGTCAACTCCATCTCTGTACCAAATTTCATGAAAATCAGTTCAGTGGTTTAGACGTGAAAGCGTAACAGACAGAGTCACTTTCGCATTTATAATATTAGTAGGGAATTATCAAATATTTTGTAGATTGTTATCAGTTTGATTATGAAATGGTTTTATTTTACTATATCATTGTAATATTAAACTCTTCATATAGGTGCCAGAATTGGACATGCCCCTGGATCTTCCACATCTGCCCGGTATAGCGGGTGACGTGCAGTATTCCGTTACCTTGGATGGTTCTATAGCGCCCTCAGCTGTTACATCACCAGTAGCTCCCACAAACCCTATAACAGAATCCGTACTAGATCTACCTGACTTACAAATACTCCCAGATTTGCCGGTCACAACAGAGCCTCAATATGAACCAGAACTAATACCTCCTGTTAAAGACGTTCAGGATACTCTTGACGCTCCGAAAGCAAGACCCGTGGAGCCACCGGCCTTACCATCAAGCCCCCCTCCTCCTCCCCCTCCTCCGCCGCCGCCACCCCCGCCGCCGATGGAGATAACAGAAACACCAAAAAGGTTAGTTATACATTTTTTTTTAATTATATATATACTGGCCAGGATTTTTTTTGACATAACGGCTTTTACAACTGCATCCATACATATCTTTTTTTTTAATTATATGTATATTGGCAAGGATTTTTTTTACATTTTTACATAACGGCTATTAAAACTGCGTTCGATAATAAGTCAGGGTTGCAGTTTAAAATACTATTACGAAAGAATGTCAAAATGTGTGCCATAATTCAAAATAATAAGGTTGAAACTGTTTTTTTTACTGTTAATCCTAATCTCCACATGTGTTCCGACCCCGTATTTTTTGTATTGAATGTTATGTTTTTTTTTTTGTCAAAGTTTGTGATACTTGATACTTAGAAAGTATCAAATGAGTAATAAAATATTTATTGTCCGTAGCATGAGGTCGCGTCGTTAAAAGAGTAAAATTCGAATGTTTTCATTGATTAATCACCAGTAAACACATAATAATTTAGTGAAAAATATGTATAAAATGTTTTTAAAATATGAAAATAATTTTTAACCGTCCTCGTAATAAATAGGGACATTAAAATTATTGTCAGATACAAACTTTTTAATGACATAAAACTCTCAAATTATGACCGGTTATTAAAGATGACTTCACCAATGATCGAGTGTTTTCGTTTTTATTTCTTTTAAAAGTTGACAGTAACTAATAAAGACGGTCCAAAGAGGTTTTAATGTGATTACCGTATAATAATTTGTATTGGATGCTTTTTCATTTTTACGTGCATAAATAAAAATTATTGTACTAAAATAGGGGACATTTTTTTATTCGGATCAATTTGTTTATGTTAATATATGGTCGTATATTACGAGTAAATTAAACAAATGGGATGTTTGTGCGGGTCGGCGTTTTAGTTGGCCATTGATATTCGTGAAACGTATTTTTCAAGTAAACCGACTGCAATTGATGTTGCATTACATGAATCGTAAGTGGAATAGTTAGCCTCAAAAGGAAGATGCGATAGAAAGGGTTTCTTAGAAAAATGTAAATTGTGAGTTACACTCGCCTCGGATTAGAGTTATGGGTCACTTGACCCACACCTGGCCCGTACATTGAATGTTAAATAGGACGAAAGTAGTATGGGCCAGTATAAATGCCTTTTGAAAACATACTCGGGTCAAATTTATACAGCTTGTTACGTGTAAGGCGCAATCGTGTAAAAAGATTTTAATATGATCAAGCAAAAAATCTTTGTTAATTTTTAAATATAAAACTTTCCAGAATACAATATGACTTGTCAAAAATGTGTTTATATTCTTGTCGCAGAACAAAATCACGATAAAATCGTATAACCGTTATTCTAGTTGTAATCTTTTTGTATGAATAAATAACACTTTTCAAGAATGGCTCAACATTCAAGACATATTAAAGTTTCATGAAATTACGTTGTAAACGACCGCTGTAGAATTTTAAATTTTCTCTTTGCTACCTTGTGCGTTATCTGTCAGCGATTTAAGTTTTCTGGGAAGGTAGAACTAAAAACATCCTTTGACAATGCCACTGAATACTGTTACTATAAAAATGTTAATTTATCATATACTTTGTTAGTATTGATTCAATTATGATGAATTTAACTGACTTGAGCTATTAGTGCGAGTGTAGTTACGAAAGTTTACAAAATAAATGAACTTCTACGTAGTCGATAAGCGGAGTTGCTTTTGAAAACAAGCCGTTCTGTTTACCAGAACTCAAAATATTGATTTGTGCAAATATGTTTTGCGTTCGATTTATTTGTTGGTTTCTACAGAATTATTATATATATTTGCTCACGTTTTCAAAGGATAAAGCTTGAATATGATTCGTATTTCATTACCTCTGATAATATAAATAAAAATTCTTCTGACTGTCTGTATACAATTATATGTTAAAGCGTCCACAACATTGTAGCATTTCACGTAATATTATCAACGCTATGTAACTTTTTTGCCGTCTTAGTCCATTAATTACCTAAGCGTGTTTTTTTTATGGTCCATTTAAGGCAGCAACGGGTGACCCTCGTCAGACATTGGCCTCCAATTCGTCCAGAGCTATTGCTAGGATATAACGTAATAAGTCGTTTTTCTTGCTGAATTAACTCCTTTTTTTTTGTCCAAATACGTTTCCCGGACGTCAATTAATTCTATTTGAATATCTTAAATACCAACCACTAAAGCTACTAGACGTACCCATTGACTTATTTATTTAATACACACGGACGCACAGAACGACATATTATACAGGGTGACTGGTGAATTACTATCAATATTTAAGGAGCATACTCGGTACATGATTCTCATTCGAATTATGTAAAAAAAATAGGCACTTAATTTTTGACAAAATTTCCGTATAAATAAGTAAAGTGTTGACACGTTCCAAATGTTCAAGTGTGGACGCGTGCGGCGACGTGCTGATACAACACTACGTCACGATACGCGTATGTGTGAGTGTCAGTGTATACCTAATCTGTAGGGTGTTCACACGATGCGTAATTAATTACATAACTTTTGGTTAACTTTACTTAGAAGTTTATTAATATTTATGTTATATTAATTTTTATTTTGTCATATATGATCGTCAACTACCACGTCCTCAAATATCGATAGTAATTCACCAGTCACCCTGTATATGTGTTATACAAAAACAATAACAGGAAAGCTGTCCATTAGTGTTGGTCTTGTGTATTTTGTCGTTCTGATATGAATACAACTGATTGCCATAATTTGACATCAAATTATTACCAACGGCCTTGATTTGAATCAGCATAAATATTATGTATGGAATGCTAATGGCCAATCCTATTTAGTCATCAGAACAATATATGTCCTTGACAAATTCGTGTAACTGTTTTGAAATTAATACATATTAAAAAAATATCTAGTATTAAATACGAGTTGCGAATTCTCAGGTATATGTTTTTATCGACTGTACGTTTCTGTGTTTCTGAGAATTTTTTTTCGAGTATTATTTTCCTTAGTAATTAAGTTTAGATCATTTCGTCTTGAATATAATTGTTATAATTTAGATATAGATTTTATAGGTATAGTTGACATTAATATTTAAAATTAATCGTGAAAACAGACTTAATTTTATTTAATGTTAAAATCTACATTTGAACATCGTAAAAAAATGTTACATTTTATAATGTTTATTATAAGCTTATGCATCATTCTAGTTCTCAATTTTAAGAATCATAGATTTATTTTTATATCGTTTTTTTTTTTCTAATACTACGTAAACAGATTGTTCGTCATCGTATACATTCGTGGAATTGGAAGGGAATTGAGATTGAATTGAATATTATATACAGTGTAAACTCGATATAACGACACTCGATTTAACGACAAACTCTCTAAAGCGTCGAAATCATTTGACTTTGGTTGGTTTAGCTTGTCTACCATACAATGATACACTCTATATAGCGTCACAGCCACTCTCAATAACGACAAAATTAAGTAATAAAAAGTACCCTTAAGTTGCTAAAATTAGTAAAAAATGCGCAGCTGTGTACGTTTTTTTGTCGCTTTCTTATCCTAGCCCGCAATAAACTCCACTGTCGTAATCATGCATACCAAACTTTCTAAGAAATTCGTTCTTCACCAATATGCCTCAATATCGCAAGATATGAATAAAATACGTAAAAAATACAACAACATTACTGGTGCAGCAAAACACGTCAAACAAAAACAACAGACTTTATAACATTCTTTTTTATGTACATAAGTACTAACAGTAGTCTGAAACAAACTTTGTCTTTTTCTAATTCTGATTTTTCTTCCCTCTATTTAACGGCAACTCTCTATAACGCACAAAAATGCACGGTCCCTTCAGTGTCGTTATATAGAGTTTACACTGTATATAATATTTTATAACTACCACTACTACAAATGCTTAACGGAGATGGTTTTTTAGAGTTCCGTAGTGCCTTGTAATATTATATCTTAAGTTAACTTCAAAATATACCATATATTGAGTTTATGCTGACGTCAAAGCTGGGTCACGAAATGATAATGTTTAGTCATAATTTATACACTTCACTCTCTGTAATGTATTTGTTTTCTGTATATATCTTTTCTAGTTATTTTAAAGTAAATATATTTTCTAAAGCAATATTATATTTATATAAACCAGACATCAAAAGAAAGATTTATTATGTCTTGCAAAAATTTGTTTTAGATTGAAAAATGAATTGAATTTTTCTGCGAGTGCAACTCTTAGTAAATATTATGTATATTGCTTTCAAGTTTCAACGGAGAAATTGTATATTTTGTATTATAATATGCTTTATATATAATTAAAATCGGTTGTATAATATGTATGTATATTGTCAGGCTTAGTCATAGCATATTATGTCCGTTTGCAAAATATCTTGTTACAAATTGATACATTTTATGGGCGTTTTGTAGTTAATAATGAAATTAAAATGAATTGCAATAATCATTTAAATTAATTCAATTACAATAAATTAAAACGTGTCCTGTTTAAACTTTAACATTAACAAAAATATTTCTATAGAATTTCGTATTAGCAAGTAAATAAAGTTCTTTTTTTCTTCCAAAACAATTTAAATCTCATTTAATAATTAAGACACATTAGATAATAATAATTATACATAATTATATTATCTGTAATCAAATAATTAATTATAATTGAATATTAACGAGGTTTTATTGTGTTATTGTAACTGGCACGCGATGTTTTGATGGAACGAAAACAACAACAAAAAATAGAATAACCCGCATGTTGTTCATGCATGGAATTGGATCGCCATTTCTTTTGTTTATTTCCATTCCAGTTAAATTTATCGTCATATCATGTTTTTTATCTTCTATATCTTCTTCTTCTATATATATAAAAATGGATTGCTGTTCCTTAGTCTCGCTAAAGCTCGAGAACAGCTGAACGGATCTATCTTATCATAGTCTTGAAATGTTCGTGGAGGTTCAGGGAAGGTATAAAAGCTGAAAAAAATTTATTCATTACTGGGAAAACCATAAAAACAGACCTTTTCTATTTCCCATACAAACGTTTTTTTTTGACATTAGATTTGACAACTAACTAATATGTCAATCATTCTGTCGCACTTCAAAACACGGAGATTTATGGCTTACAGGTAAACTCCAAAAATATAAATAAAAAAACGTAATATGTAGATACTTCTTTATTGTAGGGCGATACGAAGTTCGCCAGGTCTTCTAGTAAAAGATAAAAAAAGATAATCTATGTTACCATGTATATAGTTTTGCGGTGAATCTAATTATAGCTTTATATTTATGCTGTCATTAACACATTCATAGAACAAGACTATTATGTCCATTCAATTTCAATAGTATTCGCATAGGATGTTGATGTATAACTGGTCCTAGATTGACGATTAATCATATTACGACATTAAAATTACAAAACTTAATTATAGATATATTCTATTCATTAATTGTCATAAATGTATAGGTATTGCTTTAACAATAGTTTCAAGCGAAAAGCGTTTTCTGAATCAAATAATATTTTGTTTGTATTATACTGCGAATTGCCAAAGTTATGCCAATTTCTTCATATGACGTCACTATGTAGATATTATATTTTATGTTCAATTTATGTCAAAGTTAAACGAACCGTTTCGTCAGTAGATAGCGTTGGATAGACAAACATATTGTTATGATAACATCAGTTGGGTTATCATCAACATCCGTCATTTGAACGGAATCTCTCAACAATTATTATGTATATATTATTATATTATTACGTATAGTGACAAAACGGTCGATAGCAGACTGTAATGAATTATTTTGTAGTTCAATTTAGAATAGAAAAGACAATTTATATATTTAGAATTTTCACGGATTATTATTATAAATATGTCCATTAAAATCATGGTAGTGTGTGTAATTTGTATAATAAAAATGAATATCTGTAGTATTTTTGTCTCAATAAACTATTTCTTCGCAAATCTCTCAAAAAAGCGATTTTAACACCCTACCTATTATAATAATAATAAAATAACCCATATAAAATGTTTTCAAGAGTTCAATGACTTTTCTCGTACAATTTATTGTAGTACACGTAGCGTCGTAGGAACGGTTCCGATATTTCCCACCGAGTGCTATTTTTGTTTTGGCCATCAACGTCAATGTGATCTGTCTTCCAAGAACTAGAGAGCGAAGCGTTCGAAACTTATCACTATTTATATACCCACTGTCAATGTCTTGAAGATATTTTCCTATTATATACAGGGTAACTGGTGAATTACTATCGATACTTGAGGACGTGATATTTGACGATCATATATGACAAAATAAAAATTAATATAACATAAATATTAATAAACTTCTAAGTAAAGTTCACCAAAAGTTATGTAATTAATTACGCATCGTGTGAACACCCTACAGATTAGGTATATATCCTTACTAATATTATAAATGCGAAAGTAACTCTGTCTGTCTATTACGCTTTCACGCCTAAACTTCTGAACTGATTTTAATGAATTTGGCACAGAGATGGAGTTGACCTTGAGAAAGAACATAGGATAGTTTTTATCCCAGACCTTTGAAAGGTTCTCTTGGAAACGCGATATAACCGAACTCCACGCGGGCGAAGCTGTTGGCGGAAAGCTAGTAAATAAATAAAATGAAAAAGGCATGTAGTCTTACGACTATCAGATCAAAACAGCCGGATATAATTCGATGTAATTTTATCATATTTATTTCATGAACACTTCGTCCTTGTACAGTAAAATTTATTACAAAAATCATCTCTGACATATTTAATTATATGTAATCTCATTATTTTAATATAAAAAAATTAATTTTTTCTCGAGATGCATAGAAAAAAACATTCAGTTTATTGATACTTGTACCATACTCATATTTTCAATTTCCACATCCGTTTGGTTCATTGCCAAAATATCGTAGGTATATAAATTAAATAAGAACATTTTTCAAACAGTTCCATACAAGTCAAACCCGGATAACTATGATTAATTCCGGCCCCATTACTCTTACCTCATTTGACAATAGTTTAATGTTTGTATGGGAAATTTTACTTGAAGTCATATATAATTCAATAGTCCGGTTGAATTTCCAGCAACATCAGATTAATTAGTTGGCTAGACTATTGATATTTATCATGGCGCTCGAATGCGTCGCGGACTACCCAGTCGCCACTGGCTGACAGCCAATTCGTGTATCTTACACCTGACATTTGAATAAATCAACACAGATACAAAAAGATTGTAAGATATTTTTTTATTACATTTTCCATTAAAACCTTCACCAAAAAGCTCATCGAACAAAATCATGTCATGTTTTCTATATAAAAAAAAAATCGTGAAACTAAACTAGATTCTTATTAACATTAAAAAAGTGATGCAAGAATTAATGTTTATAATAAAATATAAACAGCCCTTGTTTTTTTGTTTTAATATTTTTAAAATGATTAAACCACAGCAGGGGTAATCCAAATTATTAAACACCCCATACTAGTTTCTGTCCGAAATGACTAACAAATTAACCGTAAATATTACACAAAAAAAGCCTAATTTATTACGTAAAGGTGGCAACCCAAACTGCGAGCACATGTTGTATTTTTTATGTGTGTTATTTCTTTTAATCTGTATCCTCTTAAATCAGTAGGGCGTTAGTGTTAACGGTGAATCGATTTATAAGCCAACGTGACTAACTGTACAGAGGAGCCGGAATTATGTTGTTATGGTCGCCTCTATATGTGAAGGTCACGTTTATAATTAGCCCGCTCTTTTAGTTCATAACTCTACAGTCTAGTCTAGACATATGACGATTTGAAATTGGAACTGAATCAAAATATGTTGCCGAAGTAATAATAAATAATTTTATTCTCTTTATTTGAAATCGAAAAAATAACGGATTTAATCTTCGTTTATGTAGGTCATGTTAAGGAATTCCAAATTTAAATTCTTGTAAAAATATATTTTGTAATATTAGCATACTAGCCCAGAAACCGTTATTACTTTGTTACCAATTTACATATCAATATTGATTTCTTAGTATTTACAACAGTTCCTTCACGAAATGTTCGTGTCGTAACACTTGCCTTCCGTGTTTATTAAGCATTTTGTATTTAGTATCAAATTATTGTTAACGAATTATAAAGTACATATATTAATGTAGGTATATAAAAAAGCATGTTGTATTCGGATTCGTATATATGCAATAAACGACAAAAATGATGTTCTCGATTCTAACGTATTTTTATGTTTCATCATAAATTGTAAACCCCAAAAAAGAATTCGATTTTTGAATTCGATATATATTTTTTAATACGAGAATGTTTATATGAAAGTCGACTAAGTACTCTTTAGAAGTAACTCACACTTTAGTCATCATTCGAAGTTGCGTAATGATATGACCAAATTTTACAATATCAAATCGTTTTTACATCTTTATTTACAAATAAAACGAATCTTTTCCTTATATAGTCTTTTTCTAAGCTAATTTCGTTATCTTTGTCTACAGACGAGAGCATGAAGCTAGTGCTGCTGCCCCGTCTCCGCCCGTGGATGCTCACGCGAACCTGATGGCAGCCATCAGGCAAGCGGGCGGCGTCGGTCGGGCGAAGCTGCGGCACGCTGACGACATGACGACAGACAAGGTAATTATAATATTAGAGTATTATATAACACACAAGACACGCAGATTATCATGTATATAGTATGTCGTCGGGGATAGTGCAAAATCCGCGTAACTAGCATTGGATAATTCCGCGTATCTACATTGGAAACAGATTATAAGAAGAAAGATAGATTAATATAGAAAATAATTCAGCTTAAATTTTCTTCTGATAATCTGATTCCTTTGCAGATACGCGGAATTATCCAATGGTAGGTACGCGGATTTGCACTATCCCCGACGGTATAGAATATATTATAATTTATATACATAGGTAACTTAGGTTCGTTTCTCTAATTGTGTCAATTTGACTTATTATGTCATGTCTTAAACGTAAAGCGGTTTGAGGAAATATTGTATATAATTTATATAAATTTACGAATCAACACATGTCAGCTTTAATTGTGTTGTTAATGGACAGTCATTGTTTTATTCTTTTTTCAAATCGATGTTTGAAAATGTTCGGCCTTCAAATATTGTAAGAAAAAATGTTATAATTTTCCTTATAACTTATTTTATATATATGTATAAGAATAGCTTTCCGCCCGCAGCCTCGCCCGCGTGGAGTTCGGTTATATCGCGTTTCCAGGAGAACCTTTCAAAAGTCTGGGATAAAAACTATCCTATGTTCTTTCTCAAGGTCAAATTGTCTGAACCAAATTTCATTAAAATCAGTTCCGTGGTTTAGGCGTGAAAGCGTAACAGACAGGCAGACAGAGTTACTTTCGCATATATCATATTAGTGCGATGTTGCAATTTGAGTATGAATCAATATTATTGTTTTTAACAAAACAGCATTTGTATGAAAGATATCTATTGTGTATACAGATGACGTTATAATATACATATTTTTTAATGAATACGGTTGAATCAATTCTTACAGAATCGGTTTGTACGAGAATAATTACGATGGCGTCGGTCGCTTCAAGGAAATCGCGATAATTGTACGCTCGTCTGTTTCTGGGAAGCGTAGTACATGATAGGGCATTGATAATACTATCACTATTATATACTCGTGTTGGGAAATATACTTATATATATAATGAAGAGTTATTACCATTGATTTATTTATAGGATTATCACTATCATGAAGTCGCGTATTTGAATTCGTTTTCCTTAAGAGCTATTGTGATTGGTTTGATTTTATGTTGTTGTAATAATTATACTAGTATTATCCTTCGATTATGCTCGTGACGTCACCGGCCGTTTTACAAAAATGCTTCTCAACAACAGCCCGCTTCATACAAGTTGCCTTTTGTCGCGAGCTTTCCAAGAACATGCGTTTGTTTCTCCCCGATACTCGGACAAGAGTTTTATTGTTTTTTTATAGATTGTTCGCTGGAGATGTCTTTATAAATGGTTTCCATGAAGTGGCAGAAGTCTTGAACAAATATTTGTAAACGCAATGAAGTCGCGTATAGGTTAAAACATACTACTTTTTTATTAAGTAAAATTAATTTTAGATGCCTGGATGGTTTTATATCGAAAATGTTAATGGATTAATAACACAGAAAAGGAACAAATGTATGAAATTTAACTTAATGTATTTACGAGAAATGTTCTATTTGTCTTAAATAACAGACGCTAATTTAATTAGAACACGTAAATTTGCTCACAAAACATTCGTATATTTGATGACGTAATCAGAAATAACCGAAATTTATTTCATACAATGTTCAAGTTGGTTCTGCGATGTTAAATATCAGGGGAATTCATATTTTGCTGAGCGTCAATGCATTTTAGTATGTCATATATCCGGTTTTCTAAGTCGTTAGGTTCTCGGTAACCCGACGGTATCCATTAAAGTGACCTTAAAAAGCAACAGCAGCTTCAACGATCAGCTCCCAAACGTTCTTGTATTAAATTATTCCATTGAGACACATCCTGTGTGTACATTTCAAGGAGCCCTCTTTGTGTATCTGTTAAATATCCTCTTGTATGTGACTGTGTCCGGTGTAGAATAGTTGTTTTGATATTAATATCGATAAGAATAAATAAAAATAGATTACCGAATAAGCCTATGTTAAGTAATTCTTTATTACATAGATATCTGTCCGTGTTCTCAGCAAAATCGGTTCAGCCGTTTTAGAGATTAGTCGTAACAAACAGACAAACAGGAATTCTAAAAACATTAAAATTCTAAATTATAATATACGATGCATACTACTATATATATACTCAATTTCATATATGTATTTCTATACACGACCTCTGTCAGTCTTATCACAAATAGTTCAACAAAATGACGTCACCAATAGTTTATCTAAAGCTAATGTATTTTCAGCAAAATTTCTAAGATAATTAATGAATGTGTTTTAAGAATTGTATTGTTTAGTTGTTTATTGTTATACAAACGTGCCATTGACCTTATCCCAGTCGTTAATACGTTCAAGTGTACTTCAATTCTTAGTATACGTATACGTATCTATCAATTTAATTTTGTGTAAGCAATGATAGGAAATGTTATCGAGCAACCTCTGACCTTATATCACAAGCAATTATACAACTCGAGATGGAAATTGAAATACGCTGGATGTTCTACGAAACTCTTAATGTATGTGTATTATGATTTAGATGGAAATGTTTTTATTATGAATTCTGTGTTAGCTATGAATATTAATATTTGGAATTCATTAATTCAATTTGATTTCTTAATTATAAATTCTTTTCGTTGTATATAAAGCTATTATATAAATGTGTGGGTTTTATATTATACTAGCTGCGCCCCACGGTGTTACCCGCAGATTTATGGGATGTAAAGTAGCCTATGTGTTATTCCTGGACGTCAGCTTCCTGTATACAAAATTTTATAAAAATCGGTTCAGCTGTTTGAGCGTGAAGAAGTAACAAACATACACACACACTCACAAACTTTCGCAATTATAATATTAGTAGGATAGGATATATGGCTTTTTTTAGAATTGAACGCGATATTATATTGTTGCTGGTTCCATTCTAGTTAATGAAGATGAATTTTAATTCTAGTATTAACGTTTATATAATTCTGTATATATAATTATATGCATATGTTTTCGTCATTATAATTAAAGTATTCTTTTTATCAGGCGAGTAAACCAGTAAGTGGTGATCTAATGGCTGATCTCCACGCCAAGCTATCGATGCGTCGTCGTGGTATATCAGGTGCCGAGGGTACAGTGCTTCATACATTGGCCAGAATCATACCGGAGCCGGGGGAAACTACTGAGAGATCTTCGAGCGACGACGAATGGGATTAAGGCTGTGTACACACTGGCGATGTTACGATAAGGCTGTGTACACACTGGTGAATCTATGGAACTAAAAATTTTATTCAATGTATGATAGTAATATATTGTATAGAAAACATTTCATCTATTTCGCATTACACTGAAATCATTATTGTGAATTTAGCACTATTTTGGCTTCTTTTTTTTATTCAAATGTAAAATACATAATGCAACAATTTCGAGATTCTTCAAAAGATTTGTAACCAGTTTTTTTTTTATTCGCGTATCTTAATCGTTCCGACTTCTCGGAAGCTCTTAATGTTACTAGAAATTATATCCAATCGAAAATTTAAATTAATTCATTAAAGAAATATATATTAATAAATAAATATGAAGTCTTATAATGTATATAATATTAAACATTGTTGTAATAATACATCGGAGGATCAAAACTGGCTGTAGTTCCGGGAGTTTATTACGATAATCGCATTTCTCGTAAGCGGGCACCGTCTCGCTTTCGTTTCGTGGAAGGTGCCCGGCGAACTATCAACTGGTTCGGGTGATTAGCATTACCAGAACTGGCGGGAAAAAAATATATATCGTACACCTTATACACGCCCGCTCTGATGTTTAATAGCTCTGCTGAAATTATTATATTATACGATCGGACTGATTGAAAAATGTTGAGCTTCCCTGTGACGTAGATCGAGTTCGGCGTGGTGCTATGAGTTTAGATTTGTTTTGAAATTGGTGAGCTTTTACGGTTTATAAAGAGTTTTTATGTATTATATATGTATGTAATTGGTAATTATGTTGTATACTTAAGTTCAACGAGAGTCGCTGGTGCTATCATAGAATGTTACTGGAACTGATTGTTATGGCATAGAGGGTAGTTTGTAAAGTGGCATATATAAATAAAATTTCTAAAATTTTAATAGTTTAAAACCTAAATTACTCGTACGAAGTTTGATGGATATATATTAAAAATTTTTTTTATTGATGAATTTATGATATTACATCGAAATTATGAAAAAAATTTGCTCTCATGTAACATATGAGTTAAATAATAATATTACGTGACGTGGGTAATAATAATATTTGTTAAATTCACTGCTGAGTTTGTATGGTGTGTATTCAGCACGCGCTCACAACAGTTAGTTATAAGAACTACTAGTCGCCTTAAGCTTAAAACAAAAGATAATCCGTGCTAACATAGAACGATCTATATAATTACGTTTTATATATAACCTCTAACGATGATGGAACTTCGTTAATTGATCTTCGTTTATGAAAAAAAAAACACTACTTCTATTGTTCATGTATAAGACGAGCACAAGCCGTTCTTGCCTGGCGTAAATTAAAAAAAATAATTTCAATATTCTAAATTCAAATTACGTTTGAAAATAGCAATAAAAAATAGATGATTTATAGTCCCTCGCCCTAATAATTTTATATTACGCGCCCGCACGCACCGCGATCGAAGCTTTTATAATATTAAAGCAGATGTTTAATTTGCCATTGTATTTTAAGCTGTTGCCTTTTATAATGAATCTGATATAAATTTTAATTTAGGCTAATTAATAGATATATCGGCATCTTTTAAGTTTATATTAACTATTATTATGTAAATATTAGAGGTCATATTATTAATTGTATAGATTTTTTACTTTATATTATTATTTAGAATACTTGCCTCGTTTACGGATTAAGTTTTGGGACTGATTGATTTATATCTACATAACTATATATATTTTTTAATCTGCATTTTAATAGTCAATGTCGATGCGATGAGATTTTTTTTACTTTAGGATACAATATAGTCAGTTATTATTAAGATGGATTGGTGATTTTAATAAAATATTAATAATGAGAGATCAATTTATAATGGTTATTATTTTATTAATGTGGTTTAATGTACATCACTAATCCGTCGCATGGTTTCTGAACGTTTGTAAATATATCTGGATGATGCCTATTTTACAATGTTTATCTATTATAATCTATGTAAAGTGTCTACATCGTTTGTTGTATGGATGTATTTTCATTGTTACAATATCTGGTTGTAAGTCAATAAATGAAATTAATTAAATTTTGTCCTTTGTTTTTTTTTGTTTCCACCCCGTTTAGGACTATTGCGGATTTATATTGGGTCGCAAACACTTGAGTCATCTTGAGTTTATTATAGTGATAAATCTGTCTTAAAATATATTTTTTACTGCTATATATAAATGTCGCTTCGTATCGGCGAGTTTTCACACATTCCGCTTATTTATAACGGAGAGTTGTCTCGCTAGAAAGTTGGGTGTTTCGGGTTCTACACGGCGCTGCTCCACAACTACACAGTTCTCGGTATCACGGCAACGAGTATTTCGGAATCGGAAATACTGTTTCCAAGAAACAGCTGGCCTCAACGAGGCGCGTGCTGGAGGACGTAGATCGCGTGGGTGTGATAAGTAGCTTTACGCAATCTGCATCCCACTTACGAATTTTATATTTATTATATGTGACATTTATTAATATATAAATTTAAATTCACGCTTTATTCAAAAAGACCGAATTCAAGAAGTTTTTAATTATGTAAAATATATAACTGTCCAGCTAAATTATGAAAACTTTGTAATGAGTCTTGACGCTTTAAGCTAAAATTCTAACTACACTTTGAATTCTTAGTATCCTAAATGGATTTATTAACATTATTAGTACGTACGTTTAATTATCTTATGAACAATCCTTAGATTATAGCCTAAAGTCCGCTTATTTCATTACTTTTACCTCGTTGATTTCTCAATGTCATTCAATTAAATTGTTGGTGGATTAAATTGTATCCAAGTTGTTTATTATTGAACTACAGAGAAAACATTGATGTTGCAGCTTAAATCTATGATCTATCTAAAACTAAACGTCAGTGACGTCACCACTTTCTAAACTCTAATTCTCAATACGAAGTTTTATAATAATATTTATTATTTTGTCATAAACCAGGCTTTAGGTTTTATAAAACTTTGAATAATATAACACCTCAAAATGTATTTTGTGCTCATGACTGTATGAAAAACGAAAGGGTACATAATATTTCTTTTTTAAAGTTTTTGCTACAATTTTTTTAGAATTATATCAATAAATCATACAAATAAATAACAGCTGCATTTAGTATGCGTAAATATTTTTTGTCAAATCAGTTGTCATTCTTGACATCTGACATCTCTATTTATGATTAGAGGCAAACTTATTGTAAACAGTAACTATCTATTTATTTTTGACAATAACTTATTAAATATAAACCTTTAATTAAATTATCATTTGTAGCAAAAACCAGTTATGGCTGTAGCTTTTCAGCAACAAATTTTTGCATTAGATGCTCGTTTTAATGCATATCGAGCACCAGGAAATCCAAACTTTAGTAAGTTTAACTTTCCCTCATATTATCTTTGTAAAGCAATTCAAATATGTGCTAATAATATCGTATTTTGTATAATTTTATATGTTAAACCATATCAGCATCACTAAGGGAGTATTTTTTACAGAGACCCTTTACATAAGGAGAAGAAGCCAACTTTTGAGAGAAAATGCCAAATTTAAGGTACATACTTTTTATTTCATATTTTATTTGCATCATATAGGAAGTTAAATGTGAAAGTAACCTTTTATCTTGTCTGAATATGATCACTATAAGCTATGGTTGCTGTAAAGTAACCACAAAGTCGGGAGTATGTACTTCATAAAATAATAAAAATGAGTCCTATCATTCCAAAACTCTATTCATTTAAATGAATATCAGCCAAAATCTTGGACATAATTATTGATAATCAAAATATGTTTTATTATATTCAGGATATTGAAACAATTAAAAAGTACATTAATATAAGAAGCCAGTTGCTTCAACGTCGGTATGGAGTACAGGATAATATATCAATCAGTTCATCGTCATCCAAACAAAGATCCAATAGTAAGGTGAATAGCAACTTCTTTCTAATAAAACCAAAAATTAATTTTGATACTTAGAAGGGTGGTTAGTTAATTGGGAAAATTAATGTAATAAAAAGTACAATACTGTAATAATATGTAATGTTCTAATATATAATACATTAACACATACTGTAGTAGAAACCAAACCAAGAATTATTCATTTCTTATAAACTTCTATACTATAAAAACTATATTATTGTGGTTAAATGGTGTAAGAGAAATTAATTGTAACTTAAACAATGTCGGTTTTAAACAAGTGACATCTAAAATATATATATTGCATAATAAAAATATTATCATTTAAAACTTCAGGCCAGCCTGGCAGTTGATGAGTGTATAACAATCAATCCCAAGAAAAAAAGTGACATGACAATATCTGAGAATTATGCTTTCTCTGGAGTTCATCATATATTTGATCAGGTAAGGCATTAAGCATAAATAAATCTAGCTTAGTTAAGCAAAAAAAATAAAATTGACTCTAATTGACAGTTTTTATTACAAACTTATTTTTCTTGTTGTGTATTGCTTTGTTAATTTTAAAAGGTTTTCTTGTGTGTAAAATAGTGAGGTAATAATGCATTTTTAACTCTGTGTGTTGTAGCATACAGATCAAGTAAGCATGGTAAAGTTTGCTAACAATGACCGTTCAAAGCTGTGCTGTGTCTCTCATGATGGAAAGGTTTCAGTGTGTGATGTCACCGCTACACCACCAAAGGTGTCTTTCATGCTTGAAGGTCACACTAAACCGGTCACAGGTATTGTTGAACTAAAATTACATATATACATACATATATTACTGAATTGATTGTAATGGACATAAAAATTATGAAAAATAATCTTTTGGAGTCATCAAAGAATGTGTTATGGTTTTACTATCACGACAAAAGTCATTCTAATAACAGTTTAAATTAATATCATATCATAATTTTGATATTTCAATTCTCTTAAAAGCCAGTTTAAATAGAAAATTTCAAAATATTTTATAACAATTGTCTATACATACATGTTACATAAGTACGGAAGAACATCAAAATACCAAAACTCATATACCTATACATATATGTATATTAAATGGCTGAGTGTGTAGAAAGACAAATTCTATCGATGTCTTGGGTTCTATGGCAAAGTTACTCAAGAAATATATGTATTTTTAAAATACATAAGGATATAAAATTAAAAAAGTAAATTTAAAAAAAAAATAATTTCCTACCTATAAAGAAGTTTTTTAGGCTCTGATATTCTATTGAGTGTATTTCTTTACTTAATATATATTTCTTATAACAAACAGGTATCTTGTAACTACCTTAATGAAATTTTGGCTTTGTAAAGCAATATGTTATATAACTATAAATTTAAACATTAATTTTTCAGGTTGTGATTGGTCGGCGTCCAACGAGCTTCTAGTGACGTGTGGTCTAGACGGTATGTTGTTAGTGTGGCACGTGGGGACCGCGGCTCGACTGCGTGCGGTGAGGGACCAGCTCGGGGCTCCATTATTATGCTGCGCCTTCCAGCCCATCAATAACAACATGCTCATTGTATCCTTTCACAGATTATATAAACACACAGATTATATAAGACGCACAGATTATATAAAAGTCACTATGATATGTATGTCTGTATAGGAATGGTTAACTTTATCGAAAGAGGTTTCATACATTTTAAACGAGTAATGAAAAATGATTACTTTAATTCTAAGTGTAAAGGCCGGTAATGCAAGAGGTATGGTTGAAGTTCTTAATGTATCGACTGGGATATACCCTAGAGGTAAATAATTTTTTTTATAACATTAATTTCTGTTACATATACTATATTTTATATTGATTTATTTTATTTTCAGGTGGGAGCAGTATCCTCGGAGGACAGGTTCTGTCTATAGCGTGTGAGTCCAGTGGTAGAATATTTTGGGCGGCAAACGATAAGGTGAGCAATACAATTTTTATTTTATACACAAACATACATATATAAATTTTAAATTTATGTACTTAGCAAATATTTTGTTACATTATTTAATTCAAAGTTAAATGTTAAAAAAAAAGACAAAAAATTAATGAAAAGTCTTTTAAGCCGATCATGCATTCCGCTTCCCGCTCGTTCGTGATAACGCTTAATTTCGGGATTGGGAACGAGGATAAAAAGTAGCCTAAGTTACTTTTTATTACATCAGCTATCTGCAATTAACAGTCCCGTCAAAATTGGTCTTGTCATTTCAGAGATTAGCGAGAACAAACAGACAGTAATAAAAATCGTAAAAAAAAATGATATGTCGGTGTACGTACCGACTACCGTTTATATATATATTTATATGTATGTAGTAAAAAAAATATTTCAACATTACAAATAGACATTCCAATTTTATTTATATGTATAAGTATATGATTGTTTATAGGAGAAGATCAAAGATCAACCTTCTCCACACGAGACGGGAATTGCTCAGCAGTGGGCTCTGATTATCTGACGATGTTTGTTCATAGGGTTTAATAGTGAGCTACAGTACGTGTGGCGCGGGCGGGTCGTTGAGGAAGCTCCGTCGCTGTGCGGTGGGCGCGGCCGTGTCCTCTCTCTGTTGGAGCCCCTGGCTCGCCCGACATCCTGCACTGTTGGTTAGCGTCGCTGACGACTCGCTGTATCTCTTCAGGTAGATATCACTGAATAGATAATTTAACATCTGTAGGAATAATATGAAGTCGCAGAGGACATAAATATAATATGGAAATAAACTCAGAAATCGCTTTTAGTGATAAAGCCGCTCTTGCCTTCAATTTTCTTTATTTATATGTAATGTTATTTCCTATAATTTTGAGTGCAATAAAGTATATTTCTTCTTCTTAACTGAAACTTTAATTATCATGTGTGTTACAATCAGAACATTTGAACAGACAGATTTTTTCTGTTAGTGTCATGGACAAGACTGATATCTAGCGACATAACTTCAGTTTATGGTTTGCGTTCCATTTCAAATAAATGATTACATGATGAATTCAGTATAATATTTATTACGAAAATATTCTATGCACACGTGGTGTTTAAAAAACAAAAAAGTCTTGTAGTCTGGAGATTAGCGAATAGCGATGAATATGAAAAGTAACTTCTAAATAGTATTGTGGACCAGTAAGATTATTTTAATTTAATTAATACAAAAACTAAAAGTATCTTGAATTCCATTAACGCACGGAGGTATATCTATACAGTACACATACATATAGCTCATGAGAAGGAAAATTTAATCTTGTTCGTATCTACTCCTCCTTTTTGCGTCGGTTTCCTCATTGCTGAGGGTCGTGACCTCGCATGAACGTTTTCATGCAGACAATCCTATGCCATCCGTGTCTATCAAAAAAACCCGGGTACCAGATGACGCCGATTGTTAGTCGGGTCGTCCAACAAAATTAAAGCTGTTGAGTCTGAGTTCATGGAGGTTTTCTGGTTCGTATCTAATGTTTTCATTTATTAATGTCTTTCAGGATTTCCGATCGTGAGGGCGGTCTGACCCTCAAGAAGCGTTTCTGTACGCAGCACCGCAGCCAGCGCGTCCGCTCCACGTTCTGTCCGTTGATGTCGTTCCGTCGCGGCGTGTGTGTGGTCAGCGGCTCCGAGGACGCCTGCGTCTACTTCATGGACATTGAAGGCCACGCGGACCAACCCGTCGTTAACAAACTACAGGGTATATAACATATATACTATAATAAGTACAGCTGCTATAAATAGTTTTATATTATACTAGCTTTCCGCGTGGAGTTTGGTTATATTGCGTTTCAAAGAGAACCTTTCAAAAAGAATAAAACCTATCCTATGTTCTTCCTCAAGGTCATCTCTATCTGTACCAAATTTCATTAAAATCAGTTCAGTGGTTTAGGCGTGAAAGCGTAACAGACAGACAGAGTTACTTTCGCATTTATAATACACATTAGTAGGGATATATGTATGTATAGTGTAACTTATAATTGACCTTGATCAACTTTACTTTGTATAAATGTGTCTGTAAGATGTACACAAACGTTTTATTAATTAACTTTTTGACATTTGTTGTAAATTTGACTGTATTCAGTCATATATAAGGAATATTTTAGGATGACAGTAATAATGTATGTAATAACTGAAGGTCACGCGTCTCCCGTGCTCGGGGTCAGCTTCAGCTACGACGAGAGTCTCCTCGCAACCAGCGACTCCTCAGGACTCGTCATTATATGGAGGAGAGGATGAACCTAATGTCGATATAGCGATAGAACTTATTGACAACATGTTAAAGTTGATTTTTGATTATCAAATAAAATATTTGACATGTAAATAGAATTAATGGAAATTATTAATTATAAGTTGTAAAAGTACAGAATATTGTAAGTGTATCGATCTCAAAATTTTAAATTATATTTTGATCGTTATTGACTCTGTATTATAATGAATCACTATTTTATCGAATGTTTTTTATTCGTTATAAGCACTTTAAATATCTTTTATATCATCTGTGATGATCATGATTAGTATTGTGAATAAATAATTAAATGAAATTTCATGTTTTGAATGCTGACACCCATTTCTATAGGATTCCTTTCTTTTTAAGTTTCATTTCTTTCCAAGTTGGTTTTATGGTATTCCGTGGAAATTCCACGTTAAGTCCGAGATATAAAATACTAAAGATATTACCCGTTGAATATAGTTATAAGCTGCATATACTAGAGATTTTTTACTTATGAGAGTTATGAGTAGGGCCCGGATTTATAAGTAAATACATATTTTTAATTTACGCGATTTTCGGTCTAGAATGTGTTTTTTACATAGACTGTCATATTTAGACTGTGAAAAACCAACTTTTATTTTCCATATTTTACCATATTTCAAAGTTAAGTCCATATTTTACAAGAAAATGTCAGAATCATCCATACATTCACAAAAATACATAAAATTTACGTTCCCGCTACTAATGCTTTGGATAAAAATAAAGGATTAAATACGCTAAAAAAATTAACAAAATTCTGTGCGAAAGTTTCGAGGGCTGTAGACATGGCTTACAAAATTACTGAATTAAGCATGTTTAAGTATGCACCCATCACGTCATGTGACTTGAGATGAGACCAATCAGCAGATGTAATGCTATATTTCGACCAAATCGTCAGAGTTTTAATTTTGATAATTTAAAGAAGCACGTCATTGTGTATTGTATTCCAACCAATTTGATGAGGCTAGTGTAATGGAAGTTGAATAAAACTGTTATTTTTTGTTGAAATAAATATTTCGCTACTTTTTTCATCGGTTTTTAAATGTAACTTAACGATGTACGTCACGACTGACCCTTTTCTTATAGTAAAACAATGTTTCATTATGAAAGTATTTAATTTTATACTCCATATTTTTGATTTTTTCGTCCATATTTTATGTAAATATTTTAGATTTTTTTTAATACATATTTATCCGGGCCCTAGTTATGAGTATAAAACATATTTTGTTAGAAAAATTATAGTTGTCAAATCCAACTTATCTATGTTGGGAAGCGATATTTCCCAAAGAAGTATTAATATTTTGTTAATAAAATTGGGTTTAGTTACCAAAACCCATCCTGTAAGCAGTTAAATTAATGCAGATATACTTATTTAATAACATCTTGGTCTAAATAAAAGTCTTATTAAGTCACAAACTTTAATCATTTATTTTTCATATAAATATTTTTAAAGACTCCACAAAGTCACAATATGAAAAAAACTTCCGATGCGTTTACATTCACTAAATACTGCTGAGAGTTCATACAAAACAACAACTTACAAACAATAAATACCATAATAATTATAAGACAAATTCATTGTAATAATTCCATGTAATTATTGTATAAGTTTAATTAAACAAATCCATTGGTTTTGGAGATTATTGTATTCATCATAATATATAAAATCTAATCAGTTTAATAATATAACGGTCTCGGCCTACCGAAACGTTAAATCATCAATTTCGCATTCTAAATCTAAAAAAAAAACATAAAACCTACATTTTAATTGCAACAAAATGAACATCTACCGATTATTTACAACTGTACATTAACGAAACAATTAAAAAAATTGTAAATAATAATAATAAAGATCAGAACAATAAACGTGTTGTAGAATTAATACATTTTTCTTATTTAAAAAAACAATTACCGTTTCCAATTAATAATTTTTTTAAATTATATTTACAGTACACAACTAAATAACTAAACCGCGACACGGAAACGAGAAGAATTGCACACGAAGTCGCTGTTGGACGTATTACTTACGACAGACGCTGGCACTGGCTGGTTGGCGACTCGGCGGAGCACGTACAGTGCGAATTATATATCAACATTCATATGTATATACTAAGTGTTAAGGTATAAAGGTAAAAATTACTATTACTGAGTTAGGTCCGCCGAGATGTTACATAAATATTAAATGTTTGACGACCAAACATACGACTAACACTTATTATATATAATGATTTCACTTAACTAGGAATTGGCTTTAATATCGAGACGATGAGTGCAGTATAATAAATAAATTAAATCATCGGAGAAATTATTGATAGCATATAATAGTAAGAAAATAGAAATAATACATTAAAATAATTCTTTACGAACTGCACTCAAAATAAAGTGATGCGTAATATTGTGCGTGAGTGTTATATAAGTACGGAAAAATACGAAAACATAGAATTAATTTACGACACAACATACACTTAAACTGTTACATACTTATACTCAATACATGTTACGTGATCAAATAAATAAAACATCGTGCTGCAGTAACATGTCTCCTCATGTAAGATCTAATAAAACACTACCATATAATGTGAACAATAAAAATTTTAACTAGCATCTAAACTAACATTTGTTTACTGCGACCGTATAAAATATCGTAGGCCGTATCTATGGCGAGAAGGCGCCGCGGAGGCATCACTTACAAATACAATTATAAATACGACAGCGCTATATCTACATATACGTTAAATAATTCACGGCTCTTTGTACCATTGTTGTGTACATCGATAATGGCGGGGCGGTGACCACTCATGCGCCGACAGCCATCTTTATATAATACGTATTTCTATTGTTCGTATTATTATAATCATAAAAACAGATCTAAATTCGATATGTATAAAATGTCATGCAAAACAAATGTATTCACTATGATCGGTTCAGCGACGTTTAGACGACGCCGGATTAATAGATAAGAACGAAAACTTTGTGGTTTGTTACGACGAGGAGCTTATGAAGGAATCATTGTTAAGGGAAACTTTGGAAGAAAATTATAATCCTAGCTGTTAATTACTGAATATTCCTCGATCCTCGTCCACACCACCGACGGGAGCTCTAACTTATACACAGTCTACAGTCTAAACTGCCTCTAGGACACATCAGAGGCGGGTTTGTTTCTCTCCAGCGTCGTCTTCGCACTGCTCTCTATCCCAGAGTCCTCATCCCCACTGTCCAGCACGGTTCCCTCCCCCTTCGTCTCGCCCCTGGCGCCCGCTTCCTTCCCCTCCTCCGAGGTTACGTCACACTGCAGTAATTCATCCGTTAGTATGATCTTGTCGGTATCCGTGTTGTTCGCCGGCCTGCAGTGCGCGCTCTTCCCGAACGTGGAGAAGGTCGGTTCAGGCATGACGTCATCTCTTGTATCGGTGGTGGTCGGCGGGACGGCGGATGTCTCGTCAGTCATCTCGCACGAGTTGGATCGTTTGGGTTTGTCGAGCACGAAGCTGAACACTCGGCTGTGTCGTGGCGAGGGCGCGTGTGCGTGCGGGCTGGGCGGTAGGTCTAGCTTCAGCTTGTCCCGTGTGTGTCGCAGCCCGCCGAGCGCCTCGCGCGGTGAGCTCGGGCTGACTGACTCGCTCGAGCTGGCGCTGTCTCCACGCCAGCACGCGTCCACTTCCGGGAGCCTCTTATCTTTGAAGTCCTCTTCCGCCGTCGAGCCGGGAGTTATATCTTCGACGCCCGAGTCGGGTGTTGTGAAGTCGAAGGACGGCGTCGGTGTGAGGGCTATCGCTGTTTGAGTGTTGTTCGTGTTGGTGGGTACGGGGGTCGGCAGCGGAGACGGGGGAGGGGGGAAGTCCTCGCTGACGTCATCGGACAGCTGCCGCTCCAGCATGGGCTTGACGTGCATGCCCGGGAAGAACTGGCTCGTGGTGGACATCACGCCTAAGCTCTCGAACGGTCGAGCCGATGATGATATGAAAAAGTCTTCGTCGTAATCTGTAATAAATTGACATACCTACATATAAAAAATATACCTTTATATATATAATTCTTCTGTGAGTTTGTATGTCACTGAACTTCTGTCAAACGACTGGACCGATTTTGATGAAATTTTTTGTGCGTGTTCAAGGGGATCTGGAAATGGTTTAGATTCAACAATTTTGTCCGCTGGACAATGTTTTTTAAATTAATTTTTAATTTATTAGTAGTTGTTGATACAAACGTTTTTTTGACATTAGATTTGACAACTAACTAATATGTCAATCATTCTGCCGCAAAACACGGAGATTTGTGGCTTTAATAGGTAAACTCCAAAAATATAAATAAAAAAACGTAACAGGTATTTCTTGATTATAAGGCAATACGAAGTTCGCCGGGTCTTCTAGTACTATATAGATTTATATTGATGAAACATGTACAAATAATTTACCAGCTCCAAAGGCTATCCCTGATCGTAATGAGAACAGATCCAACGGGTCAGGTCCTCCGTACAGCTGTCCGTATCCCATTTCCGCTTCTTCAGCGCTCGTCGGGTCCCAGTCTACAAATAAAACATATTTATTATATAACGTCTCCAATATATATTATATATTTTGTAATAAGGAACACATACCTGAATAAGTGGAGTAGTCTGGTAAGTATGACGCTGGAGAGTCTACTTCGATGTCAGCGACTTCACGAGGATATTCATACACACAGTGGTACTTCTGTCTCTTGAAGACAACACGTTTCTTGCTCTCCTATTGAACAATCAATGCACATTTATAGTTATCTAATCAGAGTATCGTCTTTTTTTCCAAGATTAATTCTGAATGATAAGCATTAGCTTCTTGAAGTTCTTGGCAGTAGGAACTGCACGCCCCTGATCAATTTAAGAAACGCCATTTAGAGCATAGCTTTTGAAGCTTTTAAAAAGCGAAAGATCAAATTTGCCAAACAAAGGCTCGTATCGTTAATCCTACTAATATTATAATTGCGAAAGTTTGTGAGTGTGTGTGTATGTTTGTTACTTCTTCACGCTCAAACAGCTGAACCGATTTCGATAAAATTTTGTATACAGGAAGCTGACGTCCAGGAATAACATATACTACTTTACATCCCGCTAATCCCGTAAATCTGCGGGTAAACACCGCGGGGCGCAGCTAATTTATCATATTTTAAATATCGACTGTCCTCTCCAACACTATCGCGCTCAAACAACGCTACAAAATTCTGTTAAAGACAATTAGTTACAAAAGTTCGCTACTCACAGGTGGTTGTTCTAAGCTTCTTAGAGATGATTTCGCCGGAGCAGCCCTACAGTCCCACGAGGAGGGCACGAACTCAACTTCGTCTCCTTCGGAGCCCGAGCCGGAGTCCCCGCCAGAAGACGCTCCACCATCACCTTGGACCTCACCTCCTCCCGATTGACTCTGGGAGACACCCTCCCGCTGCTACATACAACATACAACTCATATATGAACGAATGGACGAATGAACAGTGAACGAATGATGAATGGACGATAGATATATTCACATACATGTCATTAACTGAACTATCGACAAAATCATAAATGGATTTGCGACTTATGAATAAAATATACATAATTATGAACTTGTGCAACATACGCATTACAGAAAATTATATTATGGATAAAGTGACAAATAATATAAAAATATATGAAGTTGAGGTATTTATATTAAACACAACTCACGTGGTCGAACACGGTGGACGGGACCAGCGAAGTCAGCTGACCGTCGCCGTCCTAACGCCACACAAACATACATACATGCAAGCGAACCGACACCGACAAAAACTCACCAGCAGACATATGCTAATGTAACTAACAGCTGATTAATACACAGGGTAATTGTGAAAAAAATCCCAGTATACAGGATGGTTCAATGTATCCTCGAAAAAAAGAACTTAGATCATTTTGCAAATTTTTTATACTTTCAGTGTATTTAATATTTTTGCTACATTTCTTTTATATTACTAGAAAATATAAAGTTACAGAATGCATATGTCTACGAAATGAGTAGGGGTAGAAAGTTCTATACATAGGAGTTCTAGAAATTAATTAAATATAATATTAAATTAAGTGTTGAATAAAAATAAAACATTTTCCCAAAATTTTAGTCATGGCAAGTCTTCCACCTTGTTTAAAAAACACAAATTAAAAACAAATACGAGTTTCACACAAAGTAAAAAAATGAAACCAGCAAATTAAAAAAATTAAATTTAAAATATCCCACACCCAAACAGCAAATTAGTGAACACAAAAAAAAAATCTAAGTAAAAATCCACACCTATTGGGTTTTAAAATATATAAAGAAAGAAAATCGAACTCTCAAAGGAACATTCAGCAAGCATTTCATTCACTAATAAATTACCAAAACCAAAGATTACACGGGACACATATTAATTTATTATTTTACCTTCCATATGAATTCACCGCTGGACGAGTTAGACGAGTGACTATCACTATCGCTGTCCCACTCTTTCAATATCTCCGCTGTGGGATCTTTTTTGCTATCCTGCTCACACTCAGGTGATGTTGGATCAGTTGGTGAATCTTGGGTGAACGATGTACTCATTATTTCAGTAGCTGGACCTAAATCATACGTAATCTTTAATAAAAAAAACATTATAATACATTTACAACATAATTATACGTATCAATAATACAGCATAAAATTGGAAAAGGATTAAAGTTTACAAATATTTAATACGCACCAGTAAACCTTATATCGCTGAGAAGGGGAAAGTAGGAATCCAATTGGCAAAAGTTCTTCTCGTTTTGTAAGAAATTGTCTGTAACAAGAGCTATCTTTTTATCGTCCTCATTGTTACCGCCATCGCTTTGTTTATTTTTGTCGAGGGAGACATCTGTTGTTCCTTCATTCATCGATCCTTCGTCGTTCACTTGACTCACGATGGATTCCGAATCCGTCACGATGTCAGTTGACTTCTCGCAACTAATAGTTTGTTCATCTTTGTTAACATCGCTGTTACCGAAATCATTATCATCTACGTTACTCTCTAACAGTTCTTCGAACGTTTCGTGTAGGTAGTTCACTGTTGCATACATTTCTTTGCTTCCATTGCATTTCGTTTCCTCTTTTAAAACAACATTTTCATCTGCAACTTTCAGCGATCTATTTTCTTGAACACTCCTTTCTCTTTCTGTCAATGATTCGCTTTGAGATTCTCTCGCACTAGGTTCGGAGTACATACTAATCGAAGAAAACTGTACATCACTTAGAGCTTCGTTTTCGCATATGTTATCAGCTAATCTTGCGCCGCCTAAACCATTGACTCTTTCGTTTGGTTCAAAGCTTTCGTTGATCCATATATTCTTGACGGCTTGATATCCACTGGCGTGTGAATCATAAGACTCGTTCACATTGTTTCGATTCGACTTTGAATGTGAGTCGAAGGTTCTGTTAGGGCTCACCTTAGCAGCTAGTAGGGGACTCTCAGTTATTATAATCGAATGCGGCTGTTCTGTCTCTTCTTCCACATCCAAATCAGTTATAAATACGTTCAATGGTTGGTTATTACATAACGCGTGAGATTCAGCTAGGTTCGATACATTTGTCGAATTATAACTAAGAGATTCTGTTTCTGAGCCTTGTTTAGCAGATTGACTAGTAACATCAAAGTCAGCGTTCGTTAAGTGGCCCATAGCGATTTCGCTACATTGCCTTTCGCTTTTTAATAAAAGAGAGCTAGCGTCGGTAACCGATGAAAGATCCTGTGGCCGGTTTTTGACCGAACTCTCGAACTGTTGGAACTCATCCTGACTGACTCCTTCCACATTACTAGACCTCTCTGACTCCATAGTGTCCTGGGGCTTTGCATTTGCAGAATTTTCAAAATCCGAATATCCTGGTGTATTATCTGTTAAATCTTTGTTACTAATCGATTTGCTCTCCCCCTCTAATAGGATTTCGGAACTAACACCATCTTTGCTATTATTCGATGATATGTCATGAGGTCTTTTTTCGGCCGACTGAAAAAACGTTTGAAAGTTGGGAAGACTGTTAGCCACATACTCTGAAGTATCTTCGCCAGCATCAGGCAGGTCGATGGGTATTGATTCAACATCGTCTACATCTTCGACGACGACGGAAAACGGAGTGCTGGTCACCGATTGGGCTAAGTTACGAAAATGGATATTGGGACTTCCGTGATTGTCATTTTCATTTAAGCTCGGTCCTTCTAAACTTTCACATTTATTGATTTCATCAGATGAATCTTTCAGACATGTGATTTCAACACTGTCTATTTTTCTTAATCGTGGCTCTATATTTAGCTGAGGACCATCATTTTCAGGAGATTTTTTATTTTCAATAGCTTTTGGAGGAGTAAATTTATCTTCATCGCCTATCGGAGATCTCCTTACTAACTCTGGTTGCTGTAGTTTCCACGAATCATCAATACCCGATGCCAATTCTGTGGTGCAGTGTGAGTAAGTCGGTAGCCCGGACATTAAGGTTCCGTATGCCAAATCTTTCGTTTGAGTATTTTTTGTAGAGTCGTTTAAATCAGATTTCGTAATGACGGAGGGCGTGGTGCCGACCGCTTCTGATTTAACTTTCGTGTACGTGTAATTATCGTTAGCAGTAATCGAATCTGGTGTAAATGTTTCACAGACTTCAGATTTACTGTCGTGAATGATGTAAGTGGAACAATGGCTTAATTCCTTATCATCATCGTTGTGGGTGAGAGTGTCTTCACTTTCACTCATATCCTTTTCTATACAAGCCTCGATATCCACAGCTACGTCCGAATCCATTGCAAGATCGTCAAAGTTTTCTTCGACATTATACAGCGTGTCGTTTGAACACCACGAATCTATACTCGCTGCCTTTGATAAACATTGTGTTTCGGATGGCTTGGACGTCTTCGCGTCCGTGGGAACGGTTGTTTTCGATACAGTTGAAACACCGGCTACGTTATCTGATTCTGGGACTGATGTATCTGTGGTCGGGCTGAGAAGAAATGGAGATACTTGAGACAATCTTTCGCAGTTCGAATCTTTTTCATCGTCGTTCTTCGTGTAAGTCTGATCATCGATTGGAGATTGGACTTCTTCCAGTTTTTTCAACGGACTGGCGTTTAAGCTGTCGGCGCTCATGGTTATTCTGAAAACGAAAAATAAATTTTTCAGAAAAAGGTAAAAGTATAGTTTAGTTTAATTTTTATGACGTGTGAATATACTAACTCTTTGCTGCTTGGAACTTCTTTCTGTACAGTGTAGGTGTGATTTATATCCTTGGTGATCGTGTATGTGGAGTGTTGCGCGGTCGGAAGGTCTGTTACTTCGTCCGAGTTGTTGCAAGGCTCGGGATAGCTCGCAGAAGACTCCGTACGGGTTGATGTGTTCCCTGTTTAAAAGATTCGATTAAAAAACTGTATATTAGAACAAATATAACTTGTTTCAGACAACAGCATGGAATGGCTTCGCACGGGTGAAATGCTGATGCTAAATACATTACAGAAAAACTGTGAACGTTGTAATGGATGTTATTATACATATAGCGGCTTCGCACGGCTACTACATGACATGAAATTACACAAATATTCACAATTTTATGCGTCAGATAAAAAAATAGGAAATTTAATTCTTAGATATTATTTTGTGATCTTAACCCCCCTCACGCACCTCCGTGCCCGAGTGACACCTACAAATCTACAACGCATAGTTAGCCGCCCAGCGGATATTTTTCAAAATTTTTAACTCGTGATATCTTTTGAATGGAATGTCAGAATCTAATAATTCAAAAAGTTATATAAAGGTTTTGAAACGATCTTAAATAATAAATCATTTATTTTGATAAGGATTAATACTAAAGTACAAATAAAGAGCGTTTTCAAGCATTGGTATTTTAATTAATTTTTTTATATAAAAAATCGCTTATTGTGACAAAACTATATTAGTTAGAGATATGATGTCGCGACGTTCTTTGTAGATAATTATAAGTTCTACAAAATTGTAGTACATTACTTTGTTATATCTTCAATCGTTTTCGGAGCGTTCGCGATTAAAGAAAGTTTTTTGGTATATTTTTTACATTATCGGAGTTTTGGTAAGTAGCCCTATTTTTTTAAAAACTAAATATATCCTATGTCACTCCGGGATAGCATAGCTTTCCAACGGTGAAAGAATTTTTCAAATCGGTACAGTAGTTTCGGAGCCTATTCGAGACTAAAAAACAAAAAAATCAAACCTTTCCTCTTTATAATATTATTAGTATAGAAGTATAGATATAATATTATAGTATATTGAACACTATATTATAGTTATTGAACAATAATATAACAACGGTCGAGCAAATTATATGCTGATTCTAACTTTTTGGTTAATTTTTCCTAAAGTATTAATAAACACGTACATTGGTCATCATTTTCATATGCAGACAGTTGCATGCGTGTTTCTTCAGCGATAGGTGATAGCGCGCCATATGTTAAAACGAGCTCAGGAGGCGGAGGTAGTTCCGTCCACTCACTCTCTACTGCAGGTTCGATTCCTGCTACCTGCAATTTTAATTTTTTTTTTAATAATTTGCTCTTAAAATAAGAAACAACTAATAAATTTTACTAGACATACCTGAGCTAATGGCAGTTTCAATTCCAATTCATTTCTCAATTCTTTCATTCTTTCCTCATCAATCGCAAGACTATCCCTTAAATTCTCTCCTGAACTTTTATTCCCCGCTAAATAAGACTCCGTTACAGCTTCGCTATCTGCTACTACAACGGACTCGTTAAATATAAGGCTGTCTTCTGTTAACGGACCCGAGTACTCTAAATTCATGTTGTTCTCATTCTCAGCCATTGCCAATTTTGTAGTCATTTGGAGATCAATTTGGTTTAAATCCACGACATCTTCGTTGGCATCATTCGGTAAATTAGAATTATTTATATCGATGTCTACTAAGTATTTTTGGTGGCTTGTAGTGGCAAGAAAATTTCCTGGCGAATTAGGTGGTGTTAAAGGTGAAACATGCCTTTCGGTAGAAGATTGTTCCTCGGTTTCTTCTGTTTTATTGGCTGAGAGGGATTCTGGCTTTTCTTCACTGAGGGTTGCTATATCGTCAAAATGCAATTCGTCCGGTACAATATCCGGAACTTCATTTAGAAAATTGCTGTCTCGTAATGGAGAAGGCGTTTCTAAGTTCATTTCGCTAAAGTTTGATGATAGCGCCAGTATTTCTTCTTTGTGGAGGTCGGTAAGGTCTGACTTGACACCCTTAAAGAGGTCAAGGGTGAAGTTTTCGAAAGGACCTAATACTACGGAACTGTTTTCATCATAGGTGTCTGTGTGGTGACTCTTAGATGGTGAGTCAAATGGACTGACATTGTCTGGGACGTGTTTTTGTTCTAATTTTGTTAACGTCACTCCTGGTCCATAATCTGGCACTTTAGTCACAGACATAATTTCTGTCTCCTGATCCGCAGCCTCTAAAGTACTGTCAGTTGATGTGTTACTTCCCTTAGGCGTACTTGTATACACATTAGCAAGTTCTACAGTTTTACTACTTAAAATTTTCTCAGAATGTAGAAAATCATGAGTTTCTTTTATCAAACTAGGGAGATCTAAATAAACCGTGGAATCATTTTTAACTAAACTCCATTGGATGTCCGTATCGGATACATCTAAACAAGATTTTATGACATTCTTAATATTACTATCTAAGGATTCGTCTTTTAAAATTTTACTATTCGTATTATTAATGAGATCCATATATACAGTGCTATCACTAAATTTTTCTGTTGATGATTGTTCGTTGGGGCTTACTTTAGATTCTGTTGCATCTTCGGCTTGACGTGCAACACTTTCTTCAATTGCAAACGCCTCTGCAGGAATAAGATCAGGAATTACTTTATCACTAGTTTGAACTTCATCAGAAACGCAAATATCGATAGCCTTTTGACAACTATCGACTCCTTCACTATTGACTATTACATTGAATTCAGATGTGTTTACATCACTATTTTGTACTGTTTCAGGTTGCTCTGTGCTTGATATTTGTTCTAAAGGCTGTATACTAGTGGTTGATAATTTTTTTTCTTCAACAGAAAAATCATCTCTATTTTCAGAGACTGGCATTAATACATCACTTATTTTGTCTTCGTGTAGATGGTTAGCATCGCTTTGAATCATTTCCTCCGAAGGTAAAACCATGTCACGACTGTTACTTGTTTTGTTCACAACACTTCGTAATTCTGTGCATACTTCTTCATGAGTATTTTCTTTCTTTATTTCTTTACTCAAATGTTGTTCTGGCAATATTGAATTGGGTTTAGATATTATTGGTTCTTGGCTCACAAATTGATTTACAGCTACATTATCACTATCGTTGGAAGGATGTTTATTAATATCTCCAATTAAATCGTTAACCAACACTTTATTGTATTCATTTGTATAACTGTCGTTCATCACGGGTTTGATGGTTTCATTGCTAAAATGTTGTTCTTCTGGAAATATAGACGACATGTTTTTGGTTTCACTATTATCGTCTATAATTTCGTTGATGGCATCATTTAATCCCTCCTTTGACAGTTCAGCTGTATCTAAAATTTTGTTACAAGCTATAGGCCCTTCAGTATCTTCTATGAGAACGGCAGGAATTTCTTCTTCCTTAACCGCATTTTTAATATCGTTAGTAGCACTTGAACTATTTTCTTCAATTACATTCTCAGTACAATTAAATTCGTTTTTCATTTGTTCATGGCTATCACTTTCCTGGTGGTTTTCAACTACTGGTTCAGCATCATTTGATATTTTTTCATTCACAATGGTTTCATCTTTGTTTCTTAGCCCATTTTCTAATTCTATTTCATTTTTAATAAAGGCGATATTATCATCTATTGACTTATTTTGTTTGCAAGCACTTACTATATCACTTGTATTATTGTAAGATGTTTCACAGTCTTGTTTTAAGATCACTTGTTCCTTGGTTTCACTTACACTAGGCATTGATGATACACAGAGTTCCATCAACTTGGGCACTACACTACTATTACTGACTACATTATATTCATTTGGCAAATGACTATCTTCATCTCTTGGTTTCAAATTATCCTTATTCATAACAGCGAGGCTCTGTTTGAAATCATTTAGGCTAGTAACGCTATGTAAGTCCACGTTGGGAGTGTCTGGAGTAAGATTTTCCAAAGTCTGCTGACTTATTGTATCGCTGTGCCGTTCAAAAGAATGGCTGAGCGTGCCAATCGTATCACCATCTCCTTCATCTTCCTCGCAACGTACTGGACTCTCGGATTTCGAATCAAAGCCCATATCTAGAATATTCTGAAAATTACTGATACCAGGCGATTTTACCATACTAGTTTGCATTGGATAATCTTTCTTACACTCTAAACTTAAATTATCCCTGGATGGACTGGCTTGGTGACTGGATTCCGAACTCGAAGTCTTCTCCGAGTTCAAAATGTTGTCGAGATTCTTTATGACGTCACTCACGTCCTTGTAATAACTAACGTCGTCTTGACTGCCATTCATGATATCCTTCAGCCAAGGATCCATTGAACTGTCTGATCGGTCTTGTTCCCTCTCCCTATTGTCCTCTAGTTGCATGTTACCTTGATGGCATTCAAGTGCTGCCGTTTCGTTGTGAGTGAGGTAGATATTCCTTACGTCCTCCAAAGACCCGTGAAGATTAGTTAGGCTGTCAGACTTCAGTTGAACAGACAGTGGGTCTCTATCGGACATGATGCTGCTGGTCCGGGAGACGGCCGTGTCTAGTTCAACGCTGAGGGAATCTTGCAAGGTTTGTGTGTTATCAAATTCCTGGTCGGATCTCGTGAAATGCGAGACCGTCGAGGTAGACGGTGCGTGTATGATAGCTACGTGCTCATCTATCTTGGGTATGGTGTTGGGTTTTAATTTCTGCCAGCGTTCCTCGAAATCGCTGCTGGAGTAGCCGTCGTCTTTCGCGGAGTCGTTCGTGTGGGAATGCGTGTAGTACAAGTGGTTTATGAGAGCGTGCACTTGAGCCGCCGATGGGCGATTTTCTGGATTAGAGTTCCAGCACAACTGCATCACTTGGTATCTGAAAAATATGAAGAAAATTATATACAAACAATATAACCTTATCAGTTTCGTCCGAGTCATATAAAAAATGATATTGCATAATAATCACTTATCTTTATTTATACAATGCGTCATCTGATGATATGTTCTATATTTTTATTACACTATGTATTATTATTCCAAGTGTATATGTGATATTTTTGTTTATTTTGATTAATCTTATTTGATTTCAATGAGATAGAGTTGGAATAAACTCATGCAAAATACATATTTCTATTCGGATTTCTCTTCCGATTAATTTCTATATGACTAAGTTTGAATGTTAGTTTAAAGACACCTTAAAAACTTCTTGTTATATTTGAATACCTTCTTTTTATATGCCATATTACAACTAACTTGAAATACATCACTATAATTTTACAATATATTTTATAGTATATGTTTTAAATGCTAATTTTCTTCCCCATGGCGATTACCCAGCTTTAGCCAGGGTCTGCCATGTTTTAAATGCTAAGACATGTATTTATATATGTATGTACTAACAGATGGTTCCTGTAGGGGCAAGGCAATTCCGGGGCGGGTGCGGGCGGCGGGGGTGGCGTCGCTCCCCACGCACATACTTCCCATACCAACCATCCCAACGACCAAACATCGCTGCTAGTCTGATAAACATATTAGAATATATTATATCAAATTTAACTTAAAAAATTAAAACGATCGTTAACATAAATAATATGAAATGTTAATGTATTCCTAATAATTAATGTTAAATTTACTAAGAGAGTTTTTCATCCTACTAATATTATAATTGCGAAAGTTTGTGAGTGTGTGTATGTTTGTTACTTCTTCACACTCAAACGGCTGAACCGATATTGATAAAATTTTGTATACAGGAAGCTGACGTCCAGGAATAATACATAGGCTACTTGACATCCCGGAAATCCGCGGGACGGAGCTAGTAACAGATAAAAAACTGGATTTAAAGTCGGTAGTAATATAATAGTATCAACTAACATTGTATATGGCTGGCTGTCTGTTTGTTTCGGGCGGTGCGCATTGTACTGGGGCTTCGCTTGTACTGTAACATCCTAGGACGGCGCGAACGTTCTCATTGCCACGGACTAGTATGTTACCACTCCATAGATTGCTGAAAAAATATAATATCATATAGTCGTATAACTAAAATAGATAATATAGATATACAGGGTGACTGGTGAATTACAATCAATATTTAAGGAGAATACTCGGTACATGATTCTCATTCGAATTATGTAAAAAAAAATAGGTACTTAATTTTTGACCAAATTTCCGTATAAATAAATAAAGTGTGGACACGTTCCAAGTGTTCCAAGTGTGGACGCGTGCGGCGGCGTGCTGATACAACACCACGCCACCGCACGCGTGTGTGTGTGTGTGTATACCTAATCTGTAGGGTGTTCACACGATGCGAAATTAATTACATAACTTTTGGTTAACTTTGCTTAGAAGTTTATTAATATTTATGTTATATTAATTTTTATTTTGTCATATATGATCGTCAAATATCACGTCCTCAAGTATCGATAGTAATTCACCAGTCACCCTGTATATGTATAATAATATAGGCACATAGAAAGTTACAATATATGTATGTAAATTTTTAACGTCATCATTTTAAAACTACCCACCCGTACAAATATCCTCTCGAGTGAATGTACGCAAGAGCCGAGCTGACGTCACACATCAGTTGAAGTGGTACCCCGCTTTCGTTCAATATAGCCATTTTTGGACGGTTCACTATCAGATATTGTTGGAGATCCTGGAAAAATATACATGTATTATAGTTATAGGGTTTAAGATTAAGTAATGAAATGTTATATTTTGCAGTACCATTGAACATAATTCAAAGAGAAGTATCCACGGGTCTTCTTGCAAGCATTTAGCTACGAAGCTCAGTACGTTCTCGTGATCCATGTCCCTATATAAACGGGCTTCATCGAGGAAACGCGCTTTGTCTTCCAAACTGACATTTTGGTTGAGGATCTTAACTGCTACAGTCGAGATGCCGCATCCATCGTCTACTTCTCCCTTTACTACCTGAACAAAAAGTTGAGATTCATTAGAATTGATTCACTAAACGTCTATTTATTTAAATTTTTTAAACCACTTACTCTGCCAAACCAACCGCGACCGATTTCTCTTAGATACTGAAGTTGGTCCCTTTGGAAATCCTCACCAGCTGTAATAGGTAAAATAAAATTAAAGATTCATAGCTTTCAAACAAAATATCAATTATTTTTCTTCTCTTGAGTCCCTCTTCGAGAATCTGATGCCTAAGTACACTAATCTTATTGTAATGGGGGATATCAACACCTGTCTGATCAAGAGTAATTATCGGTCGTCTAGGCTCAGATTTATACTAGACTCCTTTAACCTTCAGGTTTTACCGCTCACTGCAACACACCACCCGATCGATGGTCCCGATAGTCTCTTAGACTTAATTATAACGTCTAAAGGTGACTTGGTCTCTAAATTTGGTCAGTTATCAGCGCCGGAATTCTCTCACCACGATCTAATATTCGCTTCCTTTAAATTCAGATCACCTAAGCCCAAACCCAAGATGCTGCTGCTGCGAAGCTACCGTTCTCTAGATCTCGATAGGTTATTGGACGATGCTACTCTTATTCCGTGGACGCAGATAGAGGTGTTGTCGTCAATTGACGAAAAGTTGCATTTTCTGTGGTCTAAACTAATGGAATTATTCGACCGACACTCGCCTCTACGCCTTGTTAAAATAAAAAATTCTTCAAACCTTTGGTTTAACGACGATTTAAGAAAAGCGAGAGCCAAGAGGGATAAAGCCTTTCGTAAGTATAAGAGGGACCGTTCTGCTCTCAACTGGTCAGCATATAAAGCTGCAAGGAATCGCTGCAATCAGTTGTGTAGGAAGCTCAAACGCCGATATTTCTTTGACAAAATACGTGGATCTTCTCCCGAGGAAGCTTTAAAATTTTTAAATACCCTCGGTATCGGCAAGTCTCAACCTTACTCTGACCAATCTCAATTGGATTTAAACAATCTCAATCTTCACTTCTCTTCACCTCCAGTCCTCGACTTGCAAACTAAACTTTCAACGCTTTCTGAAATACATGGCTTGCCTAGAATCACTTCTCCATCCTTTCAATTTTCTCCTATTACTGAAAATGATGTTAAGAAAACCATTCTTTCGATCAAATCTAAGGCGGTTGGTTGCGATGGTATAAGTCGAGTTATGATTACCCTTATCCTCAACTTTCTAATTCCCCCCATAACTCATATCGTAAACTTCTCCTTTACCACGAGTACATTTCCTGAGATGTGGCGCAAGGCTTTTGTTCTCCCACTCCCTAAAATATCAAATCCTTCGCTACCCTCTCATTTTCGTCCTATAACAATTCTCCCCTTTTTATCCAAAATCCTGGAGTCCATTGCACACCAACAAATCTCTTGCTACCTTCATAAATGCGACTTATTCAATCCACTCCAATCGGGCTTTCGCCTAGGTCACAGCACAACAACAGCATTGTTAAAGGTCACGGACGATATTCGTATTGCCATGGAAAACCAGCAACTCACAGTGCTCGTGCTAATCGACTTTAGCAATGCTTTCAATGCAGTAGACCATGATCTCCTTCTTGCATTTCTTTCCCATGCTAACTTGTCAGACTCTACCGTTGAATGGTTTTCTTCTTATCTCCGAGGGCGTCGGCAATCCACACGCCTCGGTCAGATACAATCTGATTGGTGCGACGTGAGTGCCGGCGTTCCTCAAGGCGGCATATTATCTCCTCTGTTATTTTCTGTTTTTATAAACGCCATCACTAAAATTTTAACTTCGCACTACCATCTGTATGCCGATGACTTGCAGCTCTACGAACACTCTACTGTCAATGATCTTGCCGCGGCTATTAGCTCCCTGAATGATAATCTCCACCGCATTTCTCTTTGGTCCGCTAAATATGGTATCACTGTCAATCCCTCCAAGTGTCAAGCCATCATTATAGGCAGCGGGAGACAGTTAGCGAAGCTAGATGTTCCGACTCTGCCCAGCCTACGATATAATAATATACCAATAGAGTTCAGCAGTAGTGTTAAAGACCTCGGCATTATCATTGACAGTAAACTCAGTTGGGGGGAACATATTAAAGAAGTTTCTCGCAGGTTTTTTAAGCCACTATGCATTCCATGATGCGTTTAAAAAATTTTTTGCCCATGGAAACTAAAATCCAGCTGGCTTCTACCCTCTTGGTTCCAATTATTGACTACGGTGACTCCTGTTACTTAGACCTGTCGGAAGATCACCTTCAAAAACTTAATCGTCTTCTAAACAACGGCATTCGCTTCATCTTTAGTTTACGCAAGTTCGACCACGTTTCTCGTTTTAGGAAGCAGTTACACTGGCTTCCTATACGGGAACGTAGGTATACTAGGATTCTATGTCTTCTCTACTCTATTCTTACCGACCCTAATGCTCCCACCTATCTATCCTCTAAATTTTCTCTTCTCTCCTCTACTCATAATAAGCCCCTACGATCCTCTCAATCCCTTACCCTTTTCATACCTCCCCATAAATCTGGCTTTGTTTCCAACTCCTTCTCTTTAGTCGCAGCCCGGCTTTGGAACACTTTGCCTGACTCTATTCGTAGAGCCCCTTCGCGCGATTCTTTCAAGCGTCAAGTGAAAGAATTTTATCTGTCGTCTGTCAACACTATGTGATGTCTTTTCTTCTGTACTATTGTCATTATTGGATTCATATATATATGTATATATTTGTGTATATATGTTAAATATTTATGTACTTGTATATGTATTTGTTTGTGCATATTTATGTATATTATGTATATGTATATGTATATGTATATGTATATGTATATGTATATGTATATGTATGTATTTTATATCATGTATATATTTTTAATGTCTCTTTAACTTCTGTGCACACCCTACATACTTCTATCCTATACTATTCTGGGTTGGCTGGCAGAAAATGCTGTAATAGCGTTAAGTCCGCCCTTTGTACACCTCTGTTTGTGCAATAAAGAATAATAAAAAAAAAAAAAAAAAATAGTACTTATTAAGTATAATGCTCACCGAACCAATCGGCACATCTCTCAAGCGGATCCACAACCCGTATATCGGCCGGGAGCGGTTCGAATTCAACGACCGATTCCCGACTAATCCGATTCCTCTCCTCATTCTCGCTAGTGATGTACACGGCTGCGTTGTTGTTAGCGATGTTCTGCATCTCCCGCAACGATATCGGACCATTGTTGTTGTCCTCGCTAATGTTGTTGTTGACCGGCTCAGAGAAGCCCGAATCCAACGGCTGAGCGCGCCGGCCATCGTGAAGATGCGTCACGCTCGCGGTAAACAACTGTCAAACGTGACGTCATAATATAGCACTTAAAACATACAGAACCAAAGTAAATAAATAACTCATTGATGTTATATATAAACAAAAAAAAAGCTTGCAATTACATTTTATTTAGGCTGTGATAATTTTTATGTTATGATATAAAAAGTCATTACTTTAGGTTACGCAAATGATAGAACACACCTTAATTGTATACACGTTTCTATACAATTTATACGAGCAATTACAAATAAAATAGTCTTTAAAATCATATCAAGGCATTTATATGTACATTAAAATATTTAGTTACCACGTTATAGTGTATCTTTATTTGCATTAACCACATATTTATATAAGCGATGTATGAGGAAAAATTTTATAGATAATTTCAATAACGTATCTCTCTTGTGAAATACCAAGAACTGCAACATAGTAAGTTCTGTTTATTCTATTCTATACTATGTACCTGATTGTCCGCTCCTTCATTTGGCTGCAGGCAACATACAAAAAAATATATAAATCCTTATGTACATAGACGATACAAACATATATTTGAATGATTGTTTGTTATATGCTTAAATGACAATGATACATAAGTAAAGTAAATTATAATCACATGTAAATATTTACAAGAGATATGGTTTAACATGGTTTTACTGTTCTACATACATATATTTATATATTTACAAATACATCATCAATATATTAGTATTTATCCTTATAAACATTATTAAACTTCCGCATACATTATAATAATTTAATATTAAATGTTGGTATGATGAAATCGTCGACTTAAGCTAAGTAATAACCAGTTTTTCATTCATATACTTAAACTAGCTGTCCGCCCTCAGCTTCGCCCGCGTGGATTTCGGTTATATCGCGTTTCCAAGAGAACCTTTCAAAAGTCTGGGATAAAAACTATCCTATGTTCTTTCTCAAGGTCAACTCTATCTCTGTACCAAATTTTATTAAAATCAATTCAGTGGTTTAGGCGTGAAAGCGTAACAGACAGACAGACAGAGTTACTTTCGCATTTATAATATTAGTAGGGATTGACACAATGACGTATTAAGATGTCACGTATGCAGTATGATAGACTTCAAACTGCTCACAGTTTGAAGTCTCAACGTGAGTGAGTTAGTTAGTCGATGCGATCTCGTTATTGGGACTAAGGATATTGAATTGTTCTCGTACGGGGAACACCCTAGATGAAGCTGATTAATAACTATGAGTCAGAGTTCACAAATCGACAACAACGTAATGTAGCGTTCATTTTTCATGGCCATATAATTTGTATTGGCACACCTTCACTGCAGAAACAGCTACCGTTTCCACACTAATGAATAGAACAGTAATATATTTAAAAATATCTCTTCGTTTACTATTACTGCCCGCACCCACATCGATGATTTAAATTAAATGACCGGAAGTCATTCTACTATCTATATTCTATAGTATTAAGCTATACTGTTATAAAACTCTAACGTAATCATGGTTGCAATTATGTATGTTTATCACGGATATATATTACAAAAATTACATCCAATCCGTGGGCGAAGTCGCGGGCATCACTAGCCTAATAAAAATAGCTAAATGACATATTGAATATAAAGAATGAGCGTCAGAATAGCTCGCAATATGATATCGGATTCCAGGCATAGTTAGTCATATGGACGATATAAGAATTATTATAAATAGATGTAGCTTTAGATGCAATAATATCCTGTATAGCGTCTCGAGCTGTCCGCATCCCATGCAGACGAGCCGGTCAGACGTCACTTGTGAGTCACGGTAATTACATTGTACCGACTAGCACGTGTACTTGACACTACGACATATAATAATATTGTTTAATATTCATTTCATTCTATAAAGTTAACATTTGGGTAACTATCTCTACTAATAATATAAATGCGAAAGTAACTTTGTCTGTCTGTCTGTCTGTTACGCTTTCACGCCTAAACCACTGGATTGATTTTAATGAAATTTGGTACAGAGATAAGAGTTGACCTTGAGAAAGAACATAGGATAGTTTTTATCCCAGACTTTTGAAAGGTTCTCTTGGAAACGCGATATAACCGAACTCCACGCGGGCGAAGCTGCGGGCGGAAAGCTAGTATCACTATGTATGGCAGGAGAGAGTATGAGACTATGTAAAATTTTATGTCATAAAAATTTGGAAAACAATTACCATATAAGCACATACATTACGATGTATCTTAATATGACATTAAATATGTTTGACGTGAATTTAACGTCATCAATGTCATTCGTATTTGTAAAACAATTATGACACTAGTACTACATATAATATGATGTTCACAAATTTCTTCAACATTTCTCAGTCGACAGTGATATTTGATAGACTTGAATGTCCATTCTGTTATTCGTATTATTTTGGCACGGTAACAATGTCGTAAATATTGTTACTATTTTTACTATAATAGAGATAAAATAATGTCATACAATGCATTATTCTGTTTCATGGAAACTGCATGAAGATTATGTATTTGTTTTATAGTTTTACTCGGTATTGTTCAAAGGAGTAAACAATATAACGCGCCATAGTCTATTTCTATAAATGACATTTTAATATATATATTATTATTCTTGGATACAGGATAATATTTGTATAATTGCACATATACGTTAGAAATAAATAAATTTATAGCAGGACAATACAAAAAATACAAAAAGGTTTTAATGGAAAACTGAAATTAATTAAATAGTATTTTATCATTATACATATATCTTCTTCTTCTACCTGGCAATTTCCCAGCTCTAGCCAGGGTCTGCCTTACATGTTGTGAATAGTAGTCTAATTGTTATCACAACCTGCCTGACATCAACCCTCTTTGGGAATGCAATAATCAATAATGTCTAAATACTCTTAGAAAGTACATATGACTAGGAAAAATCACATTGGTACTTGCCCAGGCCAGGATCGAACCCGCACCCTCGTGCATGAGAGGCGAGCTTTTTTAACCACTAGGCCACCACTGACTAGAATTTTTTATCATTATATATATAATTCTATGTTCCCATACCCACGTTTCGTATTGTTACCGTTGTGTTCGTATTGACTCTACGTCACGTTTGCTATTTCATTGTTCAATCCTCGGAGTTGGTTCCCGTGTATCGTGTATCTGTACTATGTGGTACTAAATAACATTATGACGTCACACTGTTTAGGCTTTGTCCGACACTTGAATGCCCGTTCGTAATTGTGTACTTTTAATTCTTCTTTATTAAATTTCGAATAGTCATATTCTCTTTTATTAGAAAAATCACTATTTTAGATTTGTATTCTAGTGTTTTTCTATGTGTTACTTAATATAATACAACTTACATAACACACGAACATGCAGATAAATAATTATAGGCAAATCGTTTTAGTCATAACAATCACGTCCGCTTGTATATGCGATTATTATGTACGCATTTACAATGTATGTCCGGCCACATCTTCGAAACCGCTCAACCGAAATAAACAATTTTTTTTCAATAATACCTACTTAGAATCGGATTTCATTGTTGGAATGTTACGTGACTTAAAAGATTTAGTTTTTCAGAACTTTTATTATTAAATATTCGATATATTTATGTTATGCATATTTTAATTTCTTTTATATTATAAATAAAACATATAATATGTACTATATAATTACGAAGCGAACTGAAAGTAGCTCGAGAAGATACTTGGACTAGTTTTTGTGACACAGCCATTGTAGTTTTTTAATTTAAATGTTTCATACAAAGTACCTCTTGTTATAATTGTAAAACATATATCTACTAATAAACTGAATATTACGAAAACAATCCTAATTAATACTTTGATGAATTACGTTTTCAGTTCTGTTCCATACTAACTTATTAAGAAAAATATCTGATTATAATTTTCATATCACGTGTCGTGTTGATGCTTAAGAATCGAAACATTATGTAACATATGTGTTGAGTGTTTATTTACAAGTGGTTCCTTAATGTCTTCTGTCCCTATTCACACGGGTGATTGCGTGTGGCAAGTGAATAAGAGACTAATAAGAGACTTCATTCAAACGACACACACCGACTTGACTCTTGATACTCACCTACCGCCGTTATACAGGGTGACTGGTGAATTACTATCGATACTTGAGGACGTGATATTTGACGATCATATATGACACAATAAAAATTAATATAACATAAATATTAATAAACTTCTAAGTAAGGTTAACCAAAAGTTATGTAATTAATTACGCATCGTGTGAAAACCCTACAGATTAGGTACACACACACACGCGTGCGGCGGCGTGGTGTTGTATCAGCACGCCGCCGCACGCGTCCACAGTTGGAACACTTGGAACGTGTCCACATTTTTTTTATTTATTTACGGAAATTTGGTCAAAAATTAAGTACCTATTTTTTTTACATAATTCGAATGAGAATCATGTACCGAGTATTCTCCTTAAATATTGATAGTAATTCACCAGTCACCCTGTATAGATATTATTGATTTATAACACTACGTAATAATGAAGGATTTAACGACATTCATATATATATTATATATATTACGAAGAGGGCAAGTACCGTCGCCCATAGACTTCTGTGAGAGGGTGGTACTTTCCCGGTCGAGCCAGCATATGTTCGAGCTGCAGTAATTTGACCACAGCTAGTGTCTACCACCATCAATATAAAACCATATCTAGTTATATGAAGACTTTATGATAAACAACCAACGTCAGTGTTAAAATAGCTAATAATAATAATAATAATAATAATTACTTTTAAAGACAATACGTCTAATAAAATGTTTTGAAGTCACTAAATTTACTTATTTTTCCTTATTATTAACGATATCAAATAATATATCACAGTTATAAATTATATAGATCAGATATAATGAACGATAACTACTTCGTAATATAAGACAATAAATTAAATCTTCAAATTGAATCGTAAATCTTCTATATATATAAAAATGGATTGCTGTTCCTTAGTCTCGCTAAAACTCGAGAACAGCTGAACGGATTTATCTTATCTTAGTCTTGAAATGTTCGTGGAGGTTCAGGGAAGGTATAAAAGCTGAATTTTTTTTATTAATTTCCGGGAAAACCCTAAAAACAGCGCTTTTTTATTTCCCATACAAACGGTTTTTGACATTAGATTTGACAACTAACTAATATGTCAATCATTCTGTCCCACTTCAAAATACTGAGATTTATGGCTTAAAGGTAAACACCAAAAAAATAAATAAGACATAATTTATTTCTTGATTGAGGCAGTACGAAGTCTCCCGGGTCAGCTAGTTTAAAATAATGTTCTTAAATTCAAAACTTTCGCTTTACTTGTTTTAACAGCTACTTAGTAACTTAAATTTTGTTTAGAAAATAATCATATTAAGTATATATTGTCAAAGTTATGTACCTACATAATAAAAACATGTCCTGACTCCTGCCATTCTGTTTTTTTACACTCGAAAAACATGAAACGCATTGTAATAACAGTACCTAGCAGTGGAAAGGGTGATATTGTTTGGATGCATTAGTATAAGAGGCTACGGGGAGGTCGGATGCTGTAGAATAGCGAGAGAGAGGTCTAAGATCGCTTGTTACGGGCGCCGTGCCAACTTTGAGCGCCACTGCGCCTAATTCAACGTATGTCACTACACTACACATACATATTGAAGTTAAAATTTTAACAACCATATTAGATAATATTAAAATTCTTTATAATTTATATTAAACATATCATGATTGTATTTTTTATGTAATTATTAATTATAGTTTAAATAAAAAACAAACTGTTAAAAAGAAATCAAATATTGATGATGTTAAAATAATTCGAAGATACCTTAAACTGATTATTTGTTATAGGATAAAATCAACACAAAAATATATAATATTTTCTATGAATATATGTTATTTTTATTAAATAAAGTTTATATTACATTAGGAGTGAACTCAAATCTCTAAAGAGTCATCCTTACTGCGGAAAAATCGGCCGTGTCCCAGTTATATTTTAAGTCGGTCATTGACTTTGCACAATGTTTTCATGTACCTACTGTCAAATATTCAACATATTTATTGTGATAGTTCCAAAATAATATGTACAAATATATCACAACTGTCACTGAATCTCATCTCCAAACTTTAGTGGTGAAGAAAACTCTGACTTTAAAAAATAAATATAATATAAATATGTATATAGATAAACGCCATTTAATTTAAACCTAACACTATTTCATATTTTCACTAAGCAATATAGCAATGTATCAACTTAATTAAATTAAAAACTAATTCGTGATTTACGTCCCCTATATAAAAGATTAAAAATTCCAGACATTTAATAGCTCTCTATTAATTAATTCATTACTATAATTACTCGTCGGAATGACGTCATATCTGCGTCAATTATGGGAGAAACTCCTCCCGACATTAAATTATTGGATGGCATTAAGTATTGTAAGTTCAGACGTAAATTATTGTTCGTAGTAGTAATATTTTAAGTATACATAAAGTAAGTAAAATAATCTTATTGGCATAATAATATTGGTTGCCCTAGAAATTGAATTAGAATCAAATAGGAAATATGAAAAGAAAAAAATGACCGGTTCCAATATTATGTTTCGGTAAATATTACATTCTGTACTGTCTTTAATTAATTATTTTTAGGTAATATCAATTTAATCGAAAAAATAAAACAATGATATTTTTTTTCTGAAATCTACGTTAATATTGGATATTGGCATAGTGTTATAAGTTTACGATAAAAATTCAAATAACGACGTAGTGGCCATAAATTTTAATATTAATTGTTTCCAGACTATACATATATTCTTTTTCCCGCCAAAAGTTTTTATAATCATCCTTCTATCAAAGATACTTTAAATCGTTTATTTCACAAGTGAGAACTAAACTTAACATTTACAAAAAATTGCCAGCTTTAGCAAATATCCATGATAATTACCATCATATTAAAACAATACGATCTTTTAGTAATATTGAAATGTTTTGAAGATTAGAAAGTTATTTTGTTGACAAGCATTGTTTAAAAAACAGCGAATATCGGTCAATCTCGAATAATAATAATTCACCATTCAGAATAAAATAAAAAAAACAAAAGATACAAGACGGTTTCTAAGTTATAACACTTAAGTTTTATTGAATTATTAATATTACTATATTTGATGTAGTTACAAGAAAGAGATCTGTATCAAAATAATATCAATTCGAAATTTTCAATATAAAAACTTTTTTATAATTAAAGCGAAACAGAAATTATTTTCGTGTATATTTTAAAACGACAGCGCACGAGTAATTAATAGTTACAAGTACTTATACAGTATACTTCAGTTGTGAAGCGGCTATGAAGCGAGCCAGACTAGACTTCAGACTGGATAATTATTACACGGATAATAATAAAGACGATTTATATTCTAGAAAGAATCACATGTATATAATTACAATAGAGTATTACTAGCTCGTAATATTTGAAGAACGGCGTTAATTGCCTTGCAGATTTACTAACTATGTAAAAAATGTATAACTTTACAATATGTGATGATAAAATAAATCCGAACAAATTACTACTACAAATATACTACATAGTCTTCACGTATACATATAAAATGCATCATCGCAAAGAATAGATTTCAGTGATGCCAAATATTGGCTGTTAAGTGACTCAGGCTGCATCGGCTTAATGATTCAAACCGATGGTTTGAAATTAATTAGTGACCGACCCTTCACACACGAAACATGATATCTTAGTGCTTCCTTCACATACGTCGTCTGAGGCTTCTCGCTTGAATAACACACAATATTAAACTACAATACCTCTATAATGATGAGCGTTTTCATATGAAGTTATTTCACACCGAGTTTGTCATCAAATCGACCGTGAAATTTATTAGTAATGTAATATTTACTATAGCAATGATGCACGCATTATCGCGTATATGTTTTGTAAACAAGGTCCACTGTGTTAGCTGTTAGTCATCGTGCTATGTTAATTAGCAATGTTATATATTAAAATCAATAATCAATGTGTACTATGTAGGTCGAATATTTGTTATCAGTCAAGGACTCTGATAAAAATGCATGGCCCATTAATGGTTTAAATTGTTCTGTGATAACACTTTGTGTAGGGGCTGAGGTTCAACGACCACATTGTCGGCTATGATGTGATAATTTTTATTTACATGGTAATATTTACTGACATATATAGTGGTATACTTCATGTAATTGTAAATTTTTTTGTACTATTTAAATATTCTAATAAGTTATTTATGTGAAATTTTAATGGCAAAACAAAATATAACAAACTTTTTACATAACTAAAGAACAGAAAATTGAAAATAATTTTTAAGTAAATGCATATTAATAAGTATGAGAGATGTTTTCTGTTGCGATGTATTTTATTATTTCAATAAAATTTTTATTAACAGACACTAGATAAGTACTTAAAATTATTATTTAAAGACTAGTAGCATTAATATCTATGAAACACTTTTAGTTTTAACAAATTTTTGACCCCAAATTGCCTTAAATATATTACAAATGAATTCTCACCTTACTATCCTTGTGCCGATAGCACCAAGTACATCCAAACAGCACAACAGCGGCAGTAAGGATCAGCGCCAGCGCCAGCAGCACTGTGCTGCTCCATCCTTCTAACAGTAACCCACTCGACTCTGTAATATAAACAGTATTAAGTGTAAAAAATTAACAAAAGCTTACATATTTACAATGGCCATAATACTGAAAATTCATTTTTCTAAGGTGGTGTACTATGGTTAATGTATTTAGAATCTACCCTACATAAAATATAATATTCTAACAATGCCATTCTTACTTTAATTTTTTCATATCGCAATTACTTCCAATTACATTCCTTAAATAAATAAATCTTAATATTAATTACAATAAGATTTTTTCAAGGCATAACATTAACATTAAATTTTTATGTTTATCTAGCATTACTTTTGTTTTCAGATAATGGGACTAAAAAGCTGTTAATTTAACAATGTGTGTGATTTCAATAAAGCTATTGGATTCTATGTATAAAAATGTTATTAAAAACATTACAATGTAAAATATTTAACTTACCGTGCGGGTAGACCCGTTGCGTTGGCTCAACAGGGAATCCTTGTGAGAATTCCAGGCCCGTTGAGACCAAAATTAAAATCACCCATAACACAGCCATTATATTTACATTATTTGCACAGCCGTATTATTTTTCGTTTCATTATTTATTATTTTAATACATCACCATAACACAAAAAATACACGGTCCCTGACAGGTTTCCACTGACGAAAGAATACTAGAGCACTAAGGAGTATTGAGGGTAGAAGTTGGGCACATATAACATTTTACTAGTCTAGATTTATTTAATACACACCAAATATAAAATTAATTATGTTTTTCGTGCACATTTACATATAAATTGCGCAACCCACAGCTGTACAGAACGCCATTTTTCGATATCAATGTTAACTGTTACGAATATTGTTATTGTTTTATATTTTTTACTTGGTAACATTAATAGTACTGTTGATGTTAATAGTTTTAATTCTAACTTGTTTTATCAAAAAATATGTTTGTTTTTTTTTTATAAATAAAAAAAATAAGTAGATAAATATATATCTGACTAGACCTGACTATTTGTACTTTTACGAATAACAACGACAAAAGTCAGAAATTATATTCCAAATAAAGAAATTATGCAATATAAAACTATTTTATGAAAAACATAGAATTTTAACAAAATATTGATAAGAGTTGGTTTTGTAATACAAACTTAAAAAAAATTAATATATGCACTTGCAAAAAAATGTCAAAACATCCAATTACTTTGTCAATGTCAAATTATGAAAAGAAAACTAAAGATTAGGGTATTTCAAGAAAATTATTGTTCTAAATATAAAAATGTGTCAATAAACAATTAAACCCCTCAACTACAAATGTCTTAATTTAATACTTTTAAGCCAAAATAAATGTTTATAAACTTTGGCAATAAATACTATAACCTTAAAACACATGTACGGTAAAAGTTTTTTGTGTAGTAAAGTAGTTAGACTGAGTAGCGTAAGATATCTTAAAAACGGAAGTTCTAAGAAGCTGTTGGAATTTCTAGCCACTATGCCGAAACAAAATTCTGCTAGGATTAGTGAGGCACAGCGTCAGCGACAAGTGATATCAAAAAAGTTTGAAAAATATGCTCCAAGCACTGTTTATTTACAAGTTCTTGGTTCAGGAGCAAGGGGAGCACCCAATTCATTATATCTTTTCACCGACCAGAAGCGGTAGGTATTCATTTAATGTTTTAAATGTAATGTTCTTTGTCAAGTCATGCTTTCTCTAGTATTGTTTATAGTAAGTCCCATAGGGAATTATATTACAATCTCCTCTCACTAAATAATATTAAGGTAAATATAATCTTTATCAAAGTTATTCAGAACACTTAAGTATTATAATAATAAGTGTTAATTAGTTTTTACTTGTGAGTTGTGTGAATTAATTTATTTGTCTACATTTCCAAAAATTATTAGATACCTGTTTAACTGTGGGGAATGCACCCAAAGGCTAGCCCATGAGCACAAAGTAAGATTATCTAGACTCGACCACATTTTCATCACAAATAAAACTTGGAAAAATATTGGAGGTCTGCCGGGACTATCTCTAACACTTCAGGATGTCGGTGTACCTAACATTACATTACATGGACCGGAAGGCTTAGTTAGTAACATCATTTATTATTTATAGCTAGTCAGTCACTACAAACAAATATTATCAAATATTTCTTAATTCTATATATGTAATTTTATTGTTTAATGTTTTTTTTAAATTCAGGATGAATTGTACAATGCAACAAGGAGGTTTGTTATAATGAAAGACATGAATGTTACAATGGCAAAATGCAGTCCCAGTGAAGATTTTGAAGATAATGTAATGACAGTGAAATATATTATTATGTGAGTATTAAGAAAGATAATAAATTACTGTCTATACTTTAAGTCAGTGGCGGCCTACTGGTTAAAAGGCCCGCCTCTCATGCATGTGGGTGCGGGTTTAATCCTGGCAAGTACCAATGTGATTTTTCCGAGTCATATGAACTTTCTAAGAGTATTTAGACATCACTGATTAATGCATTCCCAAAGAGGGTTGATGTCAGGCAGGTGGGCGGTAATAAAAACGATTAGCCAAAACTATTCACAACATGTAAGGCAGACCCTTGCTAAAGCTGGGAAATTGCCAGGAAGAACTATTATCAGACAGTACTTTATGAGTGGTTATATTGATTCTATGCTGTTATGTATTTTCAGGTCGAGCACAGATGAAAGTATATTACAGACTGAACTGAAACCTCTTAAAAAGAAACCAAAATTAGATGAACCAATACAAGAAAAAGAGTTTGAAGAGTTCATTCACGATGACACAGATTATTATAAACGGGACAATGATCAAGGGGATAAAACTAAAAATAATAATACATATGCAAAACCTAAAACGAAACATCCTTTTGATAAAGGTAAAGAAAACGTTGATTTAACAAAACACAATGATATTAGAAATTTAACATTGTTATATGGATGTTTGTTATAAATTAAATTTGTCTATAAATTATTTTATTAAACCAAAAGCAGGTTCAATTCTACTTTATACTGATAAAAATAATATATTTTAGAGAAAAATGTTACATCAAATAGTGCAATTTTGAATTATTATGTAATAAAATGATAATAGTAAAATTTTTTACAGTTAATTTTCTTTATTTCTCAGCAAAAAACATAGAATCTTTCTATCTATAATTAATACATAACTCTTATCTCTTCAAAATGTTTATGCATATTAATTTCTCTAAACATAGATTCTTTTTATCATTGCAAAACTTTATCTTGATTGATCAGTAGGACATGCTAAAAATAGATTACTAGTTGGAAAAATATTGTAATGATAAATTGCAACCAATAAATTGTGTAATTATATTAATATATATTTTTGTTTTCATTTCATAATTATCTTTGTTATTGTTACAGAGGCTTATAAGAAAAAAGAAGAAAAAGTTCTGCATGACTTGCAGAGAAATACACACAGTTGTGTAGCCTATATATGTACACTTAAGGTAAGATTTTTATTTTATAAACAATAAATATATATTTATATATTAATATTTTATGTATTGTTACAGAAACGTTTAGGTACTTTGGATCTCGAAAAGTGTGTACAATTTGGTGTTAAACCTGGTCCTCTGTTAGGACAACTGAAAAGTGGCCAAGATGTTGTTTTACCTGACGGCACTTTGGTGCATTCAAAGGATGTAAAAACACCTGATGATCCGGGACCAGTGTTTATTGGTATGCCTTTTGTTATATAAACTAAAAAAATTAAAGACAAATTGATAAAATTCTTCTTTTTGAAGTCATAAGAAGTTGTACATTCAAACATTTTTAATTATTAATTTGTATGTATGGTATTTTCCTATTAAATCTTGAATATTAAAAGCACATTTTCAAAGAAGATTTGAATTAAATATTATCAATGTTTTGATAGCCGGGAAATTGCCAGGTAGAAGAAGAATGTTTTGATAACAGAAATCTATAAACTATTTTGAATTAACTTTTTATTCCTTGAATTTGAGATAATATGTAATGCTAATTACTAATATTTCTGTCTAGTTCTCGAAGTACCGGATCTGTCATATTTGCAAGAATCGGAGTTTGTGTTGCATTTCGACGACGGCAGCAATCCCGCAGAAAACATTCCAACACTAATAGTACATTACACACCACCACATGTACTGCATCATCCTAAGTAAGTACTTGTAGAATATTATAAATTCTCTTTGCATTAAAACTATCGCAAACCTGTTTTTAGATAATACCATAATTATTAAATCACCAAACATGTTATCTCAATTTTTTGTCTCAAACATCATAATTTTTTACTGAAATATATAAGCTAGATTTTTAATATTCATGATAATTGCTTCCTTAGTTTTTAAAGCTTAGTCAAAAACAGTAATCATTACGTTAAGTGTCGCAAAACCTTTGAATTTTCTGAGAATAATTTTCAGATTGCATACATTGTTATTTATAAGTAAATTATATCTTGGATTTCTGTGATGAGGTTACATAATTATAATTTCTTTGTTACAATTCAATATAGACCATACATCTAGCACACAGAGATAGTTGCGCTAATACATTGTTATCAATGTTTTAGATACAGCGAGTTTATGTCAAAGTTTGGTCCGAAGACCAGGCACTTGGTGCTCAACTCACAGAACACTTGCCTTGGCTCGGAAGCTGTGCACAGGACACAACACAAGTTGCACTTACTGGACGCTGACGTGTTTCCGTTGCTACGGGACGTGAGCGTGCCGGCTACGTGGGCGCCTACCGTGTCCACAACGCCCACGACGCCCACTAGTACTCCAACTCCCGCACGGCTTAAGGGACTCGACGAACTTAAGAACAAGGTACTAAATAAATGTAATGAATCGTTTTTGCATGAAAGATATATGCTTTATATGTACATAGATATAAAAAAGAAACTGCTGTCTATATTGTAAGGTTTGTATGTGACGTTGTAATTCGTCTGTTGAAATCATTCTTTCATGGACCTTAGTTCTAGAAGCTATTATATCAATCAGCAAAGTCATTCTAAGTTGAACATGTAGCTAATTTAAATACCTTACATACTTTGAAGCTTATACAGTGTTATATTTTTATTAATAACTAGCTTTCCGCCCCCAGCTTAACCCGCGTGTAGTTCGGTTATATCACGTTTCCAAGAGAACCTTTCAAAAGTTTGGGATAAAAAATATCCTATGTTCTTTTTCAAGGTGAACTCTATCTTTGTACCAAATTTCATTAAAATCAGTTCAGTGGTTTAGGTGTGAAAGTGTAACAGACAGACAGACAGAGTTACTTTCGCATTTATAATATTAGTAGGGATTAGTAGGGATGCTTGCTCTAGTGTCGGACATGTGCAAAATATTTTGCTCCTAGCTGGGTATATGGTCATATATTTGGGGTATGTTGGCTTTGCATGGCTTGTGGGGTGATAGATGATGTATTATAGATCGCGGTGGCCCAGTTCCAGAATATAATCAGTATGGAGGGTAGCGCGGGAGACGGGGACCTGCACGCGGTGGACTCTAACAAACTGGACCTCATAGCTGGACGGACACTTACCATGTTCCATCTTAGACCAAAGAGACAGCTTGATAGGTAAGTTTATATGCACAACTTGCTAGATAATTGAGTTTTACTATTTAGGGCTTAGTCTGTGACATATATTTAAATAAAAAAATTAGTGTTTGTAACGATAATTGCTTATAACTTAATGCTTATACAACTTTGCAGTCTACAGGATGATTCACCAAAATATATATTTTTAAGATTTTTCTCTTTCTGCTCCTTTGTTTCGGTATATCTCTAAACGATTGATCCGAATTTAACGCGATTCAATAATAGCTGTTGTATTATTAAAATAGTATTTCTTGTTTGAGAAATTTTATTTATTTTTATCAATATAAATGTTTTAAAAATATATCTGTAGAAGTCGCTAGAAAGTGTAATACATACATAATTAAACAAGACTGTAATGGAAGGTTTGATAAGGATGCATATAATTTTGAGGTCTAACAAATTATTCGAGTATTATAAAGTATATTATATAATCAGATCGGCGGAACCCAAGCTTCATATCCAGGATTACATCAAAGAGACCATGGATGTAGATGGGTTCGTTGGTAGCCTGGAACACTTCAGGCGTGTGGTGGACAGCATGCGGTACACGAAAAACGACCTTCAGAAGGAATATCCTAAGGTCGTGTTTCTAGGAACCGGCTCCTGCATACCGAGTAAGACGAGGAACACGAGCGCTATTGTTGTACAAATTGAGTGAGTTTGTTGTTATATTAACAATATATTCAGTTTAAAACTCTTGTATTGATTACTTTAATGCTATAGTTTATATTGAGACCTAAGATTTTCGCGAGTTTTATTCATTTAAATGAAACACATCTCATCTGTCCGTGATAACGGTTGCTGAAAAGTAATCAAAACGTAGGGTGTATGTAGTTTTTATCAAAAATAAAATCTTCATAGTTTATATTTCTTTGCAAAAAATGTAAATTCGCAATATTAGTATTACTGACAGTCGAATTCTATCTATCTATGATATTTGAGATGGAGCAGATGTAAAAATATGCAGTTATTTGTTATTGCAATGAATACTAGTGAATGTATAAAACACTATAATTTCTTGCATTTTTTTAATATAGTTTTTTTATAATTAAAACCAAACTTGTCTGTTTGAAAAGATGATTTTTACTACAGCCGAAGTTATGAAGAGGATATATATATACCTATCATTTAGCCAGAACTTACGTATGCAAAAATGTATTTTTATGGTGTAAATATTTTGATATACAATTTTATTTGTTACAGTGAAAATCATTCGATGCTGCTAGACTGTGGCGAAGGTACTTTTGGTCAGCTGGTCCGTTTCTATGGACCGAAGAGAGTCAACGGTTTCTTGAGGTCCTTGAAGGCTGTTTATGTATCACATTTACATGCTGACCATCACCTCGGTAAATAAGTTTCTGTTAGGAAATTATTATTGTGTTCCTTATAACAGAAAAGCTAAATTTACTTAATATTTGTCAACAATATTTGTTATGTGGAAATAAGTTTCTGTTAGGAAATTATTATTGTTAGTGATAACAAAAAAGGTTACTTTGTTTGCTAAGTTTTACTTATTTTTTATTTACTGAGAAATGTTAATTTACTTTATTTTTGTCATCAGGTTTATTTGGGGTTCTTCAGGCTCGTAGGGAAGCCATGGAAGAGACCGAATGTTCAGAACCTCTGTATCTCCTCGCTCCAGGTCAGATAGTAACCTGGTTGTCCATGTATGACACTCAGTTTGAGAGTATACGGAGCGAGTTCACACTTATACCTAATCAGAACTTGGTAAGTATTATAGTAATATTAACAACTTAATAAGGATCTCAATAGTCAATAGAAATGTTATTGGTAGGGTTGCAATAATATAATATTCTTAAAATCGTACTTGTCATATAATACACCAAGGTGGCAAGTTGGCAACCTAACTATCATCAAATCAAAGTGGCAACCCTATTATGTATTATGACGTTTATAGAGTAAGTTAGAAAGTAGGAGTAGGTAACAAAATATCAAGAGAATATAAGCTACAACTTCGCTTTGTCCCCTATCAATGTGCTTAAGATGCTATAATATCGATTGACTAACATAACTGCTCCATACATACAAAAAGAAAATCTTATATTTTATGATATATTTTTTTAAATAAACTTTTTGACAATTATTGTTGATGTTTTTTTTCAGTTGGAGGCAAAATTAAACGATCCGTCAAACACGGATATGACGTCAGCAGTACTCTCTAGTATCGGCATTCAACACATCGACACATGTCTAGTGTCACACTGCCCTAACGCGTTCGGTGTGGCCATACAAGTTGACGAACAACACAAAATAACGTACTCCGGAGATACAATACCCTGCGAAGAATTAGTTAAGATAGGTAATGACATAAAATTTTTAAAAAACTTGAAGTTTTTATAATATATTGAGCTTTTGAAGTCTTAATAAATATTTAAACAAAAAAATATAGTATACCTAAGTATTTGGATACTATGCCTTTTTTATAACTTTTTAACAATTTAATTCCGAAGCTCCCAACGTCCCAGAGACGGGTATTTCGTCTGTCCGTAATTAACGTCACTATAATGGAACTAAAACGTCGGGATTATGTAAAGACAAAATAATAAAACACGCATAAGTAGTATCCAAAACACTTAGTTTCATTGATGTCAGCACAAACAAAAAAAATAATATTATATCATATTTATTATCAAACATCATCATACATATACAAACAATCAAATTTAATACAGTAACAGTACTTAATTATTATTTATTATTATTAACAGGTAGAAATTCCACTCTACTAATCCACGAAGCAACTATGGAGGACGAGCTAGCAGAGGAAGCTCGAATTAAGATGCACTCCACCACAAGCCAGGCTATAAACATCGGACAACAGATGAATGCCAAGTACACCGTACTGACTCACTTCAGTCAGAGATACGCGCGCCTGCCGCGACTCAACTCACACATACTACACGATAACAACAGCGTTGGTATCGCCTTCGACAATATGCAGGTATGATATCGTTTATATATATATATACAGGGTGACTGGTGAATTACTATCAATATTTAAGGAGAATACTCGGTACATGATTCTCATTCGAATTATGTAAAAAAAATAGGCACTTAATTTTTGACAACATTTCCGTATAAATAAATAAAGTGTTGACACGTTCCAAGTGTTCAAGTGTGGACGCGTGCGGCGGCGTGCTGATACAACACCACGTCACGACACGTGTGTGTGAGTGTCAGTATATACCTAATCTGTAGGGTGTTCACACGATGCGTAATTAATTACATAACTTTTGGTTAACTTTACTTAGAAGTTTATTAATATTTATGTCATATTAACTTTTATTTTGTCATATATGATCGTCAAATATCACGTCCTCAAGTATCGATAGTAATTCACCAGTCACCCTGTATATATGTATATATATCAACTCAAGGACGGCTGAACCAATTTGGTGATGAGCTAGATTAGAACCAGGAATAAGAACATGGGATTTTTTATATCTGATCGGAATATTGGCATTATGTAGGTGGAAGAGCCTGAATCTCTCACAGAAGATCGGCGTGAAGTAGTCTTTAATGGCTGCGATTCGTCCGATGAGTGAAAGAGCAAAATGCCATTTCCCTATTCCCATTCCATGCTTTCCTGTCATTTCCTTGTTCCCACCCCTCCCTATTCCTAATAAACCAAGGTTGTCAACTCGTACGCAACAGAGATGTAATGCGTATATGGGCTACAGTGGCCACTGCCCCCAAATAGGCCGTCTGCTCAATTGCCACCTTTCACATAAAAAGAGGATATAAAATTAATAAAGTCCAAAATCTGGTTTAAAGAGGAGCAGAGTTCTCCTAATCACCTAAGCAATTCTAATTACGAATATAAACGAACAAAGTCGCGGGCAAAAACTATATATATATATATATATATATATATATACATTTAATATTTCAGATAACAATGAGCGACCTAGACCTCCTGCCACACATGTACGCTCCCCTACAGTTGATGTTCGCTGATCATTGCGTGGATTTGGAAATGAAAGCAGCCAATAGAGCACGACAGAAGGAGAAGCGGCCATCATCCCCGCCCATAGACACGTCCGGTACAAAGAGGAACCATAGACAAGACATAGATAAAATAAAAGTCGAATGTAACAGTAGTGGCAGTAGCTGATCGTGTATAATAGACTCTCATTTGTTTTTTTAATGTAGAACACGTTGTTCTGTAAAGCTTTGTTGATATTGTATTTGAAGTGTTAATATAATTTGAGCTGTATCTATCGATTTATGTAGTTTTATTTCATAGTAGTTACGTGAGTAACAAATTGACTGTTTAATGTTATTTAAAGTTGATTTAATAAATGTATATTTTTAAAGTTTATCAATGTATGTATTATTTCTAACAAACCTGTGCTCAAAAACACTTTAGTATGATTACATATTATATCCTAGTTTGACATTTTTTTAACAGTAACTGAAGGTTGTAACTTTTTTTCACACAAAAAGAAATAACATCTGATTATTTCTAAAAGAATTCTAAAGTGTTCGCATATATTATTTTAAATTATATATGTCTTTTTATGTATCGAGATCCAATTTTTTGTATTATTCATGTAATATTTTAAAATAATAAATCAATTTAATTAAGAAGTGTACTTGAACAATTACATTTAAAACAAAATATAACTAACTATATATTGCACAAGATATACACGAAGTTAAATCGTTTATACAATAAACGACGTTTATCTTTAGTCCGAATTAATGAATAATTAATATATGAGGACGCTTACTATGTAGTCTGAGCGTATAAACTTATAGTGTTCATACATTAGTAATAAAAGGAAATAACTTTGTGACAGTCAAAATAAATTGTAAGTACCAAATGATGAACTTATAGAATCTCTACCTGGGTTAGGAGAAAATTTAAATTGGAATGTATACATAGACAATTAATTTATAATAAAAATATGTATGTTTTTTACTCAAAAAGATACATGACATCTGATACATAATATATATACACACATATGTATATATTACTATACATCATAATAATGATATTGATTAATATAGTAATAGTTAATCATATAATTTAATTATTATAATTCCAGTCAGTGAGAGTCAGCCTCGCCGCGTCCCGTCTAATTCTCTACCGGCATCGAACCACAGCGAAAGTAGCGTGCCAAGTTAGTTAATATCATACTAACAGTTAAAATAAAAATATAAACAATTTCATACATTTTAAGTTGAATTCATTGATTCTTATATTATATACAAAAACTTATTTAATTCTGTTTATTCGATCGAAGATCAAAAACAAGTATGCAAAATAAATGCAAAGCGATTCTACCAGAACAAATCGCGCTCACCTCCTAAAATAACAAATAGTAAATTGCCAAGTAAGTCAAACTATTACTTCATATTAAAATACATAATAATTACTTATTTCATATTAACAACCGACTTATATTGGAAAGCAAAGCTTGTGACATATATAGGTTTTTGTTGGTATTTCACTCAAAATATACTGAACAGATTTTAATGAAATTCTTCAATAAATTAGATTAGTCATCGAAATAACTTATAGGTCATAAGTTTTTATGTACTACTGTGTTTTAACGGGAATAGGTCATAGAAATTGTATGGTGTATCAAGTCTCCTAACAGTGGCGATAGATGTCGTTGAAGTTTGGTTACCATGTATATTAAATTACCATTAATATTTAATTATTAACATCTCTGTCAACACAAATAAAGCTTTGGAGACGACTATATATGAAAATGTGGAAATTACTTTTGAAATGGAGACGAATTTTAAAAGTGACAAATCTATATAAATAAATAAAAAAATCTTAAATTCAATTACAGATCAATCAAACACTGGCAGCAAAACAAGCTCCCCGGAAAGAATTAAAAATACTGGTGAGATTTTAAACTTGGAGATACATACATGTTATGTCAAAATTTTATTGACATGTGAATAAACAAACAAATTATATACTAAACTTTATTTTATGATTTAGTATTAAAAAAAATCATAGTCCTTCTATCAGTAGAGGTCGATATAAAAAAAAGGTGTGTTTTTTTTATATACAAAAACTTAGTAAAACCAGTTCAAAAAATATATATGTATATGTTTGTGAGTAAACATAATAATAAAAGACTACATAATCTACAGATTAAGATTAAATTAAGGAATTGTAATATTTTTTACAGTAAGCAACACTAACGAAGCACTGAATATAGAAAATACAAATGGTGATTGTATAAGAAATAATATGAATGTACCTCCAGTCGGTAAATATTATTTAAATATTTCTTCTCTGTAGAATTAAATGTATGAGCATTATATAATTTTTTAGATATGTTAAATTGTATAATTTGAAGTAATTTAAAAAAAAATCTTACTTTCGATACTGGGACGTAGGAGTCAGAAAGTCATATATTTAAAACCGATACGCTTACCAGTAGTTTGTATCTAGTAAGAAAATACAGATACTTTGTAAGTAAATACAGACAGATTTTAATTCATAGTATAGGTATTCACGTTAGAGAGTTAGAGACATTTTTCTTGTAGACGCATTGTCATAGTCTATCGTAATCGTTTTTTAATTCGTCCTTCCATAATGTCTCAAATGACTTAATATATTTATTTTATTAACAGCCGGTTCGAATACACTAACAACAAAAAAAGAAACAAAAAGATACATAAGTCCTCCTAAAATTATTAAGAAGAATTTAACACCTAACTCATCGCCTTCCCGGACAGTGAATAACGGTAAGATACGATAAAATTTCACATAGGAACAAAAATCTATGTTAAAGAGAAAAAATCAATGGAAAAAAATGACCCTACATAATAAAGAAGATAATATTTTGCGTCTAGAAATCATTTTTTTTTTCGTTTTCATGCTATTTTTTTATTGTGAAAGTTTGTTATTATGGATGGCACATAAATTTGGGTTTTTTATTGTAAATTTCTCTAAGTTTTAAGAAATAAGAATCTGTCAATATCACCAAATTTTATAAGTCCATGGATTAGTAAAAAAATAAAAACTTAATAGATTTTATTTATTCTATTGAGATTTAACGAATTAGTTTTAAACATAAGAAAACATGTTTAATCCTTCAGCTATGCCGGATGTTCCAGTGGGATATGGTAAGGCCATGGTCACACCAGTGAAGAAGCAGCTGGTCCTACGAAAAGATAATAAAACACCACCAGGTAAAGTGTTTTTCTGTATTAATTCCTTTTTTTTATATATATCCTACAGGACCTTACGTTCGTATTATTCCAGCTAACGAAAAATCCCCGATGCGTTTCGGAAGAATGCCCTCACCGCAATGCTCGTTGAAAGGTATTTATTGTCATTTTGACGGGTTTAAATTAAATCTTAATTTTATACATTTTTTATTCATCAGATAACAAACAGCCTCCAAGTCCAACACCAAATAAACGAGAGAACACAAGCAACTCTAGATTGCGTGAGTCGTCCACATTCTAATACCCGTATATTAATATCAGAATATTCGTTAAATATAACGCATATTATTAATAATACCACAATAGATGGCGAGATTTTTACCTCTAACTGTATTATGTCGATCAATGCTTAGTCTAAGTTTTTATCATCACACTATACACGAAGATTTAGCAGATTTTTATATATCTGCGAACATTAAAGTACTAATTTAGGTTATAGAATAAAAAACAAAAAACTCTATGTAGTGTGATGCTTCTAACTTGGACTATCCATACAAAAAAAGTATTCTAACTGCCAACCCAAAAAAATGCACTTTCATAGTTTTCCTATGAATGTGAATGTAGGTAATTGACATTGAATACATCGGTGTATAATTTGGTTTCAGTCAACGACACCATACTGAACCTAACACTGTCGATTCTGTACAACGTATTGTTTTGGAGACTACATCGTTTCGTATCATATATATCGTATTACCAGTGGCAGTCAATGATATCAGTAATTGCAGTTGGTTATTTGTTTTGGACAGCGACTAGGGAGACATCCAGGACCTATGAGAGAGTGCGAGGACTCTCCGGCGCTGACGCGCAAAGTATACACGTGACGAACACGCGCGTGATAAGACGTGAGATATCTGTTTTATTGATACTACTAATATAGTTTCCTGGATCAGTTTTAAAGCCAGATTTATATATAGGAGTAACTTTTGCTGTTTTTAGTGAGTCAGGAAATTCCCCTTTAATAATTAGCTTGATGAAACATTTACTCAAACTATCTGAAACTAAATATTTTTCCTTTATATTTCCTTTTCTTTTATTCTCTTATTAATTTCGTACTAACCACTATCATATTAAATACGAGTAAAACTTGGTGTGATGAATGTTAACAATGTTATATGTTTAAGTTAGTAATGTTCTCAAATAAGTGACTATGTACTTATTGCCTTGTTGAGAATAAAGATCTTTAAACCTAAGGTACTTTGAAGCTGGTTTTTTTAGGATTAAAAAACGTGAATGGATATAGATGTTTAATCTGTTGTAAGGCGTTCTTTGTAAGTTAGCTTTTAATGATGAAGATGAAGAAGAGATTTAGATAAAGAGCAATGTAGGTAGTTCTAAATTCACCTTGTGAGAAAAGGTACTAGAAATAATTATGGAATAATAGTTACATCGATATAAATATAGGAATTTGTTCCGGCATATAATAAACACAGGTCTTAAATAATCTTTATTTTTTATACTGGCTGGTAAAACAACAGAGTTCTAAACATCACACATTGACTAGGAATAACTTGAGACTTAAATTGCAATACATCGCCAATTAAATAATGTTCTCTATTATTTAGCCTCAAATCAACCCACAACACCAAATAGGACAACTATGAGCCCGAGAAGACAGTCGTTGGAAAGAAATTCCAATGGTAAATAAACAGTATGACATTTTCTTACGACATTGTATTTTTTACTCCTACTTATTATCCTTACTTACGAAAATATACCCATTTTGTTCTAATTAAATGAGATTTTTTTATTAATTTATTATAAAACATATATTTTAACCGTAAATCTAATCTTTTTTATGTTACAACTTATTTCAGATACGAGAAACACATCTCCCAACAAAGGCAGAACGTGTCAAGTTTCATATGCCCATAATACAAGAGCTTCAACATTGGGTACTTAAATATTTATTATATAATATACTAGCTTTTGCCCGAGACGTTGTTTCCGTTAATTTCATAATACTCGTATAGCTGACCGGGCGAACTGTCTTCGATTTAGAGGCAGTAAACAAATAGATTTTGGATTTTATTAGCAAAATTTATGGTTTGGTTGAACGATTTGAAAAGTATTCTATGACCTTTTCCAAGTTCTAAGCTCTCAAAATCTCCACCAATTTTCAGCTAAAAACGTTCAGTCGTTCTTGAGTTATAAATATTGTAACTAATACGACTTTTATATATAGATTTATCTCTTTTAGTATATTCAAGTGTGTTCGTTCATTCAGGTAACCCACCTACTACCAGAAATATACAGAATAGACTACCTCTAACCAGACGAGGAAGCTGCACCAAAGAAAACATAAGATCCGCTCAAGGTAACAAGGTATTTTCTCTTATTTATGTATTGTAGGATTATGAATAATTAGGCAATATTCATGCGAATATTATTATATTCAAAGAAGACAAAGATATTCAGGTGAACTGAACGAATATATCGTTTCATATATTATCTACCAAGTGACACTACTCACGTAACTTCGTACTGCCATTACATAAATGGATCAATTCTTACTTCCTATTTGTACATAATAAATTATTAAAATTACTATAAAATACGAAAACTGAAACTTTTCCAGCGATAAACTTACAATAATATTATCTAGTACTAGTAATGGTTGAGCAGGCCATTCAAAACTTTTGAATTTAAACAAAAAAAAACTTATTAATATTTTCAAAAAAATAGTTTTACTTTGAGAAGTTAAGTTTAAAAAATTATATACTTCTATGATAAATATAAGAACAGTAATGCGAGTAGTAAAAGTCGATTTATTATTAATTATTATCGTTAAATATTATTAAATAAATATTATTTATTTCAACGATCCTCAACGATTAATGTAGTTAATTAGAAAGTCAGCTAAGTTCATCCATACAGCATACATACTTTATCTTAAGATATCTAATATATAAGATGTAGTATGTACTGACGAAAAAATAAAGTTACAAATATCAAAAACATAATTTTAAAATTGTCTTCTGTACGATTTGGTCTAGTACCTCTTACAATAAAATGATCACCTCCTAAGGTATGTGGGGAACAAAAAGGCTATAGATGGTAAACACATGTCAATTTAACCAATCAGTCGCCCACCCTTACGGTTACATAATTTAGTTCTTGAAGCCAGCTTCCTGAAAGATTGTATAAAGTGTTTACATTTGTTTTTAACAATCGAAAAGCCCGAAAAGACTGTATGGAACTAAGTTTTAAATTATATTTAACCATTGCATTAATTGAGATAGTTTCTAACAAAGTTATCCGGAGATATATGTCCACAACAATATCTCGTGTGCGTCTTTACAATCGTGACGTCCCGCTCATTTATGATCCACTAGCTTTCCGCCCGCAGTTTCGCCCGCGTGGAGTTCGGTTATATCGCGTTTCCAAGAGAACCTTTCAAAAGTCTGGGATAAAAACTATTCTATGTTCTTTCTCAAGGTCAACTCTCTGTACCAAATTTCATTAAAATCAGTTCAGTGGCTTAGACGTGAAAGCGTAACAGACAGACAGAGTTAGTTTCGCATTTATAATATGTATTAGTAGGGATTAAGAGTTGATTAGTTTTAGGAAGACTGATTGATAATTAATGTAAATGAATATTGTATGTCTAAAATTTAACATTCATTTCATTTTAGGTTTAAATCGCAGCAATAGAAGTTTTCAACCTGAATTAGAGGATATTAAAAGTTCATTTTTATTATTACAAGATAAAACTGGAGATAAAAGACTAAGAAATAAATTCAATGATGGTAAATAAATTAATAAGTTATCGTTTTGTTTGGATTAGGCAACTCAGTAGAAGTTTAGTGTTAATTTTTAAATTTATAACGTTTTTCTATTATAAAACATTGTGTGGGTGATTCTATGAGAAGACCTTCTAAATATTGAGGAGTTTTAGGAGTATTGCGACCTTTTAATTTTATCCCATTTATTAAATTTTTCACTTAGGGGTCAGACATTTTATCAGGGTTTCTGGCAGGAAAGAGACACCATGACCAGTGTACACAACATTTAATTAAAAACTGTTGCATTAATGATATTATTATTAGTCAGGTTGTCATATTACAGCCTTTTAGCTTAAACAATAGTATTTTAATTACAAAAAATACTTGCCATTGTACCTTCAACACTTAAAAATTATAATATCAATAGTAGTAGCGATAATAGACTATTAACTGGTATTAAGACTTGATTAGGATAATTTTCATACTGTACCTATGCATAAGGTTCATTTAATGAACTTGTTTTAATCACTTTAAGATACATATGTTTATGGGAAATCTGTTGTCAAGATTGGATAATAATCAAGAAAAAATACTAATTACTTTAAGCAAATTTAAAAGGAGCTAAATATTTTATCATTTGGTACCAATATGTCGATTGTTCTCTTGGAAACAGCAAAAGCAAACCCCCAAAAATGGAATGCATGGGCCTCTTCCGTGTATTTTGTTAATTATTAACCGCTGATATATGAATGACAACTGATTTTTTGTTGAATGTTATATCTAATAGTCAATGACTGACCCCCCCTCTCCCTTAGGCATTTTACTTTTCAGGGGAAATTTAGATTTCTGTTAAGTTCGTCATTTAAAAGTAACGTATGTATATTATTGTTTTTTGTGTAATTTTATCTGCAATGGTCAATGACCACCCGAATCCCTTGGGCAGTTATCTTCAATTGGGAAATACGGCAGGAACAAACATTAACTTCGTTCTGAAAGATACTTTAGTTCAAATTGTCATACAGAAAAAGCATTGTTTGAAAATTTAATTAAAACCAGCTAGAGAACAGGCGAAGGTAGAAATCTTATTACACTGTAAGAATTAAATAAAATATATTTTAAAAAGCATTTTTGTTCTTAAGTCATTAGTATGATTTAATTCATTAAATAAAATAGCAACGTTAAGAATAAAGGGTTTGAAAGTTATTGCCGAACAAATTATTTATTAATTATCATAGAATCATCCATATAGCCATATTGTCGCTTGTTTTGATACCTATTGAAACGGTTGGTTTTTCACTTGACGATAGGTCAAACGAGTTACCATCATAGGGATATAAATTGGTGTGGATAAAGGGTCTTCCTTACTATAAAATATAAACATAGAATCCATATGTAATTAATAGGAGACAGGAGTAGGCTAAATATATTAGTAGGTATACCATTAAGTTGGTATCACTGTTCTTTTAATATGAAGTATTAATTATTATGGATCTATGCCTTTGCTACAAGTCTTAGTCGTCAAATTTAAAAGAGTGTTTCTAGTTTTCCTTAATTAATTTGTCTATACGATTTACAATCTAATGGATTTTTGAAGTGTGCACTACGATATTAAAATTATAACTGACTTTTTCTTTAAAAAACCTTTAAACCTGGTATGATGTGGGAAAAATATGCTTTAATTTGTTGGAAGTATAACTTTGTTCATGTACTTATTGAAATAATCTCGGATGCAGAATAGATCTATAAATACAATGTTAATATAATTTTGATATATTTTATTCAAAATATTTTCTAATTTGATAAGAAATAATCGTGTCGAAATTACTTGTGAATATATATGAACATTGAAATCATTTTAACATTTCTATTATTTTAGTGAAAAATAGGCTGGGTCTACACTCATACGATTTTGGGCGTATTACAGATTACTGGCTTGACATCAATGTTAAAGAAATAATTAAAAAAGTACCTTAGTACTATTTTCACAAGGTAATAGAAATAAATATAATTAAATGGTTTTGTTTAAAAAATGTTAAAGTATATAAAATTCTTTATAATATATTCCAGGTGTTGTGGAATCGAAACCTGCCCCATTAAACGAATTTCAGAGACAAGCAAATCTAAGGGACTGTATGAGAAAATTTCGAACTAAACAATTTTGGCATGACTCAAGTATACCTATACCAACATTTATTTTGAAAATTGAACTGTTATTAAAATCATAATAAAATCTTTAGATTCATGATAATAATTGAGGGCATAAAAAATGTTCTTGGAAACATTTTTATTTAGTTCTATAGTATTGCATTTTTTATGATAGGTGAAAAATAAAATATATGTATACATAAAAGTTTATCTGACATCTTATAAATTTTAGGGAATTCTACATTTTTTAACAGAAAACAACAATATATTCCTATAAAATTATGTCCAGAGGATTAGTTAGTTAATACAGAATATAATCTATTTTATTAACCAAAAGTAATTTATTGCGGTGCAATCAATTATTCTTTGTTTACCTAAGTATACATTCTCTAATAATCTTTTCTTATTCTTTTAGAGTATGAAAAAATAGAGGGACTGAATTGGATAACATGGAAATAAAAATTGTAATGTGAAGAGAACTCATTTATCATTGAAGTTATCAGTGAAGTTGACAAGTGCTATGTAATTTATAAATAAAAAAAATTGAAAAATGGACTTTCAATTTCTTTAAGAGCTCGGCCCATTACCATCCTTGTCCTTCTGATCCTTATCATCTTTTTCATCCTTATCTTTCTTGATCGTCGACATGGCATTACGAATTGCTTCGCTTTGTGGGTCTACTCCCGGTAGGTTCTCGAGGACGCTTTGTAGGAATGCAGGATCATTCATAACCTCGGCATATTCTTCGGACACATCCATACTCTCTTCAGCTTGTGGAGCGTCTTGCTGCATGCTCATCTGCATAGCGAGAGCAATCTGTTCCTCCTCCGATAACTCCATAGCTTCTCTGCCCAATGACATTGCTAGTGCCCTCTCCATGCCAGTGTTTTGAGGCTCCCCGGTTTTACCAGCTTCGCCTTCAGCATTTGTTTGTTGACGACGGGATTCTTCTTCTTGTCTCTGTCGTTGCTCTTCCATGGATACTCTTAAAGCTAGGGCGAGCTCAGGATCTTCGTTAGGATCTACACCAAACTCGAACGGTGATAAGCCCGAGCCAGACGGGCCAGCACCATCCCCACCAATAATTGGACTAGAGATTAATGCTTCAGAAAGAACAACACACCCACCAGCTGGTACTGACACAAGATGACTGCCTCCAGATGTATTATCCTTACCATTCAATGTGTTTATAAATGAAGTCAGTAGGGGATTATTCTCAGAATCTTCTCCAAATGATACAACGTCACAAGTAACCTTCTCTTTTTTGAGTCTTTTAGCCAATTTCACCAGTTCCTTCTCATCGGTATTAATAGGAGAACCAACAAAGACAACGATACGCATTTTGTGATTTTTTCCCTGTCGGTGTTTTAAAGCCAGATGTGCAATTCTAATGCCAGTAAGTATATTGATGTCCCCGTTGGGTTGAACACGATGAAGCTTTGAGAGTATTCTGCCAACGTCGCTGGTTAAAGTGGCCAGTACTTCCACATTGGCCAAAGTCAGTAACCCAACATTATTTTCCGGATTAGACCGTGTTTTGGAATGACACACTAAATTAACAGCATCTTGCTGAGCTTGCAGTCTTGTTGGAAGAAAATCTCCATTTCTCATGTAATCACTATTGTCTACACAAATCATAGTACTTTCCAAGACCATTTTTAAAGATCTTTTCTTAAAGAATAACAATTACAACTCACAAATACAATGAGTGGATAAAATTCTCGCTCAGTAGAATGATATACGAAATTTGCTAAATAATTGTCACAGGTAATACAATGTTTTTTTTCATTCAACAGATTATACAACAATATTTTATAATGTGACGTTGAGATGATATTTTCAATAATAGTACCATATAAAATAATCAAGGTGCTGTTTTACCTTTTAAATAAAAAAGTCGAGTTTTAAATGGCGATGTTTGTTGCAAAATTATTGCTTATAATAATACAAAATATAAATCAAATATATAGCAGAAAGAAAAAAAATAAAACATGGAAAAACTTTTCAATAAGTCACAAACTATTATAGTTAGTCATATATTGTACAATTTTATTACATTATTGTAATTTAAATATAGTAAATTTAGTGTATGCATAAAAAATATTTTTAATCTTTACCCTCCATTACTTACAGATTATATAGTATAAAGTATTGGACATTCGACATTGCTAAAAGAATCTGAATTGGTCCAACTTCGGAATAGATTCTCAAAGCAATGGGTTTCGGTGATTATCCCAAGGAATACAATCCAGCAGTCCACGGGCCATACGATCCGGCCCGTTATTATGGAAAACGTAAATATTAAACATCATGTAAAGAATTCATAATATATTCGGTTATGTAATTTCACTTGTTTTCAGCTGATACTCCATTCGGACAGGTTAAGTTAAGTGAGATTGGATCATGGTTCGCACGTAGAAACAAAAGCCCTTCAGCTGTAATGGGAGCTTGCAGCCGAGGTAATCATTTACATTTTTTAACCTTGATAATTTAAGAAATATGACAGAGTTTAATAAAAAAAAATCCTAATCTATTAAGTAATAATAACTACAAATTATATCATTTTATTTATTCTTTGTCAGCCTGGTGGCGCTGGCAGCATAAGTATGTGCAGCCCAAGAAGGTTGGCATGGCCCCATTCTTCCAATTGCTGGTCGGATCGATGACTTTCTTCTATGTTATTAACTACGGAAGAATGAGTATGTATTTTATCCACAACTTGTTAATAGTATATTACATGATCTTAATGTTAAGTTTTGCGGACTTATACTTTTTATGGTATTCATTTTAAATGTAGTATTCTAAGATGAAGTTATTAAATATGTTGTAGTTTATAAATACAACATCAGAAAATTCTTATCCACTGGTTGTCAAATCAAGGATATATTAAACAACTTACTGTTCTTGAATCATATATGTAATATTAAAAAAATATTGTTGACTTTACAATCAATGTAACAATGTTGATGGTATACAGTGATAATTAAAAAATTGAACTGGCCTCAAAAATTTGTAACTGCTTTATAATTTGTCTTTTTAGTTTTATGTTAGGTTTGCTGAATTATTCACCATACAATAATAGAGTAAAACTGATATGGAGTAAAATAATATGTATTAAATATATATTAACAGTTTCTTTTGTACCTCATTAGCAATTATATACAAAATTTTTATTTTTGTATATATTAAATCATTGAAATACATTGTTTTATCTGATAAGCTGATTAATTATGTTTGTTTTATTTACAGAGTCCCACAGGAACTACAAATACCACTAAAGACGCCCAACTTTACTTCATGCAATACTTATATATGGAAATTGTAACATCTTTGCATGAACCACTATAGGTGTTATTATTTAATGAGAACAGTTTCAATAAACCAATACAATAGTTTTAAATGTGTTTTACTGTAGTTAATAAAATACAAAGCAACAAAGTCATTACAAACATTAAAAAAAATAAAAAGTTTTTAACTAGATGACTAGTGATTTTCACATAGTTCCTGTTTTGTACATATTATAATAATTGTATAGATTTGTGTAAAGAATAAAACAAAGTCTGTGAAAAAAATATTTACTTAATTACACATAATTTATTCTACTGTAAATGCATACAACTTCCATGAGTACAATCATTCACATCAATAACTTATTTAATTGAACTCTCATCAACAAAACGCTGCAGTGTATCACAAGTCCAAAAAATACCTGAAACAACAAATATCATTTTAAGTACTTAAAATAATTTAAAATATATTTTCCTAACCTATAAAAGTAGAAAATGTTAACATACCTAGATCTATTACCTATTAATTGAGTTTTATTACAAGTCAGATCTTCCCATGTACTTGGGTTTTAATTCTTCTATTCTCTTAATGAAATCCGTCTTTTCGATACAACCGTCGCAAACCTCGTCCCAGTCGTTTAAAATCTTCTTTAAATCTCTCACTTTAAGTTTCTTAAGGTCTACATTGTTTAAGTCGATTTGTTTATCGAAACGAAGATCGCAAATCTGAGCATCTTTTTTCCTAAGTTTCTCACATATTTTGTCGGAAGGCATGGACCAGCTCAAAGGTTTCGAGAGTTCACCCAATATACCGGTTGCCGATTCTTCTAAGCCTCCCAAGTAGTAGCAAAATCGATTCTCCTTGTTCTTGCTTCCTTTACAAAATTTCTTAAATTCTAATTCGATTTTTTTAGGGTCTTTTTTCACATCATCTGATAACGTGGCTGCAAACTTATCTACAGTTTTTACACATACTTCACATTCGCCTTCTTTTAATCCGAACGAAGTTTGTAGCGCAGCTACTAACAATATTAAAGAGAATACACCAAATTTGCACATTTTGTATGTTGTATAATGTAAAAAGATGAGGAATAACTTCGAATTCAAAAAAACAAAGTGAAATAATTTAACTAAAATGAATTACGGTCTACAAACTGATCAAATATCCGAATATCGCCTCCTCATATATGACGACGACGTTGACAGCTTTACTTGGCAAAATTTCATTGGTGCACGTTTTAGTTCTGAAAAAGGCAACGTTCATCCGAATGTCTTTTGAAACAGTTTATATATATTATGTAATATGTAATAACTAATTATATTATATTTTATCTATTTAATTTGTAATAACATAAAATAAATTTTGATATAAAAATATAGAAGATAAAAAATATTTTTAATTTGAGGCTATAAATACTAGCAAGTAATTAAAAATGTCAAAAGAATGTGTTGTTATGGAAACATGTTCTGTTTATCAATATTCAAATTTCACTTAAACTTTTAGTTTGATTCTCAATAGATATTGTATAAATCTAAGTCTTATACAATGTCTGACTTAAAACAAGCCCTTAAAGATAATCCAAGAAATGCTTTGGAACCATATATAGTTGGGCTTCAAAGCGACTCGAAGATTACTCGTAGACAGGCTCTTAAGAAAATAAACGAAGAACTTTTCGAAAACCCCTTAAATGAAGACTGTGATCTGACATGTGTATTTCCAGAAATTTATGCTTACATTTTAAAGAGTTTTTCTGATACTTCTGAAGCATGCCGAGAGTGTGCCATTGCTATCATATCAAATTTTATAAACCGACTACCTCTAAATGATTACTATTTGACTTATATACTTCCTGTCATTGTTCGCCGAATAGGCTGTGCAGAAACTATTGAAGATTGTGAAGAAATAAGATTAAGTTTGACAGAACTTGTTCATAACATTTTATTGAAATACAGAGGAACACATTTATTAAGTTCATTTATTAATGATTTTACTAGCATTTTGACCAAGATTAGTACGGATCCTTTCCCAAAAGTGAAACTACAAGCATGTGAATGTATTATACTCTTGACCAAAGTTTTGCAGAGAGATTTCCATTTCCAGTCAGAAAGCTATGTGAAGCCTCTTTTATCAAATTTCTCTCATCAGCATTTTAGAGTGCGAGTAGCTGCTATTCAAGCTATAGGTACGAAAATTTATTTCTAGAAAACAATACTGTAATAATTTAAAAAAATATATGCATAATATTCTTTTAAAAATGTTACTATCTCATTTGAAGGTGCCGTTGTTATGGCTGGTAATGTAAAATGTTTTGAACTGTCTATCACTCCGATGGCAGAAAAATTGTTTGATGAGAACACTCAAGTAAGACTTCAAGTAACATTGGAAGTTGGGAATTGGATGTTAAGCTACAGAGATCGTTATTCATTTTGGCATAGAATGATACCATTGTTGCTTACAAGGTTTGTAAATATATATAATTAGCACTAACTTATATATACAATTAGCACTAACTTATATATATGCAGCTTCGCCCGCATGAAGTTCGCTTATATCGAGTTTCCAAGAGAACCTTTCAAAAGTCTCGGATAAGACTATCCTATGTACTTTCTCAACTCTATCTATATATTATCTCTGTACAAATTTCATTAAAATCGGTTCAGTGGTTTAGGCGTGAAAGCGTAACAAACAGACAGACAGACAGAGTTACTTTCGCATTTATAATATTAGTAGTAAATATTACCGATTTTAATGAAATTTGTACAGAGATAATATATATCCCTACGGATATAAATATATATCATTATTGAGGAGGTAAATCAGAATTGGCAAAGAATATTCTGATGGCCTCTTTAGTCTTATGCAATAAATTTTATCATACAACTTACCTTCTTGAGATGTTGGTACAGACCTTTTATTTTGATTATGAATTTAGTCCCTCAGTTAGTTTTCTTAGTCTATTTATGAGATTTTAAAATGATTTACAGTCTCAGTGATGTGATGGCTGATGTTAGAGAGACTGCAACCAAATTGTGGAATGATATCGGAATTCAATACATGGAAGAAAACGAAGAGGACCTAAAAAAGAAGACAGATTTCCTTAAAGATGTTCCAACTCATTATCCTGATGTAAAACGCCCAAATCTTGGATGCAGAATGCTAGTCCAAAGCAATATTGGGAAAATTGTACCAGCCATTGGTAAAGGTATGTTGCAGGTATAAATGTACATAGTATGGATAATAAACTGTAAAGGAAACATATATAAGTAAGATTTTAAATATATATACATATAATGCTTTTAATAATATGTAAATATCATTTCTCCCTTAAAAGCAAAGTTATATTTCATGCATTTATTAATATATATAAGAACTTCATTGTTATTTTAATCAAACAATAGAAAAAAAGAAATTCAAATTTAAAAAAAGAAATCCGATATTATCAACTAAGAAGTTCCAATATATAAAGAGGTAGCCTTTAATAGTTATATGTTTATAGTGTTTGTAACAAATTCAGATAGTAGGTAGATAAGTAATGTTTGTGACAGTTATCAGTCTACGTTGAAGCAGTAAATTGTGTGCCACAAGTACATTGTTTTATTTCATTATTACTTATAAATATAACAATGTTTTTACACTTTTTCAGAAATGGATGGCTGGCAGGCCGATGCTCGTCTCCGTTGTGCCCAGCTGCTATGTTGGTTGTTATTATGTGCTGAAGAGGGCAGCACACAACATGCTAACACAATTGTCAGGACATTACATAGAGGAGCTAGTGATGATGACCAAAGAGTTGTGACCGAAGTAAGGAATTTAATGTATACTAGTTAGTATATCATCAGCATCAGCCTATCAAGCTCATTGCTGAGCCAAGGCCTCTTCTCAAATGGAGAAAGTTTGAGCATTAATCACCACACTTGGTCAAGACGGGTTGGTGATTTCACACTTATAATTTGTAATTATAAGTCCAGGTTTCCTCACGATGTTTTCCTTCACCGTCTGTCAGTGGTGTCTAAATACTCTTAGAAACTACTTCTGACATGGAAAAATCACTTTGGTACTTGCTGGGTTTCGACCCCGGGAACTTATGCATGAGAGGCAGGCCCTTAACTACTAGGCGACCAAGACTAGTTAATATATGAATAGAGTTAATTTGATATCACCTCTTTTGTACTGTAGTGTGTCAATTGTACCTAATTATTATTTATATGTATAGATAAAACGAGCATCTGAACTATTTGGGTATTTTATAACGCCGGAAACTTGGTGGCCGCTATTGGAAGCTGAGGTTGACTCATGGGGTGCTCTGTTTGTGATAACTAACATCTTGAAGGGCTCTAGGTCCGAACAAATCAAGGGAAAAGTTATGATTGAGCTGTGTAAGGAATTATCAGATCCCGACAGATGTAGATCGAGAAAGGCAAGTTCTTTTTTTGAATTTTTATTCTTTAACGGTTTTGATTTGAATGTTGAAGATATTTTTTTTTACAGCCAAAGTATCAAACAAATTTACTCCACGTGACCGAGGCTTTAATGGACTTGTGTAAAGAGGATTGTAATGAAGTTGCGGAACATTTGTTCATTATCAACTTCACAGTGTACGCAATGCCTTATGACGAGAAAATGCAGTTTATGTCTTTGTGTGAGTTTACATGATTTAAAAATTACAAGAACGCTTTTAGAATAAATGTATTCTTTTAGATATTATTAAAAAATATTAATTCGGATAGTTGTAAAAAAACCTAATAGATGGCATCTTCTTCTCTATGTTATTGTTTAAATGTATGAAAAACTTAGTAAATCGACTCTAGCCAAGGTTTTATAGAATTGGAACTTTCTACCCCCTAAGCTAGAGCAGTTTAAATTCAAGTATTAGCTCAATATTGCTTAATTTTTTTTGCAACTCAATATACAGGGTGACTGGTGAATTACTATCAATATTTAAGGAGCATACTCGGTACATGATTCTCATTCGAATTATGTAAAAAAAATAGGTACTTAATTTTTGACCAAATTTCCGTATAAATAAATAAAGTGTGTACACGTTCCAAGTGTTCCAAGTGTGAACGCGTGCGGCGGCGTGCTGATACAACAACACGCCGCCGCGCATGTATGTGTGTGTGTGTGTATATATACCTAATCTGTAGGGTGTTCATACGATGCGTAATTAATTACATAACTTTTGGTTAACTTTACTTAGAATTTTATTAATATTTATGTTATATTAATTTTTATTTTGTCATATATGATCGTCAAATATCACGTCCTCAAATATCGATAGTAATTCACCAGTCACCCTGTATATATATTTTTCAGCAAATCTAGACAAGCTCCGCTACATAGAGCAGTGTGGTCGCAGTCTAACTTGTCTGTACGAGCGTCATATACAGCGTGTTCTATCAGACATTACTAGTGACGCGCTAACATGGACCTTACTTACACCTGACAGATGCTTATTGGAGTGTGTCTTGTTACATGGAGGTGAGAAAGAGACAGAAAGAGAACATTATAGAATAGAGCGAGATAGATATATTATTACACATAGATATTAAATAATATTGTACCAAATATGTGCGTCTCGATTGAAAATGTATGTAACAATTTTGTCATTTAAAATCAGACTCTATTGCCATAATATCAAGTAAGATTTTTCAGTGTATTATTTTAAATTTTTTCAACTATTTCAAGGTCCAGCGATGGGAGCTCAACTGCACCTTATAGCTCCGTTGTTAAAAGAATGCTTGTCCACCCCGAAAGTTGACCCTGAGGTCAAGTTGAAGCTTTTCACAACGTTTTCATCGGTATTATTACAAAGGCAGAGCAATTTCAGTAAATGTGATTCGGATAAACTAGAAGCCTTCTTGAAGATTGTCATTGAAGGTATTTTAATCTCATAATTTGTTTGAACATTTTTATAAAGATCTAATAATATATCAAACGGAAAACATTCCTCTATAATAAAGAGGTTTTATAATAAATGAATAAAAATATCAATGTATTTAGTGAACGTACTTCTAATGTTAAATAATATACGATAGAGCTGTGGAACGGACAATATGAAAATCGTTGTGGATATTATTTGTGTAGTTGGAATAAGATTTTTTTATAATTAAATGAGGCCTTTGACTTGGATTTTTCCTAATTTTAAATCTATGTTATTATACATAATTAATAATTGTTTTAATTGTTTGTATCAGAGGTGATAATGCCAAACCTTGTGTGGTCCCCCGGTCGCACGTCTGAGGCTATCCGTACAGCCGCGGTCGCATGTCTGTGCTCCGCCTTACAGGACCAGAAAGATCAACTCAATATGGAGAAGGGTGGGGATGGTGATAATAATGATAAGGTAATTTAAAATGATAAGGTAGTTTAAAATTTTAATTGCTTCCATTTTGTTTTGTCTATGGTTTGGTCTTTTTTTTTTTTTTTTTTTTTTTTTTTATGTGAAAGGTGGCAAACGAGCAGACGGCCCACTTGATGGAAGGTGGTTACCGTCGCCCACGGACATCCGCAACATTTTGTCGCGGATGCGTTGCCAACCTTGTTTTTTGGGGATAGGGAGGGGTGGGAATAAGGAAAGGAAAGGGTAGGAATAGGGAAAGGGCAACCGGCTCTCTCACTCATCAGACGAAACGCAGCCAGTAAAGGCTACTTCACGCCGATCTTCTGTGAGAGGGTGGTACTTCCCCGGTCGAGCCAGCCCATGTTCGAGCTGTAGTAACTCACCACAGCTAGGCTCTACCACCTCAGAAAATTGTCTATTTTTTTGGTTTTGTAATATATTAAATTTTATACATAAGCAGTTTGTATATGAGCTTATAAACCTCTCGTTTGGAAAAATTGACTAGTACTACTAGTAGCACTATAAAATACTAGACTAGGATTATCTAAGAGTTGTAGTTGAGACAGATTAAAAATATTTATAACACTAGAGCAACATAATACAATTCATATAATTTCTTTTTTGTTCTAGGAAGTAAACCTGTTCCCATCCAAAGAATCGCTGGAGCCATTCCTAGATGAGATGGTGCCCTTACTAGTGGCTCTGACTGATGATAACTCGACACTAACTCGACAACACACGCTACGTGCTATATGCTCTCTGGCGTCCCTTGCGAATCAACGGGACTGTTTCACCGTTGAAATACTACATAAACTATATTTCGGTAAAATAAAAACACTTATTAAGATATGTGCACGAAAAAAGTATATTATTAAGTCTTTGGTGAATTAAATCAATATGAGTTTTCAACATACAGTAAAGTTAGATATAATGTATTTTTTTATTGCTCTCAATGTACCGTCCAGTACTATAATAATGGCGGAGTTTTTGACGTCATACAACCATAATAATAATTCATGTAATATAATTTGAAGATGCCTTTTTAAATGTTGATTTTTGTATTGTGTTAAGAATATATATTTATTTTAGTGGTATTAAAGCGACTGGATGACAGCAGCGACAAGGTCCGATCGTTCGCAGTACAGACATTGACAGTGTTGTTTAAATGTCGCCCTGAATACAACACTGTTGTGTTTAACGCTCACATCGACGCCCTCTACAGCGCCATGTTGATACACCTAGATGACAGCGATGACGATTTCCGGAAAGAGATACTCGGTAGGGATTTCTATTAAAAATCGGTACAACAATTACCGGTAATATTTTTAGTAAAAATCTACATATGCTATTGAAATTTAAATATACAGCATTAAAATTAAAATATAACATTATATTTTCCTGGTATTATTTTAAATAATGAGAGTATTTGTTTTTAAAGTAACCTTAATCATTCATATTTTTTCAGAGGCCTTAATATCGTTAAGTGAGATAGATCCGAAGCTTCTATTGAAGAAAGTGAAGGCGAACATTCATCTATATAGAAATAAAGCAGCGTATGAACGCTTGTCTGACCATATAGAAAAAAATTATACCTCAATTTGAAACAGTGATATGAAGATTATTTGTAATTGTTATGTGATGTTTCTCTATGTTTTATGTTGCACCGAAAGTTGTGAAATGTTTGTTTTGTCTCCTACGCACAGAGTGTGTTAAATAAACATTATTAAGTTATGAAAGATTTTTTATTTACACACTTATAATTATCCCGTTCTCATATTGAAAATGAAACTTTTTATCCCGTTCTTATATTTATTTATTTATTTATTTACTCTTTATTGTACACCAATATAGACAGAAATAATAAGAGAAAAAGAAAGGAAAATGTACAAATAGGCGGCTTTATCGCTACAACAGCGATCTCTTCCAGGCAACCTTTGGTAGAGGAGAGAGATAGAATGGTAGGGGTGTACAAATTACTGAATACATAAAAAAATAGATATCATATATAGGTATATATACGATACATAAATAAATATTCCATAAATATATACTTATATAATAATATAATATACATACACATTATACATATATACATTTACATACTATAGATACCTACTTACATAATAAATAAAATAATTAATTACAGTATTTCCTCATGAAGCAAGATAGTGCTCTTTTGTCATTTTTTTAAAAGAAGTCATATTTGGTGCACGTCTTGCTTCAAGTGGAAGAGAGTTCCAAAGACGAATTGATTGGACTGTAAAGGAGTGAGAGTAAAAAGATGTTGTATGGGGTGGTATTTTTAAGACCAAATTCTCTTCAGAACGAAGATTATGGCTATGTGAAGAACTAAGAAATTGAAAACGTTCTTTTAGATATGAAGGAGAAAACGGATTGAACAGAATACAGTACAGAAGTTGAAGGATGTGAGTATTCCTGCGAAGCCGGATTGGGAGCCACTTGAGCTTTTTACGAAATTCAGAAACGTGATCATATTTACGAAGACCAAATATGAATCGGATGCAAAGATTTTGGAGACGCTCAAGTTTATTAAGTTGCTCCTCTTTTAGATCAAGATAACATGCGTCAGCATAATCGAGAATTGGTAGTAGGAGTGACTGTGCTAACATAATTTTGGTAGGGATGGGTAGAAAGTTGCGTAATCTTCGAAGGGAGCCAAAGGCTGCAAAAATTTTTTTACTTACCTCACTTACCTGTGGTTCCCAAGACAGGTGCTGGTCAAAGGTAATTCCCAAATTCCTAGCTGTAGCACTGAACGGTATGTTAACACCGCTAAAGTGTACAACCGGGAGATCCGAAAAAGATATACGAGAAATTAATTTTGAACTACCAATAATCAGCACCCGTGTCTTATTTGGGTTTACTCGTAATCCAAATGCAGTAGACCACTTAGAAATATTTAATAAATCATTATTAACCAAATGTATAGTTTCAGGAAGGTTCGCAATTTTACTTTGTGAATAGATCTGAAGATCATCTGCATACAGGTGATAGAGAGAAGATATATGGGAAGTGATGGTACTTATAAAGACCGAAAACAGAAGGGGAGACAACACGCCACCTTGTGGAATATGTTGAAAAGTTACAACATGAATTGGAGATTTTACATACAGTCTATCGTTTTTCGTTGTTACCGATTTATATCGACTCTATTTTAAGGAAAGAAAGTATACGTCTTACGGTTTTCATCTGTTTTGTAAAAGTATACAAAAATAAGATATGTAATAATTGAATATTAACTGTACAGAATTTTTTCTATACTTTTTACCAAGATTTCTCAAAGGAAATTACTTTGCTGTATTGAGTATGTGGAATACGAAGGAATGTTAATTAATAAAGAAAGTTTAATTTAGATTTCATGATGTTTAGAAACTAGTTTTGTAAAAATAACTTGTCTTGATAAATTTTATTCTAATTTAGTAAACTTTTGTGAACAATGCCAAAAGTTACAAAGTTTGTTTAGATTGTTTTGCACATACGCCATGACTTACATAATTTAATAGTTTTGAAACTAGAATAAAAAAATATTAAAAACATTATAATCATAAATTAATAAAAATGTATTTTAGTGCCATTTTATTTTTCTACATAAATTTGTTATTAAATCGGTAATATCAATTTGTTCTTTCTCTATATGCCGGTTTTCCTTCTGGTAACACATCTCTATAAATCAATGCCATTTTTAATGGAACCTGTTGGGCTGCTATGTTGCTGTTTTTGTTTATTATTAATATATAAGTAATTACATATTAAGAGAAATTGTTTGCTTTTATGCTTTGTTAATTATTTAATCATGGAAGTTACACGGAAGAGTGAGTTTAAGTTACCCTTTTGCAACATAAAGCTATTACTTCTTTATCCATTACGTTGTTTTTTTTTTTGTAATATTTTCAGATTTCAAAGAGGTGCTGCCTCTGGTTCGCGATTCAATAGAAGCAGCAGACTTTTTAGCTATTGATACTGAGTTCACCGGTCTAATGAGCGGCCGGGATGTGTCTATGTTTGATTCCCCGCCAGAATATTACGCGACCCTATTGAATGGGACAGCGGATTTTCTGTTGATTCAATTTGGTTTATGCACTTTCTATTGGGATGAGAAGGAGAAGCAGTACATGAATGATGCTTACAATTTTTATGTTTTCCCGCGCGGTCGGCCTGGTCCCGATAGACTCTTTATGTGTCAGAGTTCCAGTTTGGATTTCTTGGCTTCTCAGGATTTCGATTTTAATAAGCTCATCCGAGAAGGTTAGTTCTATTATACATATACCTCTTTTAATTTATAGAAATTTACTAAAATTCTAATCATACATCTCAAATTGACATAGTTTTTCTTTGTCTATGTTAGTGAAAACTAAACATCTTAATATACCGAAATGTGTTATAAGAATTATTATTTCAGGCATATCATACATGACAGAACCAACAGAAGCCAAGCTCAGAGAGGAGCTGACTGAAAAACAAAAGAAGTTGGGTAACGAAAAGGATTGTATTCCAATTCCTGACGAACATAAAGTGCAGATTGACAATATTTGGTATGTTTTATTAATAACAATAAATTGAAAATAGAGAACTATTTAACATTAAAACTTACCTTTTCAGCAAGAAAGTGCGTCACTTCATAGATTTTGAAAATGAAGATGAGATGGAGATAGATCGTTGTAATGCTTTCATCCGACGCTTGCTGTTTCAAGAGCTCGGCAAGAGATTTCACAATGAAGTGTTTGTTGAGAGTAAGATGCTCGAGAATAAAAACAGGTAACTATTAAAATTATTTTGATTTTACAAAAGTTAGGCGATGACTATCTGTCTGATCTCAAAACATCTAATATGTTAAAGCACAAAGATTTGAATATATTCCACTATATTCATTATAAATGTAATAATATTTCAGTGTAAGTAAAATCATTAATGTTAAATTCTACCAGGGTATTGAAAGTAAGCAAGATCAAGTGCGGCAATGACCGCATGAATAGAGATGTTCAGAAGAAAAACGAGGAATGGGAGCAGTTTGAAGATGCTGTTGGATTCTCAAGAGTTGCCCGGATGATCAGCCAGTCTGTAAGTCCTATGATTTATCTTAATATGATCATGCAAACCTAATTGCATGAACTTTGCCCCATAACATATTGTATTTTATGCTGGCTGACAAAACCAGATAATAAATAGTATCCAATATGTTAGATTATTTTAATTCAATATTTATTATAAATTAATTATATAAAAGGGTTGATTCCAAAGTAATGATAAATAGATATAATAAGTTCAAGTAAATAGGGAAAGTAAAAGATAAATTATTTTGAATATCAATTTCCCATAAATTTACATACAGTAAATGAAAGAACTCTCTGAAAAGAATTATAATAAATACTTACTTAATGATTTTGTTAAAAAATGGCGGGATTCTGGTCTTATACAATCTTCGTTAATGTCATTGTTTTAAAATCAGATTAGTGAAGTCTTAAATAAAAAATAATAATAGCTAAGTGAATCCAAAAATCATTGTTTTATTTAAAAACAAACTATTTTGGAAGTTTGCTCATGAATATGAGAGAAATGCATATAGGGAAACAGTAGTTTCAACTCACTAATTCAATTCTTTGTGATACAAGATTATGCAGATATAAAAATAATTGTGAATGGTAAAAATACACAAACATACTGCAAAGTTGTTATTTGGTAGTGAAAAATGATAGGTTTCATAAGAACGATTCACTAGACTTACAAAACTGTAGTTAGCTGTTCTTTCATTGTGACTTAAACAGACGACCAAAAAGCTTTTACTTCGCCTGACTAACCATTATTGGTCCGAATAACAATGTGTTGGCCATTGTCAAATTGAATCTTGTGTTAAACCTAAGATTCATTAATCTTAGGTTTAAAAACAGATGTACAATATTTTTTTATGATAAACTATTATAATCTTTCATTAATTTCTGTTATCATTACTTTCGAATTAGCCCTTGTAACATATGTTGTTATTTAACCATGGTATGTTTTAATAAATGATTGTAACATTTGAACTGTAAATATTATTTAGCGAGTAGTAATCGCTCCCATACTTTTAATAAATGTCATAGAATTGAAAGAAATAATAAACATATATAACTTCTTAAAATGTATGTATGAATTTTCAAATAGAAATTTTTGTTGATTTATTTTTAATTAGGATACTAAGTCGACAAAATGTAACCATATAATATGAAAGTTTGTTTACATTTTTTATCTTGTCTCGTTGTCCTTGTATTCTATAGTATAATAACTACTGTAAAGTACTGCTTGTATCACATATTCCTCTCCAGGGTAAGCTAGTGATCGGACACAACATGTTGCTGGACGTGATGCACACACTGAACCACTTCTTCCAGCCTCTGCCCACAGATTATAATACCTTTAAGGAATTCACTCATTGCATGTTCCCGAGGTTAGTTTATTATGTGCATTACTCGTGACATATGAGAATTTTAATGTAAAGTATTGTAATATAATAATAGATATCTCAGCATGTTCGCATGATAAGTAGGGTAGTTGACTATTTTATTCAAATATGACGTCAATTACGTCAAGTAAAACAGGTCTTTTATTTCCACTATTAGTTCTTTTTGAATCTCATCTAACTTCTAATTTGCTAACTATTCACAGGTTTCTTCTCTTTTAAATAGATATTATGTCTAAATTGCCTCCTAATTGTATATATCTTCTCAAGGATTCTGGACACCAAGTATATGTCAAGCCTGCCACCTATGAGCGACAAAGTGGATTCTAGTGTCCTGACTCACTTGCTGGCTACTATGTCCGAGGCACCGTTTTCGGTTCCAAAAGCTTGTAAGTTTTCTCTTCTTATTATTAAGTTACTTATTTATATCCGTATATCAAACATTATAAATATACAGGGTGACTGGTGAATTACTATCGATATTTGAGGACGTGATATTTGACGATCATATATGACAAAATAAAAATTAATATAACATAAATATTAATAAACTTCTAAGTAAAGTTAACCAAAAGCTATGTAATTAATTACGCATCGTATGAACACCCTACAGATCAGGTATACACTCACACTCACACATACGCGTCTCGCGACGTAGTGTTGTATCAGCACGCCGCCGCACGCGTCCACACTTGAACACTTGGAACGTGTACACACTTTACTTATTTATACGGAAATTTTGTCAAAAATTAAGTGCCTATTTTTTTTACATAATTCGAATGAGAATCATGTACCGAGTATTCTCCTCAAATATCGATAGTAATTCACCAGTCACCCTGTATAATTTTGAATGGACACTTAAATAAGAAATACATGTACATTTTTTGATCGTATAAATTTTGCTCAATCAAATAATATTTCTCACATCCAACAAACGCGAGACTAACGACTAAAATTATACAGGGTGTTCCGAATTTCTAAAATTCTAAACCAACATCCTAAATCAGTGTGCAAGCCCGGCCGCGGGTACACCCTGGCTGATGACAAGCAGCATGAAGCCGGCTACGACGCGTATATAACGGGCGTCTGTTTCCTCGCTATGATCAACCATTTGGTTCGTATGAGAGGGGAGCAGCCCGCCCGCCTGCCGCCATTGGAGGCCGCTATATGGAAGCCCTTCATGAACAAGCTGTATCTCGCCAAGACAGCGCATCAGGATTCTCCATATATAAACCTGACTGGACCTGATCGTGAGTTTTGATATACTAGCTTCTGAACATGACTTCGCTTGTGATGATAAGGGGCCATCCATAAAGTACGTCACACGTAAAGGGGGTGGGAGGGGGTCGACAAAGTGTGACATGGTGTGACAAGGGGTGGGAGGGGTCCTAAGTTTCGTGACATCACATTTCATAATCTAGAGGTACTAATCGCGTAATTTGAAATATTAATTAAAATCTTTAAAACTGAGCGCGTCATCACATGAATTACTATCAATATTTAAGGAGCATACTCGGTACATGATTCTCATTCGAATTATGTAAAAAAAAGGTACTTAATTTTTGACTAAATTTCCGTATAAATAAATAAAGTGAGGACACGTTCCAAGTGTTCCAAGTGTGGACGCGTGCTAGCGGCGTGCTGATACAACACCACGCCGCCAAACGCGCGTGTGTGTGTGTGTATACCTAATCTGTAGACTGTTCACACCATGCGTAATGAATTACATAACTTTTGGTTAACTTTACTTAGAAGTTTATTAATATTTATGTTATATTAATTTTTTATTTGTCATATATAATCGTCAAATATCACGTCCTCAAGTATCGATAGTAATTCACCAGTCACCCTGTATATATTCATTAGTTTATTTATTATTTCAAATATTTGATACTATGTTGATTTCTTAAAAAAGTACTTATTTTAAATGGAAATAAAACTAATTTCGGAACTGCTGTTTTAATTTAATAATTTTTCGATGTTAAATTGCAAAACATTTGACGTCACACTAGGGAGGGGGGGGGGTCTCAGAAATGTGACCACCTGTGACAAGGACGGGGGAGGGCTCAAAAACTCATGAAATTAGTGTGACGTATTTTATGGATGGCCCCTAATTCTATATTCTGTATTTGGTGTCTTAACATTTTATACATTAATATGTATTTTTGGATATAGGTACCTTTTTACTAAATGACTATCATATAGTGAAACTATTTAAAAAAAACATACGCAACGAGGAAAACAGTTTTATTGACAGCACGAAAGATGCCTTTTATACATACAAATTAGGAAGACATTTTAAAAATAAATGTAATTTGGTCACACCGATATGGCCATTTCTACCTAAGGACACATTTTCCTCGTATTAAAGTCTACCAAGCAGTTAAACAAACAGTTGTCCCTTTTAATAGTATGGAATAAATTTTCAAATATACAAATTTAGACGATAGGAACTGTATACAGCTGAAATTAAAATGATAAACACTATGTGCTAAATATAGATTTAACTATTTTTATATATATGAAAGTAACAGTTGATTTTAACTTTTTGTTTGCGTTTTTGTGTCTATTTATTAAGAGTCAATGGTACATTCGACTCAAATATTCTTAGCCATTTTACGGCCCATTTGAGCAAAAAACGAACAGGCATTGTTTTTTACTCACTTTATTAATAAATTCTACATTATTTTTACGTCTTTCTATATTTTAATATTATCAATATACTAGTATATTATTCCTGTTATAATTAAACGTTACAAATTCTCAGCTACACCAACTAGAGACCATGTGTTTCATGTGACATTTCCCAAGGAGTGGAAGAGGAGTGACATCAGCCAGTTGTTCAGCCCGTTTGGTAAGTGGTTTTGTATTAATTACATTTTATATTATTTAACATATTTTCCTTGCAAAATATGTATAATAATAGATACTTGAATTGTTCATACTTTTCCCCTCTTTAAACTCATCGTTTTTAATAAACTTGATGAAATACTTTTTCGTATTGTTTTTTCAAACATTGCAATAAATCTTTTTAAACGATTTTCAGAAAAAAATAATCATTTTCACATGTGTGTATAATATTTTATTAAAATGGTGACCTAATCGTATATCATTTGAGTTGGAACTTTTGTTTTAAATACAAATTTGTGTAGATTTAACTGTATCTTCTGGACATAAATCCCTATATCTTTAACTTTACAATGTTATTTTGTTTAAAATATTTTTCTTTGTTTAAACATTTAAAGAACACAACGTTTTTAATTCGAGTATCCGAATTTGAAAAAATATAAATCATCTTAAAATGATATCTAGTATTTTCCATACAAATAAAAAACAAAAAAGTGTAAATCTTTTTGGTAGATAATTTATTTATTTAATATAATTATAACAACAAAATAACTGTTTCTTATAATTAAAACATGTTCCAGGACAAATAACGGTGCAGTTCTTGAACGACACTACAGCCTTCATAGCGTTCTCCCGCCGCGACCTCGCCCGCGGAGTCCCCCGGGCCTTCGCCGGCGACCGACGTGTTACCATTGTACCTTATGTCACCTACAAGATCCCCAAACTGGTAAATAAGGTATACTTTATACAATGGCGAATGTTCTAGAACGTTAGATTCTATAACACATTATTATCATAATCATATAAACGATCTCACACTTTATATTCTATATGGTATACGTCTGTAGTCCAGAATCTTCTAGAATGTACGTTGTAGTCAGCGGTTCCCAATATTTTAACGACCGTCTCCGTTGTGACGTCATGTAGCCACCCCACGAGTAGTTTTTATTCCTTAACGGAATTCTATAGTAGTTTGAATGTTGTATAACAATTAACAAGTTAGTAATATTACAATTTTGAACTAAGATGATGGAAGTTGTTTGATGTTAAATGTGGCCAAGTTTGCCGGTTAGTTTTATCACGTTTTGGGAAACGCTGTGTTTAGATGACAATTGGATCTCATTGTGAACAAAATTTTACTCTATACTTTAATAAATAAGGTATACTTTATATAACAGTGAATTCTATAGAATTTTTATCGGTGATAATTTTTGGGTATAATTGGACTGTGTCGGAGCTTCTGTAGGTAGAGATTTTATTTATTTATTTGTCTGTCGATGTAAGTTTTTTGAAATGTATTTGACATCTATTTCTTAATATGATGTATTAAACTATTGATGTGTGATAAGAGGGTTTCATTTTTCTATCCGATATGAATCCTTCACACAACCATAGATAATGAAGTTCCATAGATAATATAAAAATGAATGAAATAAATAAAAATATTATATTCATACAAATTATTATATTTATCACAAGAATGTGGCTTGTTATGAAAAAAAAAAACATTATTTATGAAAAAGAAGTACTATAAAACATGCAGATAGGATTGTTGAAGATAATTAGAAAAAATATTCAAAATTGAAATTGAAAACATTTTGAATATAAATGTATGTTGTAGGATGTTCAAGAATTTTGTATTTATTGTTATAACAGGATGTGTTATAGAGAGATGGATTAATTTAAAGAAATATCAAGTTTATAGGAACTTGAAGGAAATAAAGAAAGGATACAAAATAAAGAGAAATGTTTGTTAACACAAGCTGACGCAGCGGTAGCTGAATGCTGTTCAAGGATTTATTACAGAGAGGCATCATCAGGACTTAATAAAAATAAATAAAAAAATCTCTATTATTTAAGTTAAATTATTTATAATTTTATTTATTTCACTCGTTTTTATTTTATCTATAACTCTTTTATTAAATTATTTTATTTATAACACCGGCAAACTTATAGGAACTTGTTTCTTTTTCGTATATTTTTATTTTTATTATTGTATTATTATTGTGAACAAAACTACTGAATGGAAATGTCTAGTTTTGCTATTTGCAGTATAACGAGCTAGAGCTTCCTATGAGGACAAGATGAGCTCGTCAAAATTCAGATGTATCTTTGTCCGCAGTCTCACTCAAATCACTACCAGTTGGATCGACGCGAGGATGACAAATATAAGAAAGTGTACGTAATGTTTATATCAATATTCCTTTCATTCATAATCTACCGTCTAATTGAAGATAATATGTATCTACCCAATTACATAGGCATCTCAAAAGGTTAATAAAATTAAAGCTCTTAAATTACATATACATATATAAAACATTCTAAAATTGCTGAATAGCTCAAATTTTTTATTGCTTCTAAATATTTATAACGCCTTAAGCCTAAAAGTTTTTTCTATATTATAATAAGCTTCTCATTTAGACGCTTCTTATTAAGCTTGTAAAGCACTATATTTCAAAGTGTTCCTGTTGACTTAAATTGCTTTTAAAAAGCCTTATTTTTAAAGAAATTTTATACAAATATCATATAAGTTAGTAAATTGCACTCATGTCTTGGCAGTATTTTTTTTTATTATGAGTGCAATAAAAATATATATAAGTAAGATACATATATATCTTTTAAGCTGAAGAACATTTTTTATATGGCTGAATATAATGAGAATTTATTATGTAAGATTTATACATCAAAGTAACATAATTAAAAAATATCAAATTATACAATAATATTGGTTTCTTCTCAAAATGTCTCACTGTTTAATTTTAAAGAATCGGAATAATTTTATTTTTGTATAAATATACCCAAGTTATATATTTTTTAGACATTATATTGAACTGCGATTACATACTAATTTTAAATAAATACTTTAAAATTTCTTAGTACTATGATATGAAACCTTTATTGAACATAATTATTACATATAAAAAACTAAATAAAGTTTATTAACATGAATCTGACAGTGTCATTAGTTCAAATTTTTGTTTACAAAGGTTATCTTGTTCCAATGGATCTATCATAGATAGAATATTTTTCCTAATACATAGGTTTATTAGTAATGTTTTGCTTCCACTTGAAAAGCTCTTTAAAGATTATAGAGCTATGTAGTAGGAAACTTAGCAATTATATTAAGAATAACTGCATACAATTTTCTCATATTTTTATATTAGTTCATAAGCAATTATACCTTGTAGCAGATCTGTCATTGATATTGCTCTAAAACTGAATTAAGTTAAGGTTACATATTTAGATAGGTGGGATTTGAAAGATATACAATTTTATGAAAAAAAATTATTAGTAATAAATTTATATGAAATCAGTATATTAATAATTAATATCACTTTTCATAATAATACAATTCTTAGTTTAACAATGTTTGAAGCATATATTGATAATTATTTTGAAGTTTGAGAAAAAAATTCTCTGAAAGAAATATTTTTTTCCAAATTGTTGCTTTGACTGTGGGACACCTTTCTAAGAAAGGAATGTTTATGAAGTTTATCAAAAAAAGGAACGTTTTTTTCCCTATATATTTTCATTTTGTTTCACATATAAAAAATACGTATTTTTTGTCTTATTTATGTAAATATATATGTTCCAATTTAATTGACGGAATGAAATTTAAACAATGTGACTGGTTATTGTAGATAGCAATATTATAAGATTTTTTTTTTTAATAAAATTTTATAAAATATTTTTTGTTTTATTTACTTTTTATATTCTTATTTAAATTTCATTCCAAATTAAATTGGAATTAGTGTTTATATTCAGAAAAATATGAAGCAAAGTTCATAAAGTAATTTTTGTTCATCTAATACTCTTACTTTATCTATCTTTTTTGCTAAATTGACTAAGTTTTGCATAATTTTTCTATCTGGTTATCCGTGGAAGTACTATTCTTAGTAATTTTAATGTAGAACCTCAAGAACTGAAAAAAAAAATACAAATATTATAAAACAACTGAAAAGTATTTATGTATAAAATAATTTTTTGCTATAGGTCGTGAAGAACTTTACAGACAGAAATTAACAAACATCAAATTAACTATCATTTTAAATATCTGTTATTGTTTATTATAGCATTATTTGGACATGTCACAAAAAAAAATTCGGTTACGTCAATCGATTTAAAAACAAATTAGTATTCTGTCAAAATCGTTACTAACGGAGATTGATATAAAATCTATTTCTTTATGTTATCACATAATATACTAGTTTTTACATCTGACTTTGTCCGCGTGGCTTTGTATTGAACTCAGAAACGTATAAAATATTTGTACAACAGATAATGTAACTAACCAACCGGCAGCGGTATCTATGGTGTTTCGTGACTTCATACACAGAACAGCTGTTATGTCGTGATTATGAGATAAATAGTCAGGAATCCGGGTTAAATTATAGTCTATGTGTTATTATGATGTCTAAACTACGTTATTTTAAAGTTTCATCCATATCCGTTTAGTAGTTTTTATATGCAAGACCTACAAACATTCGTAAATCATCACAAAATTTTGCTTAAATTATTTAAGTAGAATTAGAATATATAAAGTACATCATAGTGTTTTAATCATTAGTTGAAGGTAATTACGATTATAAATTTATCGTTTAATACAAAAGGTGAAAGGTGTTTAATAAAAGAATGTTCATTGAAAAGTCTAATACACATTCTTATTTCGATTGGTTCTGTCTCGAGAGTCGAGGCTTTCGAAGCTATTGTAAAGCCAGCGAACGGATCGTGAAAGGATATAAACAGGGTGACTACCAATTACAACGGAATCTTGGAATTTAAATCTTAATATATAATGAATTAAATCTATTTTTAATATTAATTAGTTAATTCATTAATGTAGTTTCACGCGTGATTAAATCCGTCTAAGCTCACTGTTTTATGTAACTCATAGACCATAGCTAGTGTTTATATGGACATAAAATATGATGACATATGATAAAACATAAATGTAAGAGAACAATGGCCGCTTATGACACGTTTTATTTCACCAATCACCAACTTTGGTATATTTTATCGAGCTGGTATATTGTAACCTGGTTGCTAGTAGCTTGGACAATGGCGCGTGGATAGCTCGACCCCGCGACCTCGCGTGTGCGCTTCCGCCATCTTGCATTTTAATGCGCCCGCGCATTTGCATATTCAGACACGTGCGATGATATTCTATTCTCATTTACTCTTCCATTTCCACAGGAACCCATTGCTATCTGAATGTATTTGGAATAACACCATTTATGTTATATTCTTACTTCGTCTTGAATGTTAAATAGTTTGGTTATACATTTTATTGTAATAAGTCTAACATATTTAAGAGAATATTTCAAAAAGTTAAATAACAAACTTTAATTTAAATTAATTATTTGTAATTAATTCAAATCTTCATCAGATTTTGTTTTCAGTACTCCTATAACGACTGAAACAATAGTCTATTTACAAACCATAAAAATATATGTAATATGGCATCGAGTAACCTTTTGAATGTGTACCGAGTTACCGTTGTGCTGGTAGCTCGTATAAAATATAAGTGCACGCTGCATATAAATAAGATCGGTCAAAGAAACAATCCCGGCACGCGTCTATCGTTCTTAAACACTCGCTTTTCAACGCCATCGCTCGTGCAGATGCTATCTGTGTTACGTTGTCTCTACAGGTTAGATGCGACCCAGCTCATGATACAGTTCATCTGATTATAGAAATTATATTGGAATTACAATTATACTAGTTATGTGTCCAGGATTCGTTCGTACATAATGGAACTATTAATTGTATCATTACAAAAATATATTTTGTAAGTCCCTTAGAGTGAATTCCGACAAAAAACAATTCAATTTGATGTAAGCGATGAATACGTAGCAAAAGAGAAGGTTATGTTACAGATCACAGGTTTACCAAGAAAAATGCGATACGAATCTATATAAAAATACCTTGTGGCTCCAAAAAGTAAAAACAATTATAATAAAAGCAATATTCAAAGTATTGTTCATGTATGCATTGCTCTGTGTATGGGTGCGCACGCGCCTCGAACTGGGTCGCGATTCTCGCCCGCAGCCTCCGATATTTTACGGTAGTAACAGTTAATGATTGAAATCTCCCAACTTCGTTATACACAGGATCCTGAAACAAAACCAGGAATATACCCAGATACTCACATATGTATGTAATCAAATCTTCATACTTTCGAGGGTCTTTTTAATGTCAAAAAAGTAAGAATGTATCTGAAAACAGTTAACTGATTTTTGGCATACAACTTCTTAACAAACAAAAATCATAACTTCATACATTCTCAAAATTGAAGTAAATTAAAAATTCATCTCCACCCATCCTTAGTTCATAAGAATTTAAATGAAACAATAATATATATTTATAGTTATAATGAAAGGCGAAACCGTTACGAAGATAGGAATCGCTTACCTTTCTTCCAGTCCAGTTATCTGTTTGAATATTATTGAGGCAACTGCATTGAGAAATGGTCCATTCCGCTGTATGCGGACTGTCGTGTTGGATTAACACTTCTCTGATAGCATTCACGTACAACAGAATCTTAGAATATTCAATGGATATTTCTGTTTTTTCTCCATCGTAAATAAAAAGATCTCCATCATTAGTCTTGAATAAAATTTGTATATATATTGTCCAATTTTTCTATGGTCTATTATATGAATTTTTGCTATAGATTATGCTATAATAAATCGTTTCTCCAATAATTATCTATTTGGTTGCCAAACTTGTATATCTTTGTATTGTTATACTGAATGTAACTCTATATATAGTGCTAATGCCGTCTGTTAAGAACGTCAAGCATATCTCATAAGTTTCACAATAAATTCAACTGTAGCGCAAACAAAGTAGCCAATTTCTCAAAAGCGACAAGGAATTTCGTTTGCGTTAGACAAAAGACACCGATAACCCTGCGCCTGCGCATTGCAATTCTACGTAGGATCTTTGTTCTTGACGTGATACTAATGGCGGCACCCGACGACGCCTGCTATTTACCAGACACCCATCTTAACGACGCACCATCAGTTTGACGTCTTTGTGAATGTTTTCTTTATGTCTCGCACTGAATAGCGTCTAGGGAGGGCTGACAGGATGCGTCGTATGTAAACTTCAAGACTGCCATTTATTTTAATATTTTATAATGAGCAAATAATTTGTAATTGCATATCATGCTTTACAATCATAACAACTTTATAGCTTATACTTTGTGGAATACATTTCATACTTTACGTTATGGGTTATAATTAAGTTGTGTTAAATGATTTTGTCGTAACTTCATAATAATCGCTACTGATATTTCTCTGTTTCATAAATCGTATGACGTTGACGGTCCAAACAGATGGAAATACAATTTGCCCCGGACACGTCATTCAATATAATTGGCTGCCGGCCGGCATTAGTTAATGAGATGTCGATACGATCTGGCCGGCGCGGCGTTTGCAAAGCGTTGTGAATATCATTCGGATACGTCCCTGGTTGGACGATGACGGCGTCAGGCGACGAGATATTGAATCGATATCCGATCCGATGTCTCGTCTAGATATAGAATCGATATTCGATCCGATGTCTCATCTCGGTACGTGTGAAACTCGGACAGGCCGTCTCGTCTCAAATGTGATTGGCGCGTACATGGACCGTCTGTTCAACTAACGTCGCTACATACAGGGTGTTGCTTTTCTATACACGGTACATTGATAAGGTCATGTCGGTTTTTCTCGTTGTTTTTGAACCCGATGGAATTATTATAGCGTTATTTTTAATATATTATTTATTTTAAAGTTCTTAAATTTAAAAACTTTAATAAGACATAACTATTTAGAAATTACTTTATATATTGACTGAACTAGGTGTATTATAAAATAACGATACTTAAATTTATTATAAAATAATATTAATTAATTAATTTCTTAATTTATTTAAATAAAGTGTAAACTTGTAAATATATACATGACCATAAATTGTATGTAATTGATACAACAGAGACATCACAATCGTTGCATACAAAAACGTATTATACCATTTAGAGTGGATCTAATAAGCGTTCCTATGTATAAGGTAAAAATCATTAAAAGGACGGGTTTTATCTCATTTAAATTCGCGTAAAAAGTAAACGGGAGAGGTAACGCTGGCTGTGTAAGATGTAAAGATGCTAGCCGTGATCGACTTGGAGCACGCGACACTACATACTGCTGCGGTTACATGACGCTTATATTAAAATCATTATAACTTACTATATAAAGACTTTATACACCACTGACATACGGTGAAGGAAAACATCGTGGGGAAACATGGACTTATAGTTTCACAATTATAAGTTTGGAATCACCAACCCGTTTTGAGCAAGCGTGGTGATTAATGCTCAAACCTCCTCCATGTGAGAAAGAGACCTTGCTCAGCAGTGGGCGTTGATAGGCTGATGACGAACTATATAAAGAAAACATTAGAATACGTCTAGAAGATTCTAAAAATTTCTGAGACTACATATATGTTAATATTAATTTTGAAGTTTTCTATCCACATAAACACCTTTGGTTAATTCTTGTATATAAAACTCTCGTGTCCCAGTGTTAGACAGAGAACTCCTCCGAAACAGCTGAATCGATTTTGATGAAATTTTGTGAGCATCTTGAGTAGGTCTGAGAATCGGCCAACATCTATTTTTGATACCCTTAAGTCATGAGGGTTGCTCACCAATTCCTATTTTTTATATGTCAAAACATTTGCCGGGTCAGCTAGTATTATATATAGTGAATTCTTATGTGATATTCTCTGACCATAAATATCGATGTCATAGCTTTAAGCATTGAATCGTGTTTTCTCAGAATGGTATGAAATACGACTCGCGTGCATATACCGAGAATATTTACGATCAGAACTACATAGTATTATCACACGTAGTTTTGTTAAACCAAAATTGGTCCGGACGCCATGTAGGCCGTGTCTTAACAAGTTCTACCTGTGATTTACTCTAAGCTATATTCGTGTTGTTACGGTAACAATAAATACTGGTAGCTAAATACAAGGGACATCTCAAAGTTCCTGGATGTTTAATTTAACTAATCCTGTATTGGATTACAAGGATGCTGTGCTCTCGTGTTAGCAAGTTGAAATTTGATATTATATCAACAAATAGCTTTATAAGCAGTTCTATTGTTGAATGTTAAGGAAATAAGTCCCTTATTTTATGCTTTGGCTCTATATAATTATATTTTAGCTTCACGTTATGCTTGTGTTGTATTGATCGTGATTTTTAATACGAAATAAAAAAGAAACTTTTTACCAAAAAACCTATAATAAATATATTTATTATTATTATTATTATAGAGATTGTTATAAAGTAACACCTATTCCGTAATTTCAGTGCAACATTTTTTTCAATATCTACATTTTTTACATTAGAAATTTCTTTTCTAGTATCTATCTTTTTATACCTTAAAAGATACTCTACGATTAAATTCTATTCATTTTATTATAATAAAACGTGTGATTTAATAGCCAGAGAATATCTTATAAAGTCGTATAAACATACCATAGTATGTTTTGTTACAATATTTATGTATGTACATACGTTTGAGTTAGTGGTGCTCGGTGTCAGTAAGGCGACAGTAACACGGACTAATGTCACAACGACGAAGTAAACTACATAACAGTACACTTAACACGCGTACGTTACACTACATACTTACAGTATCACGTTTTTAACATAGTTTATGTCACAAATTCATAGGTAGTAGATGTATTGAAAAACTGTTTTAAATAATATATCACAATGTAAATGTTTATTATATTTAAGTGATTTAGAATTTGTACTTGATTCCATTATATTTTTGGACAGAAAAAAGAAATGATTTTTTTGGATTGGTTTTGTAACTTAAGTGCTATAGAGTGACAGATGAACAAACAACCATAAAGACATACATATATGTATATAAGTAATATGAAGAGAAGCTTTTTGGAATGAATAAATGTTATTCAAATTAACAAAGAATAGTTTAAAATAAACATTTTACGAATATTAAAATAAAAAAGATACTTTTAATATAAGTGATTAATTTCGAAGATTTAATTAAAAATACGAGTCAATGGATTGTGCATACAGTTTCCTTAAATCTTCGTACATACATAATAAGTATGACTTATTATAATATTTCTCATACATTATAATATATTGTTAGATGTAGCTTCTGTCTCGTTAGCGGCGGGAAAACAGCTTATTAGTAAACGTGACAAAAACAGTAGTAACAAGTCAATCAATTGCCGCTTCACCGTGTGTCACCGGCGGGCGGTGGGCGCGCCGCAAGCCTTATTTGGACCACGTGTTTGATGAATGTACCATCTCGTTGAGCTTTGACTCTGACTAAAACACACGTACACACACATACATACATACATACACATAGGACGTTTCCATACTCATATTTAATACACCTAACAGTTCAGCGTATATAAATCCCTACTAATATTATAAATGCGAAAGTAACTCTGTCTTTCTGTTTGCCTGTTACGCTTTCACGCCTTAACCACTGAACTGATTTTAATGAAATTTGGTACAGCCATAGAGTAGACTTTGAGAAAGAACATATGATAGTTTTTATCCCAGACTTTTGAAAGGTTCTCTTGGAAACGCGATATAACCGAACTCCACGCGGACGAAGCTGCCGGCGGAAAGCGAGTCTCATATAACTGTATGAACTGAATATGTATGAAAATTGACATACATATCGGATTTAATACAAATTCGTTGTTTTTAAAGAGAGAGAAGCCAGAATTGTTGACGTCACTAATGTCACTTCTTTCACTACGTTCCATGATTTTTAAGATAAAACTTCAATTCTTCTAAATGTTCTCATATTTGTCGAATGTTCTTCGTAATAACATACTTCAAAGGTCCCCACTCACTGAACTCTGCTATCGTGCGTCCAGACGTCATATTTATACCAACATTAAAACAAAGTTCTATTCTCCTTTTAAACAGTTTGATTTCGTTTTACTTTTAACAATAATCATGAATTCTAATAAGTTTTTATATTAAAATAATTGATGACAGGCTCGAGTTATATTCATGTTGTACCATTATTAAATCTGATAGCACCGATATATATATATATATATATATATATATATATATATATATATATATATATATATATATATATATATATATATATATATATATAAAAATTATAAAAAAAATTGAAAAAATTTCTTATAAAACTTCCTTAAAGATTCAGAACAGTTATTAGATTGGGATACAATTAGAAAAAAATAAATCAAATGAAACCAATCGTTTTAATTGAAAAGAAAACGTCTATTTCTTTCTCGACCTGTAACCTTAAGTGGAATCGTGACTGTCTCCTAGTAATTCGGTCTACATGTCGTGTCGACCTGTGTACAGGTGAACGCGAGGCGTTAATGTTTAATACAACACGTTACAATTAGACTGTGCGGTCACCAATTAAACTACGGGCTGGCTATAACACACTTGTTGGGTTAAAAAACACTCACACTGAAATATACTATACTAGTTTATGCTCGCGACTTCGTGTGATTTAGTTTCATAGTTAGAATTGTATAGCTGATGAGAGAACTATATTCCTCCTTAAAGACAGTAGATAAGAAGATTTTGGATTTGATTAAGGATGAAAAGTATCCTATGTCATTTCCCTTGTTCTAAGCTATCTTTCCAACCATTTTTAGCCAAACCCGTACAGCCGTTTTTAAGTTATAAATAGTGTAACTGACACAATTTTCTTTTATATATAGATATAGTGTTGTAACTTTCGTAATTGTTAAATATTCAAGTTTTTTTTGTAGTAATAACACATAATTAAAATGCGATGAACTTTATATACGATTTGATATAATCTTCATGATTAGCAACATCGGCTATATATATTATGTTCTTTAGCGTTTTTTCCATTTTTTCTTAAAATTTAATTTTAAAACGTTAAATTTTAATTTTTTTATTTTTTGCGCCTGTAAACAATTTTTCCATTCACAATACATGATTTACTGCAACTGAGACATTTATAAGACTAATATTTATTTTCATACTTTATTAGTTTGGAATATTAAATATTATATTTATTTAAATATTCAGGTTTTTGTAATATTATTTAATCTTTTTTACAGTTACACACATGAAAATTCAAACGCGACGTCGCCAGGTACGTATTTTTTTATATTAACAACAATATATAAAAAAATATTTTAATATTTCTGTTTGGATAAAGTAATGTTTATATTAATTTATATCCGACTGCCCATAAACAAGTATGTATAAAGTAATATTTAATTTGAAATCATTTGATTTAACATAATTTACTTAATTATCGTCAAAAATACTATCCTTTCTATTATTTAATCTCAATAAAAATTTTACAAGTTTTATATTAGTGTGTACGTTTAAAAATATGTGTTATAATAAAATTATTTCATGTCAAGGTAATGCACGAAAAGAGGCTCAGAATAGTAGAGAGAGATCAAACAGCATCTCATCTGTACCAGTCGCTAGGAAAAGAACGTCTTCTGGGATATTCAAGGTGACTTCAACAATAAATTTGCTTAATTTTCTCTAAAGCGGCTGAATAAACGTACTTACAGTAAACTGTAATTATAACTGTAACTGTAAAAATAAGTAAAAGACTTTTAATAAATAGAGATTGTTTCAGTATTATTTTTTATTAGAACATAATTATATGTTGTTTAGTATGAGATATATTTTAAATATATTTATTATTTAGCATAGTTATTCCAAGTTTTTATCGTTATACTACAGAAGTTTCTCGCTTTTTGTTCAATAACTTACCTTATTAAGATGATATTTGTGAATGATAAACTGCTGACGCTACGTATGTAGTCTGACGATGTCAACTTGGACCAAGCACGATTAACAGGAAAAGATAAACATTAATTTATGAAGCAAAATATAAAAAAAATAATAAAAACTTTTTAATTTTTCTTATAAACTTATTAAAATATATATTTTCACAGATTGAAGATGTCTGTTCTCCGCCAAAGAAAATAGAAAAGGAATTAGTAAAAGAAGATAAAAACGACTTAGATGAAGTTAAAAAAATTGAAAACACAAACAACGTGAGCTGTGTTAATGTTTTCAAAGAGAGCGACAGTTGGGATTAAAGAAATAAATTAATTGAAAATATTCTATAGTTTTATTAAACATACCTATTACCTATACCTATATATATATTTAAATTATCTCCATACAATAACAAACCCGACTATCCTCAGTCGAAAAAAGTTTACGTCTTCAAACTTTATACTCTGCGTTTCTCGTTTACTTAACATTGTTAATACTATAGAATAGTGAAGAATATAAACGAAAAACTCATCGTATTTAGTTTGACGACCAAACTTGTATTAAGGATAAATATCTCATCGAAATTAATATTAAATAATAATTAAAATCCGTTTTCCTTCATAGTTGATAGGGTCGCGAGCACGTTTGGGATTTCCAAGGGCATTGCATTTGATGAGGGTAGGCACATGCCGCTAGGAAACCCCAGTAATACAGCGACGATACATTATATAATATACATACATTTATAATATTATTACTTTATAATAGTAAATATATATTTGAATTTTATACAATATGATGATAGGAGAATTTTTTTTATACATTATTGAGTACATTGGTCGTATTCATTTATTAAAAACAATCATCAGTTATTCATATTAATAAACAATTTTAAATAGCAATTGAATAGAAAGCAAAGCATGCAAAGATTTTTTGAATTTTATTGAATTTCACATAAAGACAATAATTTTAACAGTCTTCGTTAATAATGAACCTTTTTATAATTTTAAACTAATAATAACATATATGGCAACATTAAAGAGACTTTTTTTTATAAAAAAGTTTGAATAAACAAGTTTTAACATGTTCATTGATAACAAGATCTTTGATAATTCTCTGCTATGTTGAACACAAGTCAAATGTGACGTGAGCGCGGTCATGTCTACAGCGTGGCTACTTCAAGTCGCATCAAGTAAAAGTCGAGTCCACTGATTACAATAGTTTATACTAGACACAATAAAATACATACAAGCATATGAATTTAAAAGCATTGTTGCATAAATTGTTCTTTGACGTACCCATTATAAATGACTTCTTTAAAAATAATGACTTACTCGACTTTATAATAGGTAATGTGTGTTAAATTGCTAGCTGTTCTTATGTAATTAGGGCATAGGAGCTGCTCTAAAGTCGCTTATCGTTCTTGACACGATATTATAAGGCAGGTGTATCTGGTTGGATATAGTTTAGAACACGTTACTCTTCAATAATTTCAACATTAAAACTAAACATAATTGCTTATATTAAATGTGATGTTCTTAATCTTTAAGTAATTCAAATTGCAGCGTAACTGTATGCAAATTATAAATTGCTGTGCAAATAGTAATTAATGAATATTAAGTCGTCGAGACGAATGATTATAACGAGACATTTCAATACATCGAAGTATGTATTTTATGTGTAATTGAATATTGAGAATCTTCTTGTGTCGATGTCACACCGCAGCTTGGGACTTAGCAGGCCAGTACGAAAATTAAACCCACTGAACCGCAAAGACCCTTGCCAAGGTTGGGACTTGGAGAATCCTCGATTTATATTATATTTCATTTCAAATTCATTCTTATCTATAGTTCCGTAGAATTTCTTTTTCTTTACTCCACCGCTGTAGCAAAATGATCTGCAACAAAAACTCGTCTGATTATAAATACCAAATAAACGGTACATAGGTTTTTTTTTTATCTTTAATGCAATAATATACTGTAGAGAAGGTTAAAACTTTTTAAAATTAACCGCTTATTAGCAGACATTGTTATCATTAATGGATCTGTCAAGTGCCTATTGTGGATACAATTTACTGAGAAACGAACTACTTCTAAGGAATATTATTATCTTAAAATAAATTTAATTACCTCACGTGGAATTGAAAAGCCATTTACATAACGTCCTCCATTAAATAGGTTCATATTTTTCCTGTCATTTTCTACATTATTATATTATTTCAGTGCGTATAAATAATACATTAATTTTAGTCTGACATATACACTTAGCAAAGACGAATGTGTTAGGAAGTAACTACGTTTAATTGACTAATTAATTGTCACAACAGAAATTTAAAATTGACGGGAATTAATGCAAATTATAATCGAGTTATGTTTCAATATTATAATAATTCAGAACATTGAAAACGGAAAAAAATATTAAAGATAAATTACATATATATTTAATATTGATAAAAAATCTTTCTAATTGTAATATTACGTTTATTTCGTCTATAAATAAAAACAATTTACCGGTTTTCGTAACTATAAATAATGTTATGCCAAAACCGGTGTCATTAACATGAGATAGTGTTTAACTATAAGACTCTACGTATTCAATTTAAAACGATTTTTCTTAAACGGTCCTTTATAAGGCATGAGACGTATCGTATCAATATAAAAACAGCCATTAAATAAAATACCGTATGAAAAACAAACAATTAACAACATTTTATGTCTATGGCCATACGATTTCTGTAAAAAGACTATCACATCATAAAGCAGTGTGTAGTCAAACTGGAATGGTTCGATCGTAATATATGTTGGAACAATAAATTTGTTATCGGCAAATAGAATTACCTTAGAGCCAGATAGAAATGTCCGCTGCTACGTTAAACTTGCGCGCGTGCGCTTAACTGCTGTGTATGGAAACTTATAAACTCTTTGTGATATTATTATTTATAGAATCCCCTAAAACTTTTATTAACATTTGGAGAAGAGAACTTTAATCTCTAATATATATACACTTTTAGTAAAGTTAAGTAATTTTCCCTTTACTTCTAAGTGAACCTTATAAATATGTATATAAGTTTATGTCTTATATAATGAAGAAGTAACTATCTAAATTGCATAACAACCGTACCTCTCATTACTAAGATTTACCATCTTCTAACAGTATAAAGTTAATGATTCTATAATTGTGGTCTTAGTGATCTTTAAATTATGGTCATAATATTCTTGCTTCACTGACGTTTCACAAAAATTCCTTTTAAATAAATACTTGTTTGAAAATTTCTGATATGTAAACTATTTTGCATACTTTAATTACTCAAAATCCTTCTAAAAAAGCTTAATTTTAACTGAATCTTCATATATAGAAATAAGTTACACACAAATCTACTAAAAATAAAACAGCGGGTATTAAAATCACTTTATTATAAAGAGATTCTTAAGAAAATTATATTTATTAACGTACATTAACTTTAATGTATCGTTTAATAAATATTGATTGCAATTAAAGATGCTACTATATTAACTTCTCAGATTAAGATTGCTGGTTTTAAATATTGAGCAATTACCTCAACTAGTAAGTAAGTTTTATATATGTTATTATGCCGCAGTAAATAAGTAATGCAATTGCAGACTGGTGTTTCAAAGTTGGGGCATGGTTGGTGCATTTTTAATATTTTTTCCGTAACTTTTTGAAAATTTGTTCATCTTTTGAAGTTTTTAAGTTTGGCTTTTTTAAGTAACGATCTATCAATTATATTTATTTTGTATGTAGCCGATGTCTGTGGACGACTGTACTACCTCCATCAGATAGGCAAATCCTCTTTCGCCCTTTGTCATAAAGAAAACATTAATATCAATTAGAGTATTTTACATTAACAGAGTTAATCTTCGTTGATTTTGTGGCAACTAAATATCTTATACATAACTGCATATGGTAATCGTTTCGTAATAATTATTACCATAAGACAAAAGCTATACCTAGTGCATGATTCATTTTATTATGAAATAAACTGTAAAAAATAACAAACACCATGTAATTTTTTATGATATTCGCACTTAATAATAGGAATAACATTTCTTTGTATTTATGTTACTGTATAATAATACATATATATTTTAATAGCCTCATAAATCTGAAGTTCACAGTTTTCGTAGGTCACTAGTCACTGATAGTGATGCTCTCAGCTACTCAGCCATTAGCCGCTGATAGCTTCTAACTACTGGTTCAATTAATAATACGTGTCACGACAGCATTGCCTTCCACTTAGTTAGATTAGATACTGAGGGATTTTGTTAATTATATTGCTATATGGAATTATATTTTACGGAATCTCCACAATCACACGGTAATATAGAGGTTAGTAATAAAATATTATGATGCAAGTACGATTCTTATAATAATTTGTCGTTTTAAACTTTTAAATGAGTACTTAAACAAAGTCGCGGTGGCCTAGTGGTTAAAGGCTCGCCTATCGTGTATGAGGAAGCGGGTTCGAAACCTGGCAAATACCAATGTGATTTTTCCGATTCATATTTATTTTCTAAAAGTATTTAGACACCACTGACAGATGGTGAAGGAAAACATCGTGAGGAAACCTGGACTTATAATTATCTATTATAAGTTTGAAATAGCCAACCCATCTTAAGCAAGCGTGATGATTAATGCTCAAACCTTGTCTATGTGAGAAGAGCCCTTTGCTCAGCAGTGGGCTACGATAAGCTGATGATGATGATGATGACTTAAACAATGTGCTGTGCTCCAAGTTTCAATGTTCAAATTAAAGCGAATAATGTTAGCCGTGATACTGTTACTATTAGTTTATTGAGAGTATACTTTACGATGGATGTAAAAGTAATCGATTATTCCTTACTAAGGGACGTTTTAAATATATTATCTTAAAAGGATATGGAGTTTTCGTATTTGAACTTTGAATAGTCATGTAATTATATTCATTGATCAAAATTGAGAAATAATAACAGCAGCACATCAATTATAAAATAGATCGTCGGCATTACACTTAAAGGTGCTAGCGGTTTGTCAAAGATGTTATTCCATACAATAAAATATCACATCCGTTAAAATAGATGGTATAAACTGATAATGTGATAATACGAACTATAAATTAACCGGACCGCATTGGATATAATTCAATAATGTCTCAATTTTTTTTCACCTAACATTCCGACATAATCATTACGCGTCCACATAATTGACAGGCTGCCAATTAAAACAAGACGATTACAATCAGTTGATAAACAGTAATAACGGCATATAATGATATATAAACTGTTGGAAGCCATTTGTGGCCTAGTGGTTAAAAGACCCGCCT